CGAGCGTATGGCAGAATACGATGGTCTCCCAGATAGTAAAGATGGCTGCCCTCGCGTCGTCAACAAAAAAGCATTGTCAATGACGCGGCGGCGGGGGAAGCATCGACATGAGAGTATAGGATCCCAGCCCAGAGTACTGCGAAAAAGGCTTAGGTCTAGCCCAGAACGTGGATCCACTCTGTCGGAGAATGGTTCAGAGGCATGCCAGGGTTTCCAAATACTCGGATACGTGATCTGCAACGGGAAGGGGCACGGTCGATTAGCTCACATATCTGCCTACATCCGAATCAAGGGGGAGGAGGTCACGGATCGATCCTTCCCTCAGGGCAGGCCTTTTATAGGTATGCATGGATTGAGACTTGATATTGTCGTTGGGTGAGCAACGGGGTTGTGTCAGGGTTGACTGGAACAATATTTGGGTTCTAGATCGGCATGTTGTATCTTCAAGTTCCATGCTTACTGACACGAAGGTGCCATCGGGCTGACCGCCAGTTCTCCCTTCATGTAATCTGTCATTTATGAAATTTTCGGGCGAGGAAAAGGCGCCGCCGTGTGTGACATATTCACAGATACTAATCCTCAGAATTACAGAAACAGATACGCAGACGAGGTCGACCACCAGCCTCAGTCTGGTTCTTCCCAGCAGATGCATTGCAAGGTCCAGGACCCCAGAAAGTCAAAATGCAAATGATCGTCGACGGATATGCAAGTCCTGCTTCCGGCTGGTCTGCAGGCCCGGGAAACCCCATCTCTGTTTCACCCAGTCCCACAGGACAAACCCCGCCAGAGGGATCTGGATTTCGCATAATTCGAGATTATGTACTGCAGTTGATGGCCATTTCGTAGCCTCTTCCCTCCTATAACGTTCACTGTGTCACATGTACTCAGGTTGAGGATAATCATGACGGAACACGGATAATCACCACATTTCGTATAGGTTCGAACGGGCGCTCCCGCAGGACAAATGACGAACGCAATCTCAGAATCGCTCGATATAGATATTCGGCATGAATGCAGATTGACTTTGATGAGCAGTGGCTCTCAGGTGACCCCATGACCCCATGAGTCTAGAAACTATGTCCGGATTCCACACCCGCCCTTCCCCGGACCCAAACATCCCTTGCGTAAACAATTCAGCGATTGGGACAAACCATCCGCCAGTTCTCTGTCAACTCCCCTTCAAGGGGCCAGTCCTTCTGGGCTTCAAAAATACCGTCCCTCCTTGTCCCCTTGTTTTGTAACCTCCCGTTCTATCGAAAGCGGCGAGCACATGGTTGCTCAAAAGGCCGGGGAGGCGGCCCGGGAATAGGGCGGCTACGGCGTGGAATGTGATTTGCCCACAACACCGTGGAGGCTTTGGCGGTGATACAAAGAAAGATATTGAGTGGTTGTGGATCATTTCTGTTGTGGGTGTTTGCCTCAGTCTGATTTTTTAAAGCGTTTAGCACCGGGGTGGGTGGAAACTCAAAATAAACACACGGCGCCTACAGGGCTGCCACTCGAGCTTGCTGCGCTGCCGTTGGCATCACACGGACTTTGTGGTATCGTTTTGTTTGTATGGAAGCTTCTTGCTGCGTTGTTAAAATCCCATTCCGTCGCGGTAGATCACATTTGACAGGTGCTAGTTTCGAACGGTTGGTTTACTAGGCGAGCCGCACCGCCAAATGAATCAGCTGCCATGCCCCGGTTGTATATTATATTCTGACTATAAGCTAACCCCTAGTTGTTGTTTGGTCGACCCTGTCGAGCGACCCCTGTCGCTGAGTCTATGGTTGGTAGGAACGCATTAAGGCTGCGCCAGCCACATATTTGGTGATGAGATACCCCAGGTCTTCCGTCCTATCAAATAGGAAATGAGGAACTCCCTGCACGTCCGCCAAAAGGGCAACCGAAATATAGTTGCGTGAGCTGGATCGGCTGCAGGTGATCGATCGGGGTATCCCATCAGCCCGCGCCATGGGACGAACTGCGAACTGCGCCCTCCCCTGGACTCTTGGATTCTGGGGAATATCAAATTGGTCCACTAAGCAGGGCGGGTCCCCTGGCGCGCATCATTGGACCCAGCAACTGTCATCCCAGCTCCAATCTGCAAAACCGCCTCGCCTGTGCCTGTCAGCGCCGGTGCTAGTGTTTTGTCAAAGGGCAGATCTAATCACGTCTGGAAAGAGACAAAAGTACGTCAGCAGCAGCCCCTGCCGAGGGCGTTCCTGGCGTCATGTGACGGCGTGACCTGGGTTCGCCACCGGATTGTCACGGCGACATCCGCAGCGCTGCCCACGCCGCCCGTCTCGGACGTACACAATACCTGCGACTGCATTTCCCAGCACGCTCGCAGTCAGCTGCTTGCTGTTTTCCAATAGTGCTCATGTACACGTCGGTACAGGGTGTGCCCCCCCCGTCTCCTGATCCTAATTCCACGCGCCTCAGTGCATGGCTTAATCTCGGCAGTGGTGGCGGCTCTGCACACTAACGACAGGTATATTGATGTGCGCCTACGAATGACCCGATCCTTCTGCCTCGCCTCGGCATTCTGTTCTCCCACCAGTAGCATAGAACCTCGGCATGGGATTTCCGTGACGGGTCTCCGTAGTGGACGGGGGTGTGACCTTTTCGGGCAGATTGTATGATTCCACGCCTGGACAGTGGACACAGAGGAAGCGAGACCTGGGCTCATCCTTGTCAGGGCGAACCGGCCAGTGGACAGGACCAGGGACATTCAGTGGCGGTTCAGCAAATGGCACCGAATGCAGACCAGCAAGTCACTGACTGGCGAGTGGGTCCCGTCGGGGGCCCACGTCGATCGAGTCTGATGCGGCAGCGACGATTTGATGCCACCTTTGGTACCACCCGACCAACAAGATCGTAAGACGGCGCGTCCTTGATCTCATTGCTGAGTCGATGGCGGAAGGCAGGTATTGACTCAGTGAATGCACTCTGAGGTCATCACAGCATCAAGGGATGGGAGATGACCTCGAAAGATGATGGACTCGCAGCTGTCTGTTGCGCTGTGCAATTTCCGGCATGTCAGCGGTTTTCCCGGGGCCTGCATGAGCGAGGGAATGCTTTGCATACTGTAGATGATCGATCGAGCTGTGTCCAACATCGCCCGCAGGGAATTGTCGGTTACCAGAGCGAACTGTTTTCAGGCAAATCAGAGGACCTGGTCGGGTATCTGGTCGCAGAATATACCTCCAGCTGCGGATGCAATACCATGTATCCCCATCCAAATACCGGGGCACTCCACTCTTTGCCCTGGAACTTCGTCTCAGAATTGAGGCGAGCCGTACCCGCGTCCCCATTTGAAAACCAGACACGGGGATGCCGATATCCAACGTGGAAAGCCCAGCGTGTCGGGACCCAACGGTGGAGTCCCAAGTGTGCCAGTTGCAGACCGACTGTTCGCGTCCCCCGCAATTTGCCTCCGCAGAGAACCCCAGATGATCAAAGGACCAGGACCAGGGAGCGGACAGGGACCAGGACGCAGATGATATTCCACATTTTCTCTTTCTACCCAGCGTCACATGATGGATGAAACGTGCTATGTGGTTAGGCGATCGAGTTGCCCAATCCCCCGGGAAGCAAAAAGCTTACCCCCGGCTTACCCACACTTCTCAGAGTACCTTACTACCTTACTCTGCTAGGTATTGTAGGAAGTTACCCAGACCTCCTGGTGGCACATACTAGCCCTACACTGTTACTTAGGAGGTAAAGGGTCATTCCGCCAGTCCGGGCCACTCGCAAGGGCGATGCAACGGCCCCGTGAACACCACGGAAAACAGCCCCAGGACTTCTGCCAGTATTGGCCTGCCTCGCTTGTCGGGCGCTGATCCGCTTTCCTTTCGACCGTAGCAAACCAAACATACATCAGGATTTCCGAGTGGCAGGTGCCGAAACAATGAAATCGAATCGAAATAAAATACATATCACAAAGCTCTTTTGCCAGCTGGCAGACTCGTGACTACGGGCTGTGACACACTGCCGTGTTCTGTTGGATAAAGGCAGACGGGGATGTGCCATCTCGGAACATAAGGGCAAAGGGGCGGTAAAGGGCCTGCGCCATCGCACCTGATGGGTTCCAGCGAGGGTGACAGCCCAAAATGACAGCCGCATAGAGTTCGCAATATCCCAGCGGAAAAATCAGAAATTGCTAGAAATTAGTTCTAATTTGCAATCGCCAGGCGCGCAGGGCGACCGGATGTAGACCACTGGTTCCCCGGTATGCGGGCTGGGATTCAACCCCCATCCGCCTCTGATGATAATCGCTGCGAGCGGGTCATTTCCTCCCGGTATGTACGGAGTACAACGCCAGTCGACTGGTTACTACTGATATGTAGAATGTATACACTGCAGTAGGCGGTAAGTAGTTCAAAACCAGTGATTCAGATCAAATCAGCGGATTTGGCGAATATAGCCACGGCCCTAGGCCCGCCGGGACATTCGATAACACTAGTGTACATAGTGTCGGCTGGCTACACGCCGTAGAATCTGGGGCTGGCCCGCCAAGTCCTCACCAGAACAAGCCCTTCCTAAGCCTCTCGTCGCCCCCGAGCGCCCCATTACGCGGAGATTCTGATACTCTCTCTCCCTCACGTCTCGCGGGCTTCATCCGTGACCACCAACGTGGCTTCAGATCTCGGGAATGATCTCCTCGAATTGCGGCCCCCATCGCCCTCCACCAAGGGAGTATCCGTGACGAGAATAGTTTAACCGGCCCTATCAGTAGGCGAGTCAGCCGGACCTGGAGGTCCTTAGGCGACCAATGGTCGGCGATGCGACAGTTCATCGGTCAGTCGATACTGAGTAAATTGATAAAGTGCCAGTGGCGAGTGTCCAAACGACCGAGTGGCGTGAAGACGTTGCTGAACATCGGCAAGTACTTGTGGCATACACGCACCAGAAGGAGCGTCCTACACTTGATCGGCCGGTGTTCGGAGGAAGGTACTTCGCCTGTACCTTAGGGTGTACCTGAGGGAGATCTTTGGAGGAGGGAATTGACCGTGATGGCCATCGACCCCTACCGTCAAAGGTACACACCTGCGTCCATCAAAAAGTACGTACATTGAACCCGTATCCATAAGTTTTTTTCGCCCCGAGAAGGTCACAGGTTCTGAAAGACTTTTTTGCCTTCCCTTTCGTTTCTTCTTTCTGGCCTAACCTTCCCCCCTCCCTTGGTCCCCTACCCCAAGGTGGATTTGCCTTCGATCTATCGCAGATCCGGGAGAAGGGCAAGGCAAAAGGACGACCGGAAACAGACCGGTACGAGAAGAGCCGTCACGACCGCAATACACAGCAGATACACCGCCGTACGGTGGATACACTTTCGGCCAAATCGGGGGCACCTCGGAAGAGACAAGACCCCAGAGTGGAGCAGGCAGGACAATGGCGGCAGGAGTACATGTGGGATACCGGGGTACGGCCGATTACACGCGGCGAAAGGCAAGTACCGCGGGCGTAATGGGGTGGCCCCGTGATGCGACTGAATTTTCCTCACCGTCGTTTGGGCGGAAGTGCCCTCCCCCTTGTATCGTAACTGGGTGACCGTACCTATTTTTCGGATTTTGCATTTTTCGATTTTCCCGTTTCGTATTTTCGTTTTTCGAATTTCCGAATTTTCCTTTTTTTTTGGATTTTCCCCTCTCTCTTCCACTCCACTCCACTGCCGCCCCCGTCATTCTTATTATCGTTCCGTCCTCTCCTTCTCCCCTTCTTCACCTTTCCCTCCCACACACCCTCCCCACACTCGCGACCATCTTCACTCAGGCACGAAACGCGCCAATCTCTCTTTCGACGCGTGCTCTGCCCCGAATCCGCCCCGGATTCACTACTCCGCACCGCATCTCTCTCGCGCCTGGCAATATCGACCACAACTCTCGGCCCGCCCGCAAAATCCGATTCTTCCGTCGATCATTCACTCAACGACCACGAGTAGCGGATTCTGACCGGACGAAGCTTTCGATTGCACTCGCCAATCCAAACTCTCCGCCTCCCAACCTTCTTCTGTATCCGTGCAGAGCCTAGAACTCGACTCCTAAGTTCCTTCCACTCGACCGCAGATTCTTCAGAACCTTCACTCTCGGTTTCCAACCGCCGTACGATCACTCTCGGGGAAGACGGCGACCCCGGAACACCAATTCACCTCCTCTCGAAGCACAGTATCCGCAATCGGTAACTGTGGCGACACTACTATGCCTTTAACAACTCCGGTTCTGACGGTGGACGCCGATAATATTCACAAGGTGGACACTGCTAATGCTCAGAGCCTTCATGGAATGTGGATGGGTAAGTGATTCCTGGCTGGGATTCTGCGAATTCTTTATTGGAGACCGAGGGACGGAACTAATATCTTTTCCGCAGTCTTCTCGAAATGCGCCGACTACATGGATCAGGGCCGTCGGCTCGAGAACCTGAGCTGGCGCCTGTGGACCCGGGAGACCTTCTGCGTTGAACCCGAGAAGTCCAACGAGGCTTCCGTCCTTCCGAAACTTCGCTCCGAGGCCGGTGATCTCCCGGAGCTCTCCGCCAGTGTCGAATCGGCCGCGTCCGACCAAGCCGAACGTATCGAAGCTCACATCAAGCGCCCTCAATTCTCTGACTACCGTCCTGCCGTCGTCCGTGAGGACTCCATGGCTAGCCTGGGCCGCGGTAAGGAGAAGCACATCACCTCGCTGGATCTGGAGCGCATGGTCCTCAACATCAAGGAGCGGAAGAGCCTCGAGCCGCTGACACCGGCGATGGAGCCTGCTGCGCCCGTCGTCGACATCACTCCCCGACCTTCTACTCCTACTCCCACTCCTCCCTCCGTTACTACGGCCCGTCAGGTTGCTCCATTCCCCCGTCCTTCCCCGTTGCCCCGTGAATCGACTGAGTCTTGCTCGACTACTGCCCCCGAGGGCAACGACAGCGATGCCGCCCATGTCAACGCATCCGATACCAGCGTCTCGTCCTCTGGTGTTCTCCCCGCCCGCCCGAGTCTGATCAAGTCTCCCAGTGTTGTTCGCGGCTTTTCTCCTTCCAACATATCTTCTTCCTACCGGTCGCAGCACAAATTGTCGGTGGACGCCAGCCCTCGCGACGCCTCCCAGGCCAAGCCATCCCCTCTCAAGAAAAAGGGAGGCATGTTCACTCTGGGTGGTTCTTCTGCAGACGACGACGAGAGCTCGTTCGAAGATCGGCTCCGCCCTGTCCCTGGCTCGAACCGACCTAGTCACGGTTCATCATTGAAGCCTACTACGAGCAACCCGAGCCCCTCCAAGAAGGTCGCCTCTTTCAGCGACGAGGTTGCAACCCGCACCATTCGCCCTTTGAAGAGCCCGCTGAGCGCCGACGAGGACGCCATTGAGTCTGACGACGAGGTCTCGGAAAGTGCCATTGAGGATGACGAGGATTCCGATTGGGAGGACTCTATCACAGAGAGCGGTACCGCCAGCGTGGACGAGCGACCCGAGATGTTCCAGCGAGTGGATTCGCGACCTAATCTTGTGTCCCGCCGGTCGCTTCTTACAATGATGATGCACCAACCTACCAAAATGAACATGCCTAATGGAAACGCATTCCGGTCCAGTCCCGCGCTGCAGCGAGCTCGCCTGACATCACCCAACGGTCCCTCGATCCCGACTTCGCCTCCTGAAAAGGACGAGGAAAACCTCACCATGCGTGGTCCCGATGTGCCTCGATCCAAGCCCATCGGCATGAAGACGCCTGGGCCCCAGTCGGTCGCTCACTCCCCTCGTACCACCCGCCGCAACATGCTTGCGACCGAATTGACCGAATCACTTCGCCGACACCTGCTCTGGGAGCGTCAACAGAAGAGCGCGACCGCCAATGCCTTCAAGCGCCGCCACACTACCCATGATATGAAGAATTTGCAGGAGTACCCTGGTCCCAAGGATGCTGGCTCTAAGGGACCTCACCAGGCCCCGGGCGTGGGTCCTTCCGGCACCGTCGATGGAAACGCCTCCAACCAATTTGAAACGTCTAAAGATCTTGCTAAGAACGGATCATGGACCAACTACGCGACGGACTTTGGCCCTTGGGAATACCATGTCAAGGGCTGGTAGGCCTATCGCAACCGAACATCCCGAAGCTCTTCAATGAGTTTTTCGGACTTTGAATTATTATCTGTCACATACCAACTCCTCATACTGTTTCTCGCCACACCCGCGAGTCATTTTCAACCGACACGATTATGAACATGCATTGCATCTCGGCGCACTTACGGATTGTTGCTTCTGGATCTGGGTCTCATCGGCTTCCGGGGTTTGGGGTTGTTCTGATACAGCATTCAACGGGCGTTCGTCCCTGGCTGGATTTTTACCACCTACGACCGAAGGGGGTTTCTGTCCCCTACGAACTTAATATTCATGTACAGCTCATATGCCACGTCCCATTTTTACTTGCGGTACTTTCGGGCATTCCCTCGAATGGATGATGAACCACGGACTTTTTTTCGTGCCTTAATTCCCTCTAATCTCTCCCTTGAGATATTATCAAATCGTCTCCCACTGGTTTTGTCTTCATGACCGGAAAGTTTCACCAAAAAAAAAATTCGTTCTATCAGCGACAGCGATCTTGCACTGCATTGCCCATTTCCACTTCCTTCGGGGGCTGCAGAAAATGTGCGAGCATTTATTTTTCTTTCTACTTTTGCTGGGATTATCTTCTCGAGTATTTTCCCCCGTGCATGTTTCCCACTTTTTCGATACCAGATACCACACGTTTTTTCCCTGCTTTGCTTCTCTCTGTATTGTCTCGGGCCTTCATGCAATGCAAGCCCGAGCCACTTGTCCTGTACGCTACGCTACACATGCCTTCCCCGAGCGCATTGCCAAAAAAACTGGAATGAATGAACCCAGTTACAAATGTTAAAACACCGCTGTGCACCTCGTATCTCCCGTGAGTAGATATTGTAGACTGTGCTATCTATGGATGTTAGCGACAGCCAGAGGCTGGCGCCATGCATTCACAAGTGGAGGTGCAATTGGCGGTCTGGATCATTTCAGGTTTACATCCCTGCTATGGCTTGATGCTCTACAGATGGTATTTAGCGAACTAGACTCGTGTAGGGTAAATCCAATCCTTATCTAAGAGGCTAGATAGGTCCATTGGTTTGATTAGACTACAGTTCATGGAGGATGTTGGACATTGGGATCCAGTGTCTAGCATCAACCAGTCCCCACCTTCGCGCGAGGTCTGCAAAAGGTTTGCCGAAATGCACATCCTGGTCCACAGCGACGCCAGATAAGTATCATGTGGGAAATCCGGGCGGTTTTGCAAGAGGCTTTTGGTGGCGCTGACACGTAAGAGAGGAGGGGGTGTAAGGGGGGTTTTGGTTGTCATGATTGATTCATGGTTACATGAGGTGGACAGGGGTGGAGGCGAGAGGGGCAGTCCTTCCTTTCACTGGACACTGGAGTGGTAGTCGAAGGGGCATAGGACTGAGGTAAGGCTGATTATGCAACGGGATATGTTTTCTGTGTGGGGATGGTGTACTCTGTGGCGAGATACTCTATCGTCCCTCCCAACCCCCCGGAATCCTAGCAGTTAGGAAGCAGTACTACCTGCCTAGGTGAGTATCGAGCAGCGCGCTCCCGGTCCCGACACAAGGGGAATGGGGAAGATCGCAAGGCGCCGAGGGGGTGTCAGGTGGTCCGTTGACCAGGAGAACGGGGCCGAATGCACTAATTTTCCATTTGCCTATTTCTCTCGATTAGGTGCTTGCGAGACGTACATGTATCAAACTGTCCCACCTCAGGCACAGTCAGAGGTACGGATGAGATGGAGCAGGATATTGGCAGGCCCGAGAGCTCGAACTGTCCATATTTGCAGAGCTGATCTGGACAAAAGTACCGAGATGAGGAGTCGATGAGATCCAGATCTTTGCCAGCAGTGGATGGCCGCACTGTTCGCTTCACATGCGGAAAGCATGACATCTGCACGCAGTAGCTCCGCGCCAGACCTGCCATCGGCACGGTGAGATGGTGGTGGTGCTTCGCCACGACTCGACCAGTTAAGCGCTCAGTCCCTGGTCGTGCCATTCCCGGATCGCGATACCAGCAGAGCCCTGTCGGTGGTCTGGCGATGGCGTTTATTCTATTCTTATCGTAGGTACATGGCAGGCACGACGACAGCGTAAGGTGCTCTTGTGCTGGAGGGGAGCGGCGCGATCGGGTTGGATGCTGCGCGTTCTAGACTTTGCGGGTGTGCAGGGCAAGTTCCCCGGAGAGTCTCTCGGTAGCCTCACCATGACAGTGCATGGGGGACTTATGATGCATGGCTTTCATCAGAACGGTGTCACCTGAGCGCGGGAGATTTCAGGCACCTTCTGTCTGCCTGTAGTACTACTCACAGTAGTGCATCATGATCTGTATTGTTTCGAATAGGCCATCTGGGTTCTCGTCAACCGCTTTACCACCACCGATGTAGTTGTGTACTGATACTGGGGACGAGTACGCTTGATGTCATCCCGCGACGGTCATGTGGCCCGGAGTGGATCACGAGGGAACACATGACTCCGGGGAACTGTATGCAATTCGCCCTCTCGCCACGCTTTCCGTTCTTTTCGTTTCTTCCTCCAACCCCAGCAATATATGATTCTGCTATTTTGTGGTTGTGGTTGACGCCCGTCCCAATCGAGTAATTTGCGTATACTTTCTCCCCAGGGCCATCTCCCAATGACGTAACCGTAGCCTCTGAGAGTAACCCGTTTGGGCGACGCCAGAGGTTGCATCCAGGGCCAGAGTGGAGCCGCCGGTTACTTTATGGTATCCGAAAGTGGAATCCCTTTCAATGTTAACCCCACATTTCGCTTTCCTAAAACGCCCGACGCTGGCCATCCCCTACTCGCAGCGCGCGCGCTCACTGGCCGCTGCGCCGGCCGGCCCCAATTGCTCGTGGGGCAGCACGAAAAATCCTTCATGTCTAGTGAATTGATTCCAGGGCGCGAGCCAGTCAGAGGCATCATCCCTGGAATTACACTCCTCACCGAAGAGCCGCAATTATAGGTTTTGACAGGTGTTCCATGGGCTGAAGCTTCATGGTGTTCCAGTTAATTTGAGGTTACCGGTGTATACCACCAGGAGTGAGTAGTAGCCTGGTAGGATGTTGTGAGGCGGTGCAGCACCGCCGGCGATAGACTACTTTTATCTGCCTTAGCAAGCCACCTCCAGAGTCCAGTACCAATACCTCCAATCTTCTAGTCCTCTTCAGGCAAAGGTCCAACTCCTTTCATACGTCCCCACCGCGAGACTTGCCTTGAAAAGCTCAATCTCAGCTCTGGTCAAGCGCCCGGTGGAGATCGGTGGATCAACCCGCGGCCTTGGAGAGCGCCGTGATTCGCGCCTTTCCGCCGTTCTGCGGAGGGGTCTTGTTCACCGGTACAGTACGGCCAATGTGGTTTTACACTGACGTTGTTTTCGGAACCGTCGTTGCCCTTTGAAGAATCCCGTCCTGGAGTTTGACTAATATATACACGCTGTGCCAAGTACATACTCCAAGTACATGCTCTGTGGTATTAGTGCTTGATGATCAAGGTCAGTGGATTCCGAAACCACCGTGGTGGAATCCAGAACCCCCACGAAATAAGGCTAACGGTGAGGATTCGAGGCAGGTGACAGCCGGGATGCACTTGGTGGGCTCGAACCTTGTGCCGGTTTAGGCAGCACATTGGTTAGTCTGAGAGCACGACTCGGGATGCCGATGCTGCAGGAGTTGCTGCCGGTACTTCAAAGTATACCACTGATCGCCCTCCGTATAAAGTATTTCACATTCAGATCCCGACTACACAGATTAGATTTAAATAGCCTCACGTCGGACGCGACTCAGCACTCTATTCTACGCGTCATCTGTCTTATCCACGCGTTGCTGCGAAATTTGATCCGAGTCAAGCCCCGTGTTCCCGATAGCAAAACTCCTCCACTGCGGATCGACGCCCAAACACTGGCGTCCTTACTCCTTCTGATGGATTACGCTCTAGAACGGAGCTTTGGGCGTCGCGGTTTCCAGCCCATGTAAAAGATGAAACTGGGAACTGGTGTGTCAAAAGTCAGGGAGCTCGATGTTTTCCAGAGGTTCCATCATTGGTCTGGATATCGCGTTCACCGGTGACATTGTCAGCGGCACTTCCCAGGTATTTCCGAGCTTTCTCCAAACTTGTTCTCACCCACTCCTGCCAACTTCGATGGAAACAAGATATGGACGGAATCTTGATTTGATGTATCTTGTACTAGGTACAAGTGTACATTTTTGCAGGTCGTCTGCTGCACTGATCCCGAAGCCAGTCGCGTGGGATGCCGAGTCTTGGGCCGCCAAACCCGGCTGCCCAAGGCTTGACCCCCATGAGATCGTGTGGGGGGGCAACGCCGTCCATATCAATATCCCACGGAGTCCTGCGTGGGATTTTGTGTCAGTGCCTCTGTAAGTCTGTTGGAAATCGCGCGTGCCCACGAGTGGCAATTGCGCGACGCGTGATTGGGCTCGACTGGCCTCGGTCGGCATGGGTCGCGCTCACGTGAATGCACAGTCCAGGAGCTCTGTCCTCCGACGAATCACACTTGCACCGTACCGATGGAGCTGTCTCCATCAGGATGTCAGAATGCACCTTAAAGAGGTATTTGATCTCTGTCATGCATGTATATCTACATCACTCGAAACGAACGGAAAGTGAAGACTGCCGACCAACTGCCGAGCGGCTGCGTTCAGCGCAATTCCGCACCGGCAGCCATGGGCGGCGACCAGCGCAACCCGGGATCTTTCATCGCGTGTCTCCCAGAAGCTTTCACATTGTTCTGGAAGGGCGATCCGGTTGGCTACCCAACAAACGCTATCCCCTTTAGGATTAGAGCGGACCACGATCGGGCAATATCTTTCCGTACAGTACCGCTAACGACGATTTCGTATTACGCGGTGGAGTCTGTTACTCAAGTCAATACTCGCAGTACGGAGAACTCCCCGAAGGCTGAGTACAGGTACTTGCTTGGAGACTGTGGAGAAGGCATTTGGAGAATTCGATTCACATTGTAGAACGGTTGTGCTGCACACGTTCCCTCGAGTGTTGCAATCTTCCCGTCGTGTCACCGCTCTCCATACGGAATGTGAAATGTAGTACACCCTGCGGCCGTAGGGGAAAGCGCTTTTGCCCTGGGTCATCCCGACCATTTGCACCTAGCAGAGTCTATCGAAGCCACCGGACAGGGTTTCGACAAGGTATCGACGGGGGTGTGACCGCCATGTGGTTGTGAAGCGCGAGAACTCTCTTTGCAACCATTCTCGGGCGCACAACCCTGTCGAAGGAATGAACGCCTGTGAACTTTAACCGCGTTCAGGATGCGGAGGTATCGGCGATGAGTCTACAAATAAATATATCTGGACAGGGGATGCTACGTGCGACGATATATACACTAGTCTAAGGAGAGTGCTTACTATTTTACCTTAGGGTATATAAATGCCGAATATAGATATCTCGTCTGGATTATACATACTTCCTCGCTTGGCATCTTCGGCACTGCAGGAACACTAGTCTAATATATATCGTTGAAAGCCAATATGTAGCCGCTGCGAGAAGCACAGAATTCTCTCAAATCGAGCGTCGATCCCGTGGCCAGAAGAGCTTTCCATGCAGGTATGTGGGAGGTGCATCGTGGGGCTTGACCATTCCAGTAATTGTACTGCACTTCCCCCGTTTAGTCACGAACCCCTCATCGATGCTGTCTTGACCGCCGCATGGATGAAAATCCCGCTGGCGATCACTGCAATGGTGTTATTCATAGTGGGAAATGAGGCGCGAGTTTAAAGCGTGTTTGGGTTTCCATTCCCAGCGATGTGCCATCCATGAGTCCAGTTCGCATCCCACTCTACTATATACTAGTAGTGCACTGTACACAGGTACCGACGTGGAGTTATTGAACCTTGTTGGCATAATAACTCCGATCTCGTGGCGCGACACTTGACATTCGAACGTCAAACTAGAACATGTAGAATTTTCCCTCGGTCCGCCTCTATGGAGAAGATGACAAAAGCAGCATGAGTCACTTCGTACCCGCGATTTGTTGTGGTCGCAATGACAGCAATTGCGGGCGGGTGAGTCAGATTGAATCACCGCCGCATCCACCCCGCTGTCTTGGCACACGCCAACCTCTATATCTCTTTTGATTCTGCACACTATCTCAATTTGACCTGTTGCAACATTAAAGTCCCCGGTTCCGCAGAAATTCAACCAGAACACATCACTAGATCGCCGAGACTATCACATCCAGCCAGCCAGTCCAACCGGGATTTTTCTCGCCCACCGCGGCCAGCGCACTGCAGATCTGTCCTGTCGATCCCGGGCAAGGTCACCCGATCTCTGTGTTGGCAACTCAAACGTCGCCCAGAGTATTCGTCCTCGCCCTCGCGCTCTCCTACTCCAGCCATTTCCAAGCGACCCCCCATTCAGCCGGCCCCAGTTGGGCCTATCGACATGAAGAACGGGTCAGTTGACAGCCACAGCCAGGCGGGTCCAGATCCTCAGATCCGTAAGTCGCGTCCTCCCTCGTTTGCATCAAATTCCCATGTCCAGTGGCGGGACCCCGATCAATATCTAGTACAAGCTCTGATTCGTGGTCCCGGCCCGTCCATTCGTATTTTGAGCTTTGCGGGTGGACATTATCCAGCCTGTAAACACGCAACGCAGCACCCGCCACAGACCTGTCATGACCGCCACCCCTGCAGGTGCTTTTGGTGGTGCTCGGGGCCTGCATGCTGCGGACAGGTTTCTTGGGAAAGGCCCTAGTCGCCAACTTGGGTCTTCTAGACCGCGGGCTGAGCGGGCAGCACAACGGCCCGCAACCTTTTTGATCACACGCTCATGCTGATACTTTCCAGGATCTGAACAGCTGCCCTCGACTGATGAGTTGGCAGCCCCGGCTTTGGTGCATGGCGTTGCAGCCACAGCTCCGTCAAGTTTGTCGCACCAATCATCCGCCCGGAAACGGGTCAAGTGTCGCTATTTTGCGACGAAAAATGGTACGTCTTTCTTGCGTAAGGTTTCTGTTGTTTTAGAGTGGTGTGTTTTGAGGATTGTTGTTCCTCTCTGGGATTGTTGTCATCTGTATACTATTATTACAGATGGAGAGTCCCTAGCGATGTCTGCATGTGAAGTTGCATGATGGCTTCCCTTGGAGGTTGATAGTGTACCTAGGGCTCATGGTATCGACGAAGAGGGTAGTTGCATTGTATACTACCCTTTGATCCGATTGATTTTAATGGCGGCTCCTCGGCAAAACATGAAACGCTAGCTTTTCAACATTGAGGCTAACAGTGGTCTAGGTTGTCGTGCTGGCGCAGAATGTCCATTCATTCACGATGCTTCCAAATTGAAGCAAAACACCGCTCAATTGGGTCAGTCATCTGAGCCACAGGCATTGACTGACAGCTCTCTCAGTCTGAACTCTGGCGTAGCTACCGGGGTGCAGAATCTGAGCATCGGTCCAGGCCAGTCGAAACAAGACTCGGCTCCTTCACATGCCGCCCAGCCTCAACGGCCCGTCTCCAAGGTTGAGAAGAATGACCCGAGAGAGTTTCAACTCAATCAGTTGAGGCGGCGCTATCGTCCAGATGAGAAGTCTGATGATAACGAACACACATTGGCCTTTGGCTTGGTGCCTTCTGACCCGGACTTCCCATTCGAGTTGGATAGTTTACAATGTGTATTGCACGTTCCACACTCCTTTCCCGGTACGGGACGGCCCACGCTGACCGTCACCAACCCGGAAATGGAATCGGCGTATCAGATGAACGTCGCGAGAGGATTTGATGATATTGTGGATTTCACAATGCGGACCAATGGCCGGGGAACGTTGCTCAACTGGATGAACACTCTAGATAGGCAACTGGAGCGTCTGCTCACTACCTTGGAGAGAGGTCCGAAGCTGAAGTTTGTAGCGAATGTGGGTGACCCTGCTGCGAACCCAGAGACGGTCGTGAAGGGGGCTCCTACTGCGACTAAGGCACCCGAAGATAAAGTTGAGGCTCCCATTGCCAAAGCACCGCCCGCAAAACCAACATACACAACGGAGCAAAGAGATAAAGCTGAAAAGCGGAGGTCAACAGAGACAAAGCAGCTTGAAGTTCGCTTGGGAAGGCTTCCACTGTTCCAAAAACGGACAGAGAATTTCTTCACCATCCCAATCCAGCCCAACAAGGCAGACCGTCTGCCTAGGTCGCTTCAATCGGTGAAAACCGTGAAGCTCCTGGTTCCCCACCTGTATCCCCTGGAGCACAGCTCAATTGAAATCCAAGGAGCCGACAGCCCAGAGGCAAAATCCGTGGAAGCCGGCTTCGCCCAATGGCTCGAGAAAAACTCCCAGATGAACTTGATCTCGCAGATCAACTATCTGGCGAGCAACATGCACAATTTTGCCAAGACGCCTCTACCTGAAGTCGCCGAGCAAATGCAGCTTGAACACACCCATGGAGAGACAGAATCGTCTTCGCAGAAAGTGGAAAATAAACCTTTCACCGAAGCAGATGGAGATCGGCCCCATCTACATGTCATTCCGCGCCCACCCGAGTGGTCTGTACCGGACACTCATAGTGGAAGCGACGTTACCGACGAGTCAAGCTATGACGAGGACTCCGGGGAAGAGACTGAAGAGGAAGAAGATGGCGGCGCTCCCATTCCGGCTGTTGTTGATACACCAGGCCGGGGCGTTGCGCTTTCATTCCCGTTCCTAGAGCTCTATGGTATTGAGTTGTTGGAAGTTATCCACCTTGCTGTTACGATTAAATGCGAGCGGTGCAAGGAGCCAATGGATATCAAGAATGTTCCGCAGCTTAAAAACGCGAAGGACGTACCAAAAACCGAGTCTTGCAAGAAGTGCGCCAATTCTATGACTATCGGTATGTTGCACAACCCACGTCACCCTTGTGAATCGCTGACTTATGATGTGTACCTAGGCTTCCGGAGACAGTTGATGCACTCGCATGCTAATCGAGCAGGATATTTGGATCTGGAGGGTTGTACCATTGTGGATCTTCTGCCAAGGTTTGTCTTAGATGTATTTTCTTCCAAGGTGATATGCTAATTTGGGCTAGTAATTTCCTGCCAACTTGCGCGGAGTGTTCCACGGAGTATCATGTCCCTGGAGTATCTGCCGTTCGGGCCGAGAGTGCCATGGCTATCTGCCGCCACTGCCACCGCAAGATGGTCTTTAAGATTCCTGAGGTCAAGTTCCTCCTCGTTGGAACCGCTGCAGGTACGCATCACGGAGGTCATTACGTGCTTAGATAGTTACTAACAAGACATAGGTTCTTTACGCTCCGGTCTTGCTCTAAAGAAGAAGGTAAGTAGACCTCTTAGTCGATATCAGACACATTCATTTTAATCATCCCCAGCCAAAGGAAGCTCTCGGAATCGTTGCAGGGCAGGAACTACCTCGACGAGGTCGTTGCTCGCATTACGGAAAGAGCTATCGCTGGTTCCGGTAAGTAACCACAGCACTCCAGATCAGCATATTCAAAATAGCTAACATTCAAACAGATTCAGCTGCTGCTCAAAGGTCTTCCCCTGTGACAAGTAAACACCACCACACACCCCCGGCTGACCAAGCGAATGCTAATTGAAAAAGGTGTCATGACGCAGAAACAGACCATCCAAATGAGCACGCAAATCGTATGATCTGGTAAGCCACTGCATTGTGCTCTACCACCCAATTTTCAGAAAATGCTAACAAATTACTAGTGGCTTCTGCTCGCGAGAGCAAATCTATAGACCGGAGAATTGCGGCATTTGCAAAGCTACGCTCGTCGGTAAGGCGGGTAGTGGGTTCTGGGAAGGTGGGAAGGGAACGCGAAATCGGGCACTTATGAGTCGGAAGGATCCGAGGAAGTATAAGCGGAGGGGTGGGACGGTTCCGGGGGGATCGAGTTCGAAGAAGAAATAGAGTCTCATGCATTGGGCGGATTGCATTGTAGCGAAGTTCATAGTTGCATGTGAGGTCTTGCATTGCATTGGGATTTGCATCATGGTGTATGAGAGATGAAATAGGAGTTGAAGTCTGACTAAATTTATTGGAAATATTTGTATCATCGTGAGCGAGGTTGGAACAATTCGACGATAGACCCTGATTCCATTGAAGCCTCTGATGAAGACCTTGGGTTCAATGCTTGAGTTGTGACATTTACTCTACTCAACTGGATGCTGAAAATATTGGAACAAACACTGCCGCTAGAGGCGGTAAGAAATGAAATAGTTAATATGTACACGGCCTAATCATTTCAAATGCATCTAGTCATAATCAAGACCTCGTTGTCATGAAACTGTGGATTCAAAGTCACCCATCAGATGAGGTTACCACGAAGCTCCTGCTCGCGCTCAATAGCTTCAAAGAGCGACTTGAAATTCCCGGCTCCGAAACCCTCAAAGTTGTGTCGCTGGATAATCTCGATGAAAACAGTCGGACGGTCCATAAGATGCTATAAATCAGGCATTAGTAGTGGACCCTTAGAATTGAGGCAAAAGTATTCACATACCTTGGTGAATAGCTGAAGCAGATAACCACCCTCATCAAAGTCAATCAGAATATCCAAGCTCTTGATAGTCTCAAAGTCCTCTTTCAGTACCAGGCTAGACTTGGCTAGGCGTGCCTTCATGTCGGTGTAGTATGTCTCCGGAACTTTGATGAACTCGACGCCTCGGGCCTTCAGGTTTGTAATGTCCCGAATGATATCGTCGGTCATGAGGGCAATGTGTTGTACGCCGGCTCCGTTGTAAAAGTCGACATACTCCTCGATTTGGGACTGCTTCTTGCCCTTGGCGGGCTCGTTGATGGGCATTTTGACGATTTCGTTGGGAGAGGCCATAACGATACTCTTCAGGGCAGAGAATTCACTGTAATGACTGTTAGTATATTGCGTGATGTGTAGACCTAGATCTCCGATCAACTTACGTGCAGATCTGGCTGTCGTCCACGGACCAGAAGCGGTGGAATCCCAATGCCTTTTCATAGCTGCAAAGCTGTCAGTAAAAACCATATTTGGCTGATGAAGGGATGATCGTACTATTCGCAAATCTTGTCCATCTCATCCCAATCCTGATTCCCAACGCAGTGATCAATCCGCTTCAAATGCACACCAGGCAGGAACTTCGCAACCGGATCCTCAGCCCCATCCTCAGAACGATACCCAGGCAAGAAAGCACCACGGTACTCATTCCGCTCAATAAGCGTATGCGTCGTCTGGCCATAAGTCTGAATAGTAGCAAGCTTAACCCGACCAAGCTTATCCTCGAGGATCTTTGGCGGAGACACAATCTTCGCTCCGTTCCGGATGGCAGCGGAGAAGACTGCGTCGACATCATCAACTTCAAATGCAACGTCCTTGACGGCATCACCGTGCTGCTCCAGATGAGCGTGGATGTCACGCAGCTCTTCTTGCTCTTCGGGCGTGAAGCGGTCCAGCTGATTTTGCGAGCGCAGAGGCGAGGTCAGGATGAAGGTAATGTCGCCGTTGCGGACGACGTGCGAGCAGGCGTGGCGACAGCCGGTCTCGAGGCCGCGGTAGGCGACTCGCTTAAAGCCCATGCGAGTGACATAGTAGCTGGCGGCCTGCTTGGCGTTGCCGACGTACCAATGGACGGAGTCGTAGCCGCGGTAGCTGGCGAGTGATGAGGCGCCGTTGGTTGAGGGAGGCGGGCTGGTCGAGATAGCCGAAGGGGCCATTTTGAATATGTGTAGTATTTGTCTGTGTAGAACCGTCTGCTTTGAAAAGCTTGATATCCGAAATCAAAATATTTCGATGTTCAAGATGAGGAAGAAGTATGAGATTCGAGTCCTTGGGTGGAAGCTTGTGTGAGATGGTCCGCCACTAGAAATAGTTTTATAATCATCAAACACCTCGAGTAAGCGTCGCCCATTCGGATATCTCTGCCAAATCCACTGCGTGCCATTCCTGCTGTTTGTCCTTGTGAAATAGCCGGGCGGCGTTGGGGGGCGCCCTGCGCTTTCCTGGAATAGCCGGCAACAGCCGGGCCGCGGCTGATGCGAAGCGGAGCTGGTCTACTACGACGTCGCGATATTGCAACATCTCTGTTGTTCTTTTTCTCCTACATTTGAAGCTTCCTCAATTTTCCAAAAGGATCTTGAGATAGTCGAGAATTTCAATTTTGCAGACCGGCGACCCTGTTCACATCGGCTCAAAGTCCAAGATCACCTCCATTACCACCAACATGACAACGATCACACCATCTCAACCATGCCTAACGTCAAATGACTCCGCCGTTCTCCAAGCTCTGTTCGATGCAGAGTCCTCTCCATCCTCCGGAATAACCATCGACTCAAATTTGCCATCCTGGTCCGCAATCGTGAACATCTCACAACAAGACCTCGCCACGCTAAACAATCGCGAAGCGGAGATTATCCGCAAACTTCAAGACAGCGAGAATCCGAGTCAAAAGACAATTCAATCGGCTCTAGATGCGCTCGACGCTCTCATAAGCAAATATCCCACCTACCCACCCGCCTACACAAACCGCGCTCAAACTATACGCCTCCTGGTCGATACGCAATACAAACAAAGCCACCCCGAAAACACAGACTCATCCGACGACGCTTTATTTACACCTGAAGCGGCAGATTTTTCTTCTCGCATCTTTGCCGATTTGGGACAGGCTATTACTCTCGCGACCCCATCTTCACCGGCGGATGCATTGTCGACAGTACAGGCACGGCTTTTGGCGGACGCGCACACTCATCGTGGGTATTTGCTGTTGAAGGCAGCGCGGGTTAAGAAGAATACTGTTCTTCCACCGATGGAAGAAGTGGGGCCTGAGCGGCTACGTGGATTGAGTGCGGATGAGTTGGAGGAAATGGCTAGTCGGGATTTCTTTTTGGGCGGCCGGTTTGGAAATAAGATTGCGCAGCAGCTTGCTGTGCAGACGAATCCTTATGCGAAGATGTGTGGGGCGATTGTGAAGGAGGCGATGAGGAAGGAGGTGGAGGGGGATAAGTAGAGTAAGGAATTTATGGGGTTTCATGATGTTTACATAATATGAATTATTTGCATATACTTCGGCTTTGGAAAGCCCGGGGTACGAGTAAGTTTCATTTGTACGGAATATATTGATGGAATTAGTTAGAAAATGAGAAAAATATGCATTTATTGCATTCTTATGTAGGGCCCCTGAGCCAAGTCCGTCTCTGATATCGTCAATTCATACTCAAGCTATTTACAGATACATGTCATGTAGAATATTCTTTTACTTTTTGTTAGGGTTCTTGAAGTGGCGCTTCAGAGGAGTCCAGCTGTGGTCGTTGTACTCTTCCTGTACCTTCTGGCACGTCTTCAGACCCCATTCCGAGACACCAACCATCAAAGAGCTGGTATCAAAAGGTTAGTATAGTTAAACCAAGTTTGCATATCAAGGACAGAACATACCTTTCGAACATGAATGCCATGCTGCCGTCCCCCACCTTGGCAGGCTTGAGGTCAGCATTGCTGGCTCCCTCGAAAGCGGACGAGTCCGGACCGTGTGCACTCATGACATTATGCAGACTGGCACCGGCAGGTTGGAAGCCACCGCCTGTCTTTGCATCGTAGTTGCCGGCGATCAAGCCCATGAACTCGGACATGGTGTTGCGGTGATACCATGGGGGCCGAAATGTATTCTCTGCGACTAGCCAGCGGGGCGGGAAAATGACGAAATCGGCAATGGCCGTACCGACATGGTCGGATGGACCGGTAAGAACGGTATAGATGGATGGATCAGGGTGATCAAACGAGACAGACCCCACAGTGTTGAAGCGACCGAGGTCGTATTTGAAAGGGTAGTAATTGCCATGCCAAGCGACAACATCGAAGGGAGTGTGGTTCTGACGAGCGGAGAAGAGGGTGTTGTTGAACTTGCTATACAGCTTGTACTCCGTCTCCTCCTCTTCGTCATCGAAATAGGCAACGGGAGCCTGGAAGTCGCGAGCGTTTGCCAAGCAATTGGAGCCAATGGGACCCAGCTCAGGGAGCTGGTAATGGCCCTGGTACAGCTCACAGATGTAGCCTCGTACAGGACCAGAGGGGAGAGTGACACGGTATCGAACACCACGGGGGATGACAGCAATCTCGTTGGGTCGCAAGATGATTCGGCCTAGCTCGGTTTGAATATCCAGGACACCGTGCTGAGGCACGATCAGGAAGTCTCCGTCGGCCGAGTAGAAGGCTTCCTTGCCCATATCCTTGCCGGCCGCATAGAGCAGAATGCCCAGACCTTGCTTCAGTGTGGGATCACCTGATCCGGCAACAAGATGCAGGCCATGGACCCAATCCACCTTCTCGTCCAGGTCAAAGGGGTTCCATCGCAGCTGGTTGGGAATATGGTGCAGCTTGTGAGTCTCGGTGGTCATGCGAGTGTGATAAGAGTCGGCGTCCTCGGCTTTGAAGTTCTCATGGGCGGCCGCTGGGATAATGCGGTAGACCCAGGTCTGCTTATTCTCATGGCGAGGTGCGGTGAAGGCAGTGCCCGACAGCTTCTCTGCGTAGAGACCATAGGGGCACTTTTGTGGTGAGTTGTGGCCGACCGGCAGAGCTCCTTCAATGGCTTCGGTCCTGAAATTTTGTTAGTCCGGTCTTTGTCTCTCGGTCTTTTCGTCAGATATACTTACTCGTGGTACGAGTCGAAGCCCGTCTGGTACTTGTATGGATCGGGGTGAGAGAAGTTAGTGACGGGCATGATGGCGGTAGTTGGGATGGCGACGGGGAGACGAAGGATGAAGCGGCAGAGCAGCCCCGGCAGTCTTTAATCGAGACAGACGCAGCTTGGGAAAGTGCGACTGCCGCAACGCAACAAACACCGCGGTATTGCAACATCCGACGGTTTCCCGGCGTTGCTTCCGCACCCGCGTACGCCGCTTAACTGCGGGGGGCGGCCCAATTCCGCGCGGAAAGAGCTGTCCGCGGGGGGCACTTGCGCTGTCAACAGTTAAAGTACGCAAAAGGTTCTCAAGCCTTTTCTGCTCCTCATCTTTATCCCTGTTCAAGTTTTTGATCACAGGCAGCATTATGGCTTCGTGGCTTCAGATCCCCAAAAACTCGCCCTTCTCACTAGCCAACATCCCGTTTGGTATCATCTCAGCAGCCTCCTCGCGCGTACCAGCTATCGCAATTGGTGACTATGCGTTGAATTTGAACGCCTTTGCCTCGTCCGGGGGTTTCTCACAACTGCCCGCCATTCAGTCCCATCTGAATGTGTTCAACCAACCGACTCTGAACGATTTCGCTGCGCTGGGCCGTCCCGTGCACCGCCAGGTTCGCGAGTACTTGCAGAATGTCTTCCGTGCCGATACCCAATTCCCTCAGATCTTGAAGGACAACGCTGCTCTCCAAAAATCGGCGCTGGTGCCCCTCTCGGAGGTTGTCAACCATGTCCCCATGCAGATCGGTGATTACACCGATTTCTACGCCGGTCTGAACCATGCATACAACATTGGAGTGCTCTTCCGCGGCAAGGACAATGCTCTGCAGCCCAACTACAAGCACCTCCCGGTCGCCTACCACGGACGTGCTTCATCAGTTGTCCCATCAGGCACCGACCTGCACCGTCCTCAGGGTCAAATCCTGGCCAACCCCGCTGCCGACCCGAAGCTCCCAACCTTCTCTCCTTGCAAGAAGCTCGATATCGAGCTCGAGCTGGCCTGTTTCATCAGCAAGCCCAATGACCTTGGCAAGCCCGTTTCCATCGATGAGGCCGAGGATCATATTTTCGGTTTGGTGCTGATGAACGACTGGTCTGCTCGTGATATCCAGGCCTGGGAGTACGTTCCTCTGGGTCCTTTTAATGCAAAGAACTTCGGCACTACCATCACCCCTTGGGTTGTTCTCATTGATGCTCTCGAGCCTTTCCGTACTACCGGTCTTGAGCCCGGCAATCGCGATAATCTGCTTCCTTACCTGCGCGAGAAGAAGGCCGAGAATGCCTACGAGATCCCGCTTCAGGTCGAAGTCACCAACAAGGGCGGCAAGCCTACCATCATCGCCAACAGCAATGCCCACAACCTGCTTTACTCCTTCCCCCAGATGGTCGCCCACCACACTATCACTGGCTGCAATTTGAGAACTGGTGATCTCTTGGGCTCGGGTACCATCTCCGGCAGCGAGCCCAAGACCCAGGGTAGTTTGCTGGAGCAGACCAATGGCAAGACCCCGTTGGTGCTGGCCGACGGTAGTGAGCGCTTCTTCTTGGAGGATGGTGATCGGGTTATTCTTCGGGGCTCTGCTGGTACAGAGGGCAACTACGTTGGTTTCGGTGACTGTGTCGGAACCATCTTGCCTGCTGTTCAGCTGTAAATGGAACATTTAAAAAGAACTTGATAAGATGGATTGATGGAATTGGTATTTCTGCACGTCCCATAGTTTAGAAATCCCGCAATGATATGATCCGGCTTTGAATCCGGATTGACTGAAGCTTTTCAAGCTTTCCGTAAACATATGAACTAGCTACTGGTATTTCGACCTCGTCCCATAATAGTGTACTGGCAACTACTTCGACACACGTCGGGTAGTTGAGCCTTACTCCTGCTTCACCCGAAATTCCTCGGGGGTATCAGGCTGCGTCCTCCAATGCCCCAACCGAACCGACTGTTCCTCTTCAAGTCGCTGCACAATTCCATTCGTCACCGGAAACCCATTCAGATCCACACCAACCCGCTCAGCCCCCCAAGCCGCAGGAATCAAACAAATATCCGCAAGCGTAATCTGATCACCGACGCTGAACTTGCCAGCGGAGCGAGAAACAATAGCCTCGTAGGCACGCAATCCGTCTTCAATTAGATCCTTCGACCACACAGCGCGGTCTGCACCGAGGGGCGCCACGCGCTTCAGAATGCGCAGGTTCGTCACAGGCTGGATGTCACAGCCGATGATCTGGGCGAGGGTGCGGACCAGGGCGCGTGTTTCGGGATCCGATGGAAGGAGGGAAGGTCCTTTGTCCGGGAATGCTTCGTCGAGGTATTCTAGGGCCGCGAGGGATTGAGTAATTGTGACTGGGGCCTTGGAGCCTTGTTGGACGACTAGGGCTGGGACGGTGCCGGATGGGTTGATTGCGCGGTGGGATTCCGAGGATTGTTCGTCGCGGAGGAGATTGACGAAAATAGGGTGGAAGGGGATTTCTTTGAGGTGTAGGGCGATTCGTAGTCGGGCCGAGCAGGAGGAGCGGAAATATGTATAGAGGGTGACTGTGTCGGACATGGTGGTGGTCCTGGGTGAAGTTGGGATGGTTTGGGATAGTTTGGTGGTGCTGGTTGTGTGGGTGATTAGGAAGAGAAGTATAGAAGGCTGAAAAAGTTTAATTATTTACGAGACCACTCTTTGTATAGGCTACCTTGCCATATTGTTTTGTAGAGCACAAGCTACCGTATGGCCGCGAGTCGCACGGTCCCATTGTTGCAATAGATCGGCGCGGAATGCATTCCGGGGGTGCGGGGCCCCGGTGTTAGCCGGTGTCAATATCCGCGATTGCGTATTCGAGCTGGGCATAATGAATTCGATGAATTCACAACACAGCGTATGTGACCTGAATGGTTAATATTGAGAGCTATCTCTTGCAGCAATAGCTACTATGTAAAGTATGCATTTATTGTCTTTCTGTACCTCAAGTATATTTCGACTGAATTGGCTTTATGTGCACTGGGTGCGCTTAAATATATCAGTGTTCGCACAAGTTTCAGTTCACAGTGTTTACAATAAAACTCACCTGACATTCATTTTGTAATACATCAAGCAGTACTTTAGAAGAATCTTTTGCAAGAGACACAAAAAGCCTCTACAGAGCCCTCCGGCTATGTTACTATGTAGTACCTGCAGACTTCTGGAAGAATGAGAAAGCCGAGAACGACGTCATTGCGGGAGAAGAATGCTACTACGCCACGCATTAGTGTAGTCGATGTGCTGAGATTCAACCACTCGTGCATGGAAATACTCGGCTCTTTACACTAGAGTAGTATAACTGATCATGTAATTTATCACAATACCCAGCTGTCTACCATCTACCTACGCGTGGGACATCAATCATCAATTTCTTAAATAAGGTTGATATTGCAATATAATCAAACGGGGTATAAATATATGTTAGTGTGTACAACCCGGACCGTAGCCCAGAAGATAAGCCATATGTACGCGATGCTGATGGCTATAGACAGACAATGCCCTTTTAGTATCTGAAAGCAAAATGTTAGTAGATGAAAGTATAAAAAGATCTACTCAGAATACTTACGAGAAGTTCTCAGTGTGAAGCCACAGCTCCCTCGCAGAGCCTGGTTTCTTCGCCATGATCCTGCTCTGCTCCGCCGAAGCAGTCTCGCAAACATCATAATGCATCGACGAAGGTCCGCACACCACAACACCCAGAGAAGTTCCCTCCTGGTTCGCCATCTGGTGCATGATAGCTGGCAAGTCAGGGCGGCCGCTGAAGAAATGCACGCCGAACATCTCAGTCGTCAACTGGCTACATTCCTTCGAATGCACCTTTGAAACTCGCGACCCATCTTCCAACTTGAGATCTTCAGCACCAGGGTCCCGGCCGGCCTGCTCAGCGAAGGTCTCGTGGATCTGGATGGAGAGTCTGGGGATGACATCGTGCTTGGAATGCCGGGCGGCGATTTCCTCCAATGTCTGAATATACCAGAAGCGCATACCCGGATCCCGAGTCGCGACGATGACCTTCATCTCATCCTTCGGTCGGAGATGGTTGAGTTGGACGAAGTCCTCGACCATGGACAGGGTCAATCCAGCACCAGCACCTCCACCAATGATGAGGTTCTTCTCAAAATCAACCAGACGGCCCTCGGGAATACCGCCATAAGGGCCATCCAGTAGAACCGGGACCTGAGAATCAGGGTTCTTGAGTGCAAGGCTCATCAGATGACCGGTCACACCACCTCGGCGTTTCACGAAGAAAACCAACTGGTTCTTCTTTCCCTTCTGGGGAACAGAACAGATAGTGAATGGGTGAGCGGTGAAAGCGTGCACGCCACAGGTGAGGAATCGCAGGAAGACATGCTGACCCGGACCCCACTCCATGGTGGTGTCAATGGTGATCCTTAAGGTATTTTCAGTCTCCGCAGCCAGGCGGGCCTTGTGCTTGAAGCCGTGTTCGAAATAGGTTCGGCACTGGGAGTAGAGCCAGGAGAGGGTGTATAGGACTGCTGTGGCGATGAAGTAGTCCCAAGAGGACATGCGGAAGTCGCAGTGGAGGAAGAAGAATATGATAAAGACCATCGCCATGAAGAAGTGGGTGGATTTGAAGAATTCGTAGTAGCGGTTACTATAATCAAAGCTTATCAGTTGTGTCGCTTGACGGGTGGGAGGGCGAGGGTGACGACGTACCGAATCCACGGAATGGACATGAAGGTGAGCCATGCTTGGGCAATGAGTGCCACCACTCCCGTTACCCAGACACCGCCGGTGTTCCAGGTCATGACAAGATCGCCCTCCTTAACATGAACGATGATGAAGGGAAATGTGTGGATCAAAGCAAGGACAAACATGGCCCAGGCGACCCAGTTGTGCCAGATGTTGAGCTTCTCGTGGGAGATACCTGTCAGGGCTGTGATTGGGTTTGCTTTGGCGCCGAGGATACTTTTTTGTGTTAGCGATGTGGAGCTCAGTGTCTTCAAGACATGGATAAGGATGGCATACATTAGGAATGGCATGCATGCCAGAGCCATGAACCCTGTTCGGGTGGCAATAGGGGGCGATCCACCATAGCTGACCTCTTTGGTGTTTGGCCAGTAATACGGAAGGGGACCGAGTGTCATTGCTATGACAGTCAATATCAGTATTAAATGCTGTGCGTAGTATAAGAAAGAGCAACACTGTGGCCGACTTACCCAAGAAGAAGACCAGACCTGCTCCCCCCAGCAAGAACATGCCCAGGGATTGCGTGTTCCACCCTGCAATTCTCCAGCTCTTGTAGGACAAGAATCGGAGGAAAGATACTGAACGAGACCAAAAGACACTCTTCTTCACACTCTGCGGAGCGATCGCAGAGACCACATGGCTAATTGCAAAGATCACAATGGCCGTCAGGAAGAACGCAACCGTCGGCAAAGCATAGCGATGGTCCGCCTGGTACCAGTTCACCCAATATTGTGATTTATAGGCACATTGCTCCGGGGTCAGTGTGCACTCTCCCGGATCGCGAGAAGAGTGCAACATGACCGGTTGGTCGAGAAATGGGATCATTGACCCCATGGAATCCATCTTTGCGGCGACTCGGTCGAGACGACTGACTGCTCGACGCTAAACAAAAAGAATGATGGATGATATCGACGAGGTTGACGGTGCAGAACGATCAGAAAAATGATAGGCATTGACAATTATTAATACCACCATTGGGCGTGACTCCCACATGGCGTCCATGAGCTGGATCTGGCTCTCGGATCGATTGCCTTGACCTGGTATCATCACGGGCCCACCTGGATTTGCTGTATCCATGGCCCCATTGGACTCCCCGGTTCATGCTTAATGTGCTCACGCTAGCCCTTAGCAAGGCTTGGCCTAACGTGATCCTTGTCCCATCATTGTCCATCACCATATCGACTTATCCTGCATTTTCTCCTTTTTTTCTGCAATACCTTCCTCAATATTCGTTTTGATCAGTCCGGCTGAATAGCGACTTCTCTCCGGTCGACGGCAACGTGCAGAAGCGCCTTTTGTGTGAAGTAAGAACTGTCGAAGCCGTTTGAGCAACGACCCCGGCTTGACAGTGAGCACATTTGCGTGCATTTACGTCGAAAATGGCTCCTAAGTGGATCCCTCATCTTCGGCAGCACCCGATCGCCAATTCACAGGGACCCCTCCAGGCGCGAATGCGGCCTGGAGAATGTCTTTGGTAAAAAGAAAAGCCACGTTGTGATAGCGGAGACGTCGCGTGGGTGTGGAATTGTGACTCGAGATGAGCAGAATTGCGCGTGTTGGCACATTTGGCGGCTGGGGGAGTTGCCCCAAACGAGCCGAATTGCGCGATCGCCCTGCACCGACCGCCCGTGCGTCTGCAGCCGCTTCCTTCCTTCGCCTCGTAACAATTGTCGTTGCTCCACCGCAACCACAGCTGGCCGGGGCCACGGCTGTCGGGCTAGGCGGGTACGGCGCTGGGAATATATTCTGGGGCTGCCCTTACGTACCGGCAACACGACATCTTCTCAAATCAACTCATCGACCCATCGTGTCGGCTACACCTGCCAGCTTCACGCAGTGCAATTCGCATCTTAAATATTCGACCACGTCCGTGGCACTGCTCTGTTGAGTGTGAAGCATGCATTCCGACACGGCCGCCACAATGATGGACATGCACATGGACAGCATGACCTCGACCATGTCGATGGCCACCTCCACATCCGGCATGTCCATGGCGACGTCGACCTCCATGTCGGGAATGGACATGGACATGGGCTCCTCCATGACAATGTCCATGTCCGACATGATCATGACCTTCTTCACCTCTTTTCAGACGCCTCTCTTCTCCGAAAGCTGGACGCCGACCACCAAGGGCCAGTACGCCGGCACTTGTATCTTCTTGATCGTGCTGGCCGTTATCCTGCGCGTTCTTCTCGCCATTAGACCCATCCTGGAAGGTCGCCTCTTCACCGATAGCGCCCACCACTCCATGTTGGATCATCACATCCACAGCGACGACGTGGCTACAGCGAAAACCCCGTCTGGTCTAGTTTTGAGTATCCAAGAGATTGGGTCCCGCTGGGGAAGGTGGAAGATCAACCCTGCCGCTGGCCGTGCGACCTACGAAGTCGTCGTTGCTGGTGTGGCCTATCTGCTGTACGTATCTTCCTGCAGATATGCATTCCTATACATCCAGATCGAATACCGACTTACTCTCTTTAGGATGCTTGCAATCATGACAATGAACGTTGGATACTTTCTCTCTGTCCTGGGCGGAATCTGGCTGGGAACATTTATAATGGGCAGTGTCGCCGCCGAGAGCTCATGGCAACACTGCTGATCTCGAATCTCTTATAATAAAAGGAAAAAGATGCAGAGAAGTTGTGAATATGCAGACGGAGGATGAATTGTCGTGAGGATGAGCACATAGCTATTCTTGATACCCCATTAGAGCATGAATCTATACCCATTGTTAGTATTCGGCATTCAAGTTACGTCGAATAGGTCGACGGTGCGTTATACAGCAGCCGCCTACTCTCATCCGGGTTCGAGTCTTAGGGAACAATCCCGTTCATGCGGGGGAATGAACCAGGGGATACTCCGAGCGAAAACGCGGAACGGGTGGTCGACAAGCTTTTGGTCATGAGCTAAAGCTGTTGTCCGTAGAGTGCAACAGCCGTTTCGATAGCTCATCTGAAAGCTCGTTATTGTAGGCCAGCGCTTGGCCTAAGATATTGGACGAGACAGCTCGTTGCTTGAGCCTCAACACCATCGCAGAATTCAGGTCCTGTAATGACGTCATGCTCGGCTTCCGCCATTCTTCCTGAAGTCTGCACAAACATACCAAAAGAATTATAGTATATTTTGCAATATCATTCCTCACAAAGAGTGCTTCAGATCGATTTATGTACATATATCATAAATGTCCTGGTGAAGCTTCATTGGGAAAACCGAAACTTGTCTAAAGGCCTATGCAAACATTGTATGAAGCCGATTCAGTCCTCGTACTCAATACTACCCTAGTGGTGCAACACACGTCCCTAGTGTAGCGCTGTGGTTTATACTTAACGTAATTCCCGGCCGATCTGGACACCCGGCCGTCCTGGACACCCCATCCAAAAACGCGTTTTTCAGCCTACCTACGTACTTCAACCACCTACCATGCCACCAATTCGCTCTGAATCTCGGCAAAAATCGGCCAATCAAGAGGGCAAGATCTTATTGGCCCTTAATGATATTAAAAATGGCCGTATCAAATCTCTCCGTGCAGCAGCGAAGCTATACGAAATACCGCTCTTAACACTCCATACGCGTGCCCACAGCCAAACCTCACGCGCTGAGAAACACCTATCCGGTAGCAAATTGACCCAGTACGAAGAAGATTCGCTAGTGAGTGGATTATATCTATAGATACGGGTGGGGTAGCGCCTAGGCCAGCTACTGTGCGAGATATGGCCAATATCCTACTAGCTACGCGCGGTAATAACGCTCCGGCTACAGTAGGTAAGAATTGGCTTTCAACCTTTATTCAATGGCGCGAGGAGCTTCGTACTCGCTTCTCGAGACATTATGACTACTAGAGTGCGGTAAACAAAGATCCTAAATCGCTGCGACAGTGGTTTTTTACTGCGTAATGAACAAACTATCATATCTTTGGAAATCACACGTCTCCGTGAGGTACTCATGCGCGTCTACAATTTCGGTTCAACACGCAGCTGCTATATCTTCGTCACTGATTGGAAGTTTTTTAGTTATCACGTAACTATACAATCGTTTACAACTATTTTGGCTCTGTCCAAATTATCTTACGGCACCGCCTCGGATTGAAACATCTCATGTAGCTGCTGCCATTTATGGGGATTTTCGATATAAATGCTAAATATACCAAATCACAACTTCTTGCGAGCAAGAAAAAAGCCTCTCCCGTTAAAAAGCTGTTTCTCTATAAAGGAATACTCGATATCCGTTTTATCAAATCGCAGATTGACGCCGTTTTGCCGAGTGACGGATACGACACCTAATTTTCCGCGTGTATACTTTCGATAAGTAGCGCACTTATCCTCGGCTGCAAAAAGAGCTTCCAGTAGGAGTGAGAGGATAAACCTAAAATTCTTTTTGTTTACTTATAGTACAGACGTTGGATGGGTGGATAGGTTTCATTTCCCCTGAACCCTCACAAAAAAGCGACATGCAGGATACAACTAATTTCCAAATATATGATAATCAATCGACTAAGCTTGTTCCAAACTTCCTGAACGGTGAAATTTGAGCCTCACCCGGTAGGACCTGTCGTGGCCTCGTTGTCGTTTGAGTCGTTAGGCTGCCTTAACGGCCCAATTGTGGTATTTTCTTGAGAGAACAGAGCAAAAGCAAAATGGTCAAAGCGAGCAAACAGAGTGCGAGAGAAAAGGAATGTAGGAGGGCCAAAGGAACAGGCTGTGTTGACGAGCCTGCATGAGTATGGGGGCGGTTGTTGAAGCAATCTGATTGCATCGTTCTGATCACAGGGACATTGGCAAGATCACACAAAAACAAACACATATACCTCAATCCAGGGCTTCAAATTTTCGTTGCGAGGGGTCGGGATAAATGGCACCAACCAACTAACCAACCGACCGTACCTCGATGCTGTCTCTCGTTGTTTATCTGTGCCCCACTCTAGGCCATTCTTCCAAATTATGCTATAGTTCCGTCAACCGCTATACAGTAGTTATCTTTGATGAGATGTCGTATTATATTACGATAGTCTAATAATTACAGCGTCTTGTATGCGCTTTTCTTAGATCTACTAACTAATCACCCCCATTACAACAATATTTGAAATCATATTTACCTTCTCCTTCTATCTCCCAGTGGCACACCAGCACCTTATGGAAATTAGCCGCCCTACGAATATTAGGCGGCCTTTTCCCATCACAGATTGAATCCACCGCGATTCATGTGGGTAAAAATACGCAAGAACGTGCAGTTGTTCCGCAGTCACAGTTCTCCTGAGATCCCCTCCCAGCCCACCACCAAGCATAACTCCTGTGGTATAAGAGTTAGGTCGAGTTCAACACTCCTAGGGTTCAGTGGTGCAGCTGGGGCCTGGAGATAACAATGTAAAGAAGATATTAACCATTTTATATGGAGATCTCTTTATCAACCCGTACCAGCCGACATAAATCCGCCTCGGGACGGAGTGAGGATCAGTCGGAGCTACTGGTTTGGTCTACTTCGGATAAGAATAAGTAAGCAGGCGAAATTCTATTCGCTGAGGAAAGGCCCCGAAAACGATGTAGTTTCATAAAGAATGACTCAGCAACAGCCCCCCCGCCTCCCCACTGAGATATCAACTACACTCCCTCTATCCATATTTCCGAGATAAGATTCTCATATTATCTTGAGCGTATCAATAAAGGCAAGCAGAACCACCTTCAATTAACGCTGGCTCTTAGCGAGATATGCAATCCAGTATGTCGTGTCCCCGGTAAAAAGCGGCTGGTCTACCCATTTGGTGTGCAGTTCGCAATTTTTGTTATCAGTATTGAAGTTTGCTCCTTGGCAAGTAATGTCTGCAGAGCAAGCCTTCACACAAGATTCCTCGGTCATGCTTGGCTTTGTCGAAAATTTGCCAGTTGTGATGGCCTTCTTGCATCTGACTTTGTACGTAATTCCATCAACCACACGCTCTCCTCCGTCGTCAGGGGGACAAGCACCAGGGGTCAGTGGTGACGGAGCCGGAGCTGGAGCCGGAGCTGGAGCCGAAACTGGAGCCGGAGCCGGAGCTGGAGCTGGAGCTGGAGCCGGAACCGCGGGGGCACTACAGCTATTCTTGGTACAGGCCCCAGAGCATCCTAGAGAGTGAGCACTTTGGAAACCCACTGCGTCGAAGCTCGGCTCGCCATGGTGATTGCCGTAGTAGCATGTCTTACTGTTGGTATGATAGTCGACACTGTGGCAGGCAGTCATGGCGGAACAAGCATCCATGCAGTCTTTGAAGGTGTCCTGATCATCCATGTAAAGCACCTTTGTTCCATGACGCTTTTCACAGTCCATATGAAAAACCTGTTTCTGACTTAGCATAAAGTTTCTTACCCGGCCGATTATTCAAGAGTATCATACTTCTCCTTTAGAAGCTGTATATTGCTGTCCATTCGCGAAGGGGCATTCGGTCGAGCATGCGATTGTTAGGAACTCGGGTGACTCTTGTGCGGGCGCCGGAGAAATAAACGCGTAGTCGTGGGTGTCATCTCCGCATTCTTTGGTAGAGAAGCCACCAGCATCAAAGATCTGGCAATTTCCGAGTGCGTGGCCCTTACTCTGTGCCACGGCAGAAAATACAAAGCTATACACGATATTAGCAACTTCATGTTCTAGCATATAGAAGGACAGATACGACAGTACCTCTTGCATCCAGGAGTTGAGGCACATTTCGCTGAACATGCTTCAAAGTCTGCCTCAACAGAGTCGGCACCAATTTTTGTGCCTCCTTCACCATGGGCACAGCATTGTAAGGTCCAGTGGGCGCCATCGGGAGTAGTGAACAAGTTACCATCATCTGGGTCCAGTCGTTAGTACATCGAGAACAGAAGCCAAGAACGACATTTCACCTTGAGGGCAAGTTGGGTTTGTCACGACTATAGGATCGGCTTTGGGAGTGAGCAAGTGAGGTTTCGGGCAAGAATGTGAGCGGATACCACCGCCGGTACTGCCACCCCCAGAGCTACCGCCAGGCGAACCACCGCCGACAACGCTGCTGCCAGGAGGGCCACCACCCCCAGACCCACCGCCAGGAGGACCGCCACCACTGCCACCGCCAGGAGGGCCACCACCGCCGGGAGGGCCACCGCCGCCGGGAGGGCCACCGCCGGGAGGTCCGCCTTGGGCGTCCACGACCGAAATGAGAGAAAGAGCAAGAACGAGCAAGGAAGACGTTGACAGAGGTCTAAGGACCGTAGGAAGATACATGGTTGTATACAATGGAAGGGCTATTCAGGTGAAGCTTGTATAAAGAATGATCGCGTTCTTCTTCAATAGTGAATCGGTGTTGTTCAACAAGAAGTCATGGGCCATGGGCTTGATTTATGTTCGATTAAAAGGACCGATGAGGTGGCTTGAATACGAAGTGTAAAACTGTAACATGGAAAGAACAACGTCATAAGTAGTACATCCAACCTTTACGTGGACAGTAAGACAAGCAAGGCCTGTCCGGGTGAGTGCTTTTTCCCCTCGCTGGTAATAATTTTCAAGTGTTGGTTCCACACATGCACATATTTCCAGACGTAGATACTATCAAGTCTCCCATTTCAGTATTCATAGCGGCTAGCGGTGAGTAACGGAAATCAGATTGGCACGGGGTAATGGATCATCGTGGAGGTATCTTTTCGACTCATGTTATGCAGTCACAACGCAGCGTCAACGTTACGCGAATACTGCACTGCTGAAAGCATCGATAACGCTAATAGAAAGTGGACAAATCGATCCATGATTGTTGTACAGAAGATGATCTGCAGTAAGTAGAGCTCTGCATAGCCTCTTGACGACTTTTATGAATAGGCGTTGGCTGCGTCAGCTATCAATTTTATCTTTTTGGCTAATACGCGACATTTTATCCCGTGATTAACGGTGTCACACACTTGACTGGTGGAAAAGTAGGCAGATATTAATCATGTGTACATTTAGGTCACTGCAAGGGATGCCTATGCAGGAAGCAATCTACATATCCAGAGAAGGCTGCGAGGCCTGGTGTGTGACTCCCAATTTGAGACCTAAATTTGCGCTGCCCCGGGCCCCCAAAGCTATGTATGAAAGGTCGGTGTAGCAAGTAAGTAGATTGAATCTGGTAATATCTATTGCAGTAGATATACAGGCGTGGCTTTTCTCGTCCTACTTTCTCTGCTTTTCCGTATGCTGATCATTCTATATCACCCAATACCTGACATCATGGTGCTGCAGGTCGAATCAGCCTCATTCCCCGCAGTTTTGGTTAAGGTTGTGTGGCGTCCCTTAACCAGGGCTAGCTGAACTTGCCATGGTTGTTGAATCACTACATCATACACATAGTCCCAAGGAAAGGAATCCTAGTCATCTCCTCTGTTGTTAAATCTCGACCAGATTCTGAGTATCATTTTGAAATTGGGTCTAGGAAGTCAGCAAGTAGTCCGTGCCGTAGCTTTGATTACTGAGAAGTACCGTTGTACGTATAGGATGCAGGGGTTAGGATGCATTTTCCCTGGTCATAGTTTCATGCAGTGTAATACCCCACACATTTGCAACCTTGCGGGAATCGACTTGCAGATCGTGCGCCTATTTGATTTTCCGCCACAAAAACGATGTTACTCAACAGGTCCCAAGTAAAAAGCTCTTTTCCTTTTTTGAGTCTCCTGCCTGAGTATGGAGAATTTAGTGAAACATGTCGATCTGTGTCACCCTAATGGCAGCCCATACATGCTCAAAGCCGATAAGGTCTAGCGGTGAGGCAAATGAACAGCATACATCCTATACATCCTACCTGAGTGTTCATTGCAAGACATTAGAGTAGCCTAGCATGCTCTCGAATCCAACGATTTAAAGGAGCGCGACATACCCGGTGTCATCGCTTTCAAAATCGGCTTATTTCAATATTATTACATTTACACTCAGCCACAAACCATACGCCAACACAGAATCATAATGATTATCCCTAAGCTTGTGGTGGCTTTCGCGACTTTTGTTGTCCCTTCGCAGGCATTTTTTTCTTTCCCAACTTGCTTTACCACGCTGGGTTCAGTGTTTTTCGGGAGTGGTGCAACGTTTGGTTCAAACTGCCCGGCGCCGAACCTAAAGGGTGGTGGTGGTGGCAGTAAGCTCGGAGGACTCCATTATAGTTCACTGCTTTGGAGGTTGCTAACAACAATACTCCTCGATAGGCCCACCACCGACAACGACTACCATAACTACAACCACTACCACTACTACAACCTCGTAAGCTTTGAGTGATTTTGGTCACAGATCTATGAGAAGTTGACAGTTTCTCGTCTTAGTTACACAATTGATCCCACAATCGTTACGAACGGCAAGCTTGCATGCACGGGAGCAGGTACATATCCGGTCTTCGATGAAAACTCAGCCGTGAAGTGTTGTTTGCCGTATTATGGCTGCAAATAATGACGATCAAGTACTTTGGTCATGACCCGGACGGTGGAACAAGGAACATGAGAGGGCATGGGTCCTGGGATGATCGATACTCCTTCAAATCGAGAATTTTCGAGACAATGTAGTGAAAGAGTTGCGTGTGGTAACAGTCTTGGAATGATTAGTACTCTGCGCTAAATAAATTGTTTCAACCGTGAGAGGGGGATGATGGTTTGAGATAGGGTGCTGAAATGACATACAGAGTGACAAATGATATTTTTGTTTCCGGGAGTGAGAAGTTCCAAAATTTGATATCACTATAGTTTCTACTTAGAAGTCCTCGAGTAAGTTTTGTGTTAAGGATTACCGAGTGGTGCTCATAGGGCCGTTTCTGGCTATGCCGGCACATATCGTTATTGTACCGATTAACAACAGGTAAGTTGTTGGAGCAACGCTTGACCACTCACTGTGACCAGATAGCAACTCGTAACACCCGAGAACATGGATGGGCTCATTGTGTCTGCCAAGCAGGCCCACACAAGTTCCTTGCCACAGTCGCAGGCCACATCGGCGTCCTTAGGGATCTTTCAAACCATGACGGTATTATGAAAATCAATGGTCGAAGGATACTCCACGTACATGCGATCCTTTGGGCAAGGGGCAAACTTACCTTTATAACATTACACTATCGGGTACTCGAAAATCGTGAGTTCGCTTCTAATATGATTCGCTACCTTGGAACAGCCACTGTGAACTATATACGTTGTATAAGTATCAGTCTTGGATTATCCAGTTTCCTTATAGATTCATCGGGTGTTAGTTCGACGTAACAATTTTGCCAGCTTTCGTCATGGATAACATAATATTACTGCATTATTACCAGTTGGCTGTCAATCTTTACTTTAATTTCTCAGAGCGCACTCGCATTCTTTGTATGTATGTTATTTTTTTGGAGTACTCATTATATTGAAATCACATTTTCCAACTCAACAAAAATTTACAGGTAAATTCGAAATTGCCTTCCACGATTTCCACATAGAAATTTGTTCTAGAACCCTTAGTCAAGACATGCCATTTCGATTTCGGCTAGAGAGTCCGGGGTTATGATCATTATCATCGCTCAAAGCACTATAACCTGATCCGTTATTGTCCTAGCGTTAGCGTCCCGGATAATTTCTCTGTGTAAAACTCGGAAGGCAATTTCGAATTTAGGTGTATTTGCATATTCAAGAGACCAATGTTTGTTTCTTTCGTTTTGAGCGGAAGTATGTAGCGAATTGGAAGTAATACTTTTCTGTGTAGTCTTCAAAGTACGGAATCAAATATCGCGGCAAAGCCAACGATCCTGCCCGCTTTCTATCAAATTTCGGTAGATATAAATTAGAAAACGGCCGGATAACAGCGTTACTAAATGCGGAAAGTCATCATGTTATTCGACATTATAATATTCCTTATTGAAGAGCGAATCTGGCCTACAGTGCACGTGTAAGTGCCTACTAAGTAGTTATACCGAAGGAAACGGAAGTAACGGAGATAGGTCGAGGAGCTATCGCATCGGTTTGATGGCGGGAAGCAAAAACACAGGGGCATGGAAATGAAGTTAGTTGGTATGGAAGCGTGAACAGCAAAAGGCACGTCCAAGAAGAGTTAAGGCTACTGTATAGGCGAATGGTAAGAGGATAATACATAGTAGCTGACGGATCGAAGTAAAATCAAGGACCACGAATGCAGTGTAGAAGCCTCGCCCATGACCGGCAAACTTTAAACCGAACAGGGAAGTAATCGAAGGCCAGTTGCGAATGCAAGAAGGAAAAGGAAGTGGCAAATAGCAAGACGATAGCAGTGAATGACCCAATGCAGTGCTAGAGGCAGGTTAGGCGGGCGAAGTTTCATGGCAAAATATTGCACGGCTCATACTTTCAAGCACAGCCGTAAGTGCGGCATTCCAAGTCGTTCGAAATTTGTTTCGTAAAATCCCCTTGAGTCAAGGGCCTTGACCTAGGATACTTGCATACCACTTTAGCCATATTTGTAGATGCGCGGGTTTTAGTTGTTGCCTGGACTAGGGATCCCCATACGTACTACAGAAGCTGCATGCATATTCCTTGCCGTGTTGAATTGTCAAAAGATCACCTCCATGATCTCCTCGGTGCGACATTATTGCTTAAGTGGAGCTATAAGTCGGCATTGCTGCCTCGCATTGTGTATCAGAACACAGCATTCGTGGGCTACCTATAAGAAACACACTAGTGGCTGAAGATGCAGCTGCTTGGGCGCACATATTTACTGTCAATGCTTTTATTCTTCATTCTCTGTTCTTATGGCGCTGGTCAATCCAATCAGCTTGCAGCGCACCTTTCGCTCCCGCATTATAGCACTAGTTATAACTGTCTAGTTATATACTATTACATAATCTCATCCATTCAATAAAGTGTAACCAGTCCCCCTCCATTCGAGACTGTATTTTATTATGTTCATTGCTTTTTCCCATTCAATAGTCAGATTTGACGCACTCTGCGTGACCAGGAATATTTGCCGGCATAGACTGCTCCATGAAAACTATCGTCATTATACGAGAAAATAGTGAGGGCAGGATCCTGTTAGCCCTCAAAGCTCTTCAAAAAAATGACAAATCACTCATTAAACGCGCTGCCGTTCGTATATATAGTGTATCGGAAACTACACTACGCCGAAGACATACGGGGAACTTATCTCGTGGTGATACACGCCCTCTCTGTCAAAAATTGACTTGTTTTAAAGAAGATACACTAGTACAATGGATTCTCCCTATGGACTCTCGTGGTGCAGCGACTACACCTGCTTATGTGAGAGAAATGACCAATGTTCCACTAGCCGATCGTGGAAACGACTCCCTATTAAATGTGGGGATTAACTGGTCATCATCGTTTATCAAACGCCGAGAAGAACTACAGTCACGTTACTCAAAGCGATATGACTATCAACGGGCAAAAAATGAAGACCCTAAAGTCCTACGTGACTGGTCCGACAAGTTGAAAAAACAATTGATGAGAACGGCATCCAATCTGATGATATATACAACTTTGATGAGACAGATTTTGCAATGGGCCTGATCTCAACTCAGAAGGTTGTTACACGGCCGATCTACGTGGCCGCCGAGTAATTTTACAACCTGGAAATCGCGAGTGGGTGACTGTGATTGAATGTATTAGTGCGGCAGGTTTCGCATTACCGCCAACTATTATATTCGAAGCGAAAAATCACAACTCTAGTTGGCTGGTTGGGCTGCCTAATAACTGGCGAATTGAAGTTTCACCTAATGGCTGGACATCAGATGAAATAGGAATCAAATGGTTGGAATACCAATTTATCCCATCTACACAAGTTCGGAAGAAGGGAAAAATTGTCTTTTGATTCTTGACAGCCATGGCAGCCATCTAACGCCCCAATTCGATCGACTATGTGTTGAAAACTCAATCATCCCACTTTGCATGCCAGCACATTCATCTGATCTTCTTCAACCCTTGGACATTGGCTGTTTTGCTATTCTCAAACGTGCCTACAGTAAGCTGATTACCAATCAGACACGGCTAGGATACAACCATATCGACAAGCTAGATTATCTAGCAGAATATCCTTTTTCTAGCAGAATATCCTCAGGCACGAGAAGAGACCTTCAAAACACAGACTATCCAGTCTAGTTTTGCTGCTGCAGGCCTAGTTCCACTAGACCCAAAGTGTGTGCTCCCAAAGCTCAATATTTCACTCCGAACACCAACACCACCACCCAGCCGCCCAAGCAACCGATCTAGCAAATTCAGTCCAAAAGCACCGAAAACAGCCAAAGAACTACAAAAACGGTTCTCTTCACTCAAAAATCTACTTAAAAAACGATCAAGAAGCCCTCCTTCCCCATCAAAGCTTGTCCTAGATCAGATTATCAAGGGCTACTGTCTCTCAATGCATACCAACGTGCTACAAGCTCAGGAAATTGCTGATTTACGGCCTGCGAATGAGAAAACAAAGGCAAAACAGGCACGTACGAATCGCCTAGTTCGCTCTGAACAGGGTGTTACGGTCGGCGAGGGCCTCCCGCCACCAAGGCTGCCAGCGCCGCTTGTTGAACCTATTGAACGGCCTCCACCTATAGCATCCGAACAGCCTATTTTACCACCTCAACCAGCCCAAAGTGCACCCCCTACGTGCAGCAGCTGTAACCGCGTGGGCCATAGAATCACCCGTTGCCCTAATAAGTAGTTATTAAATATCATGTTTTTTCGGTAGTCATATCTGGACTTGAAAATGTAGTGGTGGGTCGGGTGCGCGGCTCGCCCGTGGATTACGTTAGTCATTCCTCACATGACTCCACTGTTCTGATCACTGAGCCAGAGCGCCCTCATAAATGCGGCCGCAGCCGAGACAGGAAAGCCCCACCTGACAGACATTATCCTGTCTATATAGGTGTCGACGTCCCGCCTTCGCTTTGCAATGGGTTTCTTGATTTGACACTTCTTGGAACGACCGAGGTCGGGTTCAATGCTTTGGCGACAAGGCTTGGGTATTCGAATCTGACGTATACGGAGAAGTGGACTAAGAAGAAGGGGCCGGCTGGTAGTAGTGGGTTATTCGTGGCGTATGAGACGTTGACGCATGCGGAGAATCTGAAATAGAGGGATTTGCCTTGGCAGGGGCTGGATTGGTGAAATGTTGGATGTACATGTACTGCGGGTGGTGTTTATAACATGCCCGGATATTTCCAATGGGACCTCAATTCCTGATCTAATTGTTTGCAATTATTAGAGTGGATCAGTGAAACACCAGTAACTATGCCAGGCTCTTGGAGCTTTTTCTCAAGTAAAAACAAGGTCGCTGTCATGCATGAAAAATGCACCGGCTGGTCCATCCGCACTAAATAAGGCCAGGCAGAGCCGCGGGGTGGGCGGAAAGCGTCGGATAACCAAGGCTAACCACCTTCGCCCGACCAGCACCCCCAATATCCCCTTTGAACAAATCCACAGTTGACACCGGAATACCCACACGAGACTCCCATTGCTAATCACGACCTCCCGATTCATCCGTCCCGACCGGCCCAGTTGACAATGGACGGGGCCAGGCCATCCCGCCCGGACCGACCATATCAGCGCACCTACAAAGCATGCATCCCTTGCCGGGCACGCAAGGCCAAATGCGATCTGGGAACGGGTCCAGACGGCTTACCGATCGGCCCACCGTGTGCGCGATGTCGCAGGGAGATGCGCGAGTGCGTCTTTCCTGAGAAGCGCGCTTGGGAGAGATCGCGTAAACGCGGTAAGTTTCATGCAACGTTTCCTTGTGCTGGTCCCGCTGGCTAATCGGTTATTGCAGGGCGCTCTGTCGATGATAATGAGCAGGTGTCGCCGGTTGGCGAGGCTGCGGGCTCTTCGCCGGAGGCTGTGAAGAGGCACTTTACTCAGGCTCATCAGTCGCAGTATCCGGATACTACGAGCCCGTTTCAGCAGGGCTGGTCGTTTGGGCATCAGCAGTCGCCGCAGAATGGACATTGCTCCCAGATTGGGATCAGTCCTGTTCAGGCAGCGGATGTGAACATGCAAACTAATCCATCCCCGTCGCAATCGTATCATGACCATCGACACCGGTCGAGCTCTACTCTGGCCAGCTCGATGATGCGGACGGTTGTTGCGAGTGGAAATGATGCGCTGAATATTCTTTTCGAGGCGGCGACTGCTCAAGACCAGGAAGACAATACGTCGAATGAGACAGATACTCCCCATAGGGTTGGCTCAAAGTCGGGCGCACCGAATGGCAGAGAGCGATCTACCCCGAGGAATTTTGAAAGCCCGACTACATTTGAGTCGGCTCCTAGAGCTCAGCATCCGGTCAGCATATCTGATGTGGATCCTGAGACATTGCAGGTGTGGGAGGCTTGTCGATTCGTCAGGATGGGCTGGTTTACTGCCAGGGAAGCAGTCACATTTGTTGACTTGTGTGTTCATTCCCCAGGGTCACACTTTTGCTTGGGATTTTCTTCTAATATGCGTTGACAGGTTCTTCAAAAATATGTGCTGCTTGTCCCCGATATTGACATTCTTCTACTCCAATCATCGACACCACTATTGGCTCATCTCAAGAGAACCCGTCCTTTGCTGCACGATTCTCATGGTCTCGTCTCGCTATCACATTCTCCCTGGAGCTGGTGGAGATTCAAGGAATTTCTTCATTCATCATCGGCTATGGCAGCACTGCCAGCAATTGACAATGCGGCTGATCTTTGGTCAAGAAAAGTCTACCAAGTCTAAAATCAGAAGTTTGGGCACTGTGGAAGCGCTCCTGCTGATGGCAGAATGGCACCCTCGATCTCTACATTTCCCACCTGAAATGGACGGGTGGGATGATGACCTCATCCTGTCGCCTTCAAAGCCCTCTGAAAATACAGATTCGAATCCAAACTCGGCTAATCGCTGGTTGGAGGATATGATCGAGCCTTCCAGACGATCAGATCAGATGTCTTGGATGCTCCTTGGATGTGCACTTTCTCTTGCCCATGAACTAGGGATATTCGAGACGGAAGAAACCAATTCGCCAGACGAGGAGCAGGAGTGGAAGGAGCAAATGACCTTACGACGACAACGAGTACAGCGTCTTTTGTACGTATATATCAATCAATTGGCCTGGCGCATTGGATGTATGTCACCGATCCCGCAATCGCTGAATCACGCTGTCCTGGGCGGCCGAAAGCCTCGAGGCCTAAGCCAACCCGGGAGCACCTGGCTTATCTTCATGGATTCCTGGATCGAACTGACCAAGCTCGCACAATCTGTGACGGACATGTTCTTTCCGTCTGCCAAGTTCGCGCGCCAACAACTGCACAGCGGCCGCTATGTTGGTCTTCTCGAGCATTTCCGCCCACTGCTCAATCAATGGAAAGACAAGTACCTGCAGCCAGATGTGCTTGACAAGGCCTTTTACAACGACCTCTTCATCGAGTATCATTTTGTCAGAGTGTATACTCATTCAGTGGGAATGCAGGCTGTGGTCGAGCGGGTGGTGGCAGATGCCGACTCACATAACTTCGACGAAGTACGACCGATGACCATCGACCCAACAGACTATGACTATATACAAGAAGTGATCGACGGCTGTTGTCAGATTTTGCAGAAAGTCTGTCACCTCGCGGAAGTGGGCGCACTGCGATTCTCGCCAGTTCGCATCGTGCTCCGCATTACCAGTGCATCCATCTTCCTCATGAAGGCACTCAGCCTGGGTACCAGACAAGCAGTACTCGAGGAATCGCTCGAGGTGCTGGAAAAAGCATCAGCGCATTGAAATCAAACGCGCTGGACGACGTCCACCTCAGCACTCGCTACGCCACACTGCTGGATTTGCATGTCTCACGACTACGGCGCAACCTGCTGGCGTCTTCCAAAAACGGGAAGCATAGTCGAGGGGCCACGCGCCGGTCATCGATGGGACCTCCGCCCTGGCCGGACAATGGAGATCGTCCAAACACTATGAATACACCAGTATCCCAGGATCTGGCTTCGTCGGATTTGAACTTCATCCCCTCGATCAACGAAATGGACGACTGGCTGTCTCTGCCATTCGACCCGTCCATGGCGCCATTTAGTATGAGTACCGGGGCGCAATTTCCCATGTGTGAAGGTGGGGCTTTGGATTTCATATGGAACCTCCCATCGTGAGAGGTATGGGGGCAAAAGCTGGGGAAGTAGATAGTGGAGGCAGGCCCCGCCAAAGCACGGGCGCATCCTGTCAACATAAATAGGAATCAAGTACCCGAGAACCCACTGGTAAGTCTCTAAAGTACCGTTCTTATCTGATTTAAGGCGTTCACGACTCGCCCTGCCAAGTGCGTAGGCTCTAGACAAAGCGCAGGAACCCTCCAGTGAAATCCTGAGTCGGGCTGATCTCGGATCATATGATCTATCTAGCACAGTCTGCATCAAGCTCTGTAGGGCCGTGCCGCCGCCGCTTTCCCACTGCAAGTGGCCGGAATAGCATCCTAACAAAAATAGCATCCTAGCAAAAAAAGTTTGAAAAAATCTCTGGTGGCACTGCCACGCAGGAACGATGTAATCCCGGGAAATCCCATGCGGTGCCGGATGTGGCAGTCGAATCCTTGTCGGCGGAGGCCACTGCGTGCCGCTCGTCGCTCCGAGAGGCTGCCCGGCCTGCTGACTCATCACTGACCGGGCAATCTCGCCGGGTGGCGTGCACGCACGTGACCCGGGGTCACGGGCGCCCGAAAAAGTCGTCCTTATCGTCACCGACCCATTCAACCTGAAGAACCACCTTCGAAGCTCTCGCCCGTTTTATCCAGCCGTCCATCCGCGACCCTTCCCTCGCTTCGTCCGATCCTCATCACACACAATGGATCACACCAGAGACCCCTGCCCCTGGGTTGCGCTGAGCGACTTTGGCGGTGCTTTCTGCATGGGTGTACGTTCAACCCTGACCGTCCCCGATCGGCCGCCATCACATTCGATACTGGCTGCTCGTTGATTGAATACCGCCTTTGCATATGACAGTTCGACTGACTTGTTTTCGATCTAGGCTATCGGTGGTGCTGTTTGGCACGGTGTTAAAGGTTTCCGCAACAGCCCCTATGGTGAGCGCCGGATAGGTGCCCTTACCGCTATCAAGGCCCGCGCTCCCGTCCTTGGTGGTAACTTTGGTGTTTGGGGTGGTCTTTTCTCCAGTATGCTCACCCTTTTATTATTCGCTGTTATTTCAAAAGTGCTAATCATCCGCGGCATAGCTTACGACTGCGCTATCAAGGGTCTGCGCAAGAAGGAAGATCCTTGGAACGCTATTATCGCCGGTTTCTTCACTGGTGGCTCTCTGGCTGTTCGTGGTGGTGTCAAGGCTGCCCGTAACTCCGCAATCATGTGCGCCGTCTTCCTCGCCGTCATCGAGGGTGTTGGCATTGGTTTCCAGCGAATGATGGCCGACAACACAAAGCTCGAGGTAAGAACTTTTGGCTACCCGAAGAAACCGAGAACTGGCGACTAATACAGCCGCGAATTTAGCTCCCTCCCCCTCCTCCCTCCGAGCAGAAGGCTCTTGCCTAAACAAAACACCACTCCTACGACGACGCATACGCGATCGATTGAATACCTTGGTGGCCGACATACCCACTTTCTCCTTGTTCTCATACCACAACAACACACATCACATCCCCATATTGAGTCTCTCTTCTCAGGTGTTTGGTCTGGGTCATTCTTCTTAAAACGACATGGCATAGAGGTTCTTGTTTCCTTGCTTCCGCGCTTGCTTTATTCCGCCGGTCTGTTTTTTCGGAGCATTGTATTTTTGTGGGCGCGGGCTCGTATGGCTGGTTCATGAGACCGGCGCATGTTTCTTCTTGTTCGGGGTCCGATCGACCTCATCAAAAGAATTTCTTCTGCTCATCCTGCAAAAAAGCGATCGGAAGGGGACGAGGCGGATTCTTGTATATTATCATCTTTGCTGACTAAGGGCATAATAAGCATATTATCTGGCATATACTCCTGGCATTTACTCCACGGAACTCTTCTCTAAAGATACAATATTCGATACAGTGAAAGATTTTATCGCATTCATTACGAAAAGTTGGGATGCGAGGGCTGTTTCTCCTTGCTGGTTCTCGGCCTCCGTCCTCACCTTCCCCGCATCCTCAAATTCCACCTCACTCTTTCTCTTCCCAACATGCCCCGCTCAGACATCCGCGAAGAGCTTACAATGTCAGAGCCACCAGCAAACTTCAAGCCCGCTCTGATTCTACACGGAGGTGCAGGCGACTACCTACGCTCCAAGCTACCTCCAGAGCTGTACAACTCCTACCACGTTTCGCTACAGTCTTACCTGCGGTCGACAAATGCACTTCTCAAAAATGGTGCCAGCGCATTAGACGCAGCCGTCCATGCCGTCTCGCTCATGGAGGATGATGAGCTATTCAACTGTGGCCGAGGAAGTGTCTTTACGACAGCAGGTACGATCGAAATGGAAGCCTCGGTAATGGTGACCTCCGTTCGGGACGATGATCACAGTGAAGGTTCCATTAAACGCGGAGCCGGAGTAATGGGAATCAGAAATGTTCGACATCCTATCTGCCTTGCACGCGAGTCGCTCTTAAGGACAGGACATAGTGCTGATGGTCGACCCGTCCGTGACGGAGGCAGTATGCACTCACAGCTTGCGGGGCCTCATGTCGAGGCACTCGCTCGCGATTGGGGGCTGGAGTTCAAGCCTGATGAGTGGTTCTGGACTCAGCGGCGATGGGACGAGCATCGGCGTGGGTTGGAAGGACTGGAAGAGCCTCTTAGCCTGAGCCAGGGAACTGTTGGGTGTGTTTGTTTGGATCAATGGGGGAACTTGGCTGTCGCGACGAGTACGGGTGGCTTAACGAATAAGCTGCCTGGTCGGATTGGGGACACGCCTACCTTAGGTGCCGGGTTTTGGGCGGAGTCTTGGGATGAGCCGGTTCAGCATGAGCCGATGCACCATACGGCTCCTGATACAGTGCCGTCCGCTTCCTCACTTGGTGGTCTGGTTGAAGAGGCAAGAGGCTGGCTGACTGATTGTATCTCATCTTTCCTGCGGAAGTCCGGCACCGCAGGATACACAACTGTCAGAGCTAGGCCCAGCCACAATGAATCCGGCTGTGTCTCTGAGAAGCAGAGTCTGCTCAACCGAATGTCATCAGGACCTGGAACGATAAAGCGTGCCATTGCTGTTTCAGGCACTGGAAATGGTGACTCTTTCTTGCGCGTAGCAGCCGCACGCACCACAGCTGCAATGCTCCGATTTTCGGCGCCAGGTCATTTCTCAGGTTCACTCACCAATGTTGTCACTGCGGTTGCTGGGCCGGATGGGGAGCTTCAACGCTCGGCCGGATCACGCTGGGGAGTTACTGGCGAAGGCGAAGGAGGGATTATCGGCATTGAAGCTCAACTTTCTGCTGGGGCTTGCATCGGATCGCTACATCGTGGCCGGGTTGTTTTCGATTTCAATTGCGGTGGGATGTGGCGTGCGTATATTGAAGAGGATGCTGATGGAAATGAAATTGAGAAGATTATGGTTTTCCGTGATGACCATGAATATCTAATGTAGATTAGGGTATCGGGCATTATGCTCTTCCACCGCGCCATCATATCAGATACCTATTATTCGGTGCCAGAGGCGTCGATTGAGCTCACAATGAAAGTCCTTGTCTCCTACCACCAGCTTCCCAGTTGTGTTTTTGGGTAATGCATCTACTAGTACCCCAGGCCATTCCTACTCTTTCAACACGAGTTGAAAAAGTAGACTTTCTAGACTTCGAGCTAATCGCTAGTACAAACGGGCATAATAAATTAAAACGACGCACAAGTACATAATCAAAAGAATAGGCTATGTATCACATGACCATTCGATGAAGCTTATTCGAGCGTCTGACTCCCACAGATGTCCCTCCTTTCCAACCGACCAAAGCCTCCGCTCGGTATCCTTCACTAATCACTACACCTACGTGTCATATGGACCTCCGCTCATTCAAATAATAAATTTCGTGCCTGGTACGACAGGTGCCATCGGTGCTGGTGGCTGAGGATGGCGCTGGGTAGGGTCCAAAGGAGCAAATGGGAGTTCCCGCGTTAGAGCAGATTTGGTGTCTGCACAAAGAAGCTCTTTCCTTCCAGTCGGAGACGTTCCTGTGTACAGCTTAGTTCTGAGCCATGGACCGCTGAGACGAGAGTTGGTTCTTCCAATGGGATTGTAGCGAGGATGGAGCACCATTTGGATGGGTTCCCAGTACGGTAACATCTCCCGCCCATTCTGGTCACAACACGTTGACTTCTAAAACAACAATCTCTGGAAAGACCTGCTGAACATCCGCAAGTGACAGGCTGGCTATGCCCATGATCTGGATCGGGGGACGAAAATGAGTTTTAATCCGAACCAATTCCTGCAGGTAGTGTATATCCTCATAGAACAACACCGACATGCTAGCTCCGGTATCGTCCACGAAATCAAATTCTTCGTATGTATCAGTTGAACCGGGAATCCGTACCGCGACCTTAATCTTAACAACAAGTAACACAATCAGTTGCCACGTGGATTAGTCGTAGTTCAGGATAGGGGATGACAGACATCGGTCACATACCGAAACGGAAACCTCCTGGAATTATCCTTGTAGCAAGACATTGATTGCTAGGCCCAGAATTACCCATCTGGATAGGATGTTAACGATATGTCACAGGAGGACTCCATCAGTTTTCCTTTATAAACCTACCCCTTCGACCCAAAAACTTTCATGTCCATCGTGCTCTTTGTTTACCCGAAAGAACTCATCCCAATCAAAGGGTCTCGGCTGGCAAATTTGTTTTCCTTTCGACTAGTACGTGACCAAACCTGGGTTCCAGTTCAAGTTGCCCGATTGATAGGCCCTTATGATCGCGTTGACATTTATTTCCTGGTTGTAGTCATCTCCGTTTGTTCGTAAGGATGATCCAATATCCCCGAGCGTATCAAGACGCTGAACCACCTCCCAGCCTTTACCAGGAAAAAGAGCCATCAAATCACTTGTAATGACTTTTTTAGTGTTTATTTCGGGAAAGCCAAAGGGGGGTATTTACTTTCTATAAAGTTGCTGTTTCTCAAGCTCCTTCAGCCTGTATTCGAAGAAATGGGGTATAATGCCGTCTGAAATTCGCTCTTTGCATCGCTCGATTAGTGCGTCGATGTCACTAGTCATTCACAAGCAATCGTAATGCGACCACGCCAGTAATTATTCGTTGTCCTGAAGAAATAGGAGACAGTAGAATTACTTACTCGGGATCAAGATCGGGCTCCTCGTCTGTCCATTCCCATTCAGGAGGAATATCCGCTCGAAGAGTAATAGGATCTCCAGTTTGTCTGTGTCGATAAGTTCGGACTGGGCGCTCTGGCACATCCAATTTCAATAGACCGACATAGGACATTTTAAGGTCCCACTCCTTCGTGGTCTTGGGTTCGGTCTTGCAGCGTTTTGACGATCCAGGTTCCGATCGCCTAGCCTTTCTTTTGGCCATTTCGATCACTGCGCTAGGTGAATGTGTAATAGATTTCGACTAAGAGAAGCTCTCCAGAAAGTGATGAAGGAAGATGCGTCACTCGGGGGGAATTGCTCCGAATAAGTCAACATTCAAGGTCACTGCTCTCGACTCGCAAAGAAATTTGGGCTACAAAGAAAGTGGGGACTGATCTTCTTTCAGTTTATCAAAGTCTCGGGTGAAAGAGAATTTCTTGTTTTCAGTGCAGGTCAGAGCACAAATAAAGCAAGAAAAGCACCTGGCACCGAAGAATTCCATGCTTAGATCTCCGTTCATCTCACGTACCTATTTGTAATTCATGTCCATCAATAAGCTATCTGGAGTTCGAACAGTATTGGTGCGCAGGAGATATACGTGTTTGAGGGACGATACTTTTGAAGCCCCGGTAGGTTCGAGGGCAAAACAATTTCTCATTGAACTTGATATTCCGTGGTCATTTGAAGAGCTAGATAGGCCGAGATTAAACCTCCTTTTTTGGTAAAGGGAAACACTCCATACTTCAATACTAGCCTTTGATACTCCGCAAGTTCGAAACAGCCACTCCGAGTCCCTTTGAAAATAAGGTATAGAAAGCGGACTGCAAGCCACTATGGGATTTTATTTCGCTGGCGTGGGGATGAATCCGATCATCGGGCTGCGCGGGCAGCTGCCTTCATCAACGACTTCCTTGGGTTTGGTGTCTCCAACAGGCATGAGCTTGCAATGAGCATCGTTCATGATCAATAGTGGACATACTTGCACTTGGGGTCCTTAGAGCTCTCGGCAAGACACTCATCCAAACCAGACACTCGTCCAGACCAACGGAAAGCTGCTTGTAGGATTTGCCGTACACAACCTGTCGCTGGCAATGACGCTTCTAGGTGTGGCTGCCAGCCTTGATTGACTTGCGTCCACCATAGCCACAAATCTTAATGGCTTCCTTGCATTGCTCCCAAACAAAATCCACCACACATTCTTCCTTCTTGGATTCCGAGAGGTCGCTCTCCACTTGGAATGTCATATTCAAGGTTCTTCAGCTTCTCCTCGCAGGACACCTTTTCTGCAGAGCCTTTCTTGTGGCATTCGTCCAGCTTGTCTTGTAGATCGTCATTGAGGGCCGTGTAGGTAGTGGGGTCTTTGTCACATTTCGCCTTCTATCGCCTTCTCGGCCGCGAAGTCGCCATCGGTCTCATCCTTGCCATCATCCTTGTCGTCGTCTGCGGTGTCTCGGCGCATGAATACCGAGCCAATTACTTCATCTCCCAAAGCGTCGGAGGGTAGAGATTGCACATGCGGCTTCAGTAGAACCAGTCGCTTGCTTGACACCCGCTAGTTGACTGACAGAGCTTGGCACAGTCGTCAGGGGTAGTGGTTTCGGAAATATCGATCAGATTGTCGTAGTTTCCTGCGACATCACAAGAGTAGGCGACCTCGTAGCCATCCTCGAAGGTCTTTTCATGCCCAGGAGGCCGACAAAACCCTTTGTAGAGGTCACCATCCGAGTTCCGGGAGCCGACACCGACAAAAGGGCAAGAAAAGCCAGGATTGTACCCTTCATTTTGAGATTGGGGGAGTTCGAATCGGCTCACAGGAGAAGCTAGAAGATAATCAGAAATGTTTCCTGATTCTGAATATCCATGGTCCCTGGCTCGGACGGCCCTATTTATGTTCATTTGAAACAAAACCTCAGGCTCACTGTAACGAACCTGCTCAGCTTCATGAATCTCTTGATCTTCGTCATAATTGGGTCTCTCGGCTCTCTGTGCAGCGCCACTTCGATCGATATTTGTTGGTCTTACAAGGCAGTGGGACTTGGAATGTAACTATTCAGAAGAGGAGCCCCACCGAAGGTATGGTTTTGTTTTCCAGTCGCGATGGTTCAATAAGAAGATAATCATGTAGAAAAGCGATATTGGAGGTATTAGGCGATGATAAGGCTGGCTGATAATGCTCTGATCAAGCTTGCCATTATGCTATCTCCTGCAAAGACTCGGCTTGTTCCATTGGCTCCTTACGTGTAGATCGACGATGTGGGGACGTGGTACGGATATCGGCCGTGGCGGCGTGAGATCGTGGATTCGGAGTATATTTCCGGTCGATCGGGAGCTTGGACACAAAGCCATTTCCGGTTTTTGAGGTGCTGGGGCTAGCTGTAGGCTGCAAGGAAATGAGACATTGACCCCAGAACAACAACAAACTTAGTCCGAGATCGGCCCGTAAGCCGCGGCCGAAAGTTAAATGAATCGCAATACTTGAGGCTCGCAACGTGATGGCAGTCCACCTGAGCCTAGAGAAAATTTGAGCAGGTCTAGGGCTCCTTGTAGAGCTCCTTGTTGCTTCATCGTGCATGGCTACTTGGTCAATGCTGCTGGGAAAACGATAAGTAGTAGCTAAGGCATGTTACACAACACCGTTAAGTTCCACCCGGGGTCCACAGTTCGTCACCCAGCCATTCTGGACTTCAGGATTTACTGATCGGTCACTCGAAGAGAGAGGGTCTATCGCCGCCACAATGAACCTACACATTCACCTGACTTTGTCCGAGGTTAGTGTAAGGGGCAGTGGTAGTTGAAATCATGCACTTCACGTAGTTCCAACATTTGAGGCGTGCCCCATCTCGGGAAACCCGGTTTGACTCCTGGTAACTGCTGCTATATGATGGTATTTGCTCGGAGTGGAGTTGTCAAAAACGATATTGTTAATTATGTATTGAATGAGGCTAGGCTAAAGATCTCACGTGGGACAGGAAAATCCATTATTAAAGAGTAGGTAGAAAGTGTGATATGAGAGTTTGAGGCTTTGCCACACGAACGCGTCTTGAATCACATGTTGTGCCATACGCCATTTCACTCTCTAGGAGTGAATAATATGTGCCACCGTCAGTCCAAAGATGCTGCCCAGGAAGCTCTTCGCAATCATTTCCTTTGACATGTTCAGCTTAGCAGCGGAGTTCGATGTAGTTGCACTCGCTGGAGTCGAGGTCGTAGGCGTCGCAGAGACGCTCTTGGAAGCGCTCGAGGTCGAGGCCGATGTTTCAGTTGTCTCAGCTGATGAGTGGCTGGTCGATGACCCACCGCTTACACTGTCACCCGTCGAGGAAGCATGGTGAGAGGAGCCAGTGGGCGATTCAGTCGCACTGGAGCTGGTCGAGTTGTTTGCTGTCGCGGTTTCGGAAGAGCTCGAAGAAATGCTCACGACCTTGAAGCCGAGCAAGTCCTGCGAAGACGCCTTCGTGAACTCCACGGTCGCCCTTCCTGAAGCATCACCGTCGCAATCATCGTTCGTAAACAGAAGCATGTTGATCCCCTTCTCGCCCTGGGCGTCGACCTTGAAAACGCGGCCCTTAGGGTTATCGATCTCAATGCAGTCGCTGGGGCCGTGGCCGGATTGCGAATGTTTTTTGTTGTCGGAGTCGTGCCATGTCACCTCCCAGGCTCCTACGGATGGGGCCAGGGCAATTGTAGTAATTGCCAAAGGGAGAATGGTTGACCACTTCATTTTGGTATGGCAGCGAACTCGAGGAATGGTGCAGTTTTGGTGCGACAGCGAACAATTGCGAAATGCAGAGAAATGCGACCCTGGTGAGCGCGGCTTCGCTTATAACCAAATTGATCCCAGCGCATTCCGCCAGCTGAGGTCGACCTCGGGTCCCCAGATCTCCAAATGGGGTTCCATTTCGCGCAGATCCTCGTATTCGATGCAGAAGAGAACCACTTAGAGTCGCAGCCGAGCAGCCACCAGCCATCGCAGGCCGTGTTGGCACTTGGCGCCCCTTTCAATGGCGACCGGAGTTGCTGCCAGGCACCGGGGGAATGCAGTTTCAACGGTGGAGGAAATGAACGAATGTGGGCGATGAATGATGAAGTAGAATAGAAGTGTTGATCTCCCCGACCGGGATAACAACAGCGGCTGCCAGGCTGCCTGAGGCATCAATACGATCTCAGAACAGACATAGCAGCGCTGGACAACAAGCAGTCGGGCTAGGGCGCTGACACGATTCTAATTTCAATATAAACTGGCTGGCATCTAACTAGGGGCGTTGGAGTATATAAAGATGACAGTGCCAGTGGCTTATGCTTGGGAATGTCGACCTCGATTGGACGATGCTGGGAGTACAGTGGGCCTCATACTCGAGCTTGGCATCCAAGAGTTTATCAGCATCAACACGTAGAGCTTCCGCTTCCTCTATAAGAGAGTGGAATATTGCTTTGGGGGTAAAGAAATAAAATAAAAGTTGATTAGAGGCGGAATCGAAACCGTGGCCTTTCGCAAACAGTACGTGCCTTGTAATTTAAATCAAGGACGCTGTATTGTTGCCTGGATGTCGGGTACGTCGACCTGAAAAATGCCCTCATTTCTTTTGCGACCTCTTGGTTTCAACATGATACTACGGATTTTGATAGTGTTCGTTTTATTCGAGAAACTCGCTATCTATAGAACCGTGGTTAAAATTTTTATATCCTCAGTTTGCAGCAGAAAATCGGAAGAAAAAATGGGTCGAATCGCCACTCTTTCGCAAAGGGTCACAATGGCTTCATATATATTCCATTAAAATTATGTACTATCACCCGCATAAAGGGTATGGTCGAGTGGTATACTGCCTCAGTGTCTCCGAATACATTACGGTCGTATAGAGGGGTGTACAAAGTTCCTCCCCAACAGAGTCCTGTTACAGGCTAGGGGTGTCTTGCACTGTACTGAGAACTACCACGAACTCACGCCCCAGGGATTTTTTATTCTTTTTTATTCTTTCTCGTTATTTCTCGTTTTTGTTCTTTCTTATTACTTTTTTTATTTTTACATGGCTTTTTTTTTTTTTTTCCAAACCCAGGGAGTTTTACCAGTCATACTTAGTGGATGGGAACATTGTGAATTCGAGCTACTTCTGCTGGATACGATACAGATTTCAAGAAGCCATGCAATATTACTTCAGGACAGAAAATTCAAGGTCACACCTTTTGTATGTAGACGGAAGTCACGAATGCGTAATATCTCATCACACATGTCGAGTCTTAAATATGCATATAAATGTAGTGGATGTCTCGCGCCTGTACTCGATGCGGTCGGGAGTAAGAAGCCGGAGAGTAACTTGGACCCGAGTCCAGGGGCAGATACGGGCTCTGGAGACTGGATCCAGTAAGCAGCATTCGAGCTCGACGAATGGGTACACTGTACGCGATCCGTCTGGCAGGTGGATTATGTTGTGCCCAACAGTTGGAATCAATGGATAGATCAGTGGACGGCAGGGCCCGGCAAGTGGTAGCAGATCTCTTTCCATAATGGACATGACTGAGGCGCCGGTGTCGTATGAACCCCAGTTCATCTCACCAGTCGTATTCGGGGATGCGGAGGCAGATGTCATACATCGCTTGGAGTTAGAAATCCATTCTCGAGTGGTTTGATTCCATTGACAGGAAGATTCAGGACCGAGAAATGTTTCCCGAGGGATGGAGATAGCCCGGGCCGAATGGTATGATGGCTATATGGGTGTTCAACTCGTGTTCGTGCATCTGAGAGGTTTTTTGTTATTTTTTGCTCTGTTTAGTAGTTTAAAAGGAAGAATTCCGTACCCCCTAAACGTGAAATTCCTTGTGATCACCGTGATTGCGGTTGATTGTCTCAAATTTGTTCTAATCGAATGGTCTTGGCTTGGAAAGCTTTTTCCCTTGGACTAGTATGTGATGAGTCCTGGATGGCAGCCCAGGGAACCATCTCTGTAAGCCTCGATGAGAGAGTTTATATTGTCGAGTTGTTTGGTTTTGTCACCATCATTCTCGAGCGTTTCCTTCATAAATTTGAGTGATTGCAATCTCAAGTAGACGTTGCTGTCGAAGCCTTGAGGCTCCCGTTCGGCCACAGTTCCTTTTAAAACAAATATAAGATTAGCATTGAACAGAATAGAAGAGGACGCAATGATTGAAAGGGGCAAAGGCGGATCTTACTCTATCTCTCCTTCTTTAGTTCCTCAAACCTTTCCAATCGTGTCTTGAAGACGTCGGGCATGATTCGCTCGGCGATGCGCTCATGGCATCTTTCAATTTAAGCATCAATGTCACTGGGACGGCTTAGTTAGATCGCGTTCTATTATTCATTTTTATCGCTACTTCACTCACTCCTCAGCCAAATCGTATTCAATATGATCCCAGCCCTTGGGAATATCATCAATCTCGGTGATGGGCTCAGCGCCCGTATGATTCCAATTCTTTCTCGGCCTGACGCGCTTCTTCGCCTTCCTTGGCTGCTTCGGAGCCTCATCAACGTAGGATTTGTCAAGGTCTAGATCCTCATAGTTCAGATATTTGCGCTTGAGTGGGTCCGAGGCTAGCTTGGGCTTAAATGGTCCCAATTTTCGTGTGCTTTGTGATGGAGACGCTTTTCTCTTCTTCTTGAGTTTGTCCATCAACCTCTGCATCGGGCTATACCCGTCCTTATTCAAACCAGGCGGAACCTCCGGCGTGCTAGTCCCATATGTGTTGCCCGGGGCTGGAGTAGCAGTTGTGGCACCGCCTGCGGCAGCTCCAGCATTCGCCGTCGCTGGAGAGCCAATTGAACTCCCAGGAGCAGGCGTACCAGCTCTGGATGTGTCTACATCGAGTGGCACAAGCTGTGCACGCTTCATACTGGTCGCGAGCGCCTGATCATCTTCTTAGGCTTTTCTCTTCTGGCCGCTGGTCTGACTTGACTGGACGGGCGAAAGATTCGCCTCCGGTGATGCCGGCCAGTCTGGAGGTTGCTTTATGTTAAGCGGCTTGTCGTCAGGCATATTGTCAGATCCAGGATAAGACAATTCAGGTTCCAAGGTGTCGTCAACTGACTCAGCATCGAGGGTGCAGCACCGAAGGGCATCGGTGAGCTTAAAACCGCTCAGGTGCATGGATGCTATGCGTTGACGACAAAGAGATGTTCCTGTTTTTGAGGGAAGATGGTTGAGCTTCATGGGCGAAAATGGAATGTAGGTGGTTGAACAAAGAGCAGACCTTCGAGCACTTTCGAATTAACAAAAATATTCACGCTGGTGGAAGATTCCGCTCCTTTGATAATTGCCATGCAATCTACCCTGGGTAATCTAGACTGGTGTATCAAAGTACTGCCAGCATCGATACCTTACTTTCGTAAATTGATTTTCTCCTCCGAAAAAGAAAAGACATGGTATCTAAATCAAAAACCCTCTAACGCCTCCTCAGTCCAATCCCACAATCTCCCGGCCAACCCATCATCCGTCTCCAACTTCTTCAATCGAGACTGCGCCAACTCCCCAACAGGCTCATAATACAACCAATTCTGAATTTCCTCTCTTGGTGCCGTCGCCGCCCAAACCTGATTATACGCGCCCTGCTCGGGCTTCAACATTCTCCCCACACTGGTGCTGTAAATCAAAGCTCGATCCAGAAATCCCAGATTATCAACCAACCCCGTCGAGACAACGCCCGGGTGGATCGAAATGGTGATGATACTGGGGTATCAGCGCGCCAGCTCACGTGCGTAAATCAAATTCGCGAGCTTGCTTTGTCCGTATCGAAACTACGGACCTCCAACAAAGAAGTCATTTTGGACAGTGCGGAGATTGTCGAAGAGAATTCCCCCACTTGGGTGTATCCTCGCTCCTTGAGACGTGAGAATTACGATTCGGCGGTCTCCGTCCTCACCTTGTCGGTTCTCGAGCAAGGGGAGAAGTTTCTTGATTAGTAGGGCATGACCGAGGTGGTTTGCTCCGAATTGGATTTCGTAGCCATCTGTTGTGAGGCCTGGGGTTTGCGCCATGATTCCGGCGCTGCAAATGAGGATATCGAGACGGGTTGTGAACGCGGCAAATAATTTCCCGGCTTGCTTGACTGAGACTAAAGAGGCGAGGTTGCATTCTACAAAGGTGACTTCAGTGCTGGAGCCGGCGTCGCGAACTCTTTGAATGGTCTTTTCGGCGGTCTTGGCGTTGCGCCCGCTGATATAGATGTGGGCTGGTTTGTGTTTGGCGAAGAGGATGACTGATTCGGCACCCAGTCCGTTTGTTCCTAGATTTTGGAGGTTAGTGATCATTGGCGTAAATTGCTGTTGTTGCGGTCGAGTTACCTCCTGTAATGAAGATCGTTTTGCCGGTGAGGTCTGGCACGTCATTGTCAGGGTTGAGGCATTGCGATCGCGCGTTTGGGGCAGCAACGTGCGTATCTTTATTTGTGCGAAAGAAGGTGATCTTCGAGTCCTGAACGCCATGGCAAAGATTCATCTAAATAACTGCGATGGCTTGGACATTCCTGCCGGGATGATGTCGCGCGGTTCGGCGTGATGTTCGTATTCAGCCCTCCGACTTCCAGTCAAGAAACCCTGTAATCCGGCCATGGCTTACCATATTATTGTGAGATTTTAGATCGTCGTGGGCGAAAACAATACAGTGCAAAATGTTCTGTATACCTGTTGTGACGTCGAGAGTTTGACGATATGCCAAATCAGTTTCAAACCCGCCCGGCCAAGAAGTCTGTATTAAGTATTCGTTGAGTTTCTGCTCAGATTCGAACGGGCCGACACGTTGGGTTCGGACACGAATGCTCGAATGCTTTTGATGGCGGTTCGTAGCAAAGAACGAATTCGATTCCCAACCCATGGCTTCAATCATCTGCGCATCACCTCTAAGAAGACTTTAAGCTTGTGAATAATCGATTCTTTTTCCTGAGGACTCAATGTCTCGTAAACCTGGCCTAGTTCCTGGCCAGGAACTCGAGTCGTGAGAATCAAAACTGGTGCATGTTGTGTACCGGGATGCTCTCCATAGCAAATCACTCGTGGGCAGGAAAGCCGGTTCTTCTTGCGACTTGCATGGCCTGGGCCTCTTCTATCTGAGTGCCATAAGACCATTTCAACATGAGCCCGAACGCAAATTGGGCAATTTAATTATCGTAAGGAGTCCCGACCCAGCCACAGTGATGTCGAGAGGGTCGTTGCACGTATACATGCAAGAGAGCCCAAAATTTATCGCCAGGGGCTTGGTGGGTATTGTATTGTGTGCAAAGGGCCAGTTTTCATCAGACCATTATATTCAGACAATAGGATACGTGGTATGAGTCAAGGTATTATACGAAAGAGAGGCGAATGCGGACATGCCGCATATGCTGGGAAAGAATTGATGGATGAGGAATAGAAGACAGGTAGTTGGTTCTGTTTGAAGAGTTACAGTAATTATATTATCATAACAATCCTTACAGACGTTAGTGCCTGTCTTGTCGTAAATCACATATCAGGAGTAGTAAATTGGGGTATCTAAAAACATGTAAATCCTTCTGACCTGTATAATTGTCCAGGCTGCACGATTGCCACCAGTAGAGGTTGAGCTGGGGAAATGCTAGGCACTGTTGCTGGTAAAAGGACGAGCGAGGCTTGACATGGGCAAACTCCGTCACAGCATCAAAGAAAAGTATGTGATATTCATCTATGACTTGGTAATATTGTCCTTACCACCCCTCAAGAGCAGTAAATTTAGCCAAAACACCATCCCTCGGCGAAACAGTCGCTCCCTCCCTCAGCTCCAACTTCGCATCCGGATCCTTAAGCTCAAACGTGAACCGACCGACCGTCGCAGCAAGCAAACAAGCAAGCTCAGCCTTGGCGAATCCCTGCCCAATACAGCTGCGCGGACCATGTAAGAACGTCAAGAAGGAGTAATTACTATTCGCTCCGCCTGTATTCGCCTTCCCAGGGCCCATGAATCGATCTGGGTTGAATTCGTTCGCGTCTGGTCCCCACAGTTCCTCCATGTGGTTCACTACCTCAGGCGCGATGACGAAGAATGTACCCTTGGGAATTGGCTTTCCGAGTAGGGTCGTATCTTTGACGGCGATGCGGACTGTGCTTGGGACGGAGGGGTGGAAACGGAGGACCTCGTTGCATACGGCATGTAGGTAGGGGAGACTGTCGATCTTGGCTGCGTCGATTGCCTCTGCGTTGGGGTCGGAGATTGAGGGGAGATTGGCGCGGATTTCTTCGCGGAGACGGGCTTGCACCTCTGGATGCTTGCTCAGCGCGTAGACGGCCCATTGCATGGCGGAGGATGTGGTTTCGTGACCGGCGCCCAGGAAGGTCATTAGTTGATCCACTAGATTTTCGTCGTCGAAGGTGCCGTTGGCCATGGCCACTGAGATGATGTCGACTCCGGCCTGGGTGTCGGGGTTGTTCTTCATCTTCTCCTTTTTCTCCTTGATCATTTGGCGCGCGACGTCTCGGATGGCTTCTCCTCCGGCGTTGATGTCCTTGTTGCGCTGCGTGGGGAGGCTTTGGAGGAGGGTCAGTTGACCGGTGATCATTGCGAGGGCGAAGAGGAACTTGGTGAAGACGGATGGAGACTTGAAGATGCTCTTGTAGGACATGGTGAGCTTGTTAAATGGCAGTTCGAGGGAGTTGAAGTCGTGATCCATGCCAGCGACACCGATGATGTCCAGAGTTGCCCTGCTTGACCAGTCTGACACTTGAACTATGTTGTCTTTGCGGGCCGGCAGTTCTTTTTCGATCAATTTGACCATCTCCACGCTCTTGGCCCAAAAGACAGGGTAGAGGTCTTTGATGTGGCGGTAGGCGAAAGCCGGCATCAGGTTCTTTCGTTGGATCTATAAATCGACGTTAGCAGCTGCAGATTCTGTTTGTCATGTTGGCTCAGTCCATACCTTGTGCTCATCGCCTTCGGTGAGCAGAACTCCGTCTCCAACGATACGGCGCAAGCTTTGCCGAAGAGTCTCGGGCTTTTCAAAATCGTAGGCCTTGGTAACCAGCAGCTCACTCAATGCTTTGGGGCTGGTCAGGATTACTCTCTCCATATTGCCAACGATATAATACCGAAGCAGGCCATCGTTTGGCATGGTCTTAACCCATTCCTTTAGACGCACAAGCGGCGTTTCGAGGAATATCGTGCCTGCATTGCCTTTGAGCCAATTACGGTTCTGTCATATGTTAGTTTCAGAATGATTCCACATTCAAATTTCTGCAAACACTTACCCCAGGAGTCTGAATGTATTTGAGTGGAGTGAAGAATGCCGGGTATAGGAACAGCCGGTAGACGAGCTTGGAGGTGGTGAGAATGGAAAATAGAATCACAATTGTCAGCGGTTTTGAGTCGTAGATGGCATATTCTGGCCAGAAATAGATTGCGGCAGCCACGCCGACATAGAGCATGCGGAAGCCATCATTGAGAAGACCCATGGTGGCGGTTAGAGCTTGCCCGGTTGCGGGCAGGCAAAAGATTTAGGAACAGCCCACACGAACAGCGAGACCTCGTTGGGCGGTCGTGGACGGTGATGATGCAGGATAGCCTTTTTTTTTTTTTTTTTGGAAATATGAACCGCAGTGGAGTAAGTTGAGGCGTGTTCTATCCTGGCAAGGCTGCAGCTTCCAAGTCGATTCCGATCTGCGCTCAACTAGGCTAGGAAGCGCGAGATATGATTGATTCGATCCACGGATTTTCGCGCTGGAAATATACCTTTTCAAGAATGTCGGCTCATAATCAGACCATGGGCCTAGAAATAGACGAGGCGCAGCGCTTCTGACTGTGGCAGCACTTAGTGTGCAGGATCACAATACGGTGCCTGAACTTGGAGATGGATATAACAGCCGCGAGTGCCAGAGGATCAAAGCAGGAGGTTAAGAAGCACCTATTAAGACGTCGTCACGGAGTAGGCATCGACGTTTAATCCGTCGGGGCGGACGCGAAACCGACCGAGCGGATGGGCCCTCGCAAAGGTTTCTCCATCGGGCCAAGCCTTTTTGGCGGGCACGAATCACGGGGTTGCCATTTCGGAGCGCGCTGGCAGTTGATGACATGCCTCCACGAGGATCGCCTCGCAACGTTGGTCATTGGATCTCGCGTATTTCCACAGCCTCGGACTCGGCCTCATTTGTGAGCCATCTCAATGACACAAGTTGGGCTGTGCAGGCTTGACGATTGTGAGACACCAGCCACATCTCCGATCCCGACTCCGAGTCCGCTCGGTATGGAGCTGTCACCGATCCGGCTCTCTGACCATACACACATGTCTTGCTGCGAATGAAATCGCGAATGAGAATAGAGAGTTTACGTTCCCGGAATTCAGTTGCATCGGTGCTTCTCGCGAGTCCGGCCGCGAAGATTCTCAGAATGTGCTGAGTATCGCGTGTTGGTCGCAATCTGTCGGGTTTGCGCTTAGGTTGCGAAACTCACCAGCATGAAGGCGCTTGCTGGTATTTATGCGACGCTTAGCCATGCTATTGCCTCAATCGTGTATATCAATGAGTCCTGAGAAACGAAGTCGGTTGGAGTACCCATTCCAATTTGGACAGGATTGCCTTGGTATGTATTCGGGCACCCCGCGGAATGGCACATAGCACGCGTATTTTCACGTCACCACATTCCTCCACGCATCAAATGGGAATGGCGGGGTTCGGACCTGAGTTCGCTACCTTCGAAGTAAGACTATGGAGGGAATTCGGGATATCTCAACCCGATCTCAAATGATCATGACTAAGTATTCATCAAGTGTGCAATAACTATGACCATTGTGAAACGGTTTCGACGAGATCGCAATTTTATACATTCACATTTGTCCGGCTTACTTTCTGCAAGATGTTATTGAAGTCGAGACTTCTGCTTGTACCTTCGGGTCCTGTCAGTATATTTTTAGCAGTCTGAGCGGCTGCATATAAGATCTCGGCGTCATCTCGAAGCACACACTGCAGTGTTGGGACTTAACATTAGGATAGCTTTGATTCTAAAGATACTTGATATCATTTTGTCTGTGATGCCATTCCTTCCTATATTTGCTAATGTGTACATACGCTCTGCTGGGATTGAATCGATCGTTTTCCATTCATGCCTACATCATCAAGTCATCAATCATAAAGCTGTCTACATCTTCCCAGTCCGCTTCTTCAAGTAGACGCCACCACCGCGGCTGGAGAAGCCCCAGCGAATTTGGTTGGCCATGGAGATCTCGACATCGAGCTCCTCCGCCCACGTCCACACCAGGCCAGGGTTCTTCTGGAAGCCTCGTCCAACCAGAACAAAGTCCAGATCATTGTTATCCACCAGCGAATCAGCCAACTTGGCCGAGTCGATCATTCCGACCGTGCCGACCTTCAGCTTATCGCCCACAGCCTTCTTAACCTCGATCGCGAAAGGCGCCTGGAAGGCGGCCTTGGCATGGATATGCTGCTTCTGGTGGTTCCCCCCACTACTAATATCCAGCACATCGACGTTGCCACTATCCGCCAGCGCCTTGGCTAAGCGGACCGTATCCTCGACGCGCCAGCTGGGCTCATCGGGCATGGATTCCTCGAGCCAGTCGGTGGCTGAGACACGCAGGAACACGGGCATATCCTTCGGAACGGTTTCGCGGGTTAACTTGGCGACCTCCATCGTCAGCCGGGTGCGGTTTTCGAAACTGCCGCCGTACTCGTCTGCCCGCTTGTTGGTGGCCGGCGACAAGAAGCTCATCAGCAGGTAGCCGTGGGCGTTGTGGATCTCAACAAAGTCGGCGCCGGCCTTGACGGCCCGCTTGAGCGCATCGACCCAGTCTTTTTTGAACTGCTCGATTTCGGCCTTGGTCAGGGCCTGCGGAGTGGGGAATTTGTCGTGGAAGGGGATGTTGCTGGGTCCCTTGACATTCTCGGGCCATCCGCCCACTGCTTCGGTAGCCATGTCGGCCATGCTGAGCCAGGGCGCCACGGTGCTGGCTTTGCGGCCTGCGTGCGCCATTTGGACGCCGATGATTTGGTTTTGGCTGTGGACGAATTCGATCACGCGGCGAAGCGGTTCGATTTGGGAGTCTTTCCAGAGTCCGTGGTCTTGTGGAGTGATGCGACCATTGGCTTGCACGGCTGTTGCCTCGACCATCAAGAATCCAGGACCGCGCTGAGCGATGCCGCCCAGATGCGCCATGTGCCAGTCGGTCATGTGTCCGTCGTCGGCGCTGTATTGACATAGCGGGGAGAGCTAGAATAACCGTGTTAGCTTGTATTCACACAAAGAATCAATATTGGGCGATGCACATACGCCAATGCGATTGTGGAAAGTCAGACCTCGAACCTGGAACGACGTGAAGAGCTTGGGAGGCTGCGATCCATCGGATTGGGGGATCGCCGCGGATCCTGCGGGGGGCACCTGGGCCGGGGTGAAGTAGGAGATGCCCTGGGCGGGCTTGTTCGCGATGTCGGGATGGTTTGGCTGGGCCATGTTGGACGAAACGCGAATTTAGTTCAACCAGAGTCTGCAAGCGGGAGGGTTGGCCAATTTAAGGACTCGCAGGGCTGTGGTGAACATGCCACTTTTGCTAAGCTGTTGTACCTCGGAGCTCCACCGGCTTATAAATGTGCCAGCTTAGAAATGCGAACCTGTTGGCTTTCCGGTTTGCGACTGGTCGACGTCACCATGAAAGGTTTGGGCTGATGGTGAGAGGGTCGGATAAATTGGAGATGCACGGTGTTGCTGTAGATGGGGGTGCAGCTGGCTTAGTTAACTCGGTTTATTAGTAGGGTAATTGGAGAAGCCCGAGGTACTCTCAGTATTTTTTGCGCGAGTTAGTGTAGTACCGAGGGTCGTGGTACCTCGGTAGCAATGCACCGGATGATGACCTTCAATATTATAGCCTGTAGCTATAAGATAACCGGGGACGATGCGATTCTCATCAAATCAAAATTAAATGAAGTACTCGATCTACTTCCATGGATCGCGTGTTGGCAGATGGGGCCGCCACAATCCTTCGACCCCCACTCTCCCTTGTACCCCGAGGTGTCTCCCACTCTTGTCGCGCAAGTCGAGTTTTTTGCTGCCATTCTGTGTTTGGACTGACTGCACGCTATTATCCGGCCAGTCCCACGCTAAGCCCATCGCGTACGAGCATACGATGACTATAGGAGTCCAGACTTTCCTTGGCGTGTCAGCGCGTGTTGTCAACATTTACAGGGCCAGCACGACGGCTCTGCATGGAAGCGGCGCTTAAAACCAGGGACTCGGCAGGGCGACCGAGCCTCGATACCGGCTGCATGATGTGATGCGACCGAGCGTTGCCCCATCGTGATGTTTCAGAGCGCAGACCGCGAGTGGGACGGTGGAGCCCATCCCGCCCGCCCCCAGGCACATTTCCATTCTATTGTTGCATGCTCGGTTCGTGGACAAGCTGTTCGCGCCCACCCTCGTAGCCGCCGGGATTCTGCAGGACGCGTTTCAGTTTCAGATGACCAGAATAGCAATTGACAAAGCCAACCAGGGCTATTACTACTATACACAAACAATTGTACTAGGGCGTGCCATTGACCAAAGAAAGGCCGTCGGTTCAGCCCTAAAAGAGTTCGTGGCCACGGGACTCCACCAAACCGTCCCTCGCTGTCTGCTCGTTTCAGCTTCCCCCACCCCCTTTCACCTCTGCAACTCCCATTCACCTCTGTTAAAGTCATTCATTCACCACATTCATTCTTTGTCGCACGCTCGTTCGATCCAGCCTCCATTACTGCATTACTGCATCGCGCATTCCGTCGTTGGAAGCTCCACCAGCTATCATCGAATCCACCCCTTTCTTGGCGCTCAGACAACAAGGCGATCCTCGTTGCGCCGATCGATCCGCATTCTGGCATTTCTTTTCGTGGACAGCGCCAGTGAATGCCTCTCTGAAACAAAGAGCGCCGACCTTTCACAATCACCCACCAGGGGCGACTTCCCTCCTTCACCAGCCCCCTAGCATCCCACCGGCAGCAATGCGCACTGCCCGCAATTAAACTCCAGCCTCGTCGCTCTTGACCCAGTGTCGTCCTCTCTTTTCGATCTGACACCGGCATCGCCATTCCGATCGTGACTTCTCCCGGCTGGCCCGTGGAAGTCAACTCGCTCGCTACTCGTCGCGCGGCCTTCGTTTCAATTTAACCCTCACTTTCTCGCTGGCAGGTCCAGACCCTCGCGCATAATGGGATGCGGAGGCGATCGCGAGAAGGGCAATGTGCCCATGGAGGAGAAATGGGACTATGTGGTACGTGATATACCACACTAACCAAACAACAGACAAGGATCATACCCTTACTGACCGACCGACCTATAGAATCTGAACGATTTCAAGCCCGAGTCCTGCTGGACGCCTTTCTCATACTTCTTCCTTTGGGTATTCCTCATCGTCTCGCTTGCTGTCTATGGTGTCGACACCTTCACAGCCGTCAACTTGCTGGCCTTCTCTCGCTGGGCCGGCCGAGTCGAGCCCGCCATTCCGTTCAAGATCTCGCGTTGGATCTTCGCCGTCTGCATTCTTGTTTCATTCGCTCTGCTGATCTATCGATGGATCCTCGCCATCCGTGCAATTCGCTCGGGCAGTATCACCAAGAGCTATCTCGACCCCCTCGCCGTCCGTGTGCAGAGTGTCCGCGTATTCGGATCCAAAGGTCAAGGCTGGAAACGATTCCTGGTGTTTGCTGAACTGACCAAGAGTAAGAAAGGCGCCGAGTATGTTGCGCTATATACCTACTTCTCTTTTCAGTTCTGGATGAACACAGTTTTCGCGGACGGGCCTCGACAAGTTATCAACGCCATCACCTTGTGGTCGGTCATGAAAGCCGATCTCGTTCCGGGCGGAGAAAATGCAAACAAAGACGATGGTTCCTCGCCAATTCTTCAATTTTTTAACAACGTGAAGATCCTCGCCGAAGACAACAATCTTCAGGCAGTGGTCTTGTTTGGTATGCTTTTCACATTGATCATCTGGGTCCTGTCGGTGTTGAAGTTGATCTCTGCCATGGTGCTGTACCTGGTCTTCCTGTTCCACCATATCCCGCAGGAAGATGGAACCCTTCGAGCCTACTGTCGACGCAAAATTAGCAACCGACTGAAGCGTATTGTCCGACGCAAGGTTGACAAGGCCCTGGCCAAGGGCTTCCAGCTACAGAATCGCACGGCGACGCAACCTAGCCTGGCGAGCGCCGATTCGAAGCCAACCCTGCCCGATATGGACAAGGACCCGATTGTGACGACTCTGTCTCGCAGCACCACCGAGACTACGATGACCACTCTTCCCCCGTATACGCGGTCGAACTCCACTGCCACTGAGAGGAAGCCGACATTACCCAATCTCGGTATCGATGTGAAGCCATCGTTGACTCGAACGACCACTCAGTCTTCCGGCATTTCGGATTCCACTTCTTTCACAGCGAATGCGGCCGACATGGGATACAGTCCTTTGGACCGTGGAAACTCCCCACTGCCCCCTGTTCCACCTCTGCCTGCGACCATTATTCCAGCCAGGACTGGCTCCACACAATCGCAACCAACACCCCGTGGTCCACCCTTGAACACTAGTTTCAACCGCAATGGCCCAACTCCTCCACGACGCAACTTGACGGATTCGGCTACACAGCTATATGCAACCACTACACCTACATCAGCCGCACCGACTGACTATTTTGGTCGCTCCCATGCGCCCGCTCATGATTACTACGGCGGAAATGAGTCCGCCTATGGCAACTATGGCCAAGATGAGGATTATGATTACTATGGCGGATCATCTACCCCATATAGCCAGAGGGCTCCTCCCCGCTCGCAGGGATATGTGCCTCAGGACCCATACAGGTCTTATACCCCCGCAAGCACTGGTGCTACACCCCATCCTCAAGGCGGTGTTCGTGATCCGTACCAAGCCAGATCATACACGCCTGGGAGCACCGTTGCCACACCCACTTCACGAACGGGTGACCAGGACCTTTACCAGGGCAGATCATACACACCGGCCACGTATCACGGTACACCCGCTCCACAAAACAGCCAAAGCGCCGTGCGACCTCCTCCACAGACTTATGCTCCCATAAGTCCCGGCAATTCTACCCAAAGCAGTGGCTACACCGCCTTCAACCGCGCTGGGTCTGCTCCAACTCCAGCACCACAAACTCAGCCTCAGGGGCAGCCAGCACCTGTTCCCACGGGCTATCGGCCTTTCACCCGCGCCAATACCGCCTCACCATCGATGAATCGCGATGGTCCGCCGGCGGGTTATTCTTTCAACCGCGCCAATACTGATCAGTTTTAAAGCGCCTTTTTTGGGATACGTTTGCGAATTTATGTTATGACAGAACGCAGAGCAGCTGGCTCTCTCTGTACTTGATGACCGGAATTTGTGTTCATACCGTTCATGATCAGACGAGCAAGCCTCGAAATGTTGTACATACCCCTCTTTTTTATCTGTGGCTATCCGCGCCCTAGGAATTTCCTTGCAAGAATAGATCAAAATGAAATATTCAAATATAAACTTGCATTTATCGTGATACTACTGTAGAATATCTTTGAAATTGCTGCGGGTTGTTTGTAAAGGAACACATCATGTGATGTGCACTTTTCGCCTGAGGCTCCAACAACGGCGGATTTGACAGCTAAACCCCGGCCGCCTTATCTTTCCCCGGTTCAAATGCGTGGAAAGTCATCCTGCATGACTGCTGCACCTCGACCTTTACACGCGTCTGCCGAAAAATGCGACCAGGTTAATCATATGAACAGCTTGCACTTGTCGTCTCCTACTCTTCAGACCGATCACCGATCGTCCCCTTGCCCTCAAGCCGACCGCCACGAACCGATCGATAGCTTGATCGCCCTTGTCGGATGTGAAGCCGACCGTGGATAATGCCCATACCAGCAACGTCACTTTGTTGATTCGGAAGGGAACTTTGCGCTCAGGGCTAGGAAATCAGTGTTCTTGTTTCTGGTTGCCCAGTGATCCAAGTAGCCGTCCGGATGGCTCCTATGGCAGAAGAAAGAGACCCCAAAACAAACGGCAATGGGACCGTGAAGTCTACGGTGAATGACCCATCACAATCGCCGCAGTCTGAAGATCAAAATGGAACCGGAATCTTGACGCCCTCCGAAACGGACGCTAGCGAGACCGCTGTTGTCGAAGAAGGGCCTGTCGTAACAGCCGAGGATGCAAATGGGGTTCATACGAATGGGCGCTTTCCTGGATCTTCAGAGCGGGGACTCGGGATCCTGGTGGAAAGCTCGCCTAAGGAGCACGAGAGAAATAGTCGGCTTTCTGTGATGAATGTTTTGGACGGACAGAACACAAAAGCCGCGCTGGCCGAACTTACCGAGGAGCGGTCCGCTGAGGAGAAGGAGAAGGTCCTGAAGCTGTCTCCGGAGAAGATTCAGGAACTCACCTCGTCGCCTCAGTCTATCCCGTACCGGGCTGTTGCGCCTGATTTCTCTGGCACGACTGGGAGGAGAAGTGTCTCGGAGAGTGTCCATTCAACCGCCGCTAATCGACCCGAGATACGAGATTCTATCTTGCAGTCACTTAGCGAGGCAACTTCCTCCACAGATGATGGCTCTTTGAAGACTCGACCTCCGAGGGACTTCACCTTGGACGAGTCGTCTCTACCAGCTAGCCCGGCAGGCTCCCGGCTTACCGCAAATGGACCGGTTCGAAATCGACCACATGCATCCCGCACGTTCTCTACACCTGGCCTCTCGCGCCGTCCGAATTTCGCAGCCCCTAGTAACGAACGGCTGGCACAGACCTGGGCCTCACGATCGAAGCAGGATCGGCAAGGTGCAGATCGCGACTTGAAAGCCTATCTTGCTGCATCTCCTCAGATATTGGAGTCGCCGCCGACATCCCCCATGCCACCATCGATTCCACTCCCTCCTGTTTCGATACCCACATATCTGCAGCTTGAGCTTGCCTCTGGTCGACCTTCACCTCTGTATATTCACCGCGCTTCGAAGAGCGATTTCCCATACGAATCGTCTAGTGCGAAGATAGAGAGATTGCTCAACTTTTTGATTCTCCCACCGGCACTTGAACAAGTGCTCTGTTTTGGAACAATGGCTTGTCTTGACTCTTGGCTCTACTCGTTTACCATCCTCCCACTCCGCTTCGTGAAAGCTTTGTACATACTGTGCGAGTCCTGGGTGATGAATATCGAAGCAGAAGCCCGGTTCGTTTGGAAGTTTGTCGTCAACGGAGTTGGACGAGTTTGGCGACGACGAAACCAACCGCAAGTGGATAGTCATGGTGAGAGGCGCGAGAGTGAGCCTGATGCAACGCCTCGGTTGGCGACTGGCTCCTCTGCGCAGGACCTTGCTGCATCGGATCGAGAACATCGGTATCGCAATGGTGACCCGTCGAAACGAAGACATCATGGCTCAGAGTCTCGGAGGCACCACCGCCGAAAGAAATCTATGCCATCGGCTTTGCTTCCCGACGACAAGGCGGATATTCTTACCGGATTGCTGATGGTTTCTACCTGTTGCGCCTTGATGTACTTTGACGCCAGTCGGATGTACCATTGGATCCGTGGACAGGCTGCCATTAAGTTGTATGTGATCTACAACGTCTTGGAAGTCAGCGACAGACTGTTGGCTGCTCTTGGGCAAGATGTTCTCGAATGTCTCTTCTCGCGGGAGGCTCTGGAGCGTCGTCCCGATGGCCGAAGCAAGATCTTCCGACCATTCTGGCTATTCCTACTCGCCCTGGTATACACCGTCGCACATTCTACGTCGTTGTTCTACCAGGTCATGACCCTCAATGTTGCTGTCAACTCCTACTCCAATGCTCTCATCACACTCCTCCTGTCGAACCAGTTCGTTGAGATCAAGTCTACCGTCTTCCGCAAATTTGAGAAGGAAAATCTTTTTCAACTCACTTGCGCTGATGTCGTGGAGCGGTTTCAGCTTTGGCTGATGCTCACGATCATTGCTTCTCGCAACATTGTGGAGACGGGTGCTTTCAGCTTCATTGGGGACCTTGGTCTGGGATCCGGGTTTTCGAGTCAGTCGACGAGTACCAACAGCACGCCGTTATCCACGCCTCCTCGCACAGCGTCGTCGATTCTGCCTCAATCTTTTACATTCTTCCCCTCGTCCATCCTGTCTTCGGTCAGCAGCGTCAATTCATTTCTACCAACATTTGCCCAAGTCCTAGGTCCTTTCTTGGTAGTGTTGGGGTCGGAGATGTTCGTCGACTGGCTCAAACACGCCTACATCAACAAGTTCAATAACTACCGTCCGGCACTCTATGGTCGATACTTGGATGTTCTTGCGAAAGACTATTACACCAATGCCTTTGGCGACCAAAATCTCACTCGTCGCCTGGGTCTCCCCGTCATCCCACTCTCCTGCCTCTTCTTCCGGGTGTCAGTCCAAACATACCAAATGTTCCTGGCCTCACTCCTCCCACAACACCCCTCGTCCACAGCGATGGAATCAACATCTCTCTCCTCAATTCACGACCACTACGCCCCCGCACCAATCCCCTCAACGCCCCCTTTGACATTCCAAAACTTCTTTCCCGCTTCAGCGGCCCACATCAACTCGCTCTTCCGTACTCTCCTCGAAAACGCCATTCCTTCGCCGGCACAATCAGTCCAGATCTTCACCGTTATCCTCCTCATCACAGGATTCATCGTATTGCTCATCCTCAAACTCCTTCTGGGGATGCTCCTCCTCGCTTTCGCCCGCTCCCGCTACAAGAAACTCAAAGCCGACGAGACGGAATCCCGCAAAGCCTCTCACAGCGCCTCACACCCACCGTCTGCGGCTGAAACGCCTGTCCCACGTAAAGACGAGTTCAATGTCGAAGGGAGCCGTCGTGCGGGTGGATGGGGCATGGTGGAGGTCGGAGATGAGAAGCGGAGGTGGATCTATGCCGATGATCCGGAGGGATTGAAGCGGGTTAAGGAGAAGGAGGATCGGGATAAAAACAAGGATAAGGAGATGAAGATTGATCATGTGCAGCGGTATGAGATGGTTGCGAAGAAAATTTGGTGAAGCTTTTGGGCAATTGGCGTGAGCGCTACAGCACCTGGGATGCTGATATATACCTTAATTCGTAACTGATCATTGTTGCATATTCTATCTGGGCGCATTTGCATAGTGTTCTCGTGCTACAGTAATGACCATACGGCCTGGATTGTCGGGCAATCTCCATGTCCACGAATACTCCCTGACAGGCGAATCAGATAACCCGCCTGAATCCAAACAAGCAACAGATTGGGTTATAAGCTTCAGCCAGACAACCTCAACATAGTCACCGGAGAAACCGGCATGTGGCGCCTGTTAATATTGTCTCAAGGCCTAAATTCCTCCAATGGGCTCCCTTACGCCCAGCTCCGGGCTGATGCCTTCGACCCGGAACCGACACTCCCAAAACAAATCAAATTACTGAAACTGCTGACGGCGGCTTCAGGGGGAAATGCCAGTGATATCTTGGCCCCTGATCAACCAAAGATCATAAGTGGGTACCAACACTACTTAAGGAGTATTTCGATCCTTTCGCGGGCGGCCAAGCTTGCCATATGGCTCGCATGGAACTTTGGGTGAACACTAGAAGACCCGAGCTCGCCTCTATTGATATTTTAAAAACTTCGCTTGTGGAGGCCGGATGATCCGCGCTCAACCTTGGAAGATCATCCAGGCCAAACCTGAGACGTATTGCAAGGCCTTGGCCGGGCCGAAGTGGGGAACCCCCTGGACACACTTCATCAAATTCATTCTCTTGTGCCGAAAGTGTAATTGAATTGCCTCGCTCTAGACTCTTTTTGTTTCATTCTCGGGAATGGCGTTGTGTCAAGTAGACGGATCTATCCCGCATGCTAATCCTACGTCTCGGATGCTGGCGCCGAGATCGAAAGATATATAAATATCATCTCCGGGTATGAATGTCAGCTTCATCACAGCAATTTGAAACCAAAACATTTCAATACTGCTTCCAAAATGCACTTCACCACCCTCGCTACCCTCTTGGCCGCCCCTGCCATGGTGCTGGCCACCTTGGATCCGGCCTCCTCCAACACAAAGGGCAAGAAGCCCAGCAGCCTAAACTGTAGCGGTAAGCTCCCACCACATGCACAACAAATCTCGCACCACACCATCTAACAATCCTCATCAACTGGTACAGCCGCGAAGGTCTCCACAGCAATCCAGGCCGCGGAATGCTCGCACAACACCCGCACCTCTTCAACGCAAACCTTCGCCGTCTTCGAAACAGATCACCAGTACGACTCGAACCACGGTGCCCCCTACGGCACCTGCAGCGCCTACACCTGTGATCCGCCGTCCAGCAATGAACTGGAGACGGACTCAGATTACTGGATCTTTTACTGGAGTGATGAGGGTGAAAGCAGTGGGTATGGCACTACTTGTATTAAGGATCCGAATACTGGAGAGTGTGGGTGCGAGAATTCGGATGGCACGTTTGTTGCAGGGAGTAGCAGTTGCTCTTAGGCTTACGATCTAGTACTGGAAGGTACTCATCTGGTCTTTTGGAGGGACACATTTGGCTTTAACTCATGAACTGTTTATAACATGGAATTGGATTGAATCCTTTTGGTCTCACGATGCAATCGGTAATGTGCTAGCTGTAAATTGTACAGACGAGTCACCCAGAAGAAATATTCAGCAATTGAAGGCATATATCTGTAGCCAAGCAAAACAAGCAAATTCAGGTACTTCAGCTCTTCTCGGGTCGGTGCCGTCGGAGTATCCGCTGCCACCAAGGCGACTCGGGAGTGGGAGCTTAAACTGATCTGCGTGGGTGTTTCAGGTAAATGTGTCTGCTGTGACTGGGAATGATCAGATAAAAATAGCAGCTTGCAAGTAATCGGAAATAGGCCACATAATTCGGACGCTCAAGACATTTCACCAGATCCTGTCTAATCCGCCTCTCTGTATTCTCAAAAAGCCGAAAGTCTCAAAAGTCTGCACAACAATGGCATTCAACCGTACAATGTCCCCTTCGTTTCAATTTTCACGAAGAGGCTCTCTCCATGCAACATCAGCAACCTCGGCTGCAGCACCCATCCCGATCCGAGCAGTCTTGAACTGACTCCTCGCGCATGAGCCATGCCGAATCGCATCTCAGGTTATCGTGGTCCATTCTCATGGGGGGCGATGAGTAGTGATTTTACTTGATACAGTACGTATTGCTTTTGAAAGTACTCCGATTGGTATTCTTTTAGTTCTTTATTGGTCTCCTCATGTTCAGGATTTTTGGGTTCAAGGTATGCTGCTTTTTGTAACCTTGCAATTCGTATTTGTAGCCTTTCTTCTCGCTGGACAAGGTTGCGTAAGTCGTACTCGGCGAGGAATAGCTTTACTATATTTTCTCTGAAAACTTTCTGGTATTTATAGTGGAACGTGGCTTTGGTTTTCCACTTGACTGTGAACGCTTTGGTATTGTCGAAGTTTCCATGACTCTGTCGACGACAGAAGCAAAGCTTTGTGTAGGCTAGTCAAGGTAGGCTTCTCGCTGAGTGCTTAACTGGGCGAAGTAGTCGAGAGTAGAGACGGAGCTTTGACAGTGAAATGTGATGAAAGCAAAATGAGCTTATCGAGATGCAAAAGTGGATCTGACGGGTGGCAAGCTGTCGCCCAAATTTGACAAGTGGATACGGATACGGCCGTGACATATACTTGGCCTCATTCAGATCGTCACAAACTTACTACTAGTATACTAGAATATATTTGGCGGCGGTCATGATTCGGCAAGCCTTCCGTACGGAGAGTAATTAGGAATAGTGATATTCCAGTGTAGGTGACTGTTCATTTGACTATTCAATTGACCGATTAGAAGACGGTTTCAGCAACTGTTCCATGGCTGTTACCTAGGTAGTATGTAGAGCGTGGTGATCTGAGGTATAAGTTTCAATGATTCAGGCATCGAGGCCTACTGAAATGGGAAAGTGATATTTGGCCACTACAGTCATTCCTTTTTCCTAAAAGGAACTTCCGTGCTGGCCAAGTGACTCACCGTGTCCTAGTGCTGGTTTACGAACCTGCTACTTCTGACTGCCCATCATCTACAACTTCGACACATTTAGTTCATCGGCAACCACCAATATGTTACAATCTGATCCACCGTGCGGCGGCGCCGTGTTCACGCAAGAAGAAATTCTATGTCTTGAAAAAGACGGAAATTCGTCCCCTTGTCGACAGCTTCCAACGCGCGGGGGAAGCGGAAGGTGTTCATCATTAGTATGCTCGTCATCGAACAGGCCCTGCACCTCGTCGTCGTCATCGCCGCCGCCGCCCTCAGCGTCCCTCCGAATGTTGAATTCCAACCCAGACATCCTAAATACAGAAATTTCGACCGAAGAGGAGAGCGCAACAGTACTAGAGTACCTTGGATTTGATCCGTCCACTGCCGCGGTCACAGATATCTCTCAGCGCTACACCTCGCGTCCTGACCCCGAAGGCTGCTCCGACGATTTTCTAGATTACGCCCGTGGGCGGATTATGGCCTTTTGAACCGAGAGGTTCCTAACATGCGGGGATCTAGCAGAAGCGATAACTCGCGTGGGTCTAAACGAACAGATACAGTCTGCGATCGCGGATCCCCAATACAATTTTTCTTCGCGGTCCTTTACCTCTTCTTCATAACGCACTGAATTAATGGTCGATTGTTCATCGCCAGTTAGCCAGTGGCTCGCTTCCGTCGTGGTTCAGATTCGAGATCCATCAACTTTAGGATTCCTGATTGCCTTCCCTCAAGTGGAACTTCGCTTGAAAAAGGATCTCAGTGACTCTGAATCTACCTCCCTTTCCCAAACTGAAATGCGTCCGGTATCGGGACAGAGAGATAAACAGGAAAGATCATTTCTAGCCCGTGTCCACTAGATCTTTTGTTTAGTGTTTACTATGCTGTCGTACTAGCTATGGAGGGAGATTCCCGGAATACGAAAGAGAGCGAGCTTCACTCGTAGCCAGCGCTTCGTCCCGCCACACTGCATTAGTGTACGACCAATCAAGCGAAGGCTGCACACACTAAACTTCTTCTGCACAATCGTCCGGCCAGGTTCGATCGAAGAAAAAAAATAAGCTTTTATATACCTAATCAAAATGAAAAAATCGATACAGACAGAATGAATGAATGTTTTCGTGGAGCCCGGTGTGCCTGGGGTGAAAACGACGACAACACCCAAACTCAAGCCTGAGACGTTTCTTCCTTGGGTGTCTCCTTCTGGCTCCAGACTCCACACAACAAAAGGAGAAACGGGATCGTACCCAGCAAGATGAACGCAACTAGAGTAAACGACCAACCCCGACCCATCGCCGAGAGCATCGGGTCGATGGCAGCCGAGGCGCCGGCCGAAAAGAACGATCGCACCATGTTGTTGGCGGCGGTCGCGGCGGCCGGTTGGGAAGTGTGTAGATCAACAAGCAGAGTGGAGGTGGAAATGAAGCCACCCGTCTGACCCACCCCGACGAAGAACAAGAGGACCTCTGGAGCGGCCAGAGGCGCCCCGTAGTTGAGCACCCAGCCAAAGGCCAGGACGGTCACACTGCCCAAAATGACTAGCGGGATGGTGATCATGCTGCGCGCTTTCTCGACGGGGATGGCATCTTCGGATGCTTGGGCTCCCGAGGCGTCTTTACCCACTTTCGCGCCCATGCGTCGATAGTTCCAGTCGAGCATCCGTCCGGTCGTGACAGATGCCACGATGGACCCGGTGCCCAAGGTGATGTAGCACAGCCCAATTTGGAGGATGCTGAGGTGGTACTGGTTCGTGTAGATTTCGGTGATGGACGAGAGGACGGTCATGTTTCCACCCATGATAATACCCGTCACGATGAGGACGATGATCGAGTTGGGGTGCCACACGACGGCCAGCGGGCGCAGTGGGTTGGGGAATGAGAGCTTGTGCTTGGGCTTTTCGATAGAGTCGCTGGTCGAGGGCCGCTGCGAGCTTGCGCAAGAAAGACTCTTTGCGACACCTTGGCGATCGAAGATGTATTGCGTGAAGGGTCGGTTCCATGACTGCGCCGGCAGCGTTCCATCGCCGACTACATTTCTCGCCGTCTCGGGGAGGAAAAACAGTAGCGGAACCAAGTACACGCCGGAGACAATGGTCAGGAACCAGAAGATGGAGCGCCAGCCGAGATACTGCGCCAAGAGACCGCCAATGATGGGACCGATGGCCGGTCCCATAAAGTTACCGGCCATGACGATACCCATCATGGAGCCTCGCTCTTGTTTGGTACTGACATCGGCGACCGTCGCGGCCGAAAGCGCGACACTGCTGCTAATACCGGAGCTCTGCAAACATCGCAGCACAATCAGGGCGGCATAGTTGTTTTGCAGGGCCAGGCCGATGTTGGAGGCGATGTAGATGATGAAACAAATGATATAAGCGGGGCGACGGCCAGTCTGGTCAGCAAAACTGCCGAGGAACATAGGAGCAATGCCTTGGAAAATCTAGAAAATGCAGTCGTTTCACGTGAGCCAACCCAAACATCGCGAAGTTTGAATACGTCGATCCTCCGTTGGGCAGATTATGTCAGACACATACCATGTAACTTGTGACGGTCAAGTTAATGAGGGAGGCCGACACATTCAGATCCTCGGCCAGCGTATTCAAGGCCGGGAAGTAGATCTGGGCTGAGAGGGAGGAGAAGAAGCCCGCACCCGCGGCCGTAAAGACGATGTATCTTTTCATGCCATTGCTGAAGGAGCTATACGGAGGCACGGGCTCCGCGAGGGTAGTCTCTGAATTCATAGTAGAAGGCGGTTGAACATGAAGGAGAGTAGAACCGTGGGAGAGGGGCTGGATGCGAATGGAATAGGAAGGAGAATTGGAAGTGGAAGTGGACGTTTGCAATTTTCTCCGACACAAGTCGCCCCTGTCTCCTTTTTGACTTTGTCGAGCGTACGTGCGTCAGGCAGACATAGTGCCAGTTGACTTGCATCCGGAGAAAATGTTGGATGGGCAGCAAATCCCCTAGAACGCCCCTAGACTGCGCGGGTTGACGCGGCGGGTCCACCAAAGCTTGTGAAAATGAGGTGACGGAGGGCAGTGCCAGGCCGATCGACCAAGACCACAAAAATGATCAGATCAGGGCTGAGACAATCTTCACCCAAAACGTCTACCCAACCGGCTCAGGCAGGGATGAGATGCTTGCCTTCAGCGGCAACATCGCCCCGGGCGCGTTGGTCGGGATTCGGAGGCTGCGAGGAAATTCCTCACGGGATGGATGCAGACGCGGGTGGCCGATGCATCGGGGCATCGGGGCATCGGGAGGCGTCGGGAGTCGGGTGAGTTGATGCCCCTGGCACCTTGCGGCTGGGATTCTGCAGGGACCCTGTGAGGCAAGCATTAAAGCGTCAGGGACTGGCAAGCGTGAGTGGTCGGTCGACAAGAGAGTGGAGGGAAGAAGGGTCTGGACGGTGGTGCTACAGGGTTAGTGCGCGTTAGGCAGTCCACTCTGGCTGAGGATCGCCGTGATCTACCCGGGGATCCATCGTTCTGGTCGCAACCCACTTTATAACAATTATCAGATGCATTTATAATGGAGTACGTCATCTGCATGCGCGCTTGCCTTGTTTCAACTTACGTGGTGCATATACCCCGACTATGTGCATATTCGCAGTTTATACTAGCCCTACTCATATAGTAGATGGCAAGAGTACGCGCAATGACAGGAACAGGGGATGAACTCAGTTTCCCCAGGGAGGACCAGGAGGCCCAGGAGAACCCCTGATCCACCCTTCCGCCCACTATGAAGTGTACTTATGTCCTACTGCATTTGGCAAGGCAGCGGAGAGCACCACCGAACAGCAGAGTGGAGCACGTGAACGGTCGACCCGGGAATAGAACACTCTGCGAAGCTGCCGGTCATCCTTCAAACACGCTAGCATGATCTTCGATGCTTGGATACTCAATCAAGAGGCTGCTCGTCCCTCACGTGTCGATCATCCATCGCCCCATCCGGAAGCATTGTGTAATAGAATCCACCCAGTCTGACTCGTATATTGGCCAGAGCTCCCAGCTCCAACAACCACAGGTCCTCTCGGAGGATGTTGGGATGAAAATGCAACAGAAAGCACTCAGAGCACTCCATCTGCGTCGTGATACTCCACCCCCTTCGATTGGCCAGCACCACGCAAGCTCACCGATCACGCCATTGCTATCCCAGATTCCCAAAATATTCCACGCCCGCGGAATGCGTCTGCCTCCAGGTCCCTGTATTCTCTTCCAAGGTTAGCGTACGTACATATGGAACTCGCCAAGGCGATTGACATGACGCAAACTCAGGAAATTCTCAACCTGGCCGATCATCTGGCGCTATACGGAGGCCCATTAAGGGTCAGGTACAGGAGGCCAATCTTGCCTTTCTGGAAACGACAGTGATCGAGGGATCCATCCATTCACCCTGAAAAGCAACATATAAAGAGGCGCTGCTCCCCGGAAGAATCTAGCCAATTCAGTTCAATCACATCTACATCTGCATCTTGTTATCTCTTTTTCTTTTTTTAATGCTCTTCACTCCACAAGTGAACTGTCATCGGAAATATTGATTCAATCCCATCACACTTTGCACCTTTCACTATGACTGCCCCAACGTTCGACTCGGTATCAACTGTCACTGTCATCGGCGCCGGCCCCTGTGGTTGTGCTTTCGCCGCCGACCTGTCCAGCCGCGGCAAGTCCGTCATGCTCTACGGCCACCCCGACCACCGCGGCGCCATCCCCATGATCGAGGAGAACGGCGGCTGGCTCGAGGCTGACGGTGCGTTCGAGGGCAAGTACCAGATCAAGACCACCAGTGATCTCTACCTGGCCATCCGTCACTCGCCCTTCATCGTCACCACCGTCCCCTCCTACGGCCAGGACACCATCCTCCGCACCCTCAGCCAGTTCGACCTGCGCAACCACACCCTCATCATCAATGTTGGCAACTTCTTCTACCTGGCCGCCCGCCAAAAGGTCAACGCCCACGCCATCCTCGAAACCGACATCTCCCCCTATGCCGTGCGTATCACTGGCGGCAAGGTCTTCATCAAGGGCGTGAAGAAGAGCCTCGCCATCTGGGCCGAGCCGCCCACCACCCAAGTCGAGCGTCTGGACGCCGGCGCCGAAGCCAACCTCCGCCGCCAGGTCGAGTCCATCTTCTCCCAGAACCTGGTCTGGTGCAAGAACCTGCTCGAGGTCGGCCTGAACAACGTCAACCCCGTCGTGCACTGTCCCGCAGCTCTCATGAACGCCGGCTGGATCGAGGCCACCAAGGGCGACTTCTTCTTCTACGCCCAGGGCATGTCCCCCGCCGTCTCGCGCGTGACCGAGAAGGTCGACCAGGAGCGCCTGGCCATCGGTCGTGCTTACGGTCTGGAAATCATCCCCATCACCACCTACATGAATCAGAACTACAGCCACGAGTGTGAGCCCTTCGCCAACTACCACGAGTTCGCCGTCGGCTCTGTCATTCACAACAAGACCAAGAGTGCACCCACCAGCATGAAGCACCGCTACCTCCTGGAGGACATTCTCTTCGGTATGGTCCCCTGGTACGAGCTGGGTGTGAAAGCCGGTCTGCCTTCGCCCACCATCCGCTCCCTGATCGAGATGGCCTCCGTCGTCAGCGGCTTCGACTACTTCGAGCATGGCCGTACCCTCCAGTCTGCGGGCCTGAGCGAGGCAACCTCCGAGCAGATCCTCATGGCTCTGGGTGGCCCTTCGGACAAGGCACCCACTCGGGCCCTGCCTGACTCGCCAGTCAACAACTCCCTGGACTTGCATGTTCCCCTCCCGACACCCCAGGCTGTCGCATAAGCGGCGGGTGCGGTGCAATTTGTGAAAAGTTTCCTATGTTCTTTCAGCATTTGATTTACAGACCTTATACCTGTTGATGTTTAGATCTTGTTTTCTTTGTATTTAGCTAATAGCGAGCCTGCTGTTGGGCCGCGACCGGACTTTGTTTAGTGTTAACGACGTCGCCCACGGACTTTAAAATACAAAAGCGCGTTTGTATTTGGCATTATCATCATTTCTTCCCTTTTACAATATCTGCGTACTCGTAGTATATTCAATTATTGATGCCATCCAAAGTTAACGTTACCAGGTAATCTTGGTTGGGCCTGAGTTGCGATTTACGAGCATTCCATGTACACGAACTTGGTGATTTCCACCAATTTCTTCACTGTAAACTAGTGTATTGATTTAAGCGTTTCAGTGGTGAATTTTATCGGAAACTAAAGACTAAAAATCCGAGGGTCATCACGCTCAGATTCTCCCCTTGGGTCGCTTTTTGTAGAGCTGTGGATTCATTATACTTGGGTAATGTTACTATGATTTTTATTTTTATTTTCAGTAGACAAGAATAATGCTGCTGACCCCATGCACCCACCACAGACTCCGCGAAACCAGCCATTGTATTGTGTACCAATTTTTTTCAACTTAGTTAGACACAGAGAAGCTTATAATTTTTTTTTTTCTCTTTTATCTAGTTAGATCGGAACAATTGTGCAAAAGTGGTTTAGTGTATGCAGCGTAGTGCAGAGCGGCGGCACGTAGCGCTCGCGACGAGCGGAGATCCCCTCTCGCTCTTATCTCGGGAATCGCGCTTGTCATCTCTTGCCAGTTGAACGTCGCTACCTAGGTATGGACCGACCTAAAAGACGATCCTTCAAGATCCGGACCAAGTTCGGCAGCGCGAGGAAATGGCGCAGTCGGAAGAATCGCCCGTGCGATACCTGTCGCCGGAGAAAAACGGTCTGCATCATCGAATCAGAACCTCCCTGTAAGATCACGTTGAGGCAAAGGTCCTCACTGTTCAGGGACTACAGTAACTAATTACCCGACTCCACAGGCAAATTCTGCCGCTCGCGAGGCCTGTGTTGTCGATCTGCAGATGATGACCCACCCCAACCATTTGAGCCCGAAACCGGACGCTCAACGCAGTCGGCTTCGAGCCTGACCGAGGCCATGGAACAATCGACAGCTTCTTCCACCGCGATGCAGCCGATGTCGCTTCCGGGCTCATCTTCGCCTGCTCGGGCTAGGTCGACTCATCTTGCAGGTGCGGGTACAGGTGCAGGAGCTGCAGATATACTGTTACCACCGGCCCAGTGTATCCCTGAAGAAGGACCATGGACTCGGTCAGAGACGTCTCCTGCAACGATCTCCTTAGACTCGCCTGCATACGCAGTGACTACAAACAACCCTCTGATCTACACATTAGAAGACAACAAGAACCGCACAGCGCATAACATGGGTCTTTGCGCAGAGCAGGATACAGATCTCCTCGAGTCATTCCGCTCAGTAATCATGAACGAACAAGACGGCGTAAGCGCCGATATAATCCAGATCGGCGTCGGAGATCCTAAAAGGAGTATCCCACCTGTCCACTTTAATCTCCTGCATGATGAGTTCCAGCCCGCGGATGATCGTGCAAAGGCGCGCGCATCAGAGACGATCGAGACCATGGTGGATCCGCATGGCCCAGCCCTTGTGTGTTTGTTTTTCCAGCATGTTCACCCCGTTTACCACATCGTTTCCAAAAACAGGTTTCTTCAGCTCTATGCTGCAGATAGGTTCCAGATTCCCGCGTCGCTGCGTGGTGCCATTTATGGAATAGGGTCTATGTTTTGGCAGCATTTGCCCAAACAGGCCAGTGGAGAAGAAAAAGGAACGTTGCAGTTTGATCTGCATGATCTGTTTGAGGAAGCTCACTCTTCGCTACAGAGGGAATTCCATGCGCCCAATCTGTGGAAACTTCAGGCTTGTCTCTTGTTGCTCTACGAGCGGCCCGCGGACAATGCCACGATCGAAACACCGCGCACGTGGATTCTCTCTGCTCATACTGTGGCGTGTGCTCAGATGATTGGCTTACATCGAGACTCAACAGACTGGAATATTGCACCTTGGGAGAAGAAACTTCGAAAGAGATTGTGGTGGGCGACCTACAATGCGGATATTTGGTCATCAGTCTGCCATGGTAACCCACCGCTAATCTATCCGGGTTCATTCACAACTACAGAATTAGATGGTGAATGTCTCGTCTTTGATGAGGATCTCCCTGTGGAGTTCCATCATTTAGTTGATAACTCTAGCAAGGGAGTTGATGTTTCCACCGGGGCTCGTTTTGAGCAGATGATTAAACTTGATCGGATACTGCATAGGCTGATTGACTCGTACTAGTGAGAATTTCGGGGTTGCTTATTGTCTTGCATCATACTCACATCCTACTAGTTCCGACGCTTGTCATGCAGCTTCTATGGCACAGCCTTTGAGGAGAGAAGAGGACCTGCTGGATATACACACTAAGCTGGAAGAATGGGCTTCCATGATGCCACAGTGTACAACGATGGCATTCTCTCAGCAATCACCCTCATACAATAATAACGGTATGGCAAGCATGAAACCTTATCCGGGCCACACATTCTCAACTTACCCTCCAGCACCACTAAACCTCTCCTTCTTCGCCGTACAAGCCCTCCTCTACAGGGCTTTAATGAGCCCCGCCAAAATGTCCGCCAAATCCGAACCAACCTCCTCCCTCCGCCGACACTTCCCACACGCAATCACCTCCTTCCAAAAATTCACGCAATTCATGTCAGGCATTACGCAACCATGTCTCAAAGCATATTGGGGTGGCCGTACGTAATCCGCCTCGATGATTTGCAGTCACATTCCCGCCAGACACACAAAGCTGACCTTGATTCTTGGCGGCCTCCTAGATGCTCGATCACAGTTAACCCTGTGCGGCAACTTTTTGATCTATCTTTTTCTGCTTGCGTCGACGCCGTCTCAGGTACATGCTGCTTTTGGCCTTCTGGAGAGCTTTCATGAGTCGCTGCAGAGACTGAGGGGGTGGGCGGATGATGATGCGTCGTTGGCGCTTGTTCGACCTGTTGCGTTGAGGATTGATTCTTTCTTTATTCAGGCTGCCAGGATTATGAGGACGGGGATGGAGTCGCGCGTGCGTGTTGGGTCGGATCTTGTGGCTTCGTAGTTGGTTGTAAATATTGCTATGAACTCATGATCTACGACTGATGAAGTGAGTAGTATCACATCTATCAATCATGTAGGGGCTAGGCCCAATCAACCAAAAACATCAATGACGCTCCGAGGCTTGCTGTACTTTCCAATCGGAACGTACTCAACCTCATCGAATCCCATCGAGCCCGGTCCTCCCAGCTCCATTCCTCTCTCGCTATCAGTCCAGTGCGGCGATGCGGCGATGGCAATGATGACAACCTTGAGCCCAAACTTATACTCCGGGGTCCCGAGACCGGCCCCAGTCTCTGCATCAATAACAGCAATCAAGTCCGGCACAGAAGCCAAGATCTTCGACTCGCCGTCGACCACCGCTTCAACGAAGGCATTCTCATTCTTGAATAGAACCTTGATCAACACCTTCGCTCCATCGCTCGTGGTGCCTTCCACTTCAAGAACACCATACGTATGACCCGTCTTCAGAACCCGCTCGACACTGGTGATTTTCCCCTGTCCAAGAATCGCCGCGCTCTCTGGACCACCGACTTCGTCAATAATGCGCTGTGTCTTATCTGCAATCGTCTTCTCCAAGGCCACAGCCCGTCCAATCCACCACGCCAGAGAAACGGTATTAGCCACCGCCTGTTTCCTCACCGTCTTGGCTTTCTTAGGTGGCCCAGCACTCCCAGCCCGACATCCCATCTCCACGCACGCAGCTCGAAGAGCCTTATCCACCAACCGGTCCGTCCTCGACCGAGTCATCGTGATAAACGACCCATCTCCACTCGCAATGGTATTCGGAACCAGCGCATCGCCATTCGACGAGCCATACGCGTTCGGCGTGACCTGCCAGGTCGTCGGGTATGCGCGTCCCATATAATCCGCATCGACGCAGGGGACTCCGTAGTTTGCGGAGACGCTCAGGTTGAGCACGCCGTTCCCGCCGCCGATTTCGAGTGACAGGAAGCCGGAAACGGGTGGGCTTTGCATGACTCGCATCAGCTCGTCGTGCGCTTTGAGACATTCGTTGTTCTCGAGTCGCTCCATGCTCACTTCTGGACTGCCCATGCATCCTGTCCAGCCTACCAGGGAATCGTCTGGTAGGTAGTCGGGTGATACGACCTTCAATTTGCCTGGGTTTTGTTGGAGGGTTGCTTTGGCCTTGAGGTATTCTTGGTATGGATCTCCGCCGCCGCCGCATCCAAGGACCTTGCATCCATGTGCAATGAAGGCAAGATCAGTTGGGGAAATAATCCATTGCTTGTCTTTGATCTCGGGGCGATACTTTTGGACGTCCACGTTTTCCTTGATATTGAATCCCGCATCAGAATTTCTTTTGGCGGTTTCCGGCTCTTCTTCTTGCCCGAACTCTTCAATCGGGTTCTGGGCCGAATGCTGCAACACCACATCCAGCTGCCCAATAGCCCTGATTAAGATTCGCGCTTTTGCCTCCACATACTGAATCGGAAGCATTGTTACCTCAGCGATCTGCACAGTCCCAGACTTGGCTCCATTTTCAATGGCTTTCTCAATTGCAAGTCGACAGACTTCCTCCTGAGCTTCTTTCACCGTCCGATTGGAGGTATCGACAACAGTATCAATCACCCCCGAGACTCGCGACACGGCAGCGCCAACGGCATTAGCGACTTCTCCACCCTTGACTGTTCGTACGAGACGCACGCCTGACAGAGGCTTGTCGGTTCGAATGAGAGGTGTTCCGCCACCAACTATGAGGACGTCCACATCGCCTTTCTGAATCTTTGTTCGATCGACAAGTTCTTCGATTTTCTCTCTCATCACGAGCTGTGCCTTTTGAATCGTATCTTTTGTCACGTCTGACAGCCTCTCGACCTGACCCATTCTTGCAAATGGATTACGGCCTGTTGGAGAATGCATCTCGGACGCAGCGACTATATCCGTTGAAGTGAGATATTCTCCTCCAAACAGCCTCGCCTTCTCAAGAAGTTCGAGAGCGACACTATCCGGTCCGACAGAAACTGCACCATCCTCCGCAACGCGGACAATAGAGCCGCCACCCAAACCAATACTTTCAACAGCAGGAAGAGCAAAGTTGGTACGCACGCCCCCAACAACACTCATCACAGAGCTCATCCGCGGGAGCCCATTAGGAAGCAACAGTCCACTATCAGACGTTGTACCACCGATATCAATTACCACCAGCGGCTCAGTCCGTTCACCGTACTGCTCACCATCCGCCTCAGCAGCCGCTTGCCAAAGTAGCTCTCCGCCTCGAATGGAGTTCGTTGGTCCCGAGTTGAATGTTCGAATGGGTAGTTCCACGGCCTCCGATGCACTGAAGACACTGCCGTCGTTCTGGGAGAGGTATAGTGTATATGGGTTCTCTTGAAATATTTGCGTCATGCTCTGCTGAAACCCGAAGATAGTTCGCTCAGCCAAGGGGCGCAGTGTAGCGTTTAGTATAGCAGCGTTCTCGCGCGCGAGGAAGCCCAACCCAGAGACTTCGTGCGACAATGTTATTCTCGGCTTGAATCTCGGATGGCCATGCTTTCTCATCCATTGTAGCAGAATGGACTTCGCTTTCTCCTCCTGTCGATGATTCAATGGCGCATACATGCCCGATATGACGACATTGGAAATATTATTCACGACAAGCTCCTCCGCCACAGACTCAATCTCTTTCACGTCCAGAGGACTGATCTCCGTTCCAGAAATCTGATATCCTCCATTGCAAAAGTACACCTTCGGCGACTCGATACAAGCGCGCAGATCGGCGGGGAAGTCGATGAACGGAGGGATCCCTCGCCCGAAGCCTTCTTCGGATCCTCCACAAAGTCGGATAACCGCGACGCGGCGCAGGGCAGGTGAGCGCTGCACGACGGCATTGACGAAGTGTGTTGTTCCGACGATGACGCAGCCGATTGAGGATAGAGAGATATTTGAGGTTTTGATTACTGCTTGGACGGCGTTGGTGATGCCGGTCGTCACGTCCGGGGTGGTTGGGCTCTTGTGAGAGGCGATAATGGAGACGGGGTTCAGGGAAATGAGGACTGCGTCCGTGTTTGTTCCTGTTTATATAGAGTCAGATATACTGTTTCTTCATGTTGCATCGTCGAGAAACTCACCCCCAACATCGACCCCGATGCGATACGCCTGATCCATGACGGTGCCCATGACTACTGCCTCAACCAGTGATCTGTACAATTTTCTAGAATGCCGAGGTCAATTCCTGGAGACTTTATGAGCGATCGCCCCTACCCCTCCTCGATTTGTTTGACAGCTCGACGAAACCCCTCGCGCGATTGCGGGGTTTTAGTTCCCCGATAATCACGCAGTTGCCCGATCGTGATAACGCCTATCCGCTTCGAGAAGGTGTGAGCGCCCTCAACGCATATCTGGCCGACGACCTTTCCAGACTCTCTTTCGCTGCGGGGATTATTCCGATTCCGCTGCTCCGCCGTTATGCGCATAAAAGACTCGGCTCGAACCGCTATGATAAGACAGACTCGCTTCAATCTGTTGTTGAACAATCTAAGTTGAAGCAATTGATCTACTGCATGATGGTTGCACCGGCTACCGACACGCTGAGCATTCCAATTATCGATCTTGATCCTGCGCGCTCTGGGTCTTCGGAGGATACTGCTCGCGTCGCGAAAGATGTCTATCAGGCCTTTAAGCATGTCGGTTTTGCTTATATCAAGAACCATGGGGTTCCGCAGGAGCTTATAGACGAGGCTTTCGAGTGGGCATGTTTGCGTTCTATTGCCATCATAGAAGTGAAGCTCATCGCTAATGAATACAACAGAGCCAAAGGTTCTTCGCACTCCCCCCAATCTGCCAAAGACAAAGCTCCCCATCCCCCGGAAGGCTGGTACCACCGCGGCTACTCAGGCATCGGCCGAGAAAAGGTAGTTCAGATGGTCTTCGACAAGGAAGGAATAGCAGAAAAGCGAAAAACACCCGACGTAAAAGAGTCCTTCGAGCTCGGCAACGAAACCGACGAGCGCATGCCAAATATCTGGGTTCCCGAGGAAGTCCTCCCCGGCTTCCGCGCTTTCTTCACCAAATTCTTCGAAGTATGCTACGGCGTCGAACAGCTAATGCTGAAAACTATCGCCATTGGAATGGGCCTTCAAGAAGACTTTTTCCTGAATTACCATCAGAATAAAACCAATCAGTGCAGGCTTCTGCATTACCCGCCCGTGGAAGAGGAACTTCTTAGGCTGGGGAAGGCTGAGAGAATTGCCGCACACTCGGATTTCGGGACTATGACTATCCTCTTCCAGGATCCGGTTGGCGGGTTGGAGGTGGAGGATATTCATGAGAAGGGCAAGTTTAATCCTGCGCCGTTTATACCTGGCACGGCGGTTGTAAACATTGGGGATCTGCTTATGCGTTGGAGTAATGATGAGCTCAAATCGACGCTCCATCGTGTGAGGGCTCCGCCACTTGTTGATGATTCTGGATTGAGTGGTCGCATGACTCGTCCGAGATATTCGATTCCCTATTTTGTTAGTCCCGATCGGGACCGGGTTATTGACTGTCTTCCCGGGTGTTTTGGGCCTGGAAGGCCGAAAAAGTATGAGCCTATTACTAGTCGAGAGTATATCTCGATGCGGATGAATGCGACGTACTAGGCAGCGAAGATCGCGATGTGTTTGGTCCAATTTGTATACTCTGGAAATCGTTTTCTTATTCTTTGGATTATCATAATCGCGTAACATTCAACTTGATTATCGTCTTCAAATTGAAAATGATATCCAGGATATGAGAGAGGGCTTCTCAAAGAAATCATATATTTATGACTTTGGTACAGTTGGTATCGTATCGCGTGCTGATCGCTCTGTTCCAGCCTCCCTAGCCTAGAACTTGTCCTTGTTGGCCTCCACCCACTCCTGGAATCTCTGCGGGGCATGCTGTGAATACTTTTGAATGTTTCCAACCGCATTGGATGCATCATGGTGCGAAAAGAATGAACCAGGACGATCCACAACGTTGCGAATGAGCCAGTTGACGAGAGGAGGAGGCAGACCATTCTGCACAAGCTGAGCGGAAGCCTCTTCCTCAGAAATTTTGGTGACATCAATCTTCTTGCCCAGCACACTCGCCACGACACCAACAGCATCCTTCAAGCTCAACTTCTCCGGCCCCAGAAGTCCAACCGACCGAACACGTTGACCGCTAACCAAGATCGCGCCTGAAACATCACCGATATCGTCGGGCGAGATCCAATCGAAGGGAGCATCAGGGTTTGGCAGCTTCACTTCCCCTTGTGCGATAGCATGCTTCTGCTGGAAGATATTGCTGGCGAAGTACGCAGGCCGAATAGCGACGAAGTCATTACCAAAGACCTCTTCCAGCGCAATCTCCACCTCGGCGTGGTGCAGCGGGATGAAGTCGTCCGAGGGCACGGCGCGAATATCAGTTTCGATGGAGAAGCTGCTCAGGAAAACGACGAATTCAATGCCCGCCTCCTTGAGAGCTCGCAGAGCGGGCCTCATGTGGTCAGGGGCGCCCCAGACCGCATAGATAAAGGCAGCCTTGGCGCCTGTTTGGTGAACGGCTACCTTGACGGTCTCGGGCTGGGTGAGGTCGGCTTGGACCTTTTCGGCGGGGATTCCATCGAGTTGGGGGGTCGGCTTGGAGGGGTCGCGTACGGCTAGCGATACTTTTGCGCCGTCTTTGTGGGCTCGAAGGGCGGCGGCGGAGCCAACTGCGCCTGTGGCGCCGAAGACGATCACGTTGTTGTAGGCAGGCATTGTGGGTGAGCTTGCGATTGATAAACTCTAAAGAAAAGCTGGCGAGGTATTCCTTTATACCCAATGGAGTCGGAAATGTTCAAGTGCAAGTTCAAGTTGGAAGGGGGAGCTATGACGGAGCTTCGGGCTGCCGATGCCCCGACGCGAGGCTAAGTCCGTGCTTAAAGCCGGGCACTCGGAGTCCTGGACATCTCTACAGCCTCGACGCATTGCGCGTAAAGTCCGGATGATCAATCTGAATGACAAATTGGCCTCCATCCAGCGACTTATGAATTTGATTACTCCAGGGTTCTGCACGGCAGACACTGGGCCCTATGACGACATCTGTACAACTGGAAGCGTGCCACCTTGCTGCACTTGATGTTAGGTCGGGCTATATATCATCGCCCAGAAAGACGCGAATTGGCATCCATGCGTCGCCAACCACTTTCGCCCGAGTCTGAATCCCATCTAGCGCCAGGATATCCCCATTGGAGAGACACCAACCATCCATCAGAAAGTTAGAACTGATTCGATCCGGCGTCACGCTCTTTGGAATCATACTGGTCCCACGCTGAAGCCCCCACATCACACTGAAATTCTCAGCCAGTCTCTTTTCCTGATTGTTCTGGAAAGACGTTTACTCACAGAATCTGAGCCGGTGCCTTGGCTTTCGCTTTCGATATCTTCAACACCGTGGGGTCATCAATCAGGTCCGTATGCGCGTTGATAGGTGATGCGGTGTTTCCACCGAGACATGAGTACGCGGTGCAATGTATCCCTTTGGACTTGCAGTATTCTAGTAGTTTCGGCCTGCGATTATTAATAGACTACCAGTGGAACCACGCCTCTCGAAACTCACGATGGATTATGGGGATGCAGCTAACAGGAACAGCTTTGTTAGAAAATTTCCCGTCTAACCTGACATAGACATAGATGGGTCACTTACCTCAATCTGGTTGACGGCAGGAACAACCTTGCAGGATGGATCGTTGAGAAGCGTCTCTAAGTGAGACATCTGGAAGTTCGAGACACCGATGGTCCGGACTTTCCCCGTATCCAAGAGCTTCTGCATCTCGCGCCATGTGTCAACGAAGTTCCAGTCTGGAAGATGCTTTGATCTGTCTTCTGGATCCGTCGAGCATGGGAAGTGTATCAAAAACAGATCGATATACTCAAGGCCGAGATTTTCCAGTGATTTTTCAAGCCCCTCTCGCACGCGGTGATGCCAGTGGTTATCCAGCTTGGATGTGACCCAGATCTGTTCCCGCGGGACACCTGATGCGCGGATGCCCTCGCCAACCTCTTGCTCATTGCCATAGTTCAAAGCTGTGTCGACGTGTCGATATCCATTCTGCAGAGCGTACTTCACTGCTTCACGAGTAGCATTTTCCTTCGACTGCCACGTACCAAGCCCAATGGCGGGGATGGCGCAGCCATTGTTCAGGTGAAATGTATGAGTGGTGAACTTGTGGTCTGACATCCCAGGCCAAGCTGTACTGTAGTGCCAATGAGAAGCAATAAACCAGATCTTCTGCAATGGCAGATAAGGAGGGGTATTTCAATAGTCCACCAAGGCAGAGATCGGTGTCGGCAAATTGAAAGCAGGCCTCGTTTGCTTCGCCGAAGCTTGATCCGCCGATCTCCTCGTAGTCATGCGGAGACGCGGAATTCCCCAGCAGAGTCTCTACCCGAGGGTCATCTTCTGTCAAGAATGCGATACTCGAGCCCCGCAGGCATCCCTCTCCATTTGGAGAACTGCTATCAGAGACAGCGCTAGCGGCAGTGGGATTGATCGGCCAAGTGAGATCGGTCAACTCAAAAATGGCGAGGATCCGAGGTGTAACACGACGTGAGGGGATGCAAGTACCAATGATCCCCCGCCCCGGTCAAGTGTGCAATGATAAGCCGCGAAAATATGTAAGATGCCGACGGTGCGGCCTGCAGTCCCCTGTGCCCCATAATTCTTCCTGTCGGAGCAGAAAACCGTGGACACTCGAGCGACAACATGGGCTGGTCGTGGCCGTGCCTCAAGGAGAGGCTTCAATGGTGAGTGTCGTCTGATGTTCTCAACGCCCCTGTGCTAACAGCCGTGCAGTCCAAAGGATGAAGATGCAAATTACGAAAACACCACCTGGTGTAACCGCGATTTGATTCCTATTCCGCCAGATCGTCGAACATATGGAGTCTGGTCCTATTTTGGTATGGGGATGGATGTCTGGAGAAGACCCACTTGCTAACAGTTTAACCCAGGATACTGGACCGTGTCGGGATCCTGCATCTCTGCATGGTCGACCGGTAGCACCTTGCTCGCTTTTGGGCTCAGTCCACAGCAGGCGATAGCGGTTGTGGTGAGCACCCAGCACCCGCAATACAAGCACTGAAATCATTTTGTTGACCTGGTTAGGTCGTTGGTGGAATTCTAGCTGGCCTCCTTGCCGTTGCATGCGGCTGGATGGGAGAAAACCACTATATCGGATTCACGGTTTCAAGCAGATTCTCGTGGGGAATGAGAGGGTCATATTGTTCGTATCATATGATTCGTCTCTTGTTCTCAATACTGACATCGTAGTATAAGTTCCTGTTATCTTGCGCAGCTTCGTCTCTTGCATGTGGTTTGGCATGCAAGCATTTTGGGGTGGGCAGGCAACTCGTGTCATGATAGGCGCTGTCATACCTGGTAAGGCCATCGTTCTTGATTCAGATGGACGTCCCTTTTCTGACATACATGTTGAAGGCTTTGCTCATATGCCAAATTATTTTGCTGCCAGCTCCCACCTACAAACCAAGGACTTCATTGGGCTTGTCATCTGGATGTGTGCATTCATTCCCGGATTGCTTATTCGGCCCGAGAAGTTGCAATTGCCTTTTGTGATTTGCTTCACATTTTTCTGTGGCTCGTGTTTTGGTTTACTGATCTGGTGAATCCATCCCTGGCCTCGACTCGAAACTTGGACTGACACATGAAAAAGGAGCGTCTCCCAGGCCCACGGGCCAGGAAGCATGTTTCAAAAGCCAGCTTCAGCGCCGAATGTCGGTTGGGCATTCATGTTCGGAATTACCGCGATCCTCGGGTCCTGGGGATCAGGAACCCTCGGCCAGTCGGACTGGACTCGATATGCCAAGCGAAGATTCGCTCCGACTCTGTCTCAACTGATTGCTTCTCCATTGACTATTGCCGCAACAGCTACCATTGGAATCATTGTTACTAGTGCCTCGCGTGATATCATGGGTGGTGAAATTGAGTGGAATCCCATTTACCTGCTGGCTGACATTCAAGATTTCTATGGTTCGAGCCCGGGGGTTCGTGCTGGTGTGTTTTTCGCTAGTATTGGAATGGTCTTTTCTCAGTTTTCGGTGTGTGGAGCTACTCTCCGGGTTGGATATCCATGGTGACTAACTTAGGCTCTCAGATCTCGGTTGTTTTGAACTCGGTATCGTGCGGTATGGACTTGGCAGGTCTATGGCCGAAGTACATCAACATTCGAAGAGGCGGATATATCATGGCATGCATCGGCATAGCAGTTCAGTACGGTTTTCCCTCCTTACACTTCTTATAGCCTCTGGAATTAACATCTTCAGGCCATGGCAACTTCTTTCCACTGCAGAGAAGTTCCTTTCAGTATTAAGCGGTTTCGGTGTCTTCATGGCCCCAGCAACGTGAGTCAATAAGACACCAAATCAAACAAATGACCTCGCTAACTTCGGCTACAGCGGAATAATGCTCGCAGATTATCATATTGTTCGAAGATACAAGCTCAAACTCGGCGATCTGTACCTTGGCGACAGCTCCTCTATATATTGGTTTGCCGATGGAGTCAACTGGAGGGCTTTCATTGCCTTCCTCTCAGGCATGTGGCCACTCTTGCGTGAGTATCCCTTTCAGCGAATGCAATAGTTTCGGTACTAATCCATAACAGCTGGGATGGTTGCCACGGTCAATTCCTATTCTGGTGCTCAGTGGACAGGCTGGATACGCTTGTATAACTTGACCTTTCTTGTCGGACTTGCTATGAGCTTTTTTGTATTTTGGGTATTGTGCCACTTTTTCCCTCCCACAGGACTCGGGGAGGAAGCAGCTTTTGCTCATGAGGAAGTTTTGTATGGCGTTTCAAAGCCTGCAAGGAGTGATAAATGTGAATTTACAGTGCAGGAAGGAGAGAAAGAAGTGGCGGTTGCAAATGTCGTCTAACGCTAATTAGCTCACATTCATTTTCCAAGTCAATGCACCTGTTCCAAGTACCATGATGTTAAACACTGCACCATTGTGTGAAAGAAAATCATATGATGTATCGAAATTTTCGGGCTACACTAGTATGATGCTGTGATCATCACATGAAGTTTGAATCGGTTTAACTAGTTAGTTAGATCCAATATATATCATTAAGAACACATCCTGCCAGTCTTTGTATTGCTTAAAGACAACACAAACGAAACTGATCTGTAGGAATTCCAATTACACTGTGAGATGGTGTCACATCTGAATCATACAATTTAAAGTTCTATGTCTATTCCAGTCTTGATATTCCAGTATGTTTTGAGTCCATCTAATCACCAACCAACCCACATAAACGTCAACGGCTTGGCAGAAACAGGCGGGGCACGCCGGCAAAAAATGCCGACCTCCGCAAGGAACTCTTCACCGCCGGAGAGGCTGGTAAGTGTCTGCGGACGCGGGTGACGGTCGGTCTCGAGCCAGCCAGCTCAATTGCACTTGAAGTTTTGCATGCCTGTTTTCTTCACTCTTACCTGCTCCCCACATTTACGCCCCACAAGCGCTAGGCCAGGCGCCCCCGGTTTAGCCTCTCTAGCCTCCGCACGGATCACCCTTTCTCGCCCCCAAACGAAGCTACCCCTCGAGGTGAATTTGTGTCGAGTCTCGCCGTCGCACCAGCGAGTCCCCTGATTATCTCGTCCAATTTGTCGCCTAAACATAGCGTATTGATCGACAATGGCGGATGCCGGAATGGACGAGTTTGCGCAGACTCGTGGCGCCGACGATCTCTTTGACGATGAGATTATTCCTGTCTCGGCGGAGGAACAGCAGATCGAGACGGAGGTGGTTCCGGAGGTAGAGCGAGCACCCTCGGAAGAGAAGCCTCAGCCCGAGAAGCCGGCTTCACCGCGTGGTGAGCCCGCACAACGAGGACGTGGGGGAGAACGTGGGCGAGGACGTGGACGTGGCCGGGGCAGAGGTGGACGCGGCGGACGCGAGTCGCAACCGACTGAGCAGAAACGAACCGAGAGCGTGCCACAGAAGAACGGGACTGCGAAGAAAGGACTCGAGACTAGCCGGTGGGCGTCACAGGAAGAGACACCTGAGAAGCCTCAGGAGCCAGAGAAGGAACAGCCTGTTCAAGACGACGGGGAGAAGGCCGATGCGCTTGCAGATGATACAGAACCAGCACGCGTTCCAGCCGTCCGGGGAGACCGAAGTGCCACCGGCGGCGTCAGGAAGGTAAGACACAACCCTACAGCAATTTCGGATGACCATCCACATTGACGCACTCCAGCCCAAACTCACCGAGGAAGAACTCACTAAGCGCATGGCCGCGGCGAAAGAGCATGCCGCTAAGAAGGCGGCCGCCCATGCTCGGGCACAGGCCGATCAAGCCTCATTCATGGAGCGAGAGCAAGCTGCAGCTAAGAAACGGCGCGAGGAGCTTGCAGCCCGTCGCGTTATGGACAACGAGCGCGAACAAAACCGACAACGCAAGCTCAAGGCACAAACCGGCCGTGAATGGGATTCCCAGAAGCTCGAAGAGGACTACAACCCCCGAGGAGCTGGCAGCCAAAATCGGCGTGGTATGCACGGTGGCGTCTCTGGCTACACTCGACGGGACTTCGAAGCCGCTTCGCCTGAGGATGGCGCTGCTGACCTGCTGAGCCCCGGCCGTGGACGTGGACGCGGTGGCCGTGGAGGTCGAGGCCGAGGACCGTCGCGCGGACCCAAGGGCGAGCGTGCTTCATCGAAGGAGCCGACGGGAAAGCCTGCTGTTGGCAATGAGTCGGAGTTCCCTGCTCTTCCTGCTGGCAAGAAACCCGAAGATTCTCCCAAGCCTGCGGTGGCGACCAGCTCTCTGGAAAAACCCTCGATGGAGAAGCTGGAGGCTACCATGTCCCCAGTCACAGGCAGCTGGGCCGACCAGGTTGACGAGTGATCCTCATACACAGACAGGCCGCGTTTCCTACTTATTTTTCCTTTGGCTCTTTTGAACCTTACGACTCTCCTTTTGTTTTGCATTGCTTACGATACGAAAGACTTTGATTACGCCCTCTACAATTTGATATCCCCCATGTGTTTGGTGTATATGACACTGGAAAAAAAATGAATAGTTAAGTGGAGTTAATATAAGCTTCCTCGAGTGTATTTAAGATTGTCCTTGTTCGTTGGATCCATTGCGCATAGAGGATTACCGGACGGCTACATTAGTGTATTCGTAGCTGCCTGACCTCGTGAACTCGTTAGAAACTACTCATGACTCTCGACAACACTCCGATGCAGGACAAGTCCGCCTTGCTCTGCTGTTAGTAACAAATATTCCATGCCCCTACGTAGAATTTGCGTACGCGGCAATCCTTCTATCTCCAGCCGCTTGACTGCAGGATTTCCTCTTCTTCCGATTCCATTGTAGGTGTCGCAAGTCAAGACGTCCGCCGGATCGAATGGGCCGGCTACAATCTCCACCACGCGAAACCTGTCGAGACGGATTTATTTCGAGTTTCGCAACGAAACAGGCCAGATGGCTGTACAACATCGTTTACGCTTGTTTTAGCTCACGCTGGTGCAGAAGGTGACGCCAGCCTTCATCGCTTCGAGTGCGGTTCGGATAAGGTCAGATCCGCTAGGGCGCGCAGGGCAACCTTGAGTGCAGACAAATGGACTCCTCTCCAGGCGAGTCTATTTCTTGCACCCTTCACATCGCCCAGCGCTCGCACCAAACTACGCCGGGGCAGAGCCACTGGAGCCCCGGCTTGCGAATCTCGAGCCCTGTCGGAGAAATATCGCTTTAACTATTGCTGGCAGGTCCACGGTGGGGCGCACCTCGGGCGAGCTAGATTGATAAACGATCGCAGCTCGGGTCTACAGGGCCAACTTGGGGCTATGGCAAACTCGGTGAGCCTCTGGACTGCTCAAAAGAGACAGCAGGGACAGCAGACGCGACGACGGGCGCAGTCGCCAGGGGCCATCGCTCCACTTGGGCCATGCTTAAGCCCAGAGACTGACGCGGTCTCCCCCAAATTTGGCACCCTGCGCGCCTTCAGCCTCTGCAGATCTTCAGCCTGGCCGGACTTGACTTTAACCGCCATCGCTATTCCGGGCAAAGGGCCTGCGAAATCGGACTTAACCACCAAATTCATGAACGCTCGCCAAGGTTCCACCTCGGACCTAACGAGCCTTTTATTGGATCGATGCTCTCCTGAACGGACCCAAAACCAACCTGTTTTACCATGCAGCACCTTATTTTCATAAGGAACAATGGCGCGGCAGTCCCAGCAGCAGCTTCATTCCACTCGACTATCCGATTCAGCTTAGGGCCCTTTTCTCTATTCAAAACGCCTAGTCTGCTGCCTGGGCCGTGTTTGGCAACGAGATGACGACGCCGTAGATGGTTTGGGAGTCCTCACAGGGCTCTGAGCCCCATTCGCCATGTTAGTTTCATGGATAGACCTCCTTCCGTTCGGGAGATCAGCGTATGATCGAGGGTGCCCTCTGCTCGAACAGGAAAAATCACCGTCATACCGGTCTGCTATCAAGCGGCATAAATAAAGCCTTGGTTGTCCAGGTCCATCCTACCCACGAGGGTTTTCCAATCGTTGTTCGTTCAAACCTCTAGTCACTCTCTCCCTTTCGCTTCGTACGCTCTTTCGACCCCCGATTCACGACGATGCGTCTCCAAACTGGCGCCTCCGTGGCTGCCTTTGCAGCAACCGCCAGTGCCAAATCCCTCTCTGATGTCTGCACCTTGTCCAACGTCAAGTCCGCTCTGCCTGCCAACGGTACTCTACTCGGAATCAACCTGGAACCGTCCGCTTCCACCGCCAGCGTTGTCTACAATGCTACCGTTGGCGGCGGTATGAGCACTTCTTCGACCACCAGCGAGACCTACAACTACTGCAATGTCACCCTGACCTACACACACCCCGGCAAGGGCGATACCGTCGTCGTCAAGTACGCTCTGCCTGAGCCCTCTGACTTCAAGAAGCGTTTCTACGTTGCTGGAGGTGGTGGTTACTCCCTGTCCTCGGACGCCACTGGTGGTCTGGAGTACGGCGCTGCTGGTGGCGCCACTTCGGCTGGCTACGATGCCCTGAACAGCGTTTCCTACGACGATGTTGTTCTGTACGGCAACGGCTCTATCAACTGGGATGCTACCTACATGTTCGGCTACCAGGCCCTGGGCGAGATGACCCAGCTCGGAAAATACTTCACCAAGGGCTTCTACGGCATTGGCTCCAGCTCCAAGGTCTACACCTACTACGAGGGATGCTCCGACGGTGGTCGTGAGGGTATGAGCCAGGTCCAGCGCTGGGGTGACGAGTACGACGGTGTTATCACCGGTGCCCCTGCCTTCCGCTACGGCCAGCAGCAGGTCCACCACGTTTTCCCCTCCGAGGTCGAGAAGACCATTGACTACTACCCTCCCCCGTGCGAGCTGTCCAAGATCGTCAACGCCACAATTGCCGCCTGTGACCCCCTTGACGGCCGTACCGACGGTGTTATCTCCCGTACCGACCTGTGCAAGCTCAACTTCAATCTGACCTCCATCATCGGCGAGAAGTACTACTGCGCCGCCGAGACTAGCACCTCTCTGGGTTTCGGCTTCAGCAAGCGTCAGGCCGCCGGCAGCTCGACTAGCTACCAGCCCGCCCAGAGCGGCACCGTCTCTGCTGAGGGTGTCGCCGTTGCCCAGGCCATCTATGACGGTCTGCACAACAGCAAGGGCGAGCGTGCCTACCTGTCCTGGCAAATAGGTTCTGAACTGTCCGACGCCGAGACCCAATGGAACAACAACACCAAGAAGTGGGAGCTCGACATTCCCTCCACCGGCGGCGAGTTCGTCACCAAGTTCGTCCAACTTCTGGACCTCGACAACCTTTCCGACCTCGACGGCGTCACCTATGACACCCTGGTCGAGTGGATGGAGACCGCCATGTTCCGCTACTTCGACAGCCTCCAGACCACCGTCCCCGACCTGACCAAGTTCCAGGCCGCTGGTGGGAAGCTGCTTCACTACCATGGTGAATCTGACCCCTCCATCCCCGCCGCCTCCTCCGTCCACTACTGGCAGGCTGTCCGCGACATCATGTACCCCGGTCTCTCGCAGAAGCAGGCCCAGGCCAAGCTCCAGGACTGGTACCAGTTCTACCTGGTACCTGGTGCGGCTCACTGCGGTACCAACTCCCTGCAGCCCGGTCCCTACCCCGAGGTCAACATGGAGATCATGATCAACTGGGTCGAGAACGGTGTCAAGCCTTCTCGCCTCAACGCCACTGTTTCCTCCGGTGACTATGAGGGTGAGACCCAGATGCTTTGCCAGTGGCCGTCTCGCCCTCTCTGGCGCAGTAACACCACCTTCGACTGTGTCAACGACAAGAAGTCAATCGAGAGCTGGACTTACGAGTTCCCTGCTTTCAAGGTCCCTGTGTACTAGATGTACGCTGCGACTAAGAGGATTATGGTGCTGATCGATGCAGTTTTTTCTTCTGCGTCGAGTCAGACCCTTTTACTCTATGTACATTCTACAGTGTAATTGAAGTAAACGATTCAAGTCTTTTTTTAACTTGTTCATTCTTCACTTGCGGATTTTATTTCGATACTCCCTTTCTATTTCCTTTCTATCAGAAAAATATTTTAGCTGTCAATAGCATTTATTTTGGTCTAACACTTCTTGGTTCATGATCATAACACTCTATTCTGAGGAGATTCGAAACGACTCAACACGAGATACAGACTCAACCCCCGACATATAACTCCACCTTAACCAAGGTTAAGCGTGAAAGCCGCGGAAGTCGAACAGCTAAAAGTATCCACATCATCCGACTGCTGATACGCATTCGCACAATCAGTATCACCCACCGCACAAGTGGCAGACGAGCAGCTAGAGTCATCGGTCGTAACGTCAAACCCGGACGAAATGAACAGCGAGTCCGAGTCCAGGTTGATGCAAGAAAGATCCCACCAGAGCGTGTCGGCGCTCTTGGTGTACTCGAATTGCAGGACGCTTTCCTCCGAGTCGGAGGTGGCCATCTTGATCGAGATGCCGCCGCCGTCGGAGTTGGTGCGCCACTTCTCGGTGTAGATGCCGCCGCCCGGGGTGATGGTTTGCATGTTATTGGTTGTGTCGGATGTCGACCAGAGGTAGACGGTTTGGGAAAGGTTGTTGACGATGTTGATGCCGCTGCCGCTGGTTGCGGTTGCGGAGGCTGAGGCTGAGCCCGAGGTAGTTGCGCTGGCGGTGGAGGTGGCTGCTGGGGTGCTTCTGAAGCCCTGGGGGAGGGCAGAGACCGTCGCGGCGAAGGCGGTGAGGCTCAGGTTCCTGAATAAAGACATTGTTGGATTGGATTGCTTTGGAAGGAATGCCAAGCGATATGCTTTTGTTTTTTTTTGTTGAAGTTGAAATGAGGGCGTGTCTGGTCTACAGACGAGAATTGAAGTTGATCGAACGGATTGGAAATAAATTGAGGCACAGCCTCGAAGAAAGAAAAGTGGCTGAATAAAGAGAGCTGTAAGATTGAAGATATTCAAGAAAGGAAAGAGTCAAAGGGGACGAGAAGGGAGAAACCCTTCATTCTTATACACATGGTGGAGTCCCTGTTCAGGGCGAGCCAGCAATTCTGAAACACAAGACTAGCATAAGGATAGGCTACGACGCCAGTAAATGGAGCAATCGAAGGTCTGGAAGCATCCGAGAACCAATGCAATGCCTGGACCTGAGCCTGGTAGCCCTTGGTATACCCTAGGCGGGTAGGTGGGCTAGGGCTTCAACGGGGCATGGTCTACCTCCAGGTGCTGTTTGAAGGCCTAATGCCAGGAACACATCACGAAGATGATCCAGCACTCCACAGGGCTGGCGATGGTGTCGAATAATATCGACAGATCGGCTGGTTCTTTATGTGTGGGTCCCGCGTGGTGGTCCAGACCGCGGCGTCATCACCTTACATGTGGGGAGCAGGAACCGTTTTGAGATCACCGCTGTGGCGGGCTGTGGCTATTCAGCGTCGACATTCGGCCACAGCACGCGTGGCCTTGCGCAATGCGAGGGCACACAATCTTCCCTTTAGGTCGAGGCTGTTCGCGACTGGTTGGACGAGGACGCCCGTTGAGAATCTGTCACATTGTCGCCGTTTGTATTGCAGAGGTGTCAGGTGGGAGTCTGCATCAGACAGACTGCACATTAAAAAACCTTGCCCAAATAAACCATCTCAATTACGAACTGTTGGCTATGCCAAGTACTGAGTGTAGTTGGGGCCGGATCAAAAACAGTGCGGAAAAGCGGAAATCCCGCTGTCGCCTGAATTCCCAGGCCCACAACGGAACTTCCATCCAGCGCTTGCTCCAATGCTCCAATACTCCGATAGGCTGGTTACCAACTACATAAAGTACTAGTACCGTAGAGTAGTTAGAGAAAGTACTTAACAAAAGGTTGTAACTACTCACTTTTCTAGTCATCACGGCTGTAGCTGGAATCCTTTTCGCTCGTATGCCAGCTTGAGGCCTAAGCTTGAATTCACGGAACTCGGCATCTACAAGGACTTGGCGTCCATTGCGCCTTCTCTTGACATTTGGAAGTTGGTGCAATTGAATCGAATCGCACGAGATCCCGCTCAAGCTTGTCTTGGCAGTTGCATTTTCCGGCCTGTGATCATCATGTCACGTTGGTGAAAAAACCGCTTGGATGTCGCAGATGAATAATCCACAACTACGATATGGCGAAACGGCGGTCTATAGAACACGAGTCGGAGGTGTCAGCGGGGGGAAATCTGCAAGTGCAAATGCAAGCAGAAAAAAAAAGGAAACATGCGCCCGGGGATTTTCCGTCAATGGCCGTCAGCCCATCTCAACCGTCGCCCGACCAATTTTGCGATGATACAAAATGCCCGAGTCGGCATGGAACCCAAAATCAAGCCGTTGAGCAACAAAATGTGGGGACTAAGCATATGACATCCACGCTAAAACTATCGGAGATCACCGCGCAAGATCGCAAGCTGGACGGAGCTTCAAGTGCAAATCGGTAGAGCTCGGCTACAAACTGCCGGGAGAGCCGAGACGAGCACCTCATTCGCGTGACTAATGGAAACCTCATCGCCCCCATGGGCAGCTTCCCCACAGCCCAAAGTCGGGGAACAACTTATAACTACTCCAAGGGGCCACAGGGCTCGTGCCGTCGCTATGAGAGGGTTCTCAGGGTTTCGACTGGTGACTTGATATGAGTGAGAAAACGACTCACCCCGAAACGGAGCATGACCACAATGGCACTCAGCCTGCGGTTGCGGGCACCGGTGTCCTACAGCCAGATGATACGCTCTTGAAACCCAAGATTAATGGGGGTCTGCAGGCTTGGTTGACGGTGCTTGCGCTGTTCTGTGTTTTTGTCAATTCTTGGTAAGGTTTCTGTTCATACATACTGGAGCTTAGAGCTAATCTTGATATCTGTAGGGGTATATTGACCACTTTTGGAGCTTTCCAAGAATACTATCAGACTGAGCTTTTGGCTGATCAATCGCCGTCCGCCATTTCGTGGGTTGGAAGTATCCAGGCGACGTTGATCCCGATGGTCGGTATCGTGTCTGGCCCGTTGGTTGATTCGGGATACATTCGAGCGCTGACTGTCGTCGGGAGTTTCTTGACGGTTTTTGGAATGATGATGACTAGTCTTGCCACGGAGTACTATCAGGTTCGTCTTGTTTTCCTCAATATATCCTCATCCATGTCCTCTGACAATGATATAGGTCCTTCTAGCCCAAGGCTTCTGCGTTGGACTGGGTGGTGGCATTGCCTACATTCCAGCATTGACAGTCGTTTCAACCAGCTTCACCACAAAACGCCCAATCGCAATTGGCATCGCATCAATTGGGTCCAGTGTTGGAGCCGTCATATTCCCCGTCATGTTCCGACAGCTCCAGCCCAAAATCGGCTTCCCGTGGGCAGTTCGCTGCATCGCCTTTGTCAGCCTGCTCATGGGGATCGTCGCGTGCATTATTCTATGTCGACGACCCGGTCAAAAATCGCGCGCCCGGAGCCTTATTGACTGGACAGCTTTCCGCGAGCCTTCCTACATGCTCTTCTCCGTCTCACTGACCTGCGTCATGCTCGCCTATTACGTTCCCATCTTCTACGTCGCATCATACGGTCGCGTCGTTGTGCATACCACGACCAGCCTGTCATTCTACATGGTGGCCATTGTAAACGGCTCGTCAGTCTTCGGCCGTGTTGTCCCTTATCTTCTCGTCGCATACGTCAAGCCCATCGCCATCTTGATATTCTGCGTCACGGCTTCGGCAATTGCGATGTTTACCTGGATTGCCGTCAGTGAAGTTGCAGGTTTCATTGTCTGGGCTTGCTATTGGGGTATTCTCAGTGGTGTACTGGTCACAGCGCCTACCTCTATTGTTGCGCATCCTGTCTTCTGCTCCAGTCCCAACTGGATGGGTACTCGGCTGGGCATGATGTGGGGTATCTCGTCCTTTGGCGCTTTGGCGGGTACGCCAATCGCAGGAGCATTAGTCGATCTGGAGAATGCTTCGTTCTTACGCGCCCAGGTTTTTGCTGGTTGTGTTATGGTTGGTGCGGTACTGTTGCAATCGTGGCCTGCTGTGCAAGTATTCAGCTACGATCGAAATAATCCTCGGTAAATACAGGTGTTCATGTACATAATTAATAGAAGTTCCCTTTTCAACTGCTTCGCAGTCCCGAATCAAAATTCATAAGTCGAAAGCCAATTAAAGATACTAATAAAGACGAACTTCAAGCGCGATCTGCCATTTTCGGCAGTTTCGGTAAATCTATTACATTTGTTCTTTTGGGCTTGGCTCGCACATGGAACATATGATAATGCAATATAAAGACGACCGTAACTCTTTGACTGGGTCGTTTAATTCATGCATCGATCGCAAGCCTCGACTTACCCCAGAAACCTGATGTAGGACGGGTGACTAATATTCATGCCTCAGGCTGACAATAATCATGCCAAGCCCGAGCTCATAGTGACCTCATTCTAAATTCATTAGGTCAACCCATGTATCGCCCATAGTTTAAACCGATATAAAGTGTCCCTTCTCACAATGGTGTCCATCTTCCTATCAATTATCGAGTGTGTAACTCGCTTTGTCAAGAAAAGCCCCAAAGACCGACATCAACAGTCTTGCTAGAGAATGTGAGTTGTTGAGCCTGCGCCTCACTATACTACCCCGGCTTTCCACTTTATAGCCTCGAACGATAAGCTTGGGCTAACAGATCGCAAGTTCTAGTTCATACCAGACATGCCTACATCACCCACCCACAGCCAATCCGCCACCGCCGTAGCCGGCGGCACCGGCACTCAGCCTACCCCAGCCAACAATGTCGGCGGTGGCGATGACGGCGGCTGGGGCGATCGTATCTTCCGCAAAGGTGGACAAGACGATGTCTTGAATCAAGGAACTGGCCATGTCCCTGTATGTCTGGCCACGGGTCCTACAAATATCACATGACGTGAAAAAAGCAAGGCTGACGTTCACTTGTGTTCCATAGCCCAAGGCCGCAAACGAAACGATGGGAAGCTTCCTTGGTCTCCGTGACCAGAAGACTCGTGCCGAGAACAAGTATCTTGAGCGTGTAGATTTGGCTTCGGATGGCATGAAGCCGATGACTGACAGCGGCGAGCCGACCTGCGCGACCGAGGACCACTCCTTCATGTCCCACAAGCCTGGTGGCTCAGAGACTATGCCTGGCTGGGGGACTATGAAGAACGTCTTTGGAAGGTGAGATTCGGGTGACAAGGCTGGGAGCTTCCATATCTGGCTGACCTTTTCACCAGTATGGGTGGCCATTCGAGTTGAACTTGTCGCTCTAGTTGATATTGATAAGAATGTTTGTATAGTGATGGATATTATTTATGATACGCTATGAATTGATGAACTTGATTAAATTACTGCATTGTGTCCAATAGTAAAACACGAAAATACTCCGCCTATTCGACCTTGGTCTGCTTGGGGCGTATCCGGTCTCGAAGAGCTATCAGCTTGCCAAGAAGGCGGCCCTTCACTGTTTGGGCAACAAGTGCGGTCGCTTCATCGACTGAGACTACCCGTCGCACCAGTATATTAAACACAGTGCCGAACGCAAGGGCAATCACAGTGCTAGTGAGAATAATCACGTTGTAGGGCATACTGAAGTCGGGTGTTGGCAAGGGGAGCAGGAGGCTGGTAGATCGGATATAGAACGGTGCGCTATCTGGTGTGTTGAGGATGCGGATGACGGCTGGAGCGACATTGAACCCGCGGTTGGCGTCAGGCGGATACTCTGTGTAGCGCAAGATTGCCTTCTCAAAATCATAGGTCAGGGTCACAGTTGAAGCCGCCGGGACAGATAGCGCCAATTCCAGTTGTGTACCACGTTCACGGTCAATGGCTGGTCGATAATACGTCGAGGAGACGAGGTCCTTGGTCGGGATCTCTCTTCTAATGCCATCTTGGCCAGTAATCGTCGCCTGCAGAGTGTGGATATAAGGCCGCAGGAACCATGGCAAAGATTCAAACAAGATGAAGTCGACAGCCGTGGTGTTAGACGGATTGCCGAAGATGATGCGCATGCCACCACGCTCCTGGCCATGACCAACAATAGTTCGCTCCGCATTCAAGATGGGCTCTTCAATTGGAACAGGGGTGGTCACAGTCTGTTCCGGGACTGAGATGTCGAAGGCCTGAGAGGGCGACAGACTGAAGCAGCGTGTGAAACCATCGTCCTTCTTGATCTCAGAAGCCTCTTGCGTGATAAATACCTGCTTCTCGTGTGGTACTCGAAGGCAAACTGATTGCTCGCTGGTACCATCAGAACCAGTAAGAGGGCAGACGCCGTCCAGGTTCCGCCCGAAAACTTCAGACAGACTCCAAGCATTGTCAGTTATCCTCTCAAGAGGGTAGCAGGTGTCTTCGGAGTTATAAGGCTTCGAGGTATCGCAGGCTAGCTGGTCATTGGGTAGAGGGCGAGGAATGGGATTAGCTCGAGGCCGCTTGGATCGCTCGATATCAAGAACCATATCCACTGTCTGTTCGATTTGGACGGTACACTCTCCCTCGGCAGTACAGATGGGTTGCACATCCACTGACATGCTCTGCCATGCCGCATCAAACAGCTTGTGACCATCAAACAATGTAGAGATCCCAGCCTTGCCCTTGCAGGGGAGGAGCTTCAAGAACGGCGTCAAGTTTTCTGTGCATACAACTTCACCTGGGAGTGTTCCATGAAGGAGGTGCAGCCCATCTGCACCTTGGTGGTTACCAGCTGGTTCAAATGAAACAACGGGACGCGTAGTTCGGGTCGAGTCCACGAAATTCAAGGAGGCGCAGAAAAGACCCGACAGGGATTGTGTTAATGTGATCCACTTCGCAAATGCCCTGCAACTGTTAGACCTAATATCATAGGCAGCATTCTCGACTAGGGTGGTACAGTAACATACTCTTCATCGCCTGGAGCATCAATCCATGCCCAGAGCTCAACACCAGTCCCTCCTTCTTTGCTGCCACGCCATGGCCGCGAACCCCAGCTTTCGGCATCCCATCGTCCAGTAGTGAATCTCAGATGTAGTTCCTTTGTATGAGCGTGTTGTAGAATTTGGCCGAGCGCTCGGGGGAAATATCGAAAGTGTTGGTTGTCAAATGACTGCTGGGAGGTGTTGCTCCGAAAGTTGAATGAAGCTAGGAGGGAGGATTGGGGGAGCGGTTGGAGGAAAAGCTGTTCATGATAGTCTGGTGACGCAAAAGCAGTTGAGCTCCATGGCGTGACAGCAAGTGCCAGCAAAAGAGAACAGAGGAATAAGGCCGTCATCACTTCATGCCGGAGCTCGGTCGTCGCCGCTCCTAATCCATGCGATGTTGGTGGAGGAAAGCTCCAATGGCGGGAAATTGGGGACAAGGAAGCCGTGGACAATTTTCGTCACCGCAAAAAGCCTCGGAAATATTCAAGGACTCTAAACATCGACAATCGCGCAAGCTGCGGGTGCGTCGGGGTCAAACTACGGCCAGTCAGGTTGATGGTCGTGCCCGCCTTCCCTCACCGCCTTGGAGAAGCTGTTTGCTAGCGCGCCCCCACGAACTCTCACTTTCTTCCTCCGCCGGTCACGACTTCGAGACACGCCTTGCCAACTTTTTCGTTCGTGTCTCGCCTCCCTTCCACGGAGTGCAGGAATTCGTCATGGCGCGCTATGAACAGAGAAGGCTGCTCGAGCAGCTCATGGGAGGTGTGTGCTATCGCATTATCCGCTAGCTCCAACACTCGTAGCTGTGGTTGGCTTCGGTCTCCAGACTTGTGCTAACCGCAACTTTCTGTACAGAGAATTTCAGTACCGGAGCCAGTAGCGAGCCCCAGGTCTCCATTACTGACCCCATTGTCTGTCGCGCCTACCTCGTCGGTACTTGCCCTCAAGACCGCTTCACCAATACCAAGAGCGACCTTGGACACTGCCGCGAGCGACACATCTCGAGCCTTAAGAAGCAGTATCAGGAGGCATCCACTGCTGAGAAGGAAACATGGGGCTTCGAATTCGACTACTTGAACAAGATGCGCGGTCTGCTCGCTGACTGTGATAACCGTATCGATTCCCATCAGCGCCGCCTCGAAAAAACCCCCGACGAGATCCGCAAAACGAAGGAACTGGTAAGTTCCAAGTCCAAAACTTGTTCTCGCACTCTTTCATGCGAGAAGTGCCGGCAGGTCGTCAAGTGCCGGCGCAATCCATGCGGGGACTGCCTGGAGGAATTAGAATTCATATGCTGACTAGCAAAAAGCATGCTCAAATCGGCGAGCTCACCAAACAGATCGATTACGGCGTCGAAGAGGTTAAGGTCTTTATTTCGAAGAACAACGTGCCTCAGGCCTTGACACTGTACTGTTCGCTTGATGCCTTCAGAGTTGAGAAGGGCAAACTTGAGCAGGAATTGAAGGAACTCCAGGAGACCTCCGGCCCCTCCGGCCATCAGAAACTGACAGTTTGCGACGTTTGCGGTGCATACCTCAGCCGACTTGACAACGACCGACGTCTGGCCGATCACTTCCTTGGCAAGCTTCATGTGGGCTACCGTGACATGCGTAAGGAATGCAAGGAACTCGAGGAGCAGCTCAAGGACCGGGTTCCCCCTCAGCGCCAGTATGACGAAGCACGCTACAACGCCTACGGTGGGGGCTCCCGTCGCGGTGGTCAATCCTACGCTGGTGCTGGTGGTAACCGCCGCCGGGGCCGCGGAAGATGGTAGTGGCAAAGCTGCCAATGCTACCATGCCTCGTTCTTACTTTTTCACTCGTTTTCAAACTCGGAATTTTTGCATAGCGCCGGTCGGGGTTTCGTTTCGTTCCCTTAAATGGGAATCGGGGGTATGGCGTTTGGGCACTGGAAACGTGCCATTTTGCAGAGCAATCTGTTTCCAAGTATAACAGGTTCTCATACCTGGTACTCATGTACTAGACTTGAAGCTCTCTTCTGATTCTTCAAGCTTACTACTACACAAATTGGAGCTCTTTTCTGATTTTTCGACATTTTTAATCGTTCTGACTAGCACCCTTGGCGGGTCATACCGCCGACTGGTATTGTAGTACGCAGTGTAGTTCTATCTACCACTTCATCCCATTAAACATGGGCATCGTATACCAGAATGATACGATGATGTATGTTCATCCAATTGATTGCCCCAACAGCGATTGGCAAACCATTTCCCAATGGGCGAGGCCGGAATATGTGTACATTATTGGATTGCAGGAAACAAACCAGATCCAAAATTGGCTAATTCAAATTGTTTAATGAACGTGCACATGACAGAACAAATGCACGGCTCCGATCAACCAAAGGAATACAAGACAAACAAAGTAGTCAGATCCGTTTTTGCGGGCAAATCGACAGGCGGGTGACGCCCGCCAGCCGTGGAAAGTTCACTTAAGTAAATATTCCATAGAAACCAGACCCTGAAGACTCGATATCCAGAACTCCTGGACTGCCATAGTGCAGCCCCAATCCCCCATTGGTAACTAAAAGAACTAGATCTGTACAGTACACGAATGAAGAGCAAATGGTCGTAAGAATAGGAAAATCAGGTGTTTGCCTGCGGAACGTGGCCGTTTGCCTGGGTCTCGAACAACGCAGTCATGAGCACATCATAGTTGGCTGCGGCGGCTGGCTGTCGGGCCAGGATGTCGCGAACGACGTTCAACTGCGCCACTTCCACGTTGGGTGCAGTTTTAAGGAGCTGCTGGATGGCGGGCTCATTCACCTGTGCGCCCAGCACTTGGATAGCGGCCGCCATACCAGTGACGGTGGATTGTTGCGGGGCAGCAGATTGACCTGGCTGCGGTTGGGCTTGCTGGCCATATGCAGCAGGATTTGGGTTGGCGCCGGAGAGTGTGTTTGGAGGGGTTTGAGAAGCCTGAGGGACACCGAAAGGAGGTTGCTGTGGCGTACCACCCACGGCAGTCAAAGGGCTGGCAGTCGATGCCGGCTCCAGGCTGGGTTGATGCGAAGAAGGCTGGACGGATGGAGGGTTGGACTCGCCCGTCTTGACAACGAAGACCACAAGTAGCAGTCGTTCATGAATAGGGCTCTCGAGGGAGTTGTTCTCAAGAAGTTCGATAAATTCGGGCCCGGTTGTAGCACCAGCCTCGAGAGGAACAACATAGGTATCCTTGACAGCCGGAAGTGGGTGCTTTCCGATAACACCGTAGCGCTTGCGGCCCTGGAAGTATTCGAAGAGCCTGTCGAAGGCCGCTCTCTCGTTAGGCGGATTGGGGCTTCTCACAGCAATGACGGACACGTCGGTGGAGGAACTGAAGCGCAGTCCACAGAGATAGTTGCTGGCGAGCTGGATTTCGATACGCCCATCAACCAGCAGTGTCGATGGCGCAAGCTGGCTCCATGGAATACGACCACTCAAATCTGCACCTCCAACGTGTTTTGCGGAAGACGAGAATTCGGCAAGAGAGGCCATGGTCACCTTTCCTTGCCAGATGACACCATCGTCGTTGTAGTCCTTCGGGGAATAGGGAGGCGAATCGGGTTCGTCGTCACGGAGAAGATTGTCGATCTCGGCATCGGCCTGGATTCTGCCATGAGGCACAGGTTCGCGAATGTTTGTCTCGACCTCAGGGAACACATGATCATGGTGTTCGCCAGTGGGTGACGGGCCTCGCCCAGATCCATCGGCCTTTGTCGTATGTTGTGCTCGGGAGGTGATCGGGCTGTGGCTGGCAGGGCTTTCCCCGGCCTCGGTAAGTCGACGAGGCGCTGCAGAGAAGACCGGCTCCGTTGCGGCATGAGTCTCGTCTTCGATGAGCTCTTCTCCCTTGTGTGTGCGTCGAATACGGGGTCCCTGCTCCTGAATAATGATATGCTGTCGCTCGGATTCCCGCTTGATCTCTGCATCCTTCTGCTGCAACTCTTCGCTGGCCATCTCCTCTGGCTTCATCCTGGACAAGGAATCGGGCGAGAGACTACCTACGAGCAAACGATCCCGTAGAGAATGGTTCTTCTTTACGTTGAACATGATCGTTCGTAATTGAGCTTTATACGCCTCGTTGGGCTCCCCTGTCTGTCCGCAAAGATTCCGATACATGGCATCTTCGATAGCGAGACCAAGTTGTCGTGTAGCATCTTGAGTTGGCTGTTCTGCAGGTTGCGAGGTTGCCTTTTTCTGGGAAGAAGCACCGGGTTCTACAAAAAGCTTGATAAGAGCTACCGCCGCGCTCTTTCGAGCGGGAATAGTCAGGTCCTCCACGGAACCGAAGGATGCTGGGGTATCTGGCGTGGGTTCTGATTTGAGCTTTGATGCTCCTCCCGCTGTAGACTGTGGAGAGATGCGTTGCTGTTTCACTTGAGGTTCCTGGAAAAATCATTCGTTAGCATTGTGATGGTCATGGTAGACATAGGGGCGCAAACACTCACCATATCCGCCTCGGTGTTGTCTTCGAGTTTGCGCTTGTTTGTGCTTGACCTCCTTGAGTCTGTGGCATGGCCATTCTTCTCGGGCTCCGCAGAAGCAGAAGCACCTGTGGCAGGTGACACTCCAGGGCCGGGGGTTGCTGAAGTCCCAGCGCGAGCTGGAGTACCGGAGTCTGCCTTGCCTTGGCTCTTTCGGCTGCCCTTCTTGCCCTTCTTGCGCTTTGCTTTCTTCTCCTCAGCCTCCTGGCGACGCTTGGCCGCAACTTCCTCCCAAGGCTTCTCGCCCTTGGCGATCTTGTCAAGCAGCGCTCGGTGGTTCTCCGGTCGACATTGTTCGCAGTAATATTGATCAGGCTCTTCGCCCTTGGCAAATGTGAGGCCCATACAGTCGTTGTGTTGCCATGCAGAACACTGATCGCAGCAGATCATATCTCGCTCCACGTCTTCCTCCTCCTCGTATTCACCACAGATACAGCGTATGATCTCTTCTTCTTCGCCATCTTCGCTGGGTCCGGGAGTCGGTTCGGCGGATGCTTTGCTGGACTTGTCGGTCTTGCCCTTGCCCTTGCCTTTTTTCGCGGGGGCGTCGGCCGGGAGTTCGAGGTTTTTGTGCTGGCCTTTCGTGGCTCGGCCTGAGCGTCGTGGTTCATCTGCATTCCTGGTCAGCATGGTGTTGTTCAGTGCGCGGCTGTCAACCGGGACCATGGCTTGCCATTGCTGCGTAGCCTGGAAACGGCGGCTAGCCAAGGAGGTGTACGAAAGCGTACCAGCCATGAGGAGATATGAACACCGAAGTGTGCTACAGCGCAAGGATAGATAGGGTGTGCGATTGCTCAAGAGCGAAGATATGCGCCTGACCCAGTGGTCACAATGGTCTCTACGGGCTCAGAGGGGCTAGATGAAGCAGAAAAAGAACGCGATACACAAGTGAAGACGCCTGGTGCCTAGTCCACAGTATTACTTGATCACCAGAACTGCCCCCAAGCTCTGTGCGAAAGGCTCCTTTGCACAAGCGTGTGGTGGCAAGGTATGCGCCTTGGTCGTGTTTTGACAGGATTTGCGATCCCTTGCTGCGCGTCACTTCGCGCCTGGCGAAAAGCGGGGTCGCGTGAGGTTTCGGACGTGAAAATCGTTCAGTGTTGGGGATATTGAGTGATCGCTCGTTGTCGATTGATAATTCTGAGAGGGCCGCTCCAGCGGATTCTCAGAGGTGAAGTGAGTCGGGGATGGTGAAAGAAGGATGAAGAACAGAAAGGAGCGAAGGACGAATAAGTGGCTTGCCGCGGCCGCTTAGGTCATCCTGTCATGTGATGTGCGGCAGGCTGGCGATGCTGCTACGATGAGCTTCTCCAGATTCCCCACCGAGGCAAAATCCACTTTGGAATCAACCTGAAACTGGTTGGAATTTCAACTCGACTTTTTCACCGATCCACCATACTTCGCGCTCGTGTCCAACTTTCCTCCGATCGATCCTATTTCTATATCGCGCCAGTCATGTCAGATGTCCGGTCGCTACTGCGGAATGAACTAGCTTCGCGCAAGGGTTCTTCGCCAAACACTGCTGGGAATCGGATCAGCAAAAAGCGCAAGGTCGACAACGGCGATGGCGTAATGCGAAAGAAGCTACGGTCGACCGACTTGGAGACTGTACAGGCTGCTGCCAACGCACAGGATGTCGAGTCGCCCAGTGCCGAGGGTGCAGCTTCCGATGAGGTCTTGAATGATAGGGAAGAGCAGAATACCGCTGGACCGGAGCCACCCCTTCAAATCCACCAGCAAACCACTTTGCCACTTGGACAACCGACACCATCCGCCCCAGCTATGCAAGCTTCGAATACAGTGGACGAGGACGAGTGGGCCGCGTTCGAGCGTGAAGTTGCCGAACCATCACGGGCCCCGCAGGTACCTGCAGCCCTCGCGGCTAATGCGACCGTCTCTGCGGCTCCGTTAACGAATGAGGAGCTTGCAGCACTGGGACAAAGACAGACAGCATCAACGGTTCGCGCACGAGAGGCTGAATTGGAGGGCGAACGCGAAGATGCTGCGCGATTCATGGAAGACGAGTTTGACGAGATGGAGCAGCTGGAGCAGCGGGTACGAAAGCTGAAGCAGATGCGGGAAGAGCTCCGGCATAAACGCGCCCAAGACGAGTCGCGGGATCAACTGATGGTCCTAGACGAACAACAAGAGGCAGAGGAAAGTGATAGTGATGAGGATGAGGATGAGGAATGGGATGATTGGCGATTCAAATGATTTCATGGGCGAAGAATGATGGTTGACACACAATGGGAGATCAGGCCTCCTTTAATCTACAATGATACCCTTGGAAAATTGGAACGGAATGTTGCAATACCAGACAAAGAAGCAGGCTACTATGACCTGGGCGATTCCTCAACACCCCGGCGCACAAGCTGGAAGCAAGCAATTCGATGAACTACTAAGCCATATGAATGATGAATTATTTTTTTTTCTAAATTATTGACAGTCATCATTATCGACTGGGCTCCTCTTGTTCTCCAGTCGCCTCGTCGACTTCCATATAGCTGCGCAGTCCATCTCTGCGAATCTGCATAGCCTCAGCTATTTCAGCCTCACCTTCTCGTAGAAGATGCTTGCCGCGAAGAAGATCTCCACGATTTCTTCGCTTGTCTTCCTCCACCTGTTTTTCTCTTTCCGCCAGAGCCTTTTCACGTTTCTCTCGTTCCCTTTGCTTTCGATCATATTCCTCTTGCTCCTCCGCGGTCATTTGTTTCTCGGGTGGCGGAGGTAAAGTAGAAATAAATGCCTCGATCAGTGGATCGCGTGTTTTGGCGGGGAGCCCGATATATCGAATATCAGTAATGATCAAAGTCGGAAGAGCCTGAATACTTGACGAGCGATTGAGAGCATGAAGAGGCGCGGATTTGAGAAGAGCAGAAAGATCCGACTTCCGAGTACTCTCAGGAAGCTTGAGGCGGGAAATATAGTCGCGGTAAAATTTCTCTCGCTCTTTATCGGACAGCTGTGAATCTTTCATCTCTGTTTCTTTCCGATATTTGCGCTTGAATTCAGGCCAATAAAGTTTGGGGGTCGCACGCTCTTGAAGGAAAGACAAATACTTGATCCGCGGATCTTGTCTTTCTTGCTTCGCCTTTTGTTCTCGAACGTCTTTGATACGATCACTGCTCCATCTTGAGAAAATTTCTCGTCGGCTTTTCATGTTCCCGGGTGCTGTGTATCGGGAATCCTCGATGATCCGACCTTCTTCGATGATATTCTCCCATGTGGCAAATGGGTTTATGTTGTAGTCGTCAAGGAGGTCGCGGAAGAGCGCTTCGGCATCAGCATCTGTCAGTTCAAGGCCCTGGGCGCCCTCATCCCAGTCGTCCCCGGGTTCACCGTACTCCTCCGGGTCAAGGCCATATTCTTCACCCATTGCCTCGAGCTGATATGCCATGTCCTCTTCCGTGAATTCGACCGGTTCGTTTTCGGGGGCCTTGCTCTCGGTTCGAGCACGCTTGACTGGCTGTCCCTCTTCTTCATCTTCACTGTCTGTGACTTCGACCTCTTCGTACTCATCGTGGTCTTCGGCAGCTTCCACGGGCTCGGGCGCTGTCGAATTTTGTGCAGGCACCTCACTGGGCTTCCCAGGCCCTGGCGTGGTCTTTTCTGGGGCAGTCGCAGTCTGTGGCTCCTCCGTCTCCTCTCCTTGCTCTTTTCTCTCTTTCTTCTCCCGTTCTAGGCGGTCGTACTCGACCACACCTTTCAGAACCTCCTGGGGGAATTTCCAGAAACTCTCATTGGTTTCTAGATTATGAACAAAGCGCCGTCCGAGCTTGGTTTTCACAAGCACCCAGGGTGCGCAATCCGGGATGGAATGTTTCGACTTCGGTCTATCATGAGGTTCTCGTCGGCCACGATCATGTCCCTTCCCTCCGCGAAAACCTCCTCGACCGTGAGTATTTTGTGGGGTCTCATGCTGTGCGCCGCCTGGTTGAAAGCTCGCGGGGCCATACGGTGTGGAGGAAAATGCTGGTAAAGTTTCTGGGGCGTAATATGGAAGTGTTTGGGAAGGCGCCGGGGCTGCCGGCGCAGGTTCAGGAACAGATGCCTGGGGTCTCGTATATGTTGACTGTTTCGTAGCGGAATTGTAATAGTACAAATGGCCTATGTCGGGGCTGTGAGTAGCCAGAGACGTTAATGCTAATTCAAGGTGTAGACCTACCAGTAGGCGCTCGGTGTTCTGTCCACCCTGGGGGCAGCGGTGGCGGCGGAGTGTATGTTGACCTTAGCATATTGACAGGAAAACCAGCTCAAAGTTCCTTGGCTAAGGCTGTTCTTGTGGCGCGATGCTGGACCGCAGAAGCGCAAAACCAAAGCCGCGGCTGGAAGCTTTGGTGTGGTGAGGTGGTCCGAGCTTGGCGGATGACAGAGGACGCGCCAGGGCGAGTTGCCTGGAACTTCCTGGAGCTCACCGTCAACCACCTCCCCCATTCCGCTCTTCCTCCACGACCTCGTTCAACTCGGCTCCTGTTCTTGGTTTTTTTACTTGCTACGTCTGTGTTCTCTACATCATGTCTCGACGTTACGATTCACGGGTTGGTCGATCCCCGCCATTCGGTCGCAACAGCTCCAGCTAACCTATGACGATGCTCGGTAGACCACCATTTTCTCCCCTGAGGGCCGTCTGTACCAGGTCGAATATGCCCTTGAGGCAATTTCCCACGCCGGAACCGCCCTTGGTATTCTAGCCAAAGATGGAATTGTCCTTGCTGCCGAGAGGAAGGTGACCAGCAAGCTACTCGAGCAGGATACGTCCGCCGAGAAGCTTTACACAATCAACGAGTGCGTGAACAGTCCTTTCATCTGCGACTCGGCCTTCGTGTTCCAGTCTTGCCTTTATGACGTCCAAGCTAACCATCCGCAGTAACATGATCTGCGCCGTTGCTGGTATGAACGCCGACGCCAACATCCTCATCAATTACGCCCGTCAAAATGCCCAACGCTACCTCCTCACCTACAACGAAGATATTCCCTGCGAACAACTCGTCCGCCGACTGTGTGATTTGAAGCAAGGATATACCCAGCACGGTGGTCTCCGTCCGTTTGGTGTTTCTTTCATCTACGCCGGATGGGACCACCTTCGTCAGTTCCAGCTCTACCAGAGTAACCCGAGTGGAAACTACGGTGGCTGGAAGGCTACAAGCGTTGGTGCCAACAACGCCAGCGCGCAGAGTCTGCTTAAGCAAGATTACAAGGAGGACCAAACTTTGCAAGAGGCTTGCGCCATGGCCGTCAAAGTTCTGAGCAAGACGATGGACTCGACAAAGCTGAGCAGTGAGAAGAGTAAGTGGCTCCTTAGTTCTGGCTTCAATATAACCCGCTCCTGATCTGCGGATCGGATTGGGCAATCTCGTTTATTTGTGACGATACTAACCAGCTATTTCACACTACGCAGTTGAGTTCGCAACAGTGGGTAAGACCAAGGACGGCAAGATCTACCACCATCTTTGGAGCGCAGATGAGATTGATGCCCTCCTGCGGGAACAAGGGCTGGCCAAGGTTGACGATGAGCCTGAGGCGGGTGACATCAAATAAAATAGATCAATACCTTCGCCTGTGTTCTGAATACTTGCAAATCAAGAGCTTCGGTCTATCGCTACTTCTGTGCTCCCAGTATCAATCCCCGTACGGCAGCAGATAGTTTGCGTTGGTGTCTGCATCGCGTGCCGGTGTCAAGTGACGTGGCAGATACCTACCGGCCGGGTCTTAGCACTTGCTCTTTCGCTGTTTCTAAGCTGACGAGATGTGTTGTAACGGCATCAAACAAATTTGTACACGTAGTCTGACAACTCTGGAAGGTTTAGGCAGTTGGCTCACATGTTGGGCCCAACCGTAAATTCTCCGATGAAGATCGCAGGGTATATAACTCCCGTTGCCAATCCATCCCCGGACTTTTTGCCACTGATAGAATCGCAGGCCGCGCAGTTGCCGGTGCTTTTCTCACTCATTGATAGTGCTCCACCTGGACTTTCGCATAATCCAAGTTTTGAATTCGGCGCTTCCAATGCTGCAACTTGTGTTTGGGTCAGATTGAGCAGGAAGTAAGGTGCTGCGATGTCGATACTATCCATGGATGTGATGTCATCGCATATTTTGATATTCCTGTTGGTCAAGTGCCTCGTCATTCTGTTGTGTGTTCTTCTTCCTCTGACCATTTCAATTTATACCAGACAGCGTTACTGCTCAGCACTTTCATCCCGGATGTGCCATCGACCAATCATCGACAATGTTCCCAGTCATCTAAGCGATCGCGATATCTACAGGTGCTCTCGCGCTAGAAGTAAGCTGGGGCCAAGCAGCTAATACACCACGAAGAGTGCACTGAGAACATACTAATTTTTTCCGATAGAATTGAAGATTACAGCTAGCACCGACACAATGCTTTTGGTCGAAATGGAAAATATCAGGGAGGGAATCATGCATGTACTTGGAGATATATCGGACACATTGCGGCACACCTCCAGGGTTGCTCTCCACCCTCATATCTTCATTTGTGAGCCGGCGATTTCTCGCAAAGAAAATCCAAGTATCGCCATGACATTTGCAGATCATATTGAATCAGCCACTATCCTCCGGACCATACAAGGCAAGGCAGACCGCTACTATCAGCCATTTCACCCCAGGGCCTGAACACCAAGCACTGACATAAGCAGTATACCTTCACGTGACACGGAGAGGATGAGGGGTTTCACTGCCCACCTGGAAACATTCCTTCGTCTTGAATCCATTGAGAGCTGGCCTGGTCCTCTCACGGGATGAATGGCTAATATTCAAAGTTCACCAGACCCAGGTGGCTTCTTGCTCGGGAATCCGCAGCATAACCCCCTACTTTTGCCCCTGACGAGACCCGGACCGTCTCAGCGAACCGCTCACCCCGAGACCAGGGCGCTTATGACAAGACTAGGCTCCATCCATTTACCCATTGACCCATTGGACCTCGACAGCCTATAGAATCGACAGAAGAACTCCGGACCGCCAATAATCCCTTCAGAGATTTTCAGACGCTATGGGGCGGTGCTACCCGTCACATTGCAGAAATTCGATTCGGACCTGATGTCAGACTATGTGCTTGTGTGATACATGAATCTCCCTTAACATTCCTCCAGCCGATGGATTCAAGTGTTCGAAGGAAAACGAAAGCAAAAGAACCAGTCTCCCAAACTGAAAATAATTAAAAAAAAAGTAAATATGAAACCACGAAAACGAGGACCAAATCAATACAGCCACTCGTTCGCTCAAGGAAATACCGCCAATTTTTGTCGATCTCGGTCACATCTTATCGCACAAGGGTGTTGCGTCGATCCTCGCGCTCTCGCTGCAAGGTGTAGATTTCCTTGTCCAGATCCATGATGAGTTTCTGGGACCGGTCCATCGAGGCTACCAAAGTGGCCCCCTCACGTTTCCACCGTTCAAGGCGCTCGACCTCGGCGCTTCGCCGGCGGAACTTGGTATCAATCTTTTCGCAGAGGCGGCACTTGCTGTTCTCGTTTTCGGTCATGTTGACGAGTTTCATGCCGCACGTTTCGCCGGTGCGATACTCGTAATTGCACCGGTGGGCGAAGCTAGTCCAGCTCCAGTCCCCGCACGAAAATCGCTTCTGATTGTAAAAGCACATGCCTATCAGATGCGTTAGTGCCGTCCGATCCGGAGTGCGATCAAACTCACTTGCTCTTGGGCCTGGGGTCTTGTCTCAGGTAGGTTGATGGTACACAATTGGCTTTGCCTGACCAATCCTAAGCGTATCTGACAAGTTCGATAGGCTGGTCTTCGACAAAATTCTGGTCGAAGACTTTTAAGTGGTTCAAAAGAGACGAAAGTATTCCTGGCAAAACACCAAAGGCTTTTGTGAGGAATATCTATGGACCTCGATTGCTCTCTTGAGGCTTTGAACTTGAAACTCGTGGGGATGAATTCGAACCTAACGACCTGTCAAGGGGATCCGAAAGCTCTATTTATGTTTCGGTCGATATTTACATGTCACCGCCAGCAACTCCCAGCTCGTGTCGTCGTCCTGCTGATCGACATTCATCGGTGCGGGACGGCTTATCGTCCGTGTTTCCCAATCCTCGGATTTCACCTCGCAACCTGGTTGAGGTCGATCCGGTTGGCTGTCAGCAGTTCTCCGTGTTGTGGAGACGGTAAGATGCCCAAGGTATTTCTCGGATGGAGCCACCAAGAAGGAACCGTTGCTTCAAGCATGCATGCAACTTCTTGCCTGTGGCGATTCTCCGTCCCCATGATGATGTACGCCAGGTGGAAAATCCCTCAGTTCATGGCTGTTATCCTCCAATTCTCGGTCTCGACTGCTGCAACTCTGCCGTCGAAAAATTGTATTTCCCCGCCTCCATGTGCATGCTGTTCGCATGGAGTCATACTCCTGTGACCGTGTTGCGTTGTGCATCGTTGATCCTGCATGATTGAGTTGCTCTCGGCCTCTGCCAGCTGTCACCTTGGTGCAATTAACAGACGCCTCTAGCTTGGAACTATACGATTTACGAGCAAAAAGAAGAAGTTGCTGTTGTTTCCGGATGTGACAGTGCTGCACGTCCCCTGTGACTCCGCCCCAAATGGGATGTTTCTACATTCCACTTTTCTTTTTCGCCCGGCGTTGCCACTCAGGATTGGCCTCGATATACCAATTATCTGGGACTTGCATTCAGCCGTCAGACCCAGAACCCTTTCTCTGGTCCGCGGGAGGATCCCTCTTCACGTCGCCGTCTGTGTGATTGCATACGCATGCACGCCCGCATAATGCCATTCCATCCGGTCCTTCCCTCGCCATCTCATTTTCTGCATTGGGCAATAATTCAGAATGGAATTGGTCTTAGAGTGTGTGCTGCAACCCGTGCTAGTACCATTCCATGCTTTCCCTTGCCGAGCCTTACTTGCAAGGATGATAATTGCGACCTGATTTCGTCCCACGCCGCCGCATCTTTCCGCTCCGTGCCTCTCAGCCAATAGTCCCCTCACCCAGGTGGCAACAAGTCGCGTCACTGAGGCTTGACTATTGGTACTTCCTGCACTCAGGGACACGGGCCACGGAAATGGGTTTGTCTGGCTTGTCTCCTATTAACCCCTCGGGGTTTAGACGGGATACATTCTTCTTCGTTCAGCTGATCTTTCATGCCTGCAGAGGAGGGATCCTGCATCTGTCCCCGCTCATGTGTACGTTTCACTTCCACCCATTTGCCCGTTTGGGGCGAATTGATAGGGTCTCAGTGCCGTGCGGCGCGGCCGTCGCAGACACGAACCGTGACACCTTCCACATATTGCTCTACCACATGCACCTGCACCAAAGCTCGGAGACTCTGACGTGGCACTTTTCTTCTGGCTCGTGGGCTTCTCAATTCCCGGTAGCGAAGGCTGGCTGGGAGACCGTGGGTCGAAAAGACCAATGTCTATGGATTCTGCCAAAGCTCCACAGGAACGACCCAGGCTTTCATCCCCGTCATTGAGAACCGTGCAGGATGGTCAATTTGTTTTTTTTTTTTTTTTTTCTGTTCGTCTTGCGCTTGAATTAGAAAGTGGCTCTACTCATCCAGCTGGGGTGATTTTCCGATCCACCTGGTGAGAATCCATCGATGCGACGCAAAACCATCGGAGGCTGCCGCACTCACCACGCTTGATGCCTAGAAGACGGGGAGCTGATCCATGGCGAGATGTTGAGTTGGCACCCAGGCATCCCTGAACGGCTGCGAACTGCCTCAATGGGTGTAATTTCGGAGACGATTGATCCATTTCGAGCGAGAACTGGTTGCATTGACCCCGAAACTCTCGAATCAGCTTTCTAAGCCCCCTGCCTTGTTTCCTCTCCCCGTCTCACTACCGAAATGGCCGCATCTGTTCTGGGGGACCCTGACCTCCGTCCGGCAGGGATCATAGTCAAAAATCATGGGAAAGAGTGGATGTTATTTCTGCCCAACAAGCGAAGTCGGCAGAGGATCCGAGAGAGTCCAAATGTCCCTGGTTCCGTGCTCAGTGCCATCTTTGGCTTATTTCCAATAAAATGGACTTCGGCCACCCATGCTACAACGTTGAAATTGGATTCTAAGACGCGCATACACGCTCCCACAGCCCCGGGCTCCTCTGATCCCGTGATCTTAAAGTAAACGGAGGCTCCCGCACCCTCCACACGCATACCTCGGCCGCCAGCGACAAATCGTGGTAGGCTGCTCGAGCTTTGAGATTCCAAAGCCGGAGGACTGCCGCCTCCAGGCCGGGTCAGCGTGCTCAGATTGGCCGGCGGCGCGAGAAAACCTCCCTCACAGCCGAGTGCAACCGCCAATAACAACCCCGGACTGGGATGTCGGTCGTATGCAGCTAGCAAGCCAGTTCCCCGCCTCTGATGTGCCATTATGTACGAGGGTGACTGCTGCATATCACCAGCGCTCACGCCGAGTCAGGCCTAGCCACGAGGCTCATTGGCTGATTAGGGAGACTCGCGATGCGGGCCCTCGCATCTGCATACAGCCAGGTGCCAGCTCCACAACTGCGTGGGCTTTGATCTCCTTTTGTGCATATATGTGAACCTGCACGGAAGCGAAATTCTCTGCTTCGATTTTCCATGTTTGATCTGCTGATCCCTCCGAATTTATGAATTTTCACAGGACCATCAGGTATTGACGTCGACGCAAGCCACTCCGTTGTACTAGACGCGGACACAGTACCGTTGCTTTGGCGCGGCCACGAACCGTTGTAGCTTCCCGTGACCCCAAGACACTAGCGGTTGAACAACATCCATTTGTGAACTAATTGAGCTACAAGCTGCCATGATGCGACTCATTATTGAGATGGGAAGACGCCATGCCGGTCTCGTTGACGTGGCAGGCCTCACTGCTGTCGCTCACTAATTACTCTAGGTAGACTCAAGCCCTAAATCATGCCAAGGCATCATATCACATTCTGAATGATGCATGTTTCAATGATCTCAAGGTCGAGAGGTCGTTGCTGCACTTGCTGCACTGTTGAAGTTACTCTAATACTTCCCGATGGGGAAATGGAGTAAACTCATTACCGGATGCGGTTAGCCTGACGTGACGTCAAGATGATAACTTGCGTACCCGGGTTTACCGATCGCCAGAACCTGGCACTCGCAGGTGCCATTTCTCGTAATCACTGATGTTCTTGATCTCGTAAACTTTTTCCTCGAGCTAGCCGTCTCTTCACACCTTCCCACACAGTCAAACCAACGATTGAAAATCTGCATCTACCGTCATCCAGATCGAAGCCACATACTCTATATCTTCCCCTCCGAACAATCATGTGGAAGAGCCTCATTTCAAACGGCCAGAAAGCCACTCACGCAAGTCGCCACCATGTTTCGACAGGACTGTGCTCAACCTCTACCTCAATGGGCAACCGAACCTTCAGCACAATTCCTTCGCTTCAAAAAGATAGCCAACCCACCGACATTGATCGCGAAGCCCTGAATCCCCAACGATCAGAGGTCTCTAAGTCCGGGACAGACGACGAAATTGCCCATCATGACTCTGCGTTTGACCCGTCGAACACTGCGCCCGAAAGCGAGCTTGCTGCGACAGAGAAGGAGAGCAAGAGCGGCAAGAAAGGCACACTTAACATGAGTCCTGCAAACAAGGATGTCAACGCATGGAGGGGACCGACTGAGGGTGGACCAGATAGAAATGTTGAACGAGGGGCGTCGAGCGCTCGCGGATCCCCGAACAAACGACGGACAATCCATGTCAAGGAGGATGGTACTCATGTTGCATATCGGTAGTGTATATTTTCGACTCTACACATACATGTTCTGCGATACAATGGATTATCGAGGGCTCGGATTTTGACGTGACTTGTACGAAAGAACAATATGAACATGAATCCTAATGTTGAAGAAGCATCAAATCTTATGTCAAGTCAAGGAGCTGGATATATGTGATGTATCACACGTAGTTAGTACATTACAGTCTTAACCCCAGGCAAGGAAGTCAAAGCATGAAATCATCTTCTTCCCGACTCGAAACTAGCATCTTGAATTTCCTGGAAATTCAGTATGATTTACTTGAGTTGGATTGGGGAAAGCCTGGTGATCCAGCACTGTGCTGATAATATAATTTACAAACTCAGCATGGTCGAATGCGTTTTCACAGCGGATCATATTATCCCGCATGTTCGGAAAGGGCATCATGATCCAGATCGCGTGCACGGAGCTCATTTGCCTGTCGGTGGGGACTAGGTATTCAGGAATACGCTTGCCACCATTTAGTACATTCGAGAAATTCGGAAAGTTTGCGCCGAATACTTTAGGCTTCCCATCGGGAGTCCAGGCCATGACTGAGGATCTGAGAATGGCTTTGTTTTGGGGAGGCCTCGGAGTACATTCCATTGTATTAGACTGACTAAGCGATTTGTATAAATCGAAGCCTTGCTCGGGGTCAATGCAGTTCCCGAGCCCGACGGCTGGTTGGAGTCGGGCTTAGTTAGGCTGAGTCGGCGAGATATAGGAGAGTCATCGTCTTCATGCTTGCGATTGAGCCTCGTGTCAATGTGGGCCTGATCAGGGTCTTCGAGATCATCGGGTTCCCATCGATGGATGTGGAACGGAGTATGCTTCGCTTGACCACGTACTTTACCACCCTGGAGGCGAATACAACTTATTATTGATGTATACCGAGCAAAAGACAGATGCGGCGTTGGTCACTCATGTCGGGCCCGCTGGTTGAGACGGTTCTGCATCCTCTGTATTTGCCGATCCTCGATTTTGACTGAATCGCCGGCTCCATAATCGATCGCACACAGCGCAACTGAAGGATGATATCGCGGGTAGCATCTAAAGTCAGTTCATGGTGCAGGGAAGTGGAAAGTAGACGTGAACACTGGCAGCTCAACGAATACTCAGCCTTGGCCTAACTTCATTGGGAAGATGCATCAGCCGTGGTCATCCCAGACTGGAACAGCTTCGGCGGCCATTTTGGATTGCAGATCTCCGGGATCCACGCGGTGGGGACTACTGGACCGACCGTCTCTAACGAGGAAAACCTGTCATCCAGAACTATAGGGATAGATGGAATAGAATAGAAACCCCCAAAAAAGCATGTAGAGTATATAAAGGGGTAAATTTCGGCTCTTGCTTTGCTTGTAATACAGCAATACAACAACAGCTTTTTTCAAACATTTCTTATTTCCTCTTCTATACCATGCTTCGCTACGACGATGCCCATGCTGACCCTCAAGGCATCAACGATGCTCGTCCCACGGCCCTTCAAATTCTCAAAGATGAAAAGTTTGAAGGCAGACTCTCTGGAAAATTGTGTCGTCACTGGTGCCTCCCTGGCATTGCTATCGAAACCATTCGCGCTCTGGCAGCTACATGTGCAACCTTTTATATCACCACGAGGAATTTGGAAAAGCGAACGAAGCACTCAGCGACATCTTCGACCAAAATATAATGACTCGTTCATATAGGCCAAGCCTCGCTTGAGAGTGTACACACCGCTGCAAATACTATCCTCTCTAAGATCAGCATTCTCGTCGCCAATGCTGAATATCATGGCCATTTCGAAACCCAAACTGACAGGCGATGGTCATGAATTGCAATTCGCAACAAACAACCTGTCTCATTTTTTATTTTTCAATATGTTGAAGCTTGCTCTGCTGGCCGGCTCATCGCCTGACATCCACTTTCGTGTCGTTATGGTCTCTGCTTCTGCGCACCTTCTAACCGGTTTGAACATATCAGACAACTACAACATCCAAAAAGGCGGCTATCACCCCTGGAGTGCCTATGCCCAGTTGAAGCTGGAGAATATTTACATGACCAACGAGATCGAACGTCGCTACGGCCGTCAAGGTGTACATGCCAGCAGCCTGCATCCAGGAATTGTGGGCTCGCTGAGCCAGGAAGAGCTTGCGGACATGTTGCGAAATGGAATGATGATCAAAACGCGAAAGTCCATGGAACAAGGAGCAGCGACTACAGTCTGGGCGGCAATCTTTCAAGATCTTGAGAGACGAGGTGGATTATATCTTAATGACTGTGCTGAGGCTGAGATGAGTGAGCAAGACGGTAATCTGGTGAGTGGGAAAGCCGTGCCTCACACGTACAATTCCCAGGATGAATCCAGACTGTAAAAGGATACATTGGAAATGGTTGGCCTGTCAGATGCATGATGGCCCTTCCTTGTGATATTCTAAATTTGTTGGACAACCGAATGAGTTGGGTACACTCGCCTCTTGCAGTTCTTAATGCTAGTCGGATATTAAGTAGTTGATCTCCATTTTTTTTTTTCTTTTTTTTTGATCTAAACCTTGGGAAGAATACCAAAATGTCTGTTGTGATTGTATAAACAGAACTGCGTGAGCCTATGTATGAGGCAAATGTTATATCGTAAAAAAATTATCCGGGCGTACAGTACGTAAGTACGAAATCGGTCATCATACTCTCCACTCTACTCCTTTGAGAGCTGAAGAATTTCCCGACCTTCGATAATCCACACCTTATCCTTGCCTTCAGGGACATCACCTTCCAACGCCTTCAAGCTAGCGTTGACCGCCGCCTTGGCGATAGCATCGGCATCCTGGGCCCAGCCGTCTTTCAAGCCGGAGTGCACCTTGCCAGCCCAACCAGCAATGAACCGAATTCCAGCTTCCAGGGGACGACTCTCCTCCCGGGTACCAGAAATCAGACCGGGGCGAAGAATAACAGTCCGCTCAAAGCCGAGCGCCTTCACGTCTTCTTCAATCTCGCCCTTCATGCGCGAGTAGGCAATGTTAGAAGCCTTGTTCGCATTGGCTGACGAGATCAGCACGTAAACCTTGGTGCCAGCCTGTTGCGCGGTACGCGCCAGCTCAACGTTCAGCCCATGCTCGATCTTGTACTGGTTATCGAAGCCACCAGCGGCGCCACGAGTGGTTGCGAATGCGGAGATGAAGATTCCGGGTGTGGGGGTCAGGGCCTGGAGCTGGGAGGCCCATGTGGCGGTGTCGCCGGAGACAAAGGTGGTGAGCTTGCTCTGCGGCGCTTCGGCAGCTGCGTTGGGCGTACGGCGGGAGATGGTGTCGACGCGACTAATGGCAGGGTTGGAAAGCAGGCAGGTGAGGATGTGGGAGCCCTGTTTGGAGGGTTAATTGGTTAGTGCGGAGCTTGGCTTTGCTGACGGGGGTGTCGCGTCGTGATGGCGGGTGGGACTAAAGGCCCAGAAGACTTACCACCATGCCGGTGCCTCCAATGAGAGCAACGTTCGCCATTATTTCGCAGGACTTTGCGTCTTAGCAACTGTTGTTTGAAAGTGGGAGGGGGAGGAGGCAAGGCGACTGCGGCAACTGCTCTTTCGTCATGTCCTCGAGCTAGGCTAAATGCGGTAACCCATGCACAAAGCACAACGATGGTCGTGTTCGCATTGTCTGATAGGCTATGCTTTGCTTTCAAGTTGCCTTCTCAGGCGCCATAGGCAAGGAAGTGTACTCAATTGAAGAAAAAGACATCGGTCGGTATTAGCTAACAGCCTCGGTCTGAATCTAGCTTGACCCAATGTCGTTGCCCGCAGGAAGTATACAGTGTAATCTTCAGCATTTCTCAAGAATTTGGAGCTTCTACCTGCTGGTGGGAACTATCGACTATCGTCGCAGCTTTATTATGGATATTTCAAAGTATTTTTCACTAGGTATCGCGCAAAATCAAATCTTCGAGCTCTGAGCAAGCTGCTTCTCTTGTGCCTGATAAATCTTGACCAATTGACGCACAGACAAATCGAGCAGGACATCCTCGGATCCACCAGGGATACGAGCACCAGGAACGTCACGGAGGATTGCTTAATGCACGAGAGGAAATTAGCCTGAGTCAATCAATTGCAAGTTTGGGAAGAACATACCTTCAACAAGCTCACCCTGGCCAGTCTGGGTGAAACCATTACCGCCAAAGAGGAGGACTGCGCACTGGGCGCACTCATTCAGAACCATAGCCGACTTTGCCTTAGCCAGAGCCGTTAGTCCACCAAGTTGGCGATCACCTTCCTCCTTGCTCATGTGGGTCAATTGGTAGAGGATCTGTTCAACCCACGCCCACATCGTCTCGAGTTCGGCACCAGCCTTCGCAAGACGATGACGAACAACGGGCTGATCCATAAGCGTCTTTCCGAAAGCCTCGCGCTTCATACAGTAGGAGAATGCAGCGGATAGAGCCACGCGAGCTTGGCGAGTGACGCCAACGGAGATGACGAGTCGTTCATGGTTGAAGTTGGTCATGATGATACGCATACCATCGCCTTCCCGACCAACAAGGTTGGAAACAGGGACCTTGACATCGTCAAGCTCAATGTAGGTGGTTCCACCGGTCTTCTGACCAGCAACCTGGAGTCGGCGCATCGAGACACCGGGCTGGTTCTTCAGGGGCACAACGACGACAGAAAGGCCCTTGGCGCCAGGGCCGCCAGTGCGTACAGCCATGGTCGCATAGTCGGACCAGATACCGTTAGTGATCCTGAAAATAGTTAGTAATTATGTCACTCGGGAGACATGAAAAAGAAGGCCGCACCATTTCTTAGATCCGCTAATGATGTAGTGCTTGCCATCGGCGCTCTTGGTGGCCGTTGTCACGATGTTTGCAACATCACTGCCAGCCTCGGGCTCGGTGATGGCAATGCAGGCACGCTTCTTGCCGGTAAGAAGATCTGGAAGGAAGCGTTCCTGCAAATCCTTGCCACCGAACTTGACAATAGGAGGAATGCCAAAGGCAAAGCCGGCGTTGAGCGATCCACCAGGGCCGCTCAGACCGGACCGCGCCAGCTATCATTAAAGTCAGCTTTATGTTGTACGCCAGATCGCGAAGATTCCTCACCTCGTCGCAATATATTCCGGTGTAGATATAATCCCAATCTTCGACCTTGACACCCAGGATATCATGGATCCCTACGCGCTTGCACCATTCGACGGGTAGCGGCGCGGGCATATTGGGCAGAAGCATGTTGTGCTTGCAAAACGTCTGGAAGACATGCTCGGGAACAGTTCCCGCCTTCTCCCATTCCATCGCATGTTGGATGAGGTTCTCCCAGGCAAATTTACGGCATGCTTGCTGGAAGCGCCTGTGGGCGGGTGTGATATACGGGGACGGAAGCCCGCGCAGGTATGGAGGTTCGGAGAAAGGAATAGGGTTGAGTGAGTTTTCGGCCATGGTGGTGGTTGTGAACTGTAGGATTGAAATTTCGACCCAGCCCCGAGGTAAATCTGGAGGTGGGATGGATTATGTACGCATGTTGGAGCTGGGGAAGCACAGCTGTACTCCGCATTACTTGACCGAGGCTCGGTGCTGCTTGGATTCTGCCGTGGCGTCCACACATGCGTGTGCAGCCTCAGGCAGACACATAAATGTGCCAAGCCCCGGGTTTGTGCACTGCTGAGTCATTTATACTGAAGGCGGTGGAACCAAGACCACGAGTGACTGCTCGGCCGATACCGGTGATTTTGAAGCACTCACTGTGATGCCTCAGGCCATAATAAGGCAACGATGTGGCTATCGATAAGAAATTGCGTGATTGCGTGATCCGGACTAACCCCGATGAGGCAAAATGACCTGGGGAATTTTCTATACGCGGCGGATTTCCAAGCAATTCCCCTCTTCTCTCCACAATATTCTCCTTGTATCCTGTAGGTGATTCAATTTCTTGTCTTTTCACCTTTGATATCGGTGCAGTGCGCGCGATATCTAGACAAGAACAACTATCGCCATGGGTGCTACGAATCCGGCCTTGTCAGCCCTCTCGGGCCCGACATATGTCACAGCGCAGACCCTGATTCAACAGGTCGCGTATCTCCTCAGTGATAAGATCTTCTCCTACTCGCCGGAGTCTTTCGATCTTGATGCTGCTCTCCGCGAATGGTCTGCGGCTCAAGAGACCAACGCCAATGGCGAGTCTCCTGTTGTCAAGACTATGGAAACCCGCCAGGGTGCCGGAAACATTGCCCTGGGTTACCTCTTCTCTCAGGACTTTGACCTGAAGAAGCGCCATGTTCCCCAGGGTATTGTTGCTTCTTCCGCCACCCTGCCTTACATGCGTTCGGCTCTGGAGCAACTCTCTCTGCTCTACTCCGTTGCGAGCCCCGTTGCCGCTCACGTTGCGGCCGTCGACTATGCCGGCGAGGAGGGCCTTGTCTCTGACTACGCCTCCGCCCTCTCTCTGGCCGAGGATCTTGGATTGGGTCTCGTCTCCAGCGGTTCGGCCCACGAGTCTCAGCACATGGCTCTTTTCACCACTTTGCTCGCCTCCATTCTGCCTTCCGTCCATATCTATGACGGCGTTCGCGTTGGCCACGAGACCACCCGTGTCATTGATGTGCTGGATAAGGATGGCCTGAACCGTACCTACGAGACTGTCCGTAAGACTCTCGAGGACTCTCGCAACCGCCACCTCGATGCCCAGGGCAAGGTGCTGGACCTGCTCAAGACCCTGAACGGCGAGCTTGGTACCGACTATGGTGCCTTTGAGTACCACGGCCATGCCGAGCCCACTTCCGTCCTGGTTGTATTTGGTACTGTTGAGGCTACTCTTGCCGCCCAGGTTGCACGCTCTCTTGCTAAGGACGGCGTTCACATTGGTGTTGTCAACGTCCGTGTCTACCGCCCCTTCGTCGAGGAGGAGTTCCTGCGCGTGCTTCCCAAGTCCGTTAAGACCGTCGGCGTTCTCGGCCAGGTTGCCAACGAACTGGCTGTTCAGGAGGAAGCTGTTCACTCTACTCTCTTTGAGGACGTGCTTGCTGCCATGACCTTCGCCACCGACCGTGAGCAGAGCACCTCTCTTGTTGATATTAAGTACCCTCGCTCTCAGCGCTGGGACCTCATCACCACTGCTGCTGCATATCAGCGCATCTTCGATAAGCCCATTCTGCCCATCAACAACGCCACCAACGAGGCTGCGCCTCTGCAACTGCTTGACCCTGCTACTGTTCAGGAATACACTTTCTGGGATGTCGACAACTCTGTTTCCGAGGATGCTTCCCGTGTTTTGAGTGAGGCCCTGGCCGTGGACTCTGCTAGCAATGTCACCACCAGCAAAGTTCACGACAACCTTGTACAGGGTGGCTCCATTCGTGTGGACATCCGCAAGAGCGCCAAGATCCTGGATGCTCCTTACTCTGTCACCGCTGCCGATGTGTCCTATGTCGGAAGCCTCGCCCTGCTCAAGGATGTTGATGTTCTTGCCTCCGTCAAGGACAACTCCAAGGTCATTGTCAGCGCCCCTGGCGTCAAGGATGAGGACCTGGAGAAGAAGCTCCCGGCCGGTTTCAGACAGGCCGTTGCCCAGCGCGGAATTTCTCTCTTCGTTGTTGACCCGACTGCCGTTGAGGACTCCTCTCTTGAGGCTCTGATTGTCCAGGCCTCATTTGTCCGCGTTGCTCTGCCCTCCCAGGAGAGTGTTGCTACCAAGAAGCTGTCGTCCATCTCTGGCAACAGCGAGGCTCTGGAGAACGTGTTCAAGGATCTTGAGAAGGTGCTCCGCCAGATCGAGGTTCCCGAGGCATGGAAGGAGCCCGAGGGTGCTAGCGAGGCTCCCCAACTTCCCAAGGACATCTCCGCCAACAGCTTCGTTTCCTTCGACAAGGAAGAGACCGAGACCCCGACCCTTCTCAAGGACTGGGAGACCGCCGCCCGTGGTCTTGCTTTCAAGGAGGCCTTTGGCACTCAGAACACCCTCCGGCCCGACCTGGCTACCAAGACTTTCACCGTCCACGTCAAGGAGAACCGCCGTCTCACTCCCGTCACCTATGACCGTAACATCTTCCACATCGAGTTCGATCTTGGTGACTCTGGCCTTAAGTACGACATCGGTGAGGCCTTGGGTATCCACGCCGAGAACGACCCCGTGGACATCATGAAGTTCATCGAGTTCTACGGTCTGGACCCCGATGCGATTGTCGAGGTTCCCAGCCGCGAGAGCCCTGCTGTTCTCGAGAACCGAACCGTCTACCAAGCTCTTATCCAGAACGTCGACATCTTCGGACGCCCGCCCAAGCGCTTCTACGAGGCTCTGGCTGAGTTTGCTACCGACGAGAAGGAGAAGACCGACCTCCGCACCCTGGGTGGCCCTGACGGTGCCGTTGAGTTCAAGCGTCGCTCCGAGGTTGACACCGTTACTTTCGCCGACATCCTGCTCGAGTACCCGTCTGCTCACCCTGACTTCCACGAGATCGTCCGTATTGTCGGACCTCTGAAGCGCCGTGAGTACTCTATCGCCTCATGCCAGAAGGTGACTCCCACCTCTGTCGCTCTCATGATTGTTGCCGTCAACTGGACCGACCCCAGCGGACGCGACCGCTTCGGTTTGGCCACTCGCTACCTGAGCCGCCTGCAACCCGGCTCCCCCATCACCGTGAGCGTCAAGTCCAGTGTGATGAAGCTACCACCTAAGTCCACCCAGCCTCTTATCATGGCTGGTCTTGGTACCGGTCTGGCTCCCTTCCGGGCTTTCGTGCAGCACCGTGCTCTCGAGAAGGCCCAGGGCAAGGAGATCGGTTCCGTTCTTCTGTACATGGGCTCTCGTCACCAGCGTGAGGAGTACTGCTACGGAGAGGAATGGGAGGCCTACCAGGAGGCTGGTGTCATCACCCTTCTTGGCGCCGCCTTCTCTCGTGATCAGCCCGAGAAGATCTACATCCAGGACCGCATGCGCCAGTCCCTCCCCGAGATCATCCAGGCCTATATTCGCGAGGAAGGTGCCTTCTACCTCTGCGGTCCTACCTGGCCCGTCCCCGACGTCACCGCCGTCCTGGAGGAAGCCATCGCCACCGAAGCCAAGAACAACGGCAAGAAGGTTGAGACTCGCAAGGAGATCGAGAAGCTCAAGGATGACGAGCGCTACGTGCTGGAGGTGTACTAGATGGATGTGGTCTGATACGATCTGAACGATTCGCATATATTTCGTTTTCTCGATTCTCCCGTTTTAGATTTCATTTTTGCCTAGCGCACATATGCAGAGACCGATTTTTAGCTATAGATCCCCAAAAAGCATATTTGGCAAATTCGCATTGAAATGAAATAAATACTGTCACAGTGAGTTCTGAAGTGATTTAAATAGATATCGAATCATCGATCGGCTAGCTTTCCCTCGGCTTGATGCAAATTTTCGACTAGATTCTAGAGGCTAACCCTGATGACAATCGAATCCTTGAGGTCAAATGTGGTTTACACACTGGGCGCAAGTCCGCCTTGGCCGACTATGAAACAAATTTTAAGATTGAGTCTTTAATACACGGACTGTCTGATCATTGGGACATGTGATCAAACATTGCACTATTCATAGGGAAAATTCACCCACTTACTACCTGTAGTAGGGTTAGATGCTGGTAGAATGTGTTGTCCTTGGTCAAAGTGGGCAGCAATAGCCAACGTAATCAACGGGCGAGCCGCCCACTTGACCTGCTACTAAAATTTTATGACAAGATTAAACCACCAAAACGCCGTTGAATTCTAAAAGCTATGTATTAGGGCAATATGCCATTATATGGCCAATCTTCTGGCAATTGTTACAGGTTGGTGGTGCGCGCTTGGCTGGCGGAGGTGGCAAATTAGATGATCTAACCGGTGCGGGCGGAGGCTGACCAACGTGTTTTAACTGGCTGCACTGGCTGCACTGATGGCTGAAGGCCCTCTCCAAAAGTAGCGCTCTGTTCACATCGAACCAGCCGATACGTTCATGCTCGTTTTTGACGTTTCTTCTCATGTGCGGCCCCTAGATCAGCATGTTCCTGTGCTAGTAATGTAGCAGTATACATTGATAGATAGCTATCCTTAATCATCTGATCTAGGGTGATCTTAGATGGTGTAGGAGGGATTTTGAGCCTTTTTTAGTAATGCCTTTGAGTGACGATGCGTGTCTTTGTAGTTGTACTACTGGTTTTGGTGTTTCTGGGCTATATAGGCTTGATCGGCTAGTAGGTCGTGTTAATGAGGGTGTAGGTGTTCGTAGAGAGATATTCAACTTAGAAAGCACATGCTTAGAGTCTAGCTGGGCCAGACATGCTGCTGCGAGTTGTTGAGTAGTCTCGGTTTTAAATGTATTATCCCCAATCTAGTTTATCAATGTGGTTAAATCCTTGGCATGCTTGATTTGAAATCAGACGGCCATATGAGCCTTTCATAACAGCAAAAATCTAACATCAAGAGGTTGAAGAAGATGAAATAAAGGCGCTGGTATGTAGAGTGGCGTAATTGAGTTTTCTACACTGATATGATCGAATTGAGGTGTAAGATGGCTTCCATGGCCATCAAGAATCAGAAGAAAATATTTTCCTATCATCCAAACTGAATTAGTGGGATGAATGATCCCTTCCCTCACCTTGAAACGCCGAGGCACCATCATGCTGGATAGATAGGTGCAAATATATATATATATATATAACAGACGCATGCTATCATGAAAAATGAGCATTTGCCCCAAACCCACGCCAGTCACCCTATGGCTCGTCAAGTGGAATTCCGGAATCGGTCACGAAGAGCTTTTATCCGTCAAAATGCAAAACTTTTCAGTGAACATTTCAGTGGTTTGCTCTACAGTGCAGCGCGTCAATATTTCAAGAATACATCTTTGATCCATGTATAACAGGCTGCTGACTGAGCCCCGGGCCGAATCTCTTGTAATGAAGTTCCTCCTGGAACCTGTGTCATCATGCGCCTACGTGATGTCAAGAAATTCGAAGACAAGAAGACAGGAAGGATAACTTTCGTGGATACGGTTCTGATCTAGCTTGTTACCAGTTTGTCTGAAATTGATGATACGACAAGCGACTATTATTGAGCTGTTCCAAAATTATGGCACGTCTGGCATTTGGGAAGCTCTTTTCGAAAGTATTTGCGCTTCTCTGCCCGAGAGATGGACGTTTGGACGTTTCAAGATGCGAAAAATAGTCACAGCACAAGGAACTTCACCCTTTATGAATATCACAGCGTGCTCAATATGGACTTGACAGTAGACCCCGGCGGCAATCTCCCCTTACCCATGTCCAGCATTATGCGCATTGTTTATGTCTTTCTCATGAGTTTTGAGGTCGACCTAAAGGCTTGCCGAAATCCGACTTTGGTTGAACGAGGAAATCTCAATCATGTCGTATGGAGTTTGAGTAAATCTAATAATGGGTACTTCATCTTCTATTCACATAACACGTTGCATTCATGCTCGTCCCAGCGGTCCAATCTTCGTCTTTCCATACGCGCCACTTTGGGCTTTCCGCAATTCCAAAGCCTTCCGGTACGGTGGAGCAGTGGGTGGCTGGACCGGAGCCAAACTAACATAGTCAGGCGGGAGCGTATAAGATGCATCCGAGTCCCAGGCCGAGAGGTCGCCACAAGCAATGAATGAGGGAATCCAGCGATTCTCCGCAGCAAACTTGTTGGTGAGCTTCTGTCCCGAGGGCTGATCTGTTGTTATAGATTCATATTGGAGATGGCGAGACTCTGTAGAGTGTGTTGAGGTATTGGTGGGAGTATTTGGCTCTGCCAAAACTGGCCGAGTTCGGGTATCTTCGTCCACTTCGTCTCGAACCTCGAGACCTACATTTCCATCGTCCGATACCGGCTTAGGTGTCGCAGCACCACCGAAGAGAGGGTTCTTCAGTGCGGCCATTCCGGCAAGACCTTCGTTGGTAGCAGGAGGAATGAATCCCTCGCAGACAATAAAAGCTTCCAAACTGCTTGCACGACTACTCCGAGGCTTGGAGACACTGACGCGCTGGAATACAGTTCGCAATTGCGCATAGAGAAGATCGACATCTCGGGCACGAAAAATTTTGGCAACAAATTTACCGCCAGGGCGAAGGACACCCATGGCCAGGTTGAGAGCTGCGTAAAGCAATTGAGACTGAATGTAGATGTCCAGGTCATGAAGACCTGTTACATCTGGCGCGCCGTCGGAGATCACGAGATCAACAGGGTGAGGTTGTCTGATAGCAGTCGGGGCATTTGATTGGGAGTCCGAAGCAGTCGAAGAAGATTCGTAGGCTTCGGGGTCTAGTGCGCGCAACAGAAGAGGAATCGTAGAGGGGTGGGTGATATCGGCTTTGAGAGTTGTGATGCCTTCGAGCGGTGCCATAGGTTGCAAGTCGATGGAGACAATTTTGACGTTCTTGCGTGGTTGGAGTTCTGCGTTTGGGTTGCTCTCTCCGAATCGAGGCTCATCGTCATTATCGTTTTTTTTCGTCGCATCAGCGTCTTCCTCAAGTGCTTGTATTTCACGGCGTTTCTTTTCAAGCCACGCCCTCCGTCCAAAGCTCTCGCCCTTAATCAGGACTCGGCTGAGCACCTGACTCCAGCTTCCCGGTGCTGCGCAAAGATCCACGACTCGCGTGACATTGTCTGGGTTCTCGTGCTCGAAGAGATCGAATTGTTCATCGATTTGGATCAATTTGAAGGCGGAACGGGCGCGCCAATTTTGTTCTTTTGCTAGACGATAGTATGCATCGCGCTTATCTTTGGAAGACTTTCCCATTTTCAGCGCAGGCCGTGAACCTGCAAAAAAAAGTCCAATTGACAATCTCTTTCTGCTCGTCAAGGTGGGATTTGCAATTTGGAGGCGGGGAGCCGTTGCGATAAGATTTCCCGGGCGGACTTTTTCTGCCGCTTTTTTTCTCTGCGCCGACCAGCTTTTTTTCCCTCCGCGTCTACTATCTTGCCCAGCTCAGAGCAGGTTTTCACAGGTCATCATGGGTCAAAAACGAGGACGCGATCCGAAGGGCCAGACTTTGCAACCCAAGAAGCGCAAGAAGGCTCGCAAGGCCGCCCCCGCTTCGGACGATGGTTCCTGGGATGGCGTTGCCGGCATCGATGACCTTAACTGGAAGGAAGTGGCTCTTCCCGATCGAATGGAGGATGCTGGTGGCTTTTTCGGCCTCGAAGAGATTGATGGAGTTGATGTGATCAAGACAGAGGGATCCGTAGGTGTCCAATTCAAGGTGAGCTACTACCAAAATTGTTTATTTTCTCAAACACACTTGCTCATTTAGGCCGCGCGTCGGATTTAGGCAAAGTCAGGAAAGCCAAAGAAGTCGATCTTGAAGCCACCATCATCTGATGATGATGGCGAGGAGTGGGGTGGTTTCAGCGACGGGGACTCTGAGAAGCTTGTCACTCCGGCCGCCGACGATATTGAAGAATCCAAGGACAAGAAATCAACGAATAAGAAGGATGGCACCAAGGACGGAAAGAAGAAGGAGCTAAAAGAATCGAACAAGAAGGAGAACAAGGTCAAGGATGCCAAGGTCAACAAGGCGAAGGAGTCCGAGACCAAGAAGACTACGTCTAAAGAGCCAAACCTGAAGACGAATCTTTCATTTGCGACACTTGATGATGCCGACGATGACGATGGAGTGGATGTTTCAGAATGGGATATTCTCGGTCTATCGCCCGAGCTTCTTACCGGTCTATCCAAGATGAACTTCGCTACTCCTACCACCGTTCAAAAGGCCTGTATTCCGGCAATCCTTGAGGGCCATGACGTTGTCGGGAAGGCATCAACTGGTTCCGGAAAGACACTGGCTTTTGGCATTCCTATCCTTGAGCATTACCTGGAGAAGCGAGGAAAGAAGGAAAAGGGCGACGAAAAGACCAAATCCAACCCAATTGCACTGATTCTGTCGCCCACTCGAGAGCTGGCCCACCAACTGGCCAAGCACATCGGAGATTTGACGACAAATTCGCCCGATACCGATGCACGCATTGCTCTGCTTACGGGTGGTCTTTCGATTCAGAAGCAACAGCGTCAACTCGCCAACGCCGATATAGTCGTCGGTACCCCTGGCCGAGTCTGGGAGATCCTCAGCACTGGTTCTGGATTGATTCGCAAGATGCAAAAAATCCAATTCTTGGTTGTCGATGAAGCTGATAGACTGCTCAGCGAGGGCCACTTCAAGGAGGTCGAGGAGATTATCGGAGCCTTGGAACGCCAGGAGCAAGGCGACTTCCCCGGTATGGTTGAAGAAGCCGAAAGTGAAGAGGAGCCTGCCTCCCAACAGACATTGGTTTTCTCGGCCACTTTCCACCGTGACCTGCAGCAGAAGTTGGCTGGAAAGGGCCGCTGGACTGGTGGCGATCTGATGGACAAGAAAGAATCGATGGAATATCTTCTCAAGAAGCTCAAGTTTCGCGAAGAGAAGCCCAAGTTTATCGATGTCAATCCCGTACAACAGATGGCGGAGGGTCTTAAGGAAGGAATTGTGGAATGCCCTGCCATGGAGAAAGTAAGAAATTCCAGAACACGACTTCCAGCATGGGTACTGACCACAACCCCAAAAGGATCTCTACCTCTACTCGCTTCTGCTCTACCACCCCAAGCATCGTACTCTTGTCTTCACCAACTCCATCTCCGCTGTTCGCCGCCTAACGCAATTGCTGCAAAACCTCCAGCTTCCTGCACTCGCTCTCCACTCTTCCATGGCACAAAAGGCCCGACTCCGTTCAGTGGAGCGCTTCTCTTCGCCGAAGTCAGATCCTAGCTCCATTCTTGTGGCTACCGATGTCGCGGCGCGTGGCCTCGATATCAAAGGTATTGATTGTGTCGTCCATTACCATGCCCCGCGTACTGCTGATACCTACGTCCACCGATCTGGACGTACCGCTCGTGCTGGTGCATCGGGTAAGAGCATCATTATCTGTGCTCCTGAAGAAGTTGTCAGTGTGGCCCGCCTGGCCGCCAAGGTGCATGCTCAAAGGTCCGGCAATACGCCCGTCAAGAAGCTTCCCTTGGAATCTCTCGAGATCGATCGCCGTGTCGTCTCTCGTGTTCGCCCCCGCATGAACATCGCTCAGAAGATCACCGACTCTACGATTGCGAAGGAGAAGATTTCTGCAGAGGACAACTGGCTTCGTGCTGCCGCAGACGATCTTGGTGTTGATTATGATTCCGACGAATTTGACGAGTCGAAGGGCAAGGGCCGTGGTCGCGGAGGTGGTCGTCATCAGCGTGACAAGCAGAATAGCAGCATCACCAAAGGTGAATTGGCCGGCCTTCGTGCTGAGCTGAAGCAACTCCTTTCTCAGCGTGTCAACATCGGTGTCAGCGAGCGCTACCTGACAGCCGGAAGAGTCGACATTGAGGCCCTCCTCCGTGGCGAGGGCAACAATGCGTTCCTGGGACACCTTGATCCTCTGAACTTCTAAGATCTTTCGCCAGGACTGACGCACTAGGACACGGTATTCACTGTCTGGTGTATCTTTATTTTATCCTCTTCCAAACTGGATATTCCAGAATCTGTACTTTCTTATAGTCACGTAGCCCGATACCAATAATGGACTTACATGATTAACTTAATCATCTATTACTAGAGTACTGCACTCAGCTGCTCATTGTGGTTCCGTTCTGAATCCAGATCAAAACAGGTCGTTGGTCTAAACCTGAAGGCCCATGACTGACATCAGAGAATATATCTTATCCGGCCTCGGCATGCCGAGATTTGATCTCCGATTCGGCTGCTATCCGAAATGCCGCCGAAAGTCGGCCCCTCGTGCCCCACCTGTTGGGTCCAACAAAAAAAAAATTCGAAGAACAAATAAAGAGACGGCTCCGATCAGGATTGCCGGATGACCTCATTAGCGTGCTTCTCTCGATAGTTCTCCGTTTGAAAGTCGTCTTTATTTTCCAAATCACCTCCTCTCGGCACTATCACGCTTGACTCGTTGCTCTATAAGGACCAGATATCTTAATATCGGCATATGTTGAGGCGGGAAATTCGATCTGCCGGCAAATTTACTCTGCACTAGCTTTCGGCAATTAAAACCTCGTGGCACCGCGCATCGTGCAGACCATCGCCGTCGATCTCTGGTGCTCGTTCAAATTTTGCACTTACGAATTATACATCGACAATGTATGGTCTCCAGCGAGCTACTAGACGGCTATTGCGCCAGTCTATGAGATCCAGCAGCAGAGCTACATTCGCACCTATTGGATCAATCGCCCAACTACACCAACAAGGACCCTCTCGCTCCGCCGTTGTCCACGAACAAGCTATCCCGCAAAGCCAGACAACAGTGGAAACGCCGTCATTTCTTTTACAGGCTCAACCTCAGCCAGACTCGGCCCACGCAAACAATGATATGATCAAACTCGATTCCATAATCTCGCAAATCCCACTCGTCCAAACTCTCCGCGCCTCCCACAACTCTTACAAAGAATCCCGTCCTCACCTCGCCATCTCTCCGGCAATCCGCCAGCACCACTTCGTTGGTGGAAGTCTTGCTGGGCCCGGAAAGCTAGCATTGACACCCTATATGTGGACATCTTCCCAGAAGGCCGAATCGAAAGGAAAAGCGAAAACTAGCAGTGTTGTTTCGGTTTTCCATATTGGTCGTGATCTATGCGGTCACCCAGGCTTCGTACATGGCGGTCTTCTGTCTGTCCTTTTTGATGAGGTCTTTGCTCGTTGTGTTTCCGCTGCATTCCCCAGTGGCCTTGGAATGACGGCTAATCTCAATGTGGATTTCCGGAAGCCCGCGCTGCCGGATCATATGTATGTTCTCCAGGCGGAGACTGTGAAGGTCGATGGACGGAAGGCTTGGGTCCAGGGTTGCATGACTTATTTCCCTGTTCATTTGCCCGTTCCACTTGATGCGAAGAAGGTTAGCCCCGATCAGAGTCTCCTGAGAGAGGATGCTGAAGGGGCGGTTATGGTTGCTGAGGCTAAGGCTTTGTTTGTTGAGCCTAAGTTCGCGGATGTAAGTATCTCTCCCCAGGTGAGGAAATCTGTTCGAGGATATCAGTTGCTAACGGTTCCCAGTCCATGGTTTCAGTTTATCGGACTTGATATTATGACTTATTGCCATTGCACAAACGATACCTATAGACAAAATAGACAAATAGACATCTAATCATAATGACTCGCTACGATTTCCTCATCACCTTGTCGTGTCAGCTCTGAGACATCTGACCCCACTAGCAACTACAAAATAGTCTGAACGAAACTGCGATAGAAGGGTAGCCATTGCTATCTAGGATTATCGAGAGAAAGAAGAGCCCCCACCTAACGCCCCATATCCCAGGTGAAAAAAAAGTACTAACGAGAGAATTAAAGGCGCAGCCCAGCCGAAAACTTGAAAATGGGGAGTTTCAGTGCAAAATTTGAGTCACGTCATTGAGTCATAAAAGGCGTTCCGCCAGCAGACGGAGTGAAATTGTTGGACCAGCCAGGCTTAAAGACATTTTTGTCATTTTGGGCCGTTTGTGCGTGAATCGACCATCTAGGACAGGTGGAATGCTCCCTGTCCTTCCTTGATAGCGACAGAAAGTCGGGCCTTGAGGAAGTCCAGGCTGCTGTAGTCCGGCAGCTTGAGATAGTTCACACAGGTCATGACGCTAGGAAGATAGTCGTCCGGAGTGTATGGAGGTTCACTGGGGCGGCACACCACCGTAAAGATGGGAGTGAGGCTCTTGAAACCTATAGCGATAGAGTTAGCTCTGGAACAAACACAGTTATAAAAAGGGTAAGAGAAATAGGCACTTACCACCAATGGGAAGCTTCGGGCTACCCGTAACAAACTGAAGGAAATCGCGACGTTGTTGTTTATCCAGCTCGCTCATGGTCTGGAGCAAGTTGCGCACGCTTCTGCTGTCCATGTTGAATCCGTGATCGGCCTTGATGGAGTCCATCAAAGTTTCGATGGTCCAGTCCTCCTCGGCCTGGCCAAACAGCATGACGAGCTCACTGGGAGTGAATGCCCGGAGAGAGGAGAACGGGAACACTTGCGAGAATCCAGTTCGGAAGGCATCCACTTGGCGGCGGACACCGACGCCCAGGGTCATGTCGATAACCCGTTCGATGTATTGATCGACGTTGTCGATGTTGAGGAAAATATCGGAGCCGTTTGGAACAAGCTCGATATGTGGGTATCCTGGCAAGGTGAAATCCAAGCTCAAGTCGTCCACGCGGACACCATCGACCTCAATGTTCTGGATTGCCTCGGCCTTCTGCTTGTCTGACAACGATTTGTTCTTGTTGATATTTTTCTTCGCCTTAACAAATTGTTTCAGCATGATCAAAGACTTGGCGAGATCCTCATCCACTGCTTTGACTGTACCCAGGGAAGGGGCAACAGAGGACAAGGTATCGGCAATGCGGAAAAAAGCCGGGTTGAAGGAGATGTCGATGATACGAGAATCAAGCATTGAACGCGCAACAAACTTTCCAAGAATTTTGAAAAGGTTCAACTGCTTTTTGCCAGATTCGTTCGAGGCCTGTTCATCACTCATGGGAGCTGGGAAAAGACCCCGCTTGCCGAAAGCATACTCGGGCGCAGCGGAGACATCATCTGTTTCCCTCCAGATCTTGTGCTTTTTCTTGGAGAATTCCTTGGAAACGGTGGAGTAGAACTCGAGAGTCGGTCCCAAACCAGTACCGACTTCCTCAAAGTACTCAACTTCGAGGACACTTGGCGAAGATCCGTATAGCTCCATGACCTTCATAGCCGAGTCCAGGATCCGAGCTCTCGAGATTCGCACTTTTTGTCGCTGTAGTCGACCTAGGAACGGACGGTCATCACGACGCATATCCCGACGACTGTCTTCGGTGCTTTGAGAGTTGTGCCACCTCATCATGGCGCGAGAATATCCGAATGCAGTCGACTGTAGGAAAAGATGTCTTGTCTCGAAGGGGAACAAGAATGAGAACAACCTTGCAAGATCTTCGCTCCAATTGGGAAGGCAGCTGCTGGCGACGATTAAAGGCTCTTCCAATTGGCGATTCACCTTAGCTGTGAGCTTAGTGTTGATGAACTGAGCCAATGGTTCGGGTGTTATGTTGACAGGATCCCTATTCTCTGTCAAAATATCATCGATCGTAGCATTCATCTCGTGCAGCACACGGAGTAGGCGAAGAATTGAGGCGGTTGTAGCATCTTTGCTGAGAGACGAAGGAATTTCAAGGCTATCGCCAGAGCAAGAATCCTCCTGTCCACTGTTGGCAAGAGTGGATGGCTCGGGCGGAGGGGGTCCAGGGACGCGGCGGAATGTGACCGTGTGAATGGCAGTCCAAACATTCTTGGCTTGGGTCTCTTCGATGTTGTCACGGTTGTGATGAACAGCGCGGTAAACTGTAGTATCACTGGAGACGGGCTTTCCGTCTACGGAGAACTCAATGTGCCAGTCTTGAGGGATAGATGCCATCGCCGCAGCGTACGATTGAAATGGACGTCCAGCAGTTGCCAGTGAAGGGTTGCGCAGTGGGTTGGATGACGCGGTGCTCGGTGTCGAAGACGAAGGCTTGGATGCTGGCGCCGATTGAGATGGGGTGCCAATCCGGGTTCCATCTTCCTTGCGGGCAGTGACTTTTCCAGACGATGCGACCTCCATGTTCACTGCGGTTGGGTCGTGAACCGGATCCTCCTCGAGATCGTCCTCGAGATCATCCACTATAGTGTTGAGTTCTTCATCTTCATCGCCGTCGTCGATATCTTCCTCTTCTTCGCTGAGTTGCCTCTCATCGGCACACTCGAGTGGCTCGTCATCATGGTCATCCTCCTCTTGCTGGAGATGAAGCCGGCGGTGATGACGGTGGCCAGAAGCTGTTCGACCCTGTTCCTCATCGGCAGATTGATTGGCCTGGCTTCGACCCCCGGTCCGGCCACCTGGGTTCCGGCCAGAAGACCCCAGTGACGAGTGAGAACCAGCGAGCTGGTCGCGAAGGCGAGCTGCCTCGGAAATTTGCGATAGGATTGAATCACGGGTTTGCCGCGACGAGCGAGGGCGCTCTGACATAGCAATTCTTGGCTGGAGGAAATCGTCTAGCGCCTTGAAAGTAGCGATGGCGTGGATGGCCACCATGATGTTGCGGTAAGGTCGAGGAACCTCAGTTCCATCTTCCGCGACCAGCTTTAGGCGTAGCTGTTTGCCCAGCATGTGTGTGGCATTGCTGCGAGTGTTTTCCAGAGAGTTGTGACTGACAGTAAGGACCTCGAAATGTTCAGTTCGGCTAAGCAAATCCTGCAACTTCCTAATCAAAACACTGAAAGGTGTAACAGCAGTGCTCTGACTTTGAGCCTTTTCGGAAATCGTAGCGCCCATAAAGGCCTGCAAAAAAGCGGACCGCGCAACGCGAATGTTGGGAGCTGCATAATTATCAGAAGCCAGGCCGGGAAGACACTGCGCCGAGGACTTCTTACCTTGAGAATCGCCGAGGACCTCGAGAAGGACCTCTATTATGCCAGAGTTAAGCAGCTCCGAGCTGGTGATACTCTCCAAAGCATCTCCATCGAAGTACGAGGCCAAACTCTTGAACAACGCGAGGCCGTCTTCGTCTTGGCTGGTGTAGCATTCACGGATTCTACCAGCCAGGTTTTGGAGCTCCGTAAGAATTCGAAGGGCCTCGATGCGCGCTGTCGCACCATGACCCGCTTCGTAGACCTTAAGAAAAGCCTGGGCATCGCGAATGACGAGATCGTTGAGGGCATTGTCCATCTTAGCCAGCGAATGGCGTCCAGACACAGAGGAATCCTCGGAGTCCGAATCGTCCTCGTTGTCTTCATCCTCGTCAAAATCATCGCCATCATCTTCGGAGTCCTCGTCGTTCTTGCTGCTACTAGCGTTACCAGCATCCACCATTTCGACATCATTCGAGTCGTTGGCTGATTTTTTCTTGGCTTCTTCGGCCTTTTCGCCGTCGGCAGAGAGAGGTGCTTCTGAAAGCTTGACAATCTCCGAGATAACTCCCTCGCGATGGAATTGGTGCTGGTAGACGTGCTCCAGTCGTTGGAATAGCAATTCGGAGCAACGGAGAGCAAGGGAAACAAGGGAGGCATGGTCCTTCTGGGAGAGGATAGATGCCAGGAACGAAGCATAGGGAACCGTGCGCAGCGCATCTTCGATGATGGCAGGCTCAAGGATATGCAGCATTTTCAGCTGGGCAATAAGAACCTTCTGACGGACATGGAGATTGACAGTGCTCGAGTAGGCATCGGTCAATGTTGGGAACAGAATGGTGGCGAACCGCTTAAGCTCTGGCTTGCTTTCCTCGAATAACGCAAGTCTCTCCTCACTGGTATCCTTGGATTTGGAAGATTTCAGGCCGATGGACATGTTGTTGTCAAAGTAGGAGCTGAGCACGCTGTCTGTTTTCGATGCCTCACGGCTGGGAACGCCTGGTAGAAGTTCGCAAATGACATTCAACGTCTCGAAGACCTGTTCGCGAGGTCTATGAATCAACGCCTGCATGACCAGAACGCTGTCCATCTTGACGGCGGTGCTATCAGTATCTTCGGGTGGCGAGACGCCCGTTAGAATCTGATAAAGGGTGTCCACCACATCCATCTTCAGCAACTCGATTGACAAACGCGGGCTAGCCTTTGCTGTGATGGCAAGTACGCGAAGGAATTGCGTGTGAATATGTGGGCCAATCAAATTGGTGGTGCCAGGAAGCAGTAGTCTTAGAACAGCCTTCAGCATAGGGGGTTCGATCAGCTCTTCCAAATTCTCGGACCGAAATTTGAAGCTCTCCACGATACGGGAAACACAAAGGCATCCTTGCTCAACGACTTTAGGATCATTGCTTGACAGCACGTTCAGTAGCGTAGGCATCACATCCCGCACTACGGGGAACGAGTCGTGTGGAAGATTGCGGCAGCAGTTAGCCGCAGTGGTCACGGCAGTTCGCTGGGTACTTGTTGGGAAGAACTCGAGATATGTCAAGCAAGCCGTCAGGCCGCCCTCCCGCACGATCGAAGCAGGGAAGTCGACTGAAATCTTGGCTAGGGTCTGCAAGAAAATTGGTTAGTATGATGTCTGAAATCTCATGAAGTTTGCGGGGTGTACTTACGCTGAGAGCCTGTTCAGCAAGATCGATAAACTGGATGTCCAAGAGCTTCTGGCACAGTATTGGCACGGCACCGCCATAGACCACGTTGGCCACTGAGCCACGAAGGGCTTCCATCAGGTTGGCAAGGCAGCGGCAAGCAAGCAGCATGATTTCAGGGTTTTCTTCACCAAACTGGTTCGGCTGCATCAAAGACACCAGTTCCTTGACGTAAGGGTCGGGAGAGAATTGGCCAGACAGGTTGTCCTCATTGGAGACAAGTAACAGATCCGACAGCTCCTGTAGGGCGATCAACTGAAGGGAAGGGTTTTCCTTCGATCTTAGGTTGCTGAGAATATCCCGTAGTCGTGAAGACATGCCGGACATCATGCCGCTCAGGGCACGAAGGGTACTCTGCAGGCCCATGGCACCTCGGCCTCCGAAAAGACTGCTATGGAACGGGTCCAGATCTTCATCGTCGAAAGCGGAGTGGTTTGTGCCATCATTGCTATCGCCGGTCGGGGATTCTGCTGTCTCGTGATTTTCTTCATGCTCTTCCAGATCCTCCTCCGCATCCCGCTCTGTGACATCAGGGTTTGTCTTGGCAGATCTTTTCTTCTGGTGTCGCCGTGGGGGTGGAGATTGTGTTGCCGCAAGCCGATCTGATGGTTGACCGGATTTAGTGGTTTGCTTTCCGTCAGGGGGTGGAAGGGCCATCTCGGTCGACGAGGACTCACCGTTTCGGCTAGATCTCCGCCGGGAAGGGGGCGGGGATGTGGTTGACTTCAATTCCTCAGACGGTCGAGAAGATGGTCTGTGGTGAAAAAAAAAAAAGGATCCGTTAGCAATCCGTTTGAAAGACACGTATGATTGTGGGTATGAACATACCCTGGTTGTGACATGGTTGGGCGACTTCGGGGAGTCCGGCGAGAACCTGCAGCAGAACCGGCGGACGAAGCTGTGCTTGGAGCTGTGGTTCGCTGTTTCTTCGATCGTCGAGGAGGCGAAGGAGCCGTTGGCTGACTCGGAGCGGCCGATGGCTGGTCTTGACGGGCGGAGGCCTTGCGTTTCCGGGTGGCCGAACCAGCGGCGGGAGTTGAAGTAGCACCGGCGTCAGCGGGGGGGAGGAGGGTCTGTAGCAAGTCTCGCGGAGGAGCGAGTGATTCTGCGGGACATGAGTATTTGTTTTGATAGTCACTTGGGTCTGTGTGTGTTTGGTTTTTTGCTTTTCCTCTCTGTGTCACTGAGACTTCACCAGAGAGCGAGGTGAATGATCGGGGTAGCAGCGGTTGGCTGAGAGGGAAGGGTGAGCTCTGATGCTTCGAGGATAACAGGCACCCCACGTTCCGCGGTGAACAACTGAGGGTTATGAAATGAAAAATGATTGTCCACGAGGTCCGCGAGGCGTTCACGTGAGGTAGTCTGCAGTCGAGAGCAAATGCAGAGCAGGAGGGCAGGGTATGGATATGGAAGCTCGGGCGAAGGAACGGGCGGGTAATACCTCAAAGCCGAAGAGGCGGCAGAAGCTCCAGCGGGGGAGACGGAATAATCCTCGAGGGGGTCCTGGCGACTAGTGGAGGGCCTTTGCCTGGCCATAAGTTACCGGATCGGAGAGATTCGATTAGGCTGTGGGGGAAACACCGTCACAACCCGCCATGCGCACACCAGGTCGAGAATGGAGACGTTGAACGGGGGAATGGAGCGAGCTGGAGGGGAAGGCTGGTGATAGGCGGTCGCAGAAAGGGGATCAGAACCGCAGAACTGAATTCGAAGGTTGCGTGAGAAGGAAGAAGAAGATCGTGGATGGAGGAAGATGGAGAAAGATGGAGGTGAGGAGAGAGGGTAGCTTGATGGATTCGGTGTTAGGCGGCGGAGGTGCAACATTCGAAACTGCCAGTGATGATATAAGACACCCTGCAGACTCCCACTGGTCCGCGCATTCGCATTTCGCCCGTTGGGCACGCACGATGAATTTTTTTCTTTTTACTCGAGCACGTTCGCTTCTCCTTTTCGATTTTCTTTTTCTTTTCTCTTTTTTTTTTGGAGTTGGCTGGCACCCACGGTCGTGGTGGAAAATGCCGGACGATGACCTAATGGCCACCGGACAAACCAGGCGTCTATTTTCAACACGCAGGGGACCTTGTGTGGGAACATCGAAATGACTTAATTCCGTTCGCCATTTTTAATATTAGGCCGTGGTGATACCATACCAACTTGGAAATATCCTCCAGACCCCGGACTACTAAATACTTGGCGGGGATTGTTTCCCGGCAGAGGCGAGGCCTATACTACTCTAACCAGAAATAGTATACCAGCACTATCGCTCTCCACTTGTCTCCCTCATTCCGGACCCCATCGTTGGCAGCCTCGATTGACTCACCGAGCTTCTTAATAATCACCGGTCACCGTCACGGGAGTATTTTTTTGAAGGAATTTGGTGCCTTTGGCTCGCATCTGCTGTATTTGGCTGTCTGTCTGCCTAGGGCGACTGTGAGCCGGCGTAGTCCCTTCCGCCTCCCCGTTTGCCCCCCGCTTCGGCGCGAGACTTTTCTCTTCCCCTCTCCACTTCCCCAACCCTGCCGATTCCCAACTCCTCCACTGTCCACGCCGACCATGACGACCGAAATGATTGGAGGCCAGAGTGACGATGTTCACCTGCCTCCCACCGACGTGCGTTCCGCCCCCATGAACGATTACGTCTTCCCCGAGCTTCGCCTCAAGCGCACGATGAACGATCCCGAGAAAACCCCGCTGCTGCTGGTCGCTTGCGGCTCGTTCTCCCCGATCACCTACCTTCACCTGCGCATGTTTGAGATGGCTGCAGACTACGTCAAGTTCAGCACCGAGTTCGAACTCCTTGGTGGCTACCTGTCGCCCGTGTCAGACGCCTATCGCAAGGCCGGTTTGGCCAGCGCGGATCATCGGTAAGAACCGCACCTCTCGGAATATACGGGAAATGAGCCATGGCGTCCCGGAACCCCCTTGCTTACAATTCGCGACAGGGTGGCGATGTGCCAACTGGCGGTTGACCAAACCTCGAATTGGTTGATGGTGGATACCTGGGAGCCCATGCAAAAGGAGTACCAGCCGACCGCCGTCGTGCTGGACCATTTCGACCACGAAATCAACATTGTCCGCGGGGGTGTCGATGTCGGAAATGGGACCCGCAAGCCCGTCCGCATCGCTCTGCTGGCCGGCGCTGATCTGATTCATACCATGTCCACACCCGGCGTTTGGAGTGAGAAGGATTTGGACCACATTCTTGGCAAATACGGCGTATGTGATCGTTCTCGGCCCGCGAGGTTCATCTATCACAACTTGCTAATTCTATTTCAGTCTTTCATCGTGGAGCGCAGCGGCACCGACATTGACGAGGCCCTGGCCAGTTTGATGCCCTGGAAGGACAACATCCATGTGATCCAGCAACTCATTCAGAACGACGTGAGCAGCACCAAGATTCGACTCTTCCTACGCCGCGAGATGAGTGTGCGCTACCTCATCCCTGTGCCGGTCATCCACTACATTGAGCAACATCATCTCTACGAGGATGACGGCACCACGAATGAGAAGGGCAAGGAGCGTCAACAGGACGGCAAGTCGGGGTGATCATATGCGAGCCACCCTATCTGACGAAAAATGAGCGAAACATGACTCTGATACGATACCCCCATTTTCGTCCTCCTCTTGCCGGCGGTCGTGAGATCGGACTCCGCAAAAATGGGTGTCCGATGGGCTGGCGACCCGCCATATCGGTTGGGGTTGCGCAGATGCCCGCTCGCTTGACCTGGGCTGGGTAGACAGTCAGGTTTTGGCGCTGTACGAGGACAAGACGATTAATGATTTCTGGTGTTCAAAGGCGTTTTCGACCTGGTCGGAATTTTATTCTTCATATTCTTCATAGCAGTCTTTGTACATAACGCTATTCTCTTTCCCTGGTCTGTACATATGACGCTCTAATAGACCTCTGCTTTGAGATTTGACCTGTAATCTTTTCTCTATAACAGGAAGATGACCTATCTAATAGTTCTATTCTGTAGCCGGCATTGTATAGAAAGTAGATACACAATCACCTACCTACTTGGTCCTCTACCCAGTCATCAATCCGTTCACGAGGTCTACCTCGGTAACTTTTCCATGTTACGAGAGAAAAAATTGAGGAGAGGCAGCTGATATAAGCTCCGAGCAGGAGTCAACTTAGCACTAAATCTGAGGCGGATACCTGAAAAGCCACAGAAGGGTTTATCGGTTGGTAGCAAACAGAGGTGGTGTGTGGAAGCGTCAATCTCCATAAAATACTAAGCACCTTGGGGTTGACTCACTCAGTTCTAGCAATTTCTCTGCAGCTGCCACTACGCAACTAGTACGCCTGTTCGGTAGTATCGTGGTATCTCCGAAGGCCGGAATTGAGTCAAGCGGCCCCGATGCACACCATTGCGGAAATAGATGACACCATTCGGCAATGACAGGTAGTTCTCAATTGAGCAGCAATAATACACTGTAGCACATAAAGGAGTATTGCACGGAATAACAAGCTTCAATTACACATTGCAATTGCATTCCACCTCAACCGCGTTGACCCCGCGAATCACAACGCGGCCGAGGCGATCGCTCGATGCACCTGTTATCTTCCGTTATCGACTGAGCTGATCTCTTCTCGGCCCTCCACATTTTCCCATCTGGCGCCTGGCGTCTTCCGGGCGCGAACTTACGGTCTTCCTCAGGGCGATTCTTCCTCCACATCGTTGCGATGGTCTACAAAGCCTTTGACACCTCTCCCTCCCTCGCCATGGCGTCCGACCCCGTCACCCTGCCACCATGGCCGCTCACTCCTCCCGACCCGTCCGAACCCCCACCAACGACAACAAAAGATGTTACCTCCGTCGTCACGGCAATCCATGTGATGTCGACCGAGCGAGCGGCGCTCGCACACCTCGAGCGCCTCTACCAGAACGATTCGCGAGCGCAGCAGGATCTCGCGCGCGCGGTGGACCTCATTACGCGGAGTGTGCGTGAGGCGGGCAAATTGGTCGTTTGCGGGGTGGGCAAGAGTGGGAAGATCGGACGCAAGATCGAAGCGACGATGAACAGTCTTGGTATATACAGTGCTTTCTTGCATCCGACGGAGGCGTTGCATGGGGACTTGGGATTGGTTCGTTTGGTAAGCATTACCTGCGTCTGCATATGCATTTGTCCTGCATGGACACATTTTCGACTAGCCTATCTCTACGCTTCTTTGCGAGGGCCAGCGAATCTTGCGCTGGATTTTAAACTGACTTGATCCCGTGCAGAACGATACGATTCTCCTCATTTCCTTCTCGGGTCGCTCCCCCGAGCTGCTTTCTTTGCTCCCGCATCTTCCCGCTACAGTCCCGGTCATCGCGTTGACTTCACATACGGACCCGTCAGCATGTCCATTACTTTCTCTGCATGGCCCGTCTGGCATGGGTGTTCTTCTGCCGGCACCAATTCATGAGAATGAAGAAGCGTCCCTTGGAGTCAGTGCCCCGACATCGTCTACGACCGTGGCTTTGTGTTTGGGAGATGCATTAGCCATTGCCGCAGCTCGGAAATTGCATACTGCTCCTGGACGAGGACCGGCAGAGGTCTTTCGTAGCTTCCATCCCGGTGGTGCTATCGGTGCTGCTGCTGCTGCTGCTGCTGCTTCTGCTGCTGGAAATACACCACTGACTACACCATCGAGTTGTGTTTCGACAATTACATTTGACTCGCCATCCTCGTCCATTTCTCTCCCGTGGGAGGATCTCAATGGCAATTCATCTATCCCTCCTTTCACTCTCCAGCCTCCACCTCAGCATCGCCGCATTCCGTCGGAGGTGCTTGTTTCCCTTGATCAGATTCCCACTGCATCGGCGTCTGCATCAAATTCACCTGCCGATGTCCGACTTCTTGATATCCTCCTCACAGCTATTCAGCATCCCGATGCCAAATCATGGGTCTTCCTGTCACCTTCTACGATTGTCCCACCACGACGCATTCGTGCCCTCCTGTCCCGCCAAAAAGATGTCGATCTACGCGTTTCCGATGCCGTGGCTAAAGATTCCGGGCGTCCTCTCGCCGTGCCCCGAGCCAACTGGTTCCTTGTCCCGGAATCAACCTCCCTTTCGGAGCTGCGGCATCTAGTGTCCACATCCCGAGTTGAAACAGATCCAATCTCAGTTATTGCGGTGATGAAAGATGTGACATGTCCGGCCAGTTGCATAGGGGTCATGGAGGCGGAGGATCTTTGGGAGCCATGAAGTCCCCATTCATCTTGAGCGTCTTTGTCTTCTTCTTGCCCATACCTTTTGTTTAAAATTGCACATACCATCCGCACTATCTCATGCGGTTGACGATGTTACGCCTGTCTTTACTTGCATTGGGTGAGATTGATATAGTATTATGATGATTCGCATTTATATGGCCCACGAAATTCATGAGGGCCTGCTTTTGAGCATTACAACATTATTCATCTGGTGAAGTATCTCACTCGAAGATTAAATTTTGATGGTAGTTGATACAGAAGCACTATGCGAAAATTGTATAATACACATTCCGATCCCCACCACTTTCCAATGTCGGGAATCCCCCACTTACTCCGGTGCCTTAACTCATGCAAGTAAAAACGTTCGGATATGCCCTCATGACTTGATGACCGGCTTGATACCCTTGTGAATAGCAGCAATACCACCAGTCAAGTTCTCATACCCACGGCCCGGAATCATAAACCCAGCCTTCTGGATCATACCCCGGAACTCCTCCTGGCTCGGGAAGCGCTCAATGCTCTCCACCAGATACTGATAGCTATCACGGTCACCCGCAACAACCTGACCAATAAGGGGAATAGCACTGAAGTTCCAGCGCTTGTACACGGCATCAAAAAGCGGATTATCCACCTTGCTGAATTCCATACAAGCAAAAACACCACCGGGCTTCAGAACGCGGAAGGCCTCATTGAGAGCAGCCTGCTTATCCGTGAAATTCCTGATTCCAAAAACAACGGTGTAGAGGTCGACCGAGGCGTCGGGGATATGCGGCATGCTTTCAGCATTGGCTTCGACGAAGGACAAGCGCGAGGTATTGTAGTAGGGTGTTTCGATAGATCGCTTCTGGCCTTCGGCCAGCATATCGGCGTTGATGTCGCTGATCGTCACCCGTGTTTCCAGGTCGTGGTTGATGTTCGTTGCGTGGTCGAGCATGCGGAAGGCAATGTCGCCGGTCCCGCCGGCGATGTCGAGAATGTTCCAGCCCTTGGTCTTGCCATCCACATCGCGGTTTGCGACGGGGCATCCCGGGTTCAACGAACGGACGAAGTGGTCTTTCCAGATTCGGTGGATGCCCAGGGACATCAGGTCGTTCATTGTGTCGTAGGAGGAGGCGACGGAGCTGAAGACAGCGCCAACTGCGAGTGTTTTGTTAGTTCTATGCACTCAATTAGACTACAACCCCCCAAGATCATAACGTACCTCGCGACTCCTTCTCCGATTCAGGCACATTGGTGAACCCGAAGTGTGTCATGCGCTCATGGTCCGACTTTGGGTCATGGGCCCGACGGGTGCAGGAAAAGCAGCGGTAGGGGGTGGTGGGCTGGAAGGCACGGCGCTTCGCACTGTAGTGCAGCGCTCGCCAGGCGGAGCGAGAAGACATGGTGGAGTTTGAAAGGAATTGAAGCAGAGAAGTCCAATGGTCCGATCTCGAGGCTCCGAGTCGCGAGGAATGACCTGCCGCCAACTTTTCGGATGCCAAGATCCACTTTTTTCTCCCGTGGCTCCTGACCGGGTCAGCCAATCACAGCGCGGAGTTTGCGAGGTGTCCAGTGGTGTTCAACCTTGCAGTAGATGGGCTTCAGCAGGAATACAATGATTGTCAAGAACTGAGTCAGGTGCTGGGTGGAATTAGCGGGCGTAGAGGTGTTGGAAAATTACTGTCCTATCTCCGAGCTTGTTTGCTGACAGCCTCATAAGTGCCGGATATATAAATTGAGGTTTCATGCCAATAACTTTGAATCATCCCATTTGATCTTCAAAATATCAGATTATTGAGCTTCCTGTTAGGCTCTATCTCAGCCGGAACAATACTGCAAATATGACATCGAATGAATTGTCTCGCTGCTGCACTATTGGCTCCCTTCACGAAGGCGAAGCCAAGGGCGAGATAAAGGACATTGGCGATTGTCCGTCTTTCAAAGTACCCATCTGAGTATAGTGACCATACTGATCAGCCATCTAGTTTCAACGTACTTCGCATACCCGACCAATCGATCCAACGAGAAAGCGATTCTCATCCTTACAGATGTGATAGGGCATCGCCTCATCAATGCTCAGCTGATAGCCGATCAATTCACCTCGAAAGGATACTTAGTGGTCATGCCGGACCTATTCAACGGCGACACTGTCGGTATCAACCGACCAGAAGGTTTCCAAATCATGGAGTGGGTAAAGAATCACCTTCCACCCCAAACACAGCCTATCATCGACGCGGTACTCAAAGAGATGCGCGAGAATATGGGCCGCAAGAGAATCGGAGGGGTTGGCTATTGCTTTGGTGGCAAGTATGTTTGTCGGTATCTCAAAGGTCGCCAATTGGATGCTGGCTTTATTGCGCATCCGACTATGGTTGAGGCAGATGAGTTGAAGGGTATCGTGGGGCCATTGAGCATTGACGCTGCAGATGAGTGGTTCCAGTGTCCCAAGTACTTATCGTTGAGCGTGCGTTGCTGACCGGTTTCTAAAGTTCGGGACTTTGTCTTCACGACTGAGAAACGTCGCGAGAGTGAGGATATTTTGGATCAAATGGATGTGCCCTACCGGACTAATTTGCTTTCTGATGTGGGGCACATATTCTCGGTTCGTTGCGACTTGTCGAAGCCTCGTCAGAAGTTCACGAAGAACAGGTTTTCAACCAGGCTGCTGCTTGGTTCGATGAGTATCTGAAGGAATAGTTTGAAGCAACAAAGAGCCCATGCTCTGACCACGGCCAATCAATGTTGAAATCGTAATCACCATCCATTGAGCATATCATTAAGAGGAATTTTATCTATACACAATGCACCAAGAACGTCAGAAAAAATATATAAAGTTATAGACAACAGAATGCATCATTCAAAGGCCAACGGCAAGAAGCCCTCCGAGTGGGAATTATCCAAGGGCCACGGCCAATCGGACAGAAGTTCGGGCGGTAGTTGAAACTGTAGCATCTGGTCTCCAATACCTGAGGTTGCTCCCACGGGAGGAGCAGTACCACTGGGAGCATATGGAGCAGGAAGACTTGTCGGCTCCGGCTTGATACCCATCAAACTGGCGCTGCCGTTGGGTGGCGGAGGGGCAACTGGAAGATTGACAAGACGGGAGTTGCGCATGTATCCATCAATGCGATCAACCTGTGACCGAAGACGTTCACTGGCACCTGCTGCGCGATGGAGACCAGTTTCAAGACGATGTAGCAAATCGGCCATTTCAAGGCTTCAGTAAAAGAGTTAGCATGGTTGTTGTGAGGCACAGGTGAGGCATAGAAAAGCAGGTCTTACAGTAAGGTGCGAACTCGCTGGTAAGAGGCGTCTGATAGGCTCCCCTCCATGACCGAACCGAGAATATAGCCGATGCCTCCAAGATGGTGGAGCTGAGGAGTTGTTAGTACGTGGATAGCCGCGTGTTGGTGATGGGGGTCTTACCAGAGGTGAGCTGATAGCTTTCAAATACTCGACAGGAACATTCGAAAAGACCCTGAGAAGTTCACCAGCCACATCGCATTTCCGGTCCAAACCAATTTCCTCGGCTGACAAGAGCACCATGCGAAGAAGCTGCAGCGTGGCTTGGATATTGGCGGATTGGAAACCAAAAGATCTTTACCGATATCACCAGTGGTTGGTGGTGTCTCGCGGAACTGAGGAGGCAGGGCCGAGTACATTGAGAGAACTCGTTCCATGACGGCTGGTTCGGACATGGACGCGGGACTGAAGAGAGACCACACCTCTTGAGTTCCGTTGGCCGATGAGAAACGACGCCGAGTACCATCGACAACGTGCTCAAGAATTCGGTATAGATCAGTGGTGAAGTTCCAGCCATGGAGCCATGATACAGGAGCTCGTGCGACGCCTGTCGCGTCGACATGACTCGGCGTACTCGATGCCGGGGATACAGGTGGTATGCTGTAGCCTCGATGTGTGATGAACTCGTCATTCAGTTCAATGGGGTATCGAACGAGAGAATGTGCTTCACGGTATCGAATGACACCGCCCCATACAATGGTCGAGTATATGTCCAAGGTGTATATAGACCAGAACTGTAATCTTGTTAGCTAGGATCAAGGACATTCAACCAAAAGCACATACCAGTCTCCGACGTTCTTCGACCTCAACGGGGCTTATGTCCTTAGGCCAAAGCTTCTCGTCGTGAAGCCCCTCCATGGTGGTGAGTGTATGGTACATGCCAGAATATTTTTGCATGTTTTTGATATGGCCATTTTGAATACTAGCAATAGCCAGAATGGCACATGCTCGCATATAGTTCATGCCCTTCGCGGCTGCGAGGTCACGAGGCAAAGCGTCTTTAGCTGCCGCATAGAATGCTTCAGAAGGCGGCTCCAGCAGCTCTTCTCGGTGCCATCTATTGCTGTATAAGGCACCATCGCGCGCGCGGCCTGATACTAATGAACAGACAGCCATCGTTGATGCAAAAAGTCCCTGATTTGTGAGATGTTCCTTATTGTTGATGCTCTCGATGAACGACTGCTTGTGGAACAATGGGAAGCTAAAAACGGAGTTAGTTGATATGCCCGTGCATTAATAGCACGTCGGAGACAGATTAATCTTACATGGGATAGACAATCTCGAAATAGACCTGGACGAGGTTTCGAATCGACCTATCACTGGCAATAGCAAATGCCTTCCACGAGTTTCGCAACGCGCCGTCATCATCGTACCCCTCCGCCGTTGACCATCCCGTGTTGAAAGAGGACCAGGGGTCCCCAGTCAATGACGGGCGCGGGCCCGAATCTGGGTAAGCCGAGCTTCTCGAAGCCGACGACCCTGAGGCTCTTTCAGGAGCTAGTACTTGAGTAGCGGTGGGGACATTCCCTGACATGGCTCTCGCTGATGATGACTCCCGCGCATTCACCCTGGTGCCAGCCTTGACGCCGCGGCGCTTGGCCGGGCGATCAAAGGTACATGCGACATCGAAATCGGCGCAATTCTGGCACCGGCCTAGCTGATCATCGCTTCGGCTGCATTTGATGCTGCGCCGATTGCAGAAGTCGCCTAAAGGGGTGTCAATTTCACATTCTCCCGTTTATCCGCGCAGCACGAGGGAAGTGGAGAACTGAGCTGCGCGTTGGAACGCGGGGGGAGGATTCTTACAGGCTTTGGAGACGCGCTGGAGCTTTCGCGGTTTTTGCGACATTCAAGTTATTTCAAACCATGCCACCACACGAACTAGATTAGATGGGCTCGGCGGTACGGGGGGGGGTTCTCGGCTGGAGAATTCGGTTCCGGGGAGAACGGGAGCGCGGAGCACGGCGTCTGGGGGACGCGCCTCTGTGGAGTACTTCGGGCTGGTGGTGGCTGGCGGCGTCGTACTACGGGGCCAAGAGTGAAGAAAGGGGAAATGGGATCTGGGGCTGATCGGGCGATGGTTCAATGGTGCCAATTGTCTCAATGGCCATTGAAGATACCTGAGGTCAAACCATCGAGTCCAGATGGCCGACAGCGACCCGCCCCGCTGAGTCAGCACGGTGCCATCGTCTTCTGGCCCCCAGCGAATCGCGTCGCGCGGTTTACACTATCGTTCAAGTTGCTAGCACGTAGCGTCAAGTTGTAGGACTCATAATATACTGGTAGGTGACAGGATGCAGAATTGGTGTGGCAGACCGAAAGAAATGCATTGCAGACATTATATCTCTATCGCTGATGTTGTAGCACTTAGGCCAGTATAGGTGGAGGTGGTAGTACAGGTCAAATTTGTGAAATGGTTGGTGATGATGATGATGGCGAATTCTAAGCAGTGGAAGCAGTGGAGCATTATGGTTCGTCGTGCACCGACACTATTGATTCCGACTTCGGTGCATGGTAGGTTTGGGTTTTTGTGACTCCATGCGTCGCCAAAACATCGCCATGGAGTTTGTAAGCCCGTTCCATTTGCCAGTGGAAGGGGCTGCTGGTGGAGAAAAGAGCCTCAATGGACTCGAGGGAGCGGTTTCGAGTTTCAGGGTAGACTGTCACAAGGATTAGACATGGAAGGAGGCCTCTCGGACAGGAGGATAAATCTCACATAGAAAGACAATCGGTATCCAGATCAAGTTCAGCCCAGCAAGAAGGAAATAGGCACGGCTCTAGGTCCAAGTCAGCAAGTGGAAGTTGCAAGTAGGTTTAAAAGTAACTGACATGAAGGTTACCAAACAAAATGGGATTGACCAGTGTGGTCATGCCCACGCCAATGGCCCAGCCTGTGATTCCAAACCCATTGCCCTGGGCCCGCAGGTCACTCGGGAAGATCTCGGTGGGTATTAAAAAGGCCACGGTACCCCAGGTGGCGGCATAGCTATCCAGAATTAGTCTCCATATGGAACTGCGGGGTGTCAAATTCCAACGTACCCAAGATTGAACAAGAAAAGCATCGTAATGGCGGGAGGGGCGTATTGCTTGACCTTTTCAGGGTGGTACCAGGATGCTTCATATAGCGCGCCGGCAATCAGGTTGACCGCGAACAGGACAGCAGCTCCGCCCATCAGGCAGGGTCTGCGACCAAGGCGATCTATAATCTGAGCACTAATGATAGTGCCAACAATGCCAATTGTGTTGACACCCCCGGAAAGACCACTGATTTGTATTTCGCCGTATTCAGCCTGCTCGAGGAGAGTTGGGGCATATGCAGTGACAGCCTAGGCGGCAATTCGAGTCAGCGACCGGGGTTCATCAACACACCAACGGATGTCCAACTTACCGAGATTCCAGTCCAGGATGCCATTATTTGAAGCCATATACACAGCCATGCACGTCGACCCAAATTTGTACCTTTGTCTCCGCCTTTTCCACACAGAATCTTGGCAAACTGCAATGGAGAGCTGGGCTTGCTGTGCTTTGCTGTGGCCACGATTTCGCAGTATTCCCGATCTATCTCTTCCTCTGTAGCCCTGTCCTTGCGCAATCGAATCAAAAGATCACGCGCTTCATCTGTTCTTCCCACCGAGGCTAAAAATCGAGGGCTATCAGGCAGCATCTTGATGAACAATGCAAGTAGGAGGGCGGGGAAACACTGGAAGGCGAGGAGGAACCGCCATCGGACGTCAGAATACCCATGGTTGATAAAGGACAGGCCGAAGGAGATCCAATAGGCGACAGAAATTCCGAGGTCTGAGTATTAGTCTATTGTTAGTATGGAGCTCGCAAGGCACCGGCGGGAGTTGTTAGGGCGGGCACGTACAGTTGGCTATAAAGACGTAACCTAGGAATCCCCCTCGGTGGTTCGCCGTTGAGGTCTCCGAGACCAACACAGGCGTGATGCCCGTCAGAGCTAGAGGCCCCCCACGAGTTAATCAAGCTCCTGGGATGGGTCTCGCTAAAGCGCACTAGCAGGGGTACTCACCACCAGTGCCAATACCTGTCACCACTCTGGCGCAGATCATGAAATTTGAGTTTGAGATGGCAGATTGCAGGGCCCCTCCAACCAACGCGAACAATGACCCTGCGAGTAACCCATTGATGCGTCCCACTCGATCTGCGAGCCATCCTCCGGCAAAGCAGCCAAAGATCGCCCCCAAGTAGTAGACGCTCACGATGCCCCCTTGATGGGTGGTGTTGGTGACCTTCCCACTGGCCTTGCCAATGCCGACCAAGGTCAGGTAGTTCGGGGCCGAATTGACGCCTCCCATGACGCCCTGGTCATAGCCCTCGAAGAAGATGGAGATGAGCGAGAAGACATGGATGGCAACGCTCAGCTGCCGCGGCGAAAGCCGCTTCCATAGCGTGGTGTATCCCATGGCCAGCTCAGCATCAGTGCGTGCCCCTGCAGCTCGTCGCGCCGGACGATCCAACGTATGGGTCCAATTCCAGCTCTAGGTGTGACGAGATGGGGCCAAGATCATTTGGGAGCGCCAGCCGCAACGGATCTTCTGGAACTTCGCCGGGGGGACCACTCTTGGAGCGTGTAACCATTTAGCACCGGCAGATTCTGTTGCATTAGTCTCGCCCATTAGCCGTTTTGCAGGTTATGCCTTCAGGCGGTCTGGCCATCTGCCGGGCAGTCCAACCCTCCACGATGCACGAATGCTGGTTCTTGCAGCTGCGATGTTGGTTCGACCGCAAATTTTGGTTGTGGATGTGGGCAGCAGGATGGACATCCCAGTCGCTGGTCGCCTTTTTATAAACTGCCATCCTGCCTTCAGGGGTTGAGGCTTTTCCCTTCCTTTGTTCCCCAGTGACATTACGACGTAGTTCGTTACTCGAGCCTAGAAACCATGGGCTCAGTGTACCCCTCAGAGGCCCTGTCGGGTGCGCCGTTGGATTTGACTGTCCTTGGTTTGAATAGCGGGACGTCGATGGTGAGCGATTTTTGCATTGGAAAGGCAGCATGGGAACAGACGCGATTAAGACTGGTCTAGGATGGGATCGACTGTGCCCTCTGTCGATTTCGCCAGGAAACACCAGAGTCGCCCATGCACTTTGAACTCCTCAAAGTAAGTAACACATCGATTTGCATCTCACTTCGGAACTCCCGACTAACCGGTGACTTCAGTATGGCGAAATCCCGCTGGAGCAAACGATCAAGAAAAGAGTCATGAACATCATCCTCCACAATCATACATCGCCTTCGGAACTATCAGAAGTGAATGTCATTCTGGGCGAGACCTTTGCATCCGCCGTACATCAGTTCTGCAAAGACTTCCAGGTCGACATCAACACGATCGACGCCCTGGGCTCTCACGGACAGACAATATGGCTCCTGTCCATGCCAGAACCCGACGAAACGCGTAGCGCACTAACCATGGCCGAGGGCTCTTTTCTGGCTTCTCGAACCGGTATCACATCTGTGACCGACTTTCGCGTCAGCGACCAAGCCGCTGGCCGACAGGGTGCGCCTTTGATCGCGTTCTTCGATGCCCTTGTACTACACCACCCCACAAAGCTACGCGCATGCCAGAATATCGGTGGCATTGCCAACGTCTGCTTCATTCCACCCGACACACATGGCGGTGTTAACGCTTGCTACGACTTCGACACTGGTCCTGGTAATGTTTTTATTGATGCGGTTGTACGGCACTATACGAATGGCGAACGCGAGTATGACAAGGATGGTGAAATGGGTGCTCGTGGGATAGTCAAACAAGAGCTGGTGGATGAGTTCCTGCGTCACCCGTACTTCGCGCTGGACCCTCCAAAAACAACCGGTCGTGAAGTCTTCCGAGACACGCTCGCGCATGAATTTATCAATAAGGCAGAGGCTAAGGGCTTGAAACCTGATGATGTTGTCGCCACTATTACTCGCGTCACTTCACAGGCCATTGTCGATCACTACCGTCGCTATGCGCCCGAGGGACTCGAAATTGCGGAGATCTTCATGTGCGGCGGAGGAGCGTATAACCCCAATATTGCAGCGTTCATCCAGAAGAACTATCTCAACACGAAGATCTTTATGCTTGATGATGCTGGAATCCCCAGTGGTGCAAAGGAGGCTATTACCTTTGCCTGGCAAGGGATGGAGGCGATCGTCGGTCGCTCAATCCCAGTTCCAACTCGCGTCGAAACGCGTCAGGAATATGTCCTGGGAAAAGTGTCGCCTGGGAAGAATTATCGCAAGGTCCTGCGCCATGGCATGCTGTTCGGTGCGGGCCGTGATCATTTGGCCCCTGTCAAAGAGCTGGTGAATTATATCGATGGCAAGGTGTTCGACAACAAATGGTGAAAGGGCGGAGGTGGAAGACCAGCGTTATTGATTTCAGCATTCAATGCTTGGGCGTGCATTTTTCTTCGGCATTATGATTTCACCAGTCTGTTCGCAATGCGATGATACACGAATATAATTTACGCTTTCTGTCAGGCTGTACAGAGAATGCACCTACTGATGAATGAAACCAATACCGGCTAAATACCCAAGGCCAATAGATCATATTACTGCTCATCCCTACTTCAGGGTCGAGGATAATGTGGGTTCACTGCTTGCCTATCAGAGCTAGCTTGACGGCTCTGGTCCGAAGACACTAAATAGCCCCATCGCTCCACTGGAACCGCAAGGCGAGCTCAAAATAGACGCTACGGGTACATTCATTCCGGAAGCTCGTGAGAAATAACGTTGGGAGGGGGGTGTCAGTTATGTGTCGAGTCTTCAGATGGTTGCACAGAAATGATAGATCTTCGTCTGGAAATAGTAGGATCTTGGTACCTAGGTATATAATAAACATATATACAAATTTTGAATTTTGTCAAATTTGAAATAAAATAAAATGACTCATCCTGTCAGGGTATTTTATAAATCCGATCGAAGCTGACGTCCCTATCAAAAATCGTGAAAAAATATCGGCGATCGCTCGGTACCGAGTGTTTGCCGGGCATCGCCTCCTGGAAAGCGGCACAGGGCTCACCGGACAGTATTTTTAAAAGTAACCCTGCCTCAATCTGATAGCCGTGTAACAAGTCTTCTAGCCTATCAGATGTAGTCCGTATATCTATCCAGGAGTTGAGATATCTAGCAAACCGGGATATATCTCGGTGATGGTTCGGCGGAGACGCAGGATATGCACTTTACTATAGATGTTGTTGCGCTTACTGAAGTTATAAATACCTGCGCGGTACAATCATGGCTTGGACCTGAATTCCATAATTTCTCTAGTTACACCTAATCCACAATCCTCAAAATGGCCAAAGCAATATCACCTGAACCAGAAGCCCTTGAACCAGCACATCACTTGGTTGGGGATGAAACCCGCGAAAGCCTCCGCCAGGCGGGAATCACAGAGAATGCACCAGCCACACTATACAACTACCCCGAAGTAGGACAGAAAGGAGACCCGATGTTCCCAGAAGAATATGTCGTCGAAACTCAAACCGGCCTCGTTCCACAAAAGACCCTGGAGCAGATGCGATCGCACTGCTCGACACCGACGACCCAGGCACCCCGAGACAACAACACCGACTTGGAGAAAGGGCCCAAGGAGCCTGCGGAATTTGTGACATTCACCATCGATGATCCCGAGCACCCGTATAATTGGTCGCGTGGTTATCGATGGTACATCACCCTGGTCGCGTCTGCACTCGTCGTCTGCGTTGCTTACGGCTCATCGATTGTTACGGGTGGTCTGGGTTTAATCGAAGAGCAATACAACGTCTCTCTCGAGGTGGCGATTCTTACATGTTCAATTATGGTCTGTGGCTTTGCAGTCGGGCCTCTACTCTGGTCTCCGCTCTCTGAAATCATCGGACGAAGACCGGTATACATCATCTCGATTAGTCTTTATGTGATCTTCAATATTCCATGCGCCCTTTCGCCTAATATCGGCGGCCTTCTCGTCTGCCGGTTCCTCTGCGGCGTATTCTCCAGTTCAGGCCTTTCTCTCGCTGGTGGCACTATCGCAGATATCTGGAGCATCGAGGAGCGTGGAATGGCTATTGCTTATTTCGCCGCTGCACCCTATTGCGGCCCTGTCATCGGACCAATTGTGACCGGATGGATAAATGTCGGCACCGGTCGACTGGACCTTTTCTTCTGGACAAATATGGCCTTCGCAGGCGTCATCATGATCATGGTCGGCGCCATCCCCGAGACATATGCCCCAGTGATTCTTAAGAGGCGCGCCGCGAAGCTGCGCAAGGAAACCGGAAACCCGTACATCGTCACAGAGCAAGAGCAGCACAAGCCTTCGCTGAGCGATATTGCTCGCACAATGCTGATCCGCCCCGTCACAATGATCATGACCGAGCCCGTCCTCGACCTGATGTGCATGTACATCATCCTCATCTACTCGATGCTCTACGCCTTCTTCTTCGCATACCCCGTTATCTTCGGAAGACTCTACAACTACAACGACGGCCAGATCGGACTGATGTTCATTCCGATTCTAATTGGCGCGGGCATTTCACTACTCGTGACTCCAGCCATCGAGAAACAGTTCGTAAAAGTCTGTCAATCGCGAGCCCCAACGCCCGAAGACCGACTCCTCGCATCGCTATTTGGTGCGCCTTTTATTCCCATCGCCTTCTTCCTGCTCGGCGCGACCTCCTACACGCACATAATCTGGGTGGGGCCTGCTTCGTCTGGAATTGCGTTCGGATTCGGCATGGTGCTCTGCTACTATGCTGTGAATAACTACCTGATCGATGCGTATCAGAAATATGCGGCGTCGGCACTGGCGGCTAAGGTTTTTTTGAGATCGGGTGGTGGTGCTGCGTTCCCGCTTTTCATTACGCAGATGTATGATCGTCTGGGTTTGCAGTGGGCTTCGTGGTTGCTTGCTTTCATTGGTGTGGGGATGGTTTTTATTCCTTTCGGCTTTTACTTTTATGGTCTTAAGCTTCGGGCGAAGCTTACTAGGGATTGAGTATGGTAGAAGCATGCCGCATCACCATGTGATTGTGATGGACTGAAAAGTGGAAGCAAGGAGCGATATAGGGGGATAGAGGTTGATGAGCTTAGAGGCGCCGGTCTGACAGAATATTTTATGTGAATACAACGGGATCTTAATGTTTAACAAAGAATGGACTGTAGTATGTACAGATATCCCTGCTTGGAGAGAAACAATATCCCGAGAGAGGGCGAGGAAAATTCAATTGAAACCATTTGGAGAGTTTTCAAGCTCAATCCGTGGTAAGATCCCACAGACTGCGAACAGTAACACCCTGGGACCACTTTCCACCAGTCTCATCTTTCTGCAAAGTGAATCCAACAGTCTTCTTCTCACCAGGGAGAAGGGTGAAAGAGTTCTCATCAAAGTACCCAACGACACCAGCTGGGTAATCCAGCCAGGTATAAAGCGAGACACCATTCTTAGCCTCCACCGTAAAAGTACTATTCTTCTCATTAAGCGAGATCTCGACCTTCGGATCCTTAAGAGAAAGCTTGTTGGGAAAGACAGGGGTGAATTGGTTGCGGTGAGTGAAGGTATAGACCGACGAACTGTCAGAGTTAGGCAGACGACCGCGGGCATTCATAGACAGCACCAAAACGGCATCTGACTTGTCAGTCAGTGACAGAGCAGACAACTTTGTCGAATAAATATGAGTGGTATTCAATCCACCGACAGTGAAGCGATGAGTCTGGGGCGTGCCGGCATTACCAGCAATAGGCTTGCCAGATAGATCCACCCAAGTAAGGTTGACCGTGCCGCGAGCAGTATCCCACAGATCCGACGTGACATACACAGAGAGGTCACCGGTGGTAGAGTTCCAGAACGGCGAAATGATGACAGGCTTGTAGATATCACGAGCCATGTAGTGAAGCTTCTTCCAGCGGCCATCATACTCGATTCCAGCCCAGGTGGGCGCTTGCCAGATATCCTCGAGCTGCCAGTACAGAGAGCCGAGCTGGCGCTCGGGCATACCGCTACCACGACGGTAGAATTGAATCTGCGCCTTGTACATGTCGGCCTGGAACATCTGGGTTGCGTCGCACCAGGCGCTGAAGTTGGCGATGGAGTCGTGCTTGTTCGGGATTGGGTAGTAGCGCTCGACTGCCATGGTCATCTCGCCCATGCCCATTGACGCGTTCCGGAAGTTGTGTGTGTCTGTATTGCCTGGTGGATAGTGGTGGTTTCGGAGAACAACCGTGCTGCTGTTGAATTGGAGCTCGTCGTCGTCGACTGCTTGCTTCCAGGTTTGCAGGCTGGGCATACTGTGGTAGCCAAATTCGTTTGCGAAACGACCAACCGGGTAGCTTCTGTAGTCGAAGGCCACTCTGCTGTCGTAGTTGTAGTGGTCGGTATCCGAGTAGTAGGATCCGCTGGTGGTGTTGTCGTAACGCTCAGCCATGGGGACGGGCGCAGACATGTTGACCCAAAGGAAGCCGTTGTTGGTGCTGCTGGGCATGTAGGAAATTGAGCGCGAGTTCTCATACACCAGCGGCAGGATCAGGCTGATGTAGAGCTTCTCGTACTCACCCACCCAGTGGGAATAATGCTTGGGATCCGCTTGCTTAATAAGGGGCAGCTCGAGACTCTCGATTTCGTTTCCGCCAGCCCACAAAGCTAACGATGGGTGATGGTTCACGCGTCGCACATTGTAGATGACTTCCTGTGCGACATTGTCCAGGAAGGGCTGGTCCGTTGGGTACATTGCATCGCTGAACTGGAACTCGCTCCAGAGAAGAACACCACGCTCGTCTGCAATGTCATAGATGAAGTCAGGAAGATACGCGCCAGAGGCCCAGACACGAAGCATGTTCTGGTTTCCAGCTACGACGGCATTGAATAGCCGCTCCATCTTGTCCTCGGTGACTCGGGGCCAGAAAGCATCGGGAGGAATGAAGTTCGAGCCCTTGGCATAGAATTCCTGGCCGTTGACTTCGAAGTGCCAGTTTGCGCCCGGTGCAATACCCTGCGCCAGTTGCTCCTCGGTGATATTGAGCCTATTAAGGAAGATTGTACGGAAGCCAGTGCGCTTGGTCACACTTGCGAGACTCTTCTCGTCCTTGCTCTGGATTTTGATAGAGGCAGTGTACAAGTTCTGCTTGCCCAGGCCGTTCGGCCACCAGAGTTTCGGCGCGTCGGCGTCAACCGTGATAGACCCAGTGATGGTCTGTCCGGAGACAGACCCATTCTCGAGCGGACCGGACTTGAGTATCTTGCCTGATTCGACGTCCTTGATCTCAATGGCCATAGATGACTGATCCGGAAGAGATCCGAGGAAGTCAATGCTTGCATTGACGACCCAGGGCTGGCTTTGGTCGGGAGCCAGGTGGTTGATTTGGCCCTTGCGGAAGATATCCAGATCGGTGTTTAGCACGTAGACGCTCTCTTCATCGTCAAACTGTACGAGGTAGGCCTTCTGCCATGGTCCGACCGGCGCGAAGGCTGGGCCCCAATCCCATCCGAAATCGGACTGCTCTTTGCGCATGAACCAGCGATTCGGGAATTCGTAGATCTGCTGTGGGCCATAGGGCCATGCTAACGGTGTGTCAGAAACACTTTCGATGTCGTATTTGGTCAAACGTACTTTGAGAATTGGGATCTTCGGCAATTTTATTGACGATCTCAGGGGCGCTGCCAAAGTGCAAGGCGAGGTAGGGATCCCCTTTGCAGTTGCCGAGGGCGTTGGAAATATCAAAGGTATACTGGCGGAACTGGTTATCTGTTGTTCCGACGACCTGCCCGCAAACCTCAATGGTCGTGAAAGTGTCGAGTCCATTGAAGACGAGGAAAGATGTCTTTGAACTCAAAGATCTGTCTAGAGTCAATTGATATCCAGAAGGTAAGAGGGTGGTGGGGATGACTGACAGCCCTTGGATAGGGTCGCTGGTGTATGTCCAGTTGTTGTTTACAATCCAACGGAGATTGAAGTCGTTCAGGCCGTAGTATCTGTTTTCGGTCAGTGTGCTATTCTTTCGAAGTGGCTGTATCGTACTGACGGGTCATCTCATGGAACTGTTAGCTTCCAGCCTCATTGCCTTGGGGCCTGCAGGGAACTCACCGATGGCCTTTGCCGCATAGAGATCCAAATGAGCCTGTGAGGGTAGTCGCCCCGGCACCGAAATATTCAGCGCCTTACTCGAGACAGTCCAGCCATCGCCGCTGAGGTCCACGACATGCTGTCCTAGCACAGCTGGCGCCGTCGTGGGCAGCAAAGCTAGCGCAAACTTCTTCCACGAATGCATGGTGACACCGATAGCGAGCAGGAGGCCGTGCCTAGACGGGAACGGGCTCGCTGTTATATCGAGTTCGGGTCCAACCAACCCGACGTGTGCTGCACAACAGCTTGGCTACCACTCCGGATGAATACCGGCCGCCAAGTGGAGGCGAGGGTGCTTCTGCTGCTCGGCTGTTATCAATTAAATGGCGCTAGGCATGGACCTTGCCATTCGTTGCGGGCGTGGGTGTCGGAGATGGATGGGATTAATCTGGCCAGGCTAGGAGACGGGGCCTCGAGCGGGGGAGGACGCAACGGTAGCAGCGTCGAGTAGCGGGCAGGGGGCATTTCTCGGGGAATGAAGCAATCAATCCCCAAATTTGGGCCTGCGTGGCGGGAAAAGGCGACGATCTGCATTGCTTGACTGCGGAGCGCGCGGAGGCGAGAGGGGGCGCCCCGCCGGCAGCTGAGGGCTCTAAGGACACGCGAGTCAAACACTACATTATGTAGTGCAGAGTGAGCTCGATGCAGAAAGTAGTATATGGAATTGAGTTGCATCTCCTGGAAAATTTCAATATTTTTTCTAAAACTCAGGTGGAAATGTAAAGGCCCAACCACTTTGCCGCATGGCTGGCCAAAGTGCCGGAATGAACCCCTGGATCCGAGCGACTAGTACATACTTGATCAGGATACACTGTAGATGCGGTCATCGCCTTTCCTATCTATTCTCCATACAAGCACGGGTAATATTCTATCTATTTAAGCGTACATGATCATTCCGTCAGATTCTGGCGCATCTGCTGCACATCCTCAGTCGAGAATCCAAGTTTAGTCGTCAGATATTCCTCGACGCCCCCTTGGTAGGTGTTCTCGAACATCTTCAGAAAAGCGGCCATGGCGTGTGCCCGCACGCCACTGAGTTTCAGCATGCCGATCGCTTCGGGAGTGAGGTGTTCAGTGCCCATATTCAATGCTAGTGCCTGTGTCAGGTTCTCCCGCACGCTCTCCAATCCAATGCGCGTGAGGATATAGTCATTAATTACATCTCCATGGGATCGTCCAACCAAGAGCAATATCAATGCGGCGAGGACTCCAGTGCGGTCTTTGCCGGCTACAAGATTGAGGGCATTAATAAATGTAGCCAACAGCTTGGTGTACCGTGCAGGAACTCACCTGAACAGTGGAAGATAAACGGATCATCAAGCTGATCTCGGATATGACGGAACACCTGGCCAAAGGCAGGTGTCGCCGCCTCGAGGATCCCCATATACATCTTAACAAAACCGGCCGCGCAATTTTCCTCGCCGGCGAAATCGCGAAGATTCAATGACGCCGGTCGCGCGCCGTAAGGCATCCATATGGTTTCGACTCCATCGATCTCGGGACTCGGCGCCCGTTCTCTCTCGCCTTGATTCCGCAAATCAAATATCGTCGTGATGCCCAATTTATTTGTCAAGATGATCTTGCCGGTCTCTGTGATGTCAGACATATTCCCGGAGCGGTAGACATAGCCCGCCCGGAGGGTATTATTATGGCCAAGATCGCGAAAATTCGACACGCCGGGGACTGTGATGAAGGGCGGCAGCGAGATGATCTTGGCGACGGTGGCCTCCGGGATCGGAGTCGTGATGTCGGTGTCTAGCACCTCGCGCAGGTTGTCGGTATTGATCATGGTGGCAGGGGAATGCGGATGTGCCTGAATTGGTTTCAAATTCGAGCAGGTCAAAAGAATAATCGGCTTCGATCGAACCTTTATTGAACAATTCTCAGGTACCCACACGCTCCTGGTGCCTCAGGGGCGATGTCATCGTCTCCATTGTGCACTTCCCTGGAAGGAAAGGATGACGGTGGGTGGGTTCCACCGCGAAAAAGGTACGCGGAGCGATGACGCCCAGGCACGTCGCAGATTTGATGTCATCGGCCTCCCCCGACTTAGCTAAGCTCAGATTTTTGCTGAGATCGCTCTAAACATTTTTGATTGAGCATGTCACAGTTTATTTTTAAGGGATAACATCAATAGAAATGATTATTTGTAGACCATCAGTCGAGGCCAAGTTCGTAATCGCGGTGGCATCGCTACTGGATTATCATGATGCGGGTGTATGGTTCAGCCCCCAGCTCTAACATGTGCCATGTGATGATCGAGGAAGAATGGCCTAGAACACTCCCCAGTCATGTCGATCTCTTAAGAAATTATCAAATACAACACATACTTGAAGCACTACATCCTTTGCATAGAAACTGATATTTTGCCTTGTTTCCATTCCAACGACTAGTAGAGCAGAAACGACTTCACATTGCGAGTTCTACTTGAATACTCATTCGTTTCGCTTCAAGTCGTTCACCTATCCATCATGATCCTTACTTGTAGACTTACTCTGCCCCATGACGAAACGGGAGGTCTCACACCGTAATCGTTTAGGTACCTTATCATCTGCTTTTCCCAAAATGGCATACGGGTTCAATTCTGATCGAAATGCGACTTTGTTGACCTATATAGGGTATCCCCGGATCTAAACTAGTCTAGGGACTAGCACCGGTAGTAAGGAAGATATGAATCGAGTCTTGTCGATCTGGCCGGGGTATGTCAACGTCCAAAGGTGGGGGTCCCCGGGCCTTTTTGCTGAAGGCACCCAATCGTCGTCGGAGAAGGTTGGGTTCCGATCAAGAGATTTATGATTGCTGCAAGATGCCTGTAGTGAATGTTCTTACGTGCATCCTTGTTCGTTTAAGCGCGAAATCTATTTGCAGTGCGACATTGTACTTTCTGCATGCATATTGCGTCGTCAAAAGTGGGGATGGGAATCTCGAGCAATAGACGTTTCACGGTTCCTAATCTCTTCGGACACCCCATCTGCAACATTTTCAAAATATCCGATCCTTGATCACAATGGCCGAGTGTGCGAGACATATCGAAAAACGAAAGCGCTCCGGTCAGGCCGCAAAGAAGTCTCTCAGATCCAGATCCAGCAAAGCACGGTCATGCGAGGCATGTCGCCGACTGAAGACAAGATGCGAGGTCTACCCCAGCACGGACCGGTGTCACAGATGCGATATTCTCCAGTACGCGAACTTCTTAAGAGGCCCATTGTACCAGCACTGATATGTCTTAGAGTCGAATGCAAATTCCCTGGTGTCGTTCGCAGTCCAGAGTCGCAAAGTCAAATGGAGAGCAAGTCGGAAGAAGAGCATCATCGTGACCTGCAAACTCGGTGGGTCTGCATCCCTCAGATTTCGGTCGACCATTGCTAACCGATGGCTAATAGACTATCTGCGGTCGAAATGGCCTTGTCGGATATCAAAGCGACATTGTCATCTAGGTCTCCCAATAATACCCAATTACAATTGGAAGGCGATCTTCTAACGTCGAAGAACTCACTAAGTCCGACGATTCCCACCCCCGAAACATCCCCATCATCCGCAGAGAGGACCGCCCGTGACGCGCCGATGAGCCTCATACAAGAAATCAAAGAAAATATGTCTTTACCAACGCAGACATCTCCACTTCGAGTCGCCTCCCAAGATGTTATCGCCAATGGGATCGTATCCGAAGATGTCGCGTGGATATTGCTGGAAGGGTAAGCATCGTTTCCGCGAAAGCCGATAGGGTTGATGCGCTAAGACAGTGGCCCTCACTTGCAGCTTCTCGAAACTATCAAGTCGTTGGCTTTTCATGAGCACAGACCCCATCGACCTCCGTTCCAAGTCATCGCTCCTCTTTGGAACGTGTATACTCGCCGGCATCCACATCACCCCGGCGTTGTACGGATCTGAAACCCACCAAAAGCTCTACAAGCATGTCTACGACATGTTGGCGCAGTCGCAGCTCGTTTCTGGTACTTCACTCGATACAATCCAGGCATTGTTGATTTTCTCCATGTGGGATCTCAGACCGACGCGGGATCATGATCATGGTAATTCGTGGTTACTAAGTGGTCTCGCTGCTATGAAGGTTATGATGATCACCCGGTTTGAGAATTTGTTCCAGGCGAGTGATGGACAGGAAGTTTCGAGGTCGCGTGAGCTTCTGCGCACGTGGAATTTGATCTGTCTTTGTCATCTACAGTTCGTCCCGGCTCTTTATTGCCCAAAGTCGAGAATAGCTTGAGGCAAACTAACGAGAGGATAGGTTTTCGATTGGCTCTGGTCGTCCACCCGTGATCTCTAGACAGTACTTCGAGGAATGTGCAAAAATTCTTAACTACGAGTCGTACAACGCGCGAGATGAGCTTGTCGTGGCTGGAGTGGAGCTATACCGGACTTTGTGGGAATTGATCAGTTCAAATGAAATTCGCACGGATAGCGTGGCTTGGCCGGAAATTGAGAGGCTTCGGAGAAGGCACGAGCACATATACCGTACGTCGATACTTATGAGAAGTAGTCGGACTTACTAATTGAGTATTTGCAGATCTTGATTCGTCCGAACCCCTTCGCTTCGCGTACTCCTGTACATATCTCATTCTAACGCGTCGGACCTTGAGGCATATCAATGAATCCCACGCAGTGGAGAAGGGCAGGTCACGGCCATTGAACGGAGAGACTCAAAAGCAGGAGTTCATACAATTCGCAGTTGGCCACTCACACCAGGTCTTGAACCTTTTCCTGTCGATGTCAGATCTCACAACCTATATTCACCCAGCTTACGAAAATCTCTTATGTTCTTTCGCCATGGTAACTCTAGCTGAGCTGGCCGACCATGTTACCAATATTTTCGAGACTACCACTTTGATGGAGCAGGCTGTCTCGCACATACAGCGTGGTGGGAAGGCCGAGCCTGTGAGTCGATGGTCGCTAAGTATTATGAAACAGCATATACTCGGTGGCAACGATGAGGAAGCAGTGATCTCTGAGGATTCAGACCCTATATATGGCATGAATGTTGCAGCTGGCGATATTTTGAGATCATGGGAAGATGTTAACTGGAGCATTGAGCAAGAGTTTCCTTCGCTGGAAGAGGTTTTCTTTGGTGGGGTATTGTGACATGTGAGCAGAAATGAGAGCATCAGTGAAATCATGATCAATTGTTCGACTTCGTTGACCAAATACCATCCTGAAAAAAAAGACCCACGCTTAAGTATCATAGCCTCATACAGATCCCCGCGTAGCATTCCTTCGGCTTTTTCGAAAAGCCCTCATGCGACTCCATGAACGGCTGATAGAGCGTAAAAGTATATCGATGAAACAGCGTCCCGATAATAAGCTGAAGCTCCATAATAGCCACATTCTGCCCAACACATGCGCGAGGCCCATACGAAAAGGGGTTGAACCCCATCTTCTGCCGCGCCGTCAAATTCAGCCAGCGATCGGGCTTAAATTCCTCGACGTCGTCACCCCAAATCTCTTGCATGTGGTGAATAGTGTATGAAGGCACTGATAGAACAGTTCCAGGCGGAAAATAGTACTCATCAAACTTGACACCGCCCCCATTATCAGCGACAATGCGCGGTAGACCAATGGCTGATGTAGAGTGTAGTCGCATGCCTTCGTCGATGCATCGACGCAGAAATGGCAAGTCCCGCACCTGGCTGTATGATGCAATATCCAGACCTGAACCTATAGCTTTGTCAAGCTCTTCCTGGAGACGAGGAACTATTGTACCAGGAGCGCTTCGCTCCCCATGCAGGATCCAGTAGAAAACAGCACAGGCGGTATTGGAAATGGTATCCGATCCTGCAATCAGCTGTGTCAACGCCTCGGCAGTCAATTCCGTTCGTCCCATAGGTTGGCCATTTGCATCCTTCGCTTGCAAGAGACGTGAGAGGATATCGTTTCGCGTATCGACGATGCCCTTCTCCGCAGCATCCAGTCGCGACGCGACCGCAGCAACCGCAATCCCGGTAAGATTCTCGACGGCCGCGACTCCCTTCATGAAGAATGGATCAGGCAGGTACCTGGCAATCGGGCGTAGTGTAGGAAGGAGGCCTAGAGTTGAAGAGACCTCGCCTCGTCGATTCAGGACTTCGACTGCCGGGCAATATGAGATCGGTCCACCCTGCGTGAACTGTACTTCGGTTTCGTCTTTGCCCTTTTCCACCATTCCGAAGGGAGCACCGAATGCTAAGTCGCCGATTATATCGAAGGCGAGGTAGCTGAACCATGGCATTGCATTGTACCGGGCATATTGGGAATTGTTCTTCTCGCTCTGGAGCCCAGAGGTCGCGATTCGGTCAAGCTGCTTTACCCATCGCTGTAGGTTGGCGGCCATATGCGGCTCAAAGGCGGCAACCGCCCGAGGCGAAAAGGCATGCGAGATGATTTTGCGCTTTCGCGTGTGCTCGGCGCGGTCGCGGACGTTGAACATGCCGGGTGTGCGAGCCACAAAGGCTTCGTAGTACTGACTAGTTCGTTGTCAGCACCATGTTATGAGCCAGCCACTTTACTTGTAAGAAGCCGGGATGGAATGAGATCATACTCTTTAAGAAAGCCATTACCATGTCCATAGACGACATTTAATCCCCTCTCATCAGCAATGGATACATGGTTGAAGCCGATGCGGACGACTTTGCCATATTTGCGATGAGCCCAGTCGATTGCGGCGTATTTCTGGCCGCTTCGAGCACTGAGTCCTATCCATATGTTGCTGAATTTTGCACTAGGTGGACCTGGGACCTTGGATAGATGCCGGTAGGTGGTGAGGTAGGGAAGTATGTAGTAGAGTGCCAGCCATAGTGGAATGCCAACGGCTACCGCCCACGGTGAGAGCAAGAGCGTCAGCTGAGCCATGTCTAGATAGTGTAAGCAGGCAGAGTACTACTACTCCGTGGGACCTTGTCTGAAATAATACTGCGTTTCATTGATCTATCGAGCGACGCTGACGGTCGCAGAAGCTTCATTTTAAAACATCTCTTGTGAGTAGACCTCCAAGGCCTTGTTATCTTCCTCCGACGGAGGTCGAAAGCAACACCGTCGGAGGTGCATGTGGAGGGAACTGTAGAGGCGACGCCACCTACGAGCTTCCAAGTCTATTTCGTCCGTATTCCTCTTGATTACAACGATCAGGATTAAGTAGAATATATTTTTCAAAAATTAAAAAGTTGGCTTTATCCCCTGGAACTGGCCGGCCAACTACTCCTTTTCGCAAGGGGTTCACCACCCGCCGAACCCGCCACCCACTAGTAACTTGGACCTGGCATGACTCAGAACCGAGAGAGCATAGTGCAACTTGTTAAGTGTGAATGCTCGTATAAGTTAACGCTCGCAAAGTTACAGTAGCTTGCAAAATCGCCTTGCGCTTTTACACACACTCTTTCTTTCTGAAGTCTAGATGCCAAGATCACGTTAACCTGAGTTGGTCAGACTAAAAACAATCCTTGACTAGAACCATTTGAATGGTATGGTAAGGAACGAGAGGATGACAACACATGTGCAACCCTAGGTACCCCTCATTTTCTGCTGCTTCTGTTGTTCAACGTCTTTCCACTCCTCAACACCCATCGTTTTAACATGCAAAAATGGCTCCGAACTTATCCCCATCGAAGCGGCAGCTGATTTGTGATATGATCGAGAGCAACCTAAAAACCACTGTTATCGCTAATACAGCAGAATGCAGTAAATAGTCTGTTAGATATATTCGTTCCAACCTGCGGATGTTCGGCAGTCCCAAGGCACCCCCAATCCTCCCCGGCCGACCCAAGAGTATCACACCACTTATTGTTAAGGCTCTCCGTGGACACCTTTCCGAAACCCCTGGATTGTATCTCGACGAGATGGCAGTTTTCCTTCGGGAGGAATTTGATGTCTGCGTGGCTAACTCCACTATCAGTCGGGCTCTGGCAGCGAAAGGCTGGTCCAAGAAGACAACCCGGAATCAAGCGAAGGAGCGAAACGCGGATTTACGAGACTGCTACCTTCATAATCTATCGGAATTTGAGTCTTATCATCTGGTCTACATAGACGAATCTGGATGTGACAACCGGATAGGGTATCGGCGAACAGGTTGGGCCCCGCTCGAAGTCACCCCGGTCCAGGTGGCCAAGTTCCATCGTGGTCAGCGATACCAGATCTTGCCGGCATATTGCCAGGACGATGTTCTTCTTTCCCGCATCTTTCGTGGTTCAACTGATGCTCTGGTATTCGAAGACTTTATTGAACAGCTTCTTCATCATTGTGGCAGATGGCCGGAGCCTAAATCGGTATTGGTGATGGATAATGCATCATTCCACCACTCTGAGCGGATAAAATGCATGTGTATGGAAGCAGGAGTTAAGCTGGTGTATCTTCCACCGTATTCTCCTGATCTGAATCCCATCGAAGAGTTTTTTGCAGAGCTAAAAGCTTTCATCAAACGGAACTGGCAGTTGTTTGAAGATGATGCGCATAGAGATTTCCAGGAATTTCTGGAGTGGTGTGTCGATGTGGTTGGCGCAAGAGAAGGAAGCGCTGAAGGCCATTTTCGCCATGCAGGTCTGACAATTGAATACCGTTGATTGACCTATTTAGACATATGGAACTAACATACATATATATTTCCATATATTTTTGCGGCTGATATTTTGCTCTGACAGTACCAGTAGATTTTTCCCTCTATTCTTGCTTATTTGTTCTGACTCTCTTTCCCCTCAAAATGATAACAAGCGTTCAGTCGGGTGGAATATACATCTGCTGGCAGAATGAGAATATTTAGATTCACCTAGGACGCCGCCTGATGGTTGTTGAGACGGGAAGTTTGAAAATCTGGCGACTCGAGCCCCACATTGCAGGCTACTGGTTGGTTCTGCTGCTGCATAATCACAACCCAGTCGCCAATAGTACGGGATCCCTCATGCAGTTCGACATCATTATATGCAATGACTGGTCAAAACGCCTTGTTCGCTGATGGGGGCGGGCGCTTAGGAAGTAGTTAGCCTTTTTCACCTTAGTGCCTTAGGCTGACAGGAAGGCGTTTCTCAATCCCTCCTCATCACCCTCTCCCGATTACTGATGAAAGGCTGAGTTCTCGACCTTTAACTACTCTTACAATTAGCGATAAATTGATATTTCTGCACCATTATCCTTGCCATATCGGCCACAGCAGTGGCACCTTCTGCTAGACAGTTGTTTTCCCACGTCTATTGAGGGAAGAAGCCATTACTCATGGCGAACATGGCGTCGTCAGCATCGTTTGGGCATTCAAATTCGGGAGCCCAGATAGGTGTGAACCACGGCTCAGTCACTTACCACTTCCACACGCCCGTTGAGGGGATAAATGAGACAAACACCAGGCCTTGTAAGCCAACAGAAAACCCAAAACCAGCCGTTAGACTCACAGATTCATTTCCAGGGAATCAGTCTCAAACCCACTATATAATCCCTTCCTTGGAAAATCGTCACTTTACTGGCCGTGAATCCACGCTAGAGGAGCTCAAACAGAAGCTTTTTCTCCAAGCCAATACTGAGAAATTAGCCTTGTTCGGACTAGGTGGTATCGGAAAAACCCAAATTGCGCTTTAGCTTGCCCGCTGGGTGAAAGCGCATGTACCAGACTGCTCTATTTTCTGGGCTCCTGCTCTTAGTTTTGAGAGTTTTGAGCAGGCTTGTTCGCAGATCGCGAAAGAGCTCCAACTTCATTGGAGTCCAGGCGGTGAAAGTGCGATGGAGATAGTGCACCGACAGCTAAGCTCTGATAAATCCGGAAAGTGGCTTTTTATTGTCGATAATGCTGACGACATAGAATTGCTTTCTGATGAGCTTGATCAGTATTTTCCATCTAATAAGCAAGGCGTGACTTTGCTCACTACTCGTTCCCGCGAGGTAGCAGTATCTTTCGCAGAGAGAGACATACTCGAGCTCCCAAAGATGACAATAGAGGAAGGGATTGTGTTTCTCACCAAGATTGTGGGAGAGGGCTCGCTTTGCAACCGAGAATCTACTATACAATTACTAGAGGAACTTGACTTCCTACCTCTAGCCATTACGCAGGCGGCTTACTATATCTCTCGACAAGATAGCACGATCACACGGTACCTCGAGCTTATGCATAAAACCGAAAAGGACCGGGTTCGTCTAGCGAGCTGGAACTTCCGCGATAGCACTCGCTACCGTCAAATGCGAAATGCTGTGACTACCACATGGTTTATCTCATTCAACCAGATCAAGAGCTCAGATCCTTCGGCTGCCGATTTGTTAGGATTTCTAGCTTACCTGGAGCCAAAGGCGATCCCGCGATCTCTTCTTCCTGCTCTTGATTCGGAAGAAGAGATAGAGTTCGCAATTGGCACACTGTGTTGCTATGGGTTCTTAACTAGAAGGGAAACTGGGGATATGTTTGATATGCATAGCCTTGTGCAGCTATCAACACGAGCATGGATTACAGAGTCACGGAAGACAGAACAGACCATTACGACTGTCATACAACATATGAATGAGACTTTCCCATCAAGTCAATATACGAATCGTGCGATATGGAGAGAGTACCTACCACATGCTGTTGGAATTCTTCAAAGAGACGAAGTTAAAGATTTGAGTGAGAGGTATATCCTACTTTCAAAGGTTGGAAATTGCGTTCTAGCAGACGGCCGAGCGAAAGAAGCTGTGTCGCTTTTTCAGGATGTGGTCGCGGTACGCAACAGAACCCTTCATGAAGGACATCCCTCCCGACTGGCGTCTCAGCACGAACTCGCACGAGCATATGAATCCAACGGGCAAATCAAGCAGGCCGTGGAGCTACTTGAGCATGTGGTCACAGTGCATGAGAGAACACTTGATGAAGAACACCCCAATCGACTGGCGTCTCAACACATACTCGCACGGGCGTATGAATCCAACGGGCAAATCAAGCAGGCCGTGGAGCTACTTGAGCATGTGGTTACGGTAGAAGGAAGAACACTTGATGAAGAACATCCCGATCGACTGGCATCTCAGCACGAACTCGCACGAGCGTATCAATCCAACAGGAAAATCGAGCGGGCCGTGGAGCTACTTGAGCATGTGGTCACCGTGGGTGAGAGAACACTTGATGAAGAACATCCCGATCGACTGGCGTCTCAACACACACTCGCATGGGCATATAAATCCAACGGGAAAATCAAGCAGGCCGTGGAGCTACTTGAGCATGTGGTCACAGTGCGTGAGAGAACACTTGATGAAGAACATCCCGATCGACTGGCATCTCAGCACGAGCTCGCAGGGGCATATAAATCCAACGGGCAGACCAAGCAGGCCGTGGAGCTACTTGAGCATGTGGTCACAGTGCATGAGAGAACACTTGATGAAGAACATCCCGATCGACTGGCATCTCAGCACGAGCTCGCAGGGGCATATAAATCCAACGGGCAGACCAAGCAGGCCGTGGAGCTACTTAAGCATGTGGTTACGGTAGAAGGAAGAACACTTGATGAAGAACATCCCGATCGACTGGCGTCTCAGAAAGCACTTGAAGACATGAAGCAGTCAATGGCGGTTGAGGTTATAGAGAACATGTACCAATGCATTCACCTTGACATGGGTACTTGATCTAGCTACTGTGTGTTCACAAATTCCACTGTGTTCGCAGTCAGGTGACTGCACCGCCCGTTTGACCCCCACATCTCACACTAAGTAGCCTAGATAGTTCCTCAATCAATATCTCCATCATCTACGATCATCATCATCACCTTCCCTCATTTCCTAGCACACTGTATATGGTTTTACGAAACAGTCATTTCTTAAAAAATGATCGGACATTCAAAGGAAAACGAAAATTAGCTATTTAACTACTAATCACTAGCGAACCGAAATGAACATTGTTACGTGTTATTACAATACTAGGTGGGATATGAAGGTAAGAGGTATCGCAAAGGCTAACTATATACGGTTAGAGTAATCTTGGCATTCGGTGTCCGGAAAGAAAGAGTGGATGTGAAAACGCAAGGCGATTTTGCAGGCTACTGTATTGTGCTTCTAGTAATCTAGTATTTATCTGATCTGACATTAGTTCACGTATTAACGCGCTCAACTATATTACTCTTCTCCATACTCGAGTCGATGACTCAAGGCATGATGAAAAGAGAATCCACAGAGTGGAAGGTGCCAAAGAATATGCCTCCCAAGGACCCAGAAGGCCCTTGGACAGACAGGTCCTCCGCGCTGTGCAATGCAGGGACCCAACTGTGGTGGACCGCCTTCGTGATCGCGGCCACCCAAACAAGGTAAGTATGAAGAAGAAAGAAAAAACGAGCAAGGTCGGGGGGGGGAACCAGGATACTTATACCCGCGATGCCGGGCGGTCAGATTAGCGTGCATCACGGGACGACGGCCATCACGGGACTTGCGGTTATAAGCGGGGCCGGTGACGCCAGCCGCCGACGGCAACCGAGCCCTCCGCATTTGCCCCGGACGCGGAGACCTTCATCTTCTAGGTGGGATGTCTTTGATTTCCTTTTCCTCACAGCTACACAATTCTCACAGAATGGCGTCTAGAATTATTATTCGACTGCCATGGCGGACGGTGGGCGTGCCCAGACGCGTCGCTACATGCCCTACTCCGTACGCACGACGATGGGGAAGCTCTATTTCACAACGGCCAGGGTCGGATAGGTATGAAGACACTTCATAATGAATTGGGTTCTCAATTTGAATGGAGTGTAACTAATAATGATTGCTACAGGGTTCATTTTCCCGGTGCCGTCGACAGCAAGTTCACTACCAACATGTCTTTCCTTAAAGCCTCCGATCTACCTGCGATTCCTACATATCGAGTAATGGACTCGGATGGTGAATTGGTGGATAAATCACGTGGGCACCCAGATGTTTCAGACGAGGAGGTCTTGACATGGTACAAGAATATGCTGACAGGTGTGTGGAATGCTCCTATCCGAGACAAACGAAAGGATCATGTTATTGACCATGTATAGTGAGCGTGATGGATGTCGTTATGTTTGAGGCACAGAGGCAGGGCCGTCTGAGCTTTTACATGGTACGCTATTGGTCCTACTGCTCTAATTAAAAGAAGGCTGACACAATCTCGCAGGTCTCTGCTGGTGAAGAAGGTATTGCCGTTGGCTCTGCCGCAGCGTTGACTCCCGACGACGTGGTGTTCGCTCAGTACCGCGAGGCAGGAGTTTTCCAACAGCGCGGATTTACTCTCAAAGACTTCATGGGTCAGCTTTTCGCCAACGTCAATGATACCGGAAAGGGTCGAAACATGCCTGTTCACTATGGGCAGAATTATCCCCGCATGGTAAGTGATCTTGCACGTACATATATATTCAACAAAACATCTAACGCGAATTAACCTAGCACACCATTTCCTCCCCCTTAGCCACCCAAATCCCACAAGCGTCCGGTGCAGCCTATGCCCTCAAATTACAGGATTCACAGAATCCCGATCGCTCGCCCCGGGTAGTCGCTTGCTACTTCGGCGAAGGCGCCGCCAGCGAAGGTGATTTCCACGCCGCATTGAACATCGCCGCAACTCGCTCATGTCCGATTGTCTTCATCTGTCGAAACAATGGTTACGCTATTTCCACACCAACTTTGGAACAATACCGCGGCGATGGAATCGCCAGCCGTGGTGTCGGATATGGAATCGACACCATCCGAGTCGACGGAAACGACGTCTTCGCCGTCTACGAAGCCATGCAAGAGGCCCGTCGACGGGCACTTAGTGACGGCGGACGACCGGTCCTGATCGAGGCGATGAGCTACCGCGTCTCGCACCACAGTACCAGCGACGATAGTTTCGCGTACCGAGCGCGTGTGGAGGTGGAAGACTGGAAGCGTCGTGATAATCCGATCATTCGACTCCGGAAGTGGCTCGAAAATAAGGGACTCTGGAGTGAGGATCAGGATAAGGAAATGCGGGATTCGCTGCGCAAGGCTGTTCTAAAGGAGTTTGGCGAGGCGGAGCGCGAGAAGAAGCCCCCGCTTCGGGAGGCCTTTGCGGACGTTTATGAGGATATCACTGAGGAGGCGAGGGAGCAGATGAATGAGCTTAAGCGCATTCTGGAGACTTATCCTGATGAGTATGATCTGAGGCCGTACAAGGATGGGGCAAAGGGCTTGGATTAGAATTGAGGCCTCACGTTGATGGGTCCTCTTTAACGAATGAAGAACATATAGAGGAATACACTCTGCAAGGTCACTCTCCGGCCGCGTCATGAATATTGCATCTGCCAACTCTTTGATTAAATCGTGTAATACTGATTTTATTGTAGTTTATGTAAACGGCGGATCTGTGAATTGCGGAGTGCGGTTAGCTTTTCCGTTCATAGTTTAGTGCCCCAATACGACGTTCTGTAACTCCCCTTGGCCGCCTTGACATAAAAGACCCGACCTTGCCCTTCCCACGTCTTTTGCTTTTCTCCCGTCTCTCCGTCCTGTCTATCTTGCACTCATCGCCGCCCCCTGTATTGCTCCTTGACCCCACCGAAAACTGCGCTTTGGTCTTCAGCCCGACGCACTGCCCCTCTCATTTCGCCGGAGATGCCGCTCGATCTGACACCTCTGTCTTTGGCTGCTCACCTCGTAAAACTAGTAAACCGTGAAACGCACTACATAAGCAGGAGGCTGAGCTGAGCTGAGCTGGAGTGCCATGTACATTTGGTATTTGACGCAAGCTAGGTATTCCTGGTAGTTTTGTAGCCCAATCCAATAATTTAAATGCCATTTAGAGTTAGGAGCTATTATTTTCATGTAGCTACAGTGAGCTTCAGCCTAGTCCTTCTGATCTCTATCACCCAAAGCGAATGTATACTGATGAGACAATCCTACAAGGACGCTATCACCAAATAATCACGCAATGAGTCAGCCCAAGAAAGTTGTTCCTCACCAAGGGACTAACACACAGCAAACTTCCCCTGAATGCGGACTCATACCTACTAGTAGGTACTCTGGTTCAAGTTCCCCTGTACGCGAAGTAAATATAATTTTGTTTCTAGAGTCAACTGAAGCTATTCTTGATGCAGATCATTCATCGTAAAAACACTCGATGTGAGGTAAGAGGGATTAGCTTGACTCGCTAAAAGCCGAAAAGTTTAATGGATTACGATATGAATCGACTAAATACAGATATTTAGAGAAATCTGTAACTGGGAAAGTCAGTTAGATATTTGCCGCTAGAGAGTACTAGTGATTAATGAGCTTTCTGCTGTAGTCTAACCGAGACTCCTGCCTTTAACCCAGGGTATTCAATCGCCACATCTGACCAAAAAAAGAAAAACAAAACAGGTTTTTCTTCTTTTCACGTCACCGGTATTTGGGCATCTTCAACAGACCACCGTTTGCCTTATTTGACGTAAACCTAGCCTATCCAGTTCAGACTTCATACTCCTGCTATCTTGTTTGGTCTTGGATCATTCTGCCGAAAGAGCCCCGATCCATCTCCACTAGAAATTATGGGGAGATTGTTTTATCCAGTATATACGAACATCGGATCAGTCGTCTCGCTTTCATAAAACCCGAGCATTGAGTCAGAGCCCATTTCATCCCAGAGACGCCAAAGTGCCAACTGGGCACATTTCATCCACCCCGGAAAGACAATGTCATCGTCAGGCCAGGCCTCACCAACATTCACATATCTTTTTTTCTAAATCTCGATTGAATTGCTCTGGGTCATTCTTGGCTTCCACGGATATCTGAGAATGTCTGCAGAGACTCTTCGTCGATAATCATACACATTGCATAATCGGTCCCTGTATCACGTGCCCCATATTCTTTGACCCATTCTTCGAAAGGTGATCGAATTGAGTCAATAGATGCCCTATTGAACTGTCCTGCGTCTTATATGATAATTGAACTCAATATATCGCAGAGCGTTGGAAGGATAGCAGGGTCGACTTCGTGTTCTCCGAATTCAGTAGCTGAAGCGAATTCGTTACGAAGCCCCATTTTCATACAAGCCTCGATATATGTGACGGCGTTTTGAAATGCTGTATCGGACTGGGCGGAGTAGGTGGTGTGATAGATGACATATCCCCAGCGTCCTTGATATCTACCAGCAAGAGCATCATAGAGGAACCCAGAGTTTCCGGGTGGTGCTGTGAAATCCATTTTAAGAAACTGTTGAAGGGGGAAGGCTTTTGAAAAAGAGGATGAGTGCAAAGAAAGAAACCTTGGAACGCGAGGTGTAGACTCGAAGTGCTAAAATTTGTTAGAAAAGTGAAATTAAATAGAAATTGGAAACTCGCAGAATTGGGGTCAGGTTCGTGGGTTGGCTGCAACTGAACCTGAGCGTTTGCATGGTTATCACGTGACCTGTGGTCTCATTCATCTCACTTTCTCTCGTTCTTCCTTCTTCCTTCTTCTCTCCTTCTCTTAGACTCTTAGATAGCAGCAGTCTAGTCAATACTATCCTAATTCTCACGTTCGTTCATCACTTTCCCTCTCTCAGAACCACTTTTAGTTAACCTAGTTAACTAGTTTAGTTATGTACACCCTTGGTCACGGTTTGTCTCAGCCAAGGTATTTAGAACCTCTTAGCTTTTTATTTGGTAAATTAGTGTACCAGCCAATTTAGCAAATGGGTCCACCAATCAATTCTACCACTGGAACCCGAAAGGAACCGAAAAATATTGCAGGCACCGCTGATAACTTAGAAATACCAGGTATTTAACCTCGGAATGAGTGGTAAGTGTATAATGATGCTCTACTGGACAAAAGAAGCAGCGACCTTCTGCACCGTCTCAACCGACATGTAGTTGTCAGTGTTGGTCAAGTACGCAGCTCCAAGACCCATACTCTGCGCCTCCTGCACAACAGCCTCATAATCAAGCGTCATAGGCGCACTGTACAGAATAATCGCATCTTTAGAATAATTTTTGCTGGAAGAAAACTTATTCGCCGGGATATTGGTTGTCCATGCAGAGTAGGAGTTCTCAAATTCAACAATCAGGTCCGCTGCTTCAAAGTATCCATCCGCGGAGCCGTCTTCGAGCGTAGCGCCTGGGTTGAACACCACAGTGGAAAGACAGCCGGACTTGGCTGACTTGGAGACGGATTGCATATAGGAGATTTTGTCCGCGTCGTTCGTGTTGGGCGCTTCGTCGAAGAAAATTCCGGAGACGGTGATGTTCTTTGACTTGTTTGAGGACCATTTGCTGTAAATGGAGATGTCGTCGATGACTTCGGAGATATCGCGCTCGGCGTAGTTGGTTGGGATGTAGCCGAGAACTTGGACGTTGTCGTAGCTGTTTAACTTGGCGACGCCCGCGATGATATTTTCGTCGGGGTAGGCTATAGATAGTCAACTACTAGAATAAACTGCTGGAGTTTTTGTGCCAGAGACTCATAATCGTACCGGAATCGCCAGGGCCGCTATCGGGATTGACAATGATCTGGAACAGAATGTCCGGGTGCGAAGAAACGGCGTTATAGACCGGGGCCCAGGTAGAATCATCTTCTGGCCACACATAAAGAGGCAACAAAATGCCCGTAGATGAAACCACGGAAGCAAAAGCAAGAAATGACGCAAGAACAAGAGGTCCAAACATCGTGATCGTTGTTCAATGAAGGCATGTAAGTGCAAAAGAATGAAATAGAACCTCACCACCAGGGCGCACGAACTGGGTTGCTAGAGAATTGAAGAAAAAGGAGCGACGAGACAATCCACAGGACTGATGAACAAACTTATTGGGACCGATGGTCGACCGGTTATATACTCCTCAACCCTGCCAGTCCGCGCCGAGACCCATCGAGGCCATCACAAACTCATTTTCCCAGTTCTGTCAGCCACGCGTTTGAGGAAATCCAGTTTGCAGGAAATCGTGTTAACGAACGAGTCAGGATCGCCGCTATCCCAAACACGGCAAGGGTGAGATTAGTATACTGCTGCTAACACCATACGTCAGGGACCGAGGAGCCCCGAATCGGTTCGAAAAGCCTCAAAATTCACATCCATGCAACCCGAAGGAGTTCCTTCATAAGTCATCTCATTCTAGGCCAGCATCAAAGAATGCGCAAGCGCCCTTCATTCCGGTAAACGCAGGTGCAAAATGTCGCGCACAACAATTGGAGTAGAATTTGCCGAGTGGCGCCTGCAGCGAGTGTCAAACTGCTTGGCGGCGCATATGCATCTCCCCTAGGGCTGGGTACCTGTCTCGATCACATCGAAAGACCGTTGCGTCTCGTCTCGTTTTGCCGGTGAAATGGTGGCCCCCAAGCGCCCGGTTGTGATGCCGCATGCAAGGCCGGACCTTCCCTAATTTATTTTCGGTTTCAGATCTGCTGCCCCTGTTCATGAAGGAGCTTGGCCCATTTCGTTGAGAACGATTGATCGGTGAGGCGTTAGGGGTGTAGTTTTGTAAGAGTAGGATCGGGAGGTATGTGATGTTGAGGCTCACCTCGTTATGATTTGACAGTAGCTACTAGTATTTCTACACAGAAACGAGAAGACTTCATGCACCAGCGATAATTTGCGATCATGCTATTCATACAGGTTGGCTGGCTATCTTACAGGGGGTGAAAGTAAAAGTACAGTGCCATCGGTGCAGTTCGGTCGCAGTGTTGTGTTCACAATGGTTAAATGATGGACAGTCGGCTTGAAAGACAGCTTAGACGTCAGAGCGATCTTCGGCGGACTTGGACTTGGCTTGATCATCGGCATTCTCCGCCATGGCGAGAGCCTGCTGCTGAACCTTCTTGTTGCGTCGAAGAAGAGCCGCAAATTTCTTGTCGTGGGATTCGAGTTCCTTACGGGTAGTCTCGAGATCTTTCTGCGACTTGCCGGCGAGCTCACGAAGCTCCTCGTTGGTCATAGCGGCAACATCGTCGAGGCTCGGGTTGCTACCGGGCAGGGCAGCAGTGCCCAGCATTTGCTTAGCGGTAGCAGCGGCGAAGTTGCGGACGGCAGCGGTGGTGGTCTGCAGGAGCTCGGCAGAGTGAGCGACAGCCCAGTCATGGCTACGAGTGCTGTCGGCTTCCATGGCGGACATAACGTTGGGGGGAATGACGGACTCGGATGCGTCGAGAGTGCTGGTCGCAGACGTCGACATGTTGGCCAGGTTATCATCCACCCAGCAGACGTTGTACTTCTCAGGAGTTGCGAACAGCGCGTCCAGGCCGCCGTTAATGTTGCTGGAGTCATCGCCCACGACGGAGGGGTCCACAGCTCCATTGCGACGCTTTTCCAGCAGAAGATAGCGTTCTTCCTCCTCTGGTTCCAGGTGACGAAGAACACAACCACGAGGAGTGATCAAAACGCGGCTCTTCAGCTCACCATCACCGAGGCGAATGGGCTGACCACGCAACAGAGTCTTGCGGTGCTCTTCGGTAAGCTCAATAGGTTGCTTGAGAAGATCATAATCACGAGCGTTGCACTTCATGTCAGTTCGCTGGCTGATATTGGCGGGATTGAACAGCGAACTCTTCTTCAGGTCGAGGATGCAGGCTTTGTGCATCTGGGCGAGCAACTCATGAAGCGTCATAGTCCGTTCCGCGAAAAGTTCTTTGACAGAGCGTCCGCTCTCCTCGGCATCCTTGATCAGCTGGGACAAAGTATTGTTGGAGCGCCACGGTTCCTCCGGGACAGGCTTCTCCGAGCGAGGAGGCTCTTCGATGGGGGTGGGTTTGATCTCAGGAGTTCGCTCCTTCTCCTTTAAATTGGGCGGTTCAACCTTGAGCTCAGGCTTTTTGGGCGAGGGAGCAGCCGCTTTGACAGGACTAGGGGTTTCGACAGGAGTGTTCGTGGCGGGCTCTGCCACTTCGGAAGAAGCAGCAGGCGCCTTCTTGGTCTTGCGCTTTCTTCCCAGGATCGGGGCTTGAACAGGCTCCTCAACGGGTGCGGCAGCCTTCTTAGCCTCGGCCTCCTTCGCCTTCTGGCGTCGGTCCTTTTTGGCCTGGCTCTTTGTCACCGAGCGAACAGGCGCAGAGCCGATGCGGGAAGAGGTGTGAGGAGAAGTTGCACGAGAGGCAGTGGCAGTGGTTGAAGCATCGAAGTCAGTGTCCGAACGGCTGTTGGAAGACACACTATGTCGTCGAGGCCGAGACTTTTCGGCGCCAGCAGTGGAAGGGTGCACCGATGCTGTAGTACTGATAGGGGAGGGGGCTTCGGGCTTGGGGGTCTCTACCACGCGAAGAATACGCGGTTGGCGAGGAGCGGGTGAGTCGGAAGCGCGGGAAGCGGATGTAAGAGGGGTGTTGGGCCGCGAGCCAACAGCAGAGCCTGAACCGGTAACAGAGGCAAAAGTACCAGAAAGAGCGCGCTCGGATTTGACGGGGACATTGTCCTGGGCGGCCAAGGACGTGTTGAGTGTGATCGGGCTTGGTTTGGCTAGCTTTTCCTCAGCAGTGGTATCTGACAGCTTTAGTTTGTTGCTGCGAGCCCTAGTAGCTGATTTGGCAACAGGGGAGCCAAAGGAGATCTGAGAAGCGTCTCTGGGGCGCGTCGATAGGGATCCACGGCGTGAGGTTGTCTCAGATCCGGAGTTGTTCTTTTGCGTTGGAGAACCTGCACGTGAAAAGCCGGTTTCCAGACCCGGGGGCAGCATCGGAGCAGGCGATGATGCTTTAGGGGAACTCAATTGCTCCTGAAAAATCGAGGACGAAGTATGGCCCTGCGGCAGTGGGAGTCCCGGGGGGAGAGTCGGCGTGCCAACCCGACCAGCAGAGTCATTTGGACGCTGAGACTTGAGAAATCCAAACGTGTCGACCGATTTGTTTTCTTGCAAGGAGCTCCCTAGAGGCGGGAAATCCTCATTAACTGTAAAACAATTGTTAGCAATTTGTATGACCATAGGCAGGACAGCAATGATGTAGGAGGTAGGTGAACGGACGTCGCAAGGGGAGAACGGGCAAAAAACGCAAAAACCGAGGGCAACAGCTGATCAAAGAGAAATGCAGCATGCACATCGGCCAAACGAATAATTACATGATGGGTACTGGCTTCAAAAAGCCAGGCACATAATAGAGCATGGGTCTAGGTGGGTGGCAGCGGCAACGGCAGTGAGACAACTGGTTTCGAATAAGACCCTGTTCCGAGTGATGATAGCAGGGTAGGGAAGGTCTTAACGTACATTAATCGAAGAACCCCGACGGTCTTAAAGATGGTGCAGAGACCCGAAGAGGGTTCCGAATGGCCGAAAGTCCCCCATACAGTAACCGCCGAATACAAAAAAAGACCCAGGAGACATGCAAAAAGGTATGTCCAAATAAATGATGCAAAAACGCCATGGACCGGGGACGTGATAAAGGCCGGAATAAGACATGCACGGAAAAGAAAAATTTCAAGGCCCATCACAATACACCGAGAGGCACGCCGGCCAGTCGTATTGGTGTTCAGAGCCGCCGGCTCCATTGAAGCAGAATGCAAACCCGGCAAATTATGGCAAAAAAGACAAAAAAAAGCAAACAGGCAAACAGGCAAAAATGAAAGAGCAATCATGTCATCAAGGGTGCAGGCCCATCAAAACATTAAAAAGAAAAATCATGATCAGGAGCAACAGGGAATGAAATATCAATCATAGAAAAATTATGCAAAAAGCAAAAGGAATGGGGGATGGGGGTGTTGGACGTCCGCTCACCACCGGGTAAAGCCACCGGCTCCATACATCATCGAGGGGTTATACCCACCTTGGCCCTGGCTCCCGTACAACGCCTGCCCAGCAGTAGCATTGCCGTTAACTTGTTGCATTCTCGCCTGCAAAATGCTCGGGTCCGCAAGATCTACTACACCGCCTCCACCGGAGGAAGTGTTAGCGTGTCTGTGCTTCTTCCCCTTCTTCTTCTGCTTCTGTGGGCCACCCGCTTCAGGTGTTGCGCCTGCCTGGGACCCATAGAAAGAGCTGAGAAGGCCGTTGACGGGAGTCAGGGGAGGTGGGGTTTGGTGCTGTTGAAGAAAAGGGAACATGAACTCACGCTTTGCGGCCTCCTGGCCTTGTACTCCAACACCGCTTGCGCTGCTTCGGCCACGCAGCAATTCACGCATCAGTTCGGGGGTTGCATCTTGCTTTCCCATGTTTCCGCCAAGTCCGCCCAGGTTAGCATTGGCGGTGAATCCATGCCCCTGCGCAAACATACCGCCTCCACTGATTGGAGGAGTTCCTGCGGTCTTCAAGCCAGGAGGTGGGCCCTGGACACCACTGCCATAGAAGCCGCTAGCAAGGGTGTGCTGGGGGCTTGGCGCAGACAATGGGTTTGGCGTCCCGGACTGCATCTGGCTCAGCATGCGGGCATTGCTGATATTCTTGGATCCAGCCTCGTTAAAGCCAAAGCGCGAGGATTGGCGGTTCTGGGCCTGCAGGGCGTTGATCTGTGCCATTTGGTTGTGCAGAAGACCCTGGCGCACCTGTGCGGCTTGATCGAGATCGGCGGAGCCCAGGGGATCAGATAAACCGGCTTGTTGATTTCCAGCAGATTTGAGAAGCATCAATTGCTGCTGTTGGAGCGGGGTCAAACTTCGGCCAGCCAAATTCAAACCTTGGAACTGGTGGCTGGTAGCAGAGACAGGGGAGCCAACAGTTGAGTTGTCAGCCGTGCCTTGCTGAGAAGGTGGTTGAATCGCGCCGTGGGATTCACGGGTCTGTCGACCGCGCGGGGGGTTCGCATCTTCAGGCTCACCTCCCAGCTGAAGGCTTCCAGCTTCACGGCTATCCTCTTCCGTAGCAGTAGACTGGAGAAGCTCTTGTTGTTGTTTTATGCGTTCTTGCTCGGCTTTCTCTCGCATCGCTCGGCGCTTAACGCCACCATACGGATCGATAAAAGAGGGATAGTTTTGGATAAAGTTGAGTTCGTCTTCAGGGATGTCGACAGATGAGAAAACAAATCGGAAGTCGGGTGACAAGAAATCTTTGATAACATTCTCCCATGCGACTTCGGAGGGAGTTTTCGTGTCACGGGGGCGGGGGTGAGCAGAAGATCGTGCCTCTGATGTGGATGCCCGCTGAGCTTCCTGCGCAACGGGGGACGGCTTTTCAGGGCGCTTGTACTCCTCGGTAGCCGTTGCGACATTCACACTAGCCGGCCGAGGGCTTTGCGATGCCTGACTTCCGGTCAAGCTTGTCCGCCTGGTTCTGATGGTAGCATCTTTGTTTGCCCAGCTGGCGGAGGAAGGGAGAGCAGGGCCATCGGGAATGGGCTGACGTCCGCTGATTGAGTCGTCTTTGCTAGGCTGCCGGCGCATCTGGTGGGAGATCGGTTGATTGGGACGGGGGTGAGAGGCATGCGGCGCTTGGTTCTGGCGCTGGCTGGACAACGTATTCATGGAAGAGAGGTCGGATCGAGTGTAACTTTCACTATCTTCGCCGGTTTCGTGCAAGAACGTGCAGTTGCGGTTGTTGCATTGCTCGTTGCGTAGGAAGGACGAGCAATACTTGGTCGTTCCGTATTGCGCGCGCAACACGCGGTCACCATTCGCCGATCCATCCACGGCGTTGATGCAAGTCGCAGCATCACCTTTGCGCGAAAATGTGACATAGACACCAATCCCTTGATGGGGGTTACCGCCAGGCTTGGCCTTGCTGACCACAATCTTTTCAATATCACCATATTGGCCGAAATACTCCCTTCCGCGAAGTGTCTGAAGTAGCTGGTTCTCATCACGGATCGTGGGGTTCAACCCAATAACATAGACCAAGTTCTTCTGCACCACACGAACACCTGCCAGGTTCTTTCGACTGGAGGCCTCAATTTCACGCTTCTCGGCTTCCTTTTTCTTTGCTGCAGCTGCTTTGCGGTGCTTCAATGCCAGGTCTGCCTTGAATCTATAACATCAAATCGAGTCAGCCATGTTCTCGAACGGGAGATATTGTTTGGTGAAGGGCGGGGATTCACGAACTCTTCGGCGTCGGGGATCTTGTATTGAATCGTGCTGTCATCGTACGGACGACGGCAATTCGGGCATCGACCCTCTTCGCTGTGGGTTTTGATATTGTTGTAGCAGAACTGGCAAATCTAAAGGAGAGTCGCATGTCAGCAAGATCAGAAATGCAAGGGACGCGCAGACCATGTCGGCGCACATGGATCAGGCCAGGGAGGGCGTACTTGATAACCGCAAGGACACGGTTTGAAGTTCTTGTCGGACAGGTCGAACTCTTCGATGCAGAGCGGACTACAGAAGAGCTAGTTAGCCTTCATGTCGCGTGACCATCCAAAAATGACACTCACCAGAACTCATCATCGTCGTCGATGACGGAATCGATCTGTTGGCGACTGGACATGGTCGCGGTGGAAAGTGTGGGATCGGGGGTAGACGACCGGGGAAATTGAACGCCGGCACCCAATCGAGGAAGGGGGTGCAAAATCGAAGAAAGAGAAGAAGACGCTACTCCGGGTCCGGAAAAATGGAAATGAGGAACGAGAAGGAGAAAAGACGGCGACGAGGAGGGAGAGGGGTGGGATGATGGGGAACGGCGAAGGCGGCTTTGAGGAAAGGATTCATTTTGCTGGCATTGCCTGATCCGGTTTAGCCCGAATCCCACGTGACTCCGGGCAGGTTCGACCAACCTCCATCCTCACAATCCCAATTACGTGCCTTCGTCCCCTCCTGCCGCAGCCATTGCTCCCCCTTCTCCCACAATGGCATCCGCACGCTCCTTGATGCGCCTGGGCTCTGGCCGCTCGGTGGCTTCGGCCTCGAGGTCCATGGCTAACCGCGCCTTTTCCTCCACCTCCCTTCAGTACGCCACGAAGGCTTCAACACAACCAGGCTCGCCGGAGCCCGAGAACATGCGCCAGGCGCAACGGCCTCGTAAGTGAAATTTTTACGATCAATTGAAACAATTGCAAATTGACTAACTCGATTTTCGCTGTTTAGCCTCCGGTCCCCTCCGTGCTCCGGTCATCAACCCTGCCGACAAGTACCAGGACAAGGCCGACGGTCTGCACAAGTACGGACAGTACATCATGTCGTGCCTGCCGAAATACGTCCAGCAGTTCACCGTGTGGAAGGACGAGCTCACAGTTTACACTGCCCCCTCCGGTATCATTCCCCTCATGAGCTTCCTGAAGAACCACACGGCCGCCGAGTTCACCCAGATCTCCGATATCACCGGTGTCGATTTCCCCACCCGTGACCAGCGTTTTGAGGTCGTCTACAACCTTCTCAGTGTCCGCTTCAACTCCCGCATTCGCGTCAAGACCTACTGTGACGAAGCTACTCCCGTCCCCAGTGTGACTGGCCTATTCGAGGGTGCCCTGTGGTACGAGCGTGAGGTGTACGACATGTTCGGTGTCTTCTTCTCCGGCCACCCCGATCTGCGCCGTATCATGACTGACTACGGTTTCGACGGACACCCCCTGCGCAAGGACTTCCCCTTGACCGGTTATACCGAGCTCCGTTACGACGAGGAGAAGAAGCGCATTGTCATTGAGCCCCTCGAGCTTACCCAAGCTTTCCGCAACTTCGAGAGCGGTTCCACCGCCTGGGAGCCCGTTGGTCCTGGCGAGAATCGAACCCCCGATTCTGTAAGTGGCCCTGGTCCATTTAAATGTCTTGCAACAACTGCTAACCTATCTCAATACAGTTCAAGATTGCTACTCCCAAGCCCGAGGAGAAGCCTGAAGAAAAGAAATAGAGATTTGTACGCGTATCATTTTCTTTGCAATGTCTGTATGTACATATCGTTAATCTCAAGGTGCTTTTGCCCTTGAATTTTTTTCTTGCTATTTGAGCTATAAAATTATAAGATATATATCCTGTTGTAAGCTTTGCCGCAATAGCCTAAATTTAGTGTGAAATTCTGTGTCACGGAAACCAGAATTGAGTGATTTGCATTTGTAGATATCAGATTCAGTGCTTGGGGATTATTGTAAATTCATATGAAACTCGGTAAGTGACGGCCACAGCAAAGCGGCCGGTGCTATTGCGCTTGGGTAGACGGAGACCCAAATCACCGCGTGGGCGGGGGCTGTCGCATTGGCGAGGCGGAGAATCTTGGCAGATGATCCGCCAGCGAAAAAAAAAGCTCCGCATCTTCAACCTTTCCGAGCCACGATCGAACAAAAAATACCGGGTATACTTCTATTCTTTTCGCCCCTGTGTCTTTACACGATCTACGAAACACCAGAAATCCGATCGATACCGCCGACAACATGCCGAAGCGCAAATTAGGCGAGCTGAACGGCTCCGCGCGGTTAGACGAGGGCAAAGCGCGCAAGATGTCGATGAGAGCGATCCGACTGACCAGCAAGTTCGAGCAAGGCGTACAAATCATCTCGAAGGGCCTGAAGACCGCGCGGGGTTTCGAGCGACAAAAACTCAGCCGCCGAGAGAAGACCGCAAGAAGCGACAACAACAGACTGGCACTGATCAAGCTGGGAGAAGAGATTGAGGCGTTGAAGGTATGGATTCTGCAAATGTCGCGCAGTTTGCTCGATTTAGAAGAGAATATGTAGTCTGGATATCTGTCCGTGCTAACTCGTTTCCTCCTTTCTAGGGGCTTGACTACCACATTACCGCCGAGCGATACCTCTACAAACAACTGTTCAAGACCAAGCGGATTGCGGAGTTGCCGACATTTCAGGAATTTCAAGAGGCTAAGAATGTCTCCACCGAGGGACCCAAGAGCACTGCCGAGGCAAATATCCTTGCGCGATTGTTCAAGTCGAATCCGGTGCAGAATGTGATGCCTGGGTTGCTGGCCGATATTCGGAAATTGTTGGGAGTGGACAACGCGCCTGCTGGGAACGCTGCGAAGAAGGACAATGCCAAGAAGGAAGCGCCTAAGAAGGAGAAGGCGTCTCGGGTCGAGGAATCTGAATCCGAGTCTGAATATCAAGTGCCGCAGAAAAGGGCCGAGAAGATGGCCTCGAAGCATGCCGAGCAGGACTCGGAGTTTGAGGAAGATGTCAATGGACCCGAAGGCGAAGTATTCGATAGCGATGAGTTGGCTCAGTTCGATTCACGACTGGCCCCAGGTTCTGGTGACGAAGAAGAGTCCGATTCTGGAGACGATGAGAAGAGTGAGGGCCTTGGACGTGACGATATTTCCGATTCTGTTTCTCGCTCGCCCTCTCCCGACTTCTCAGCCGAGGAGTCACCACCACCCAAGAAGGTCAAGGCAAACAAAGTTGCTCCTGGCCCGGTCAAGGATACAACTTTCCTGCCATCTCTAATGATGGGCGGCTACTGGTCTGGCTCGGAAGAAGCAAGTGATGACGAGGCGGCAGGCCCACCGAAGCGCAAGAACCGCATGGGTCAACAGGCTCGTCGCGCTCTTTGGGAAAAGAAGTACGGCGCCGGCGCAAACCACATCAAGAAGGAGCAAAAGGAGCAGAAGCGGAATCGTGATAGTGGATGGGACATGAAGCGTGGAGCAACGGGCGGTGGCCGCGGAGGCCGTGGTGGACGAGGCGGATTCGGTGGACGATCTGAAGACCGTGGTGGACATCACTCTGGACATGGAGGTGGCCAAGGCGGCAAGCCTCCTGGCCCGCCGAAGGATGAGGGTCCTTTGCATCCTTCATGGGAGGCGAAGCGGAAGCAAAAGGAGCAGACTACGGCCGCCTTCCAGGGAAAGAAGGTTGTCTTCGATTAACGATGTCATTGTTCAATACCTCGACTGTTGTTTCAGCGGAAAATTCATGCATATTTTTTATCCACAATGAATTGACACACATTCCATGTTGAAGAAGCAAAAGTAACAAACCAGTAGTTTCTGCCTTGGAAGGAGAACGCCCTAAATATACGTAACTATACTACCGCAGACCGAAAAGAAGGGCCTGCCAATAAGAACGACCCGCATTATGGTGTATCAACGGAACAAAAGCAAGACAGGCTCGAAATAGAAAGTAGAAATTCGCTGGCTAAATAAAAACGACACACCACGTCACCCCTGTCACTCATTCATGAACTGCAGCCAATGCGAGTCGGCACTCCCCGAAGGAGTCTTAAGCTCGGGATTCACAAGACCAGAGGGGTTCCCTTGATTGTCTGGCTCAAAGCATGGAATAGCAGTGAATTCGCCCAGTTCTTGCGGGAAATTGGAGACGAAATGATCGAAGCCGAAATGAGGCATGTGAGAAAGGGACTGGTGCGAGAGCGAAAAGTTGTCGGAGCCAGGCAGACCTCCACTGGGTATGTCGCCTTCCAGTATATCCTGCTCGGGCCCACCAATGCCGGAGTCAGAGCCGCTCGCTCCAGGAGGTAGAGGGATACTGGGTGATGTGATGGACATGGCCGAGCCAACGGCACCAGCAGCAGATGGCCCGGGAGTTGAGTGTGGGTTCACACCTTGCTGTATAGCGGAATCGTTGGCGAGAGCTTCTTGTTGTTTCCATGCCATGGTGGATGGTGAAACAGGTCCGGTCTTCCAGAGCATCTCCCAGTTCTTGAACCGGTCGTATGCGGATTCCATGCTGTTTCCGTTACTCTGGGTCTGTTGGGACTCGCTCCACATTTCGAGTCGGCGAATGGCTCGTTCAAGGGCTTCGATGACGCTGACGGCTGAGCGAGCAGACCCAACGCCCATTGACATGATCTTGATTAGAGAAATGCCTTGCTCAAGAGCCGCACCCAGACGCTCGGTGCGCTTTGTTAATCCCTGTGCTAAGATAACAAGGAGTGCCGCACGACAAGAGCTGAATTCAGTGAAAGAGGCACGGGCAAGCCCGGTCTCATCGCGAAGAAGACGACACAGGTCAATAATTTCGAGAGCAGCTTCAACGCAGTCTGTAACAAGAGTTGCGCGGTTCTTCGATATTCCAGATGGACCCTTGAAGGCAAGAGGTGTTTGAGATAGGGCCTTGATGTTGCTGAAGAGAAATGGACGGCCGATGAAAATCCGGGTAAGACAATAGTCGAGTTTGAGGTGGACGTTGGATCGGAACAAGACTCCTCCAGGGTTGAGATCACGGCAACTCGACTCTTCTGGCAAAGTCGACCACCACTCAAGAAGGTGTTTGCGAATGTTCAATAACCTTTCGAGACAATCCTGCTGCTGACCTTTCGGGCATGTCCGCAGAGAGGTACTGCAACACTGTTAACACAACTCGAAAGGTCTCGAGTAGATAGTCGCTGTGAACTTACATCTCGTTGGAGACTTGACCCAGTTTCAAAGTTAGCGTTATCAAGGCTATCATATTTGTATGATTGGAAGGTTGCGAGGCCGGCATCAGACCAGGAAAATCGATAGGGAATGGAGCATCAACATCGGCATCAGCAAGTGACGCCGGTCTGCCGTGAAGAATACTGATACGTCTGTAGTCTTGTTAGTACCAATCCCAAAGACATGGTCATAGTAGACTTACTTTTCAATAGTGTATGATGTCCAGAAGACACGGTTTCGGACCTCAATCATTCGCGCTGACAGTCCCTCGCCATGATACCTCCGGTGCATGCCATTCTGGATAGCAAGCTTGAGAGCCAGACCGAAGTAGGTATAACACAGTCCTGATGTATCTAGAGGAAGAAGATATGTTCCAATCAATAAACAGGCCTGCACACTTCGTACAGATGCAGTAGCAATAATGTCTGGCAAGAGCTTCGATGCAAATTGATAGAAAGTCAGACCGACCTCATCCTCTGAGAAATGATGGTCCTGCGCAGCATCTGTGGGAATATTCACTGGTGTTGCCGATTCCATATGCGCAAATTGAGTGCCAACGGCGAGTACCATCAGAATGGCACAGACTGCGCCTGCATCATCGGAAGATAGCTCGGATGGGTTCGTATAGCAGAAATTTAGTTTTTCACATAGCCAATCTTCTTCCACATAGAAGTTGTTTGTCTGCGCGTACTTGAAGAAGATCTGAACGAGAAAGTCGGCTACATATCGTGGAGGAAGGCATGTAATCGATGCCGATACTAAAGGTGACCCGGACTGAAGTTGTGTGGCTCGCCATCGCTCTTCGAATGGCTCGACTTCGGTGCTGGCCTACAATATTCATTAGTAAATGCATGATTGCGGCAAGGAGGTCATCGCTCACATCCGGAGCAGCTGTCTTCATCCACTCATCGATTTTCTTTCGGATCTTCTCCGAGAAGTTCAGATATGAGAACTCTCCGGAATATTCTGTTATCAGGTCTCGTTAGTCCGCGCTCCGGTCTGATCTTTAGCGGCCACAACTCACGGGTTGTGTTGTCTGGAAGAGCCTTGATAGTAAAATCTTCTTCGTCAATGGCCAAGTCTTCCAGCTCATTGGCGTCCACCTTGGTGGAAACCGCATCGGACTCCGAATCGCGGTGTTTGGTCTTCAGATCGTCGGCCGCCTGGCGCAACGACTGGATATCGAATGTAAGATTGGGTACATAATAGGAAAGAAGACGCTCCATGCAGCGCACGCGTTCCGCCTCTGCGATCTCATGTCGACTCAGCGAAGCTGCCCGATCCAATAATCTATGACCGCAAATTAGAACCGACACTCCAAAATCCGGGAAAGGGACGCAGGCTTCACAGCGCCAGAACTTACGAGACAGACGTTGAGCGAGTCTTTTCCGTCGGATCGATATGAGTGAAATTACACTGTCGGCGATAGCGAAGACACCGGCGACACGGTACACCACCTTCGCACTTCTCTTTCACTCTGCGACAACCGTCACATCTGCACGAGACCAGTCAAGTTAGCGGACTAGCGTTCTTTAGGCTTCAACTCCGCATTTGTGGGGAATCTGCGCACGCTCGGACTGCTCGCTTGCGATTTTCCTCGGCCACGCGAGGGCGTTTCTGCTGCTGGGAGGGAGTCGAGGTCGGGTCGTCCATGACGGGCGGTGTCAACGTGGGCGAGGTCGAACGGGCATCGTCTGCGGAGGTGGCGGAAAGGGCGCGGAGACGGTGCCCGCGGGTTCAAGGGGCCAAGGGGATCGCTGGGACGGTAGTGAGGGTTGGATTTGAGGTGCTCTGAGGTGGAAGAAAGTTGGAGAGGAGAGACCGCAGTTATCGGGTCGATAAAGCGCAAAGGAGCCCCGGCTGGCGGCCCCGCATCCTGGCAGACTCTTGCCCCAAACCCGTCGCGACCGGATGTGAGCCGAACTTTCTTTTACTCAAAATTCCCGAGAAAATTGTTAAGGGGAAATCCAGCTGGCAGTTATTTCTGCGGCGATATATTCTGTTTCTAATATCTAAAACGACATAAAAATTGACCCCGAAGGCAGTTGAATTCATATGCATGGTTGTCCCTGCCCCGGCATAGTAGCCGGTGCACTAAGGCATTAAGGCGTTCAAATCGGAGACCAAACTACCCAGATAAGCCGATTTCTCGCCCCAAGTTGTCATAATTGGTCAGTCAATTTTCATAAGGCGATCCCATGCTGATAGCCTTTCATCGCAATTTGAGATTTATTCATCTAGAGTTTGATTCATCTGAACTCTGCAGTATGAGAGCAAACTGGAGAAAACGCTGATAATCAGAAGCTTGAGCCCCAACCTTGCAGCTGCAGGAGATGAAAAACGACCTAACCCATTATAGCTTTGCGATATCCGCTACACAGTCTATTCCAGTTCTAGAATCCATCGACATGGGTTCCCAACCCTTGGCTCGCTCCAAGGTCAAGGACCTTCTTCCCAACCACCAAATCCATCAATCCCATTCCCACACACTTATAAATCACATTAGCACCAGCTGGAACTCCAATAGGATCATTCGGACCAAGAGAAGCCAACAGATCGCCCATCTCAGTCAACTGGTCCTCTTTAACTTGCGCTGTAATCAGCTCCCCAGATTCCTCCAAACAAGCTGTCTTGGAATCAACGTAGATCTTGCCCCCGCCGGAAAGAAGTGTCTCTGTATCAATCTCATGCATGGGTGGCTTATAAGAGCCAATCAACGAAATAAATCGCTGCTTCGGGGCAGATCGTAAAGCGGAATAAGAGAAATTCGGCTGGAGAGAAGGCGTGCACGAGAAAATGACATCGCAAACCTGCAGTTCGTGGAGCAGAACCTCTTCATAACCCTCAGTGTCTTCCTTCGCAATGGGTGTGATAGTCAAGTGGGGATAATTCTTGCAAAGATCAGAGAAGACATCTTTCATCTGCTCCAATCGAGTCCGTCCACGATTCACGAAGGTAATACGACGAATTTGCTCTGGATACAAAAGCAAAGCGAGACGAGCATGCCACTCCGCCTGACGACCCGATCCAAAGATGAGAATATTCTCCTTCTTGATGGCAGCGCTGCGCACGAATAGAGTCATGGATGCGAGCGCGGTGCGGAATGCGGTAATCTCGGCGGCCGCGAGAAGGCCTTGGAGTCGCCCGTCTGGTGAGAAGAGGTTAATGACCCCCTGGATCCCGCCCGGCGCAACGGTCACGCATTTGATGCCTGTTGTCTCAGTGTTGGAGACGGGCATGAAGATGCATGTGTTGTCTGCTTTTGTGGCGAAGACTGTTCGCAGCGGTTGGTGGATCAGCTTGTCTGTGGCTGGTACTGATGGTTTGGACTCGGCGGAGATGGATACGAGGGCTTTGCCTAGTTCGTTGACGAAGTCATGACATTGGGATTGTGTCAAGCTGCGGAACACTCGCGACACATCGGGCTCGGAGAGGACGTGCATGTTGGTTGGCTGGGCTGTAGTCTTTGAATTGGGATGATTCAGGCGCCTAGAATTGAATCGTTGGGTTTTGTTTTGCTGTGTCAGAAACTGGAATACGTATAAAATAGTACGGATCTGTTGTTGACAGCAAGTGAGAAGGGAGGGTCGGTAGACCCAGCCGACGGCAGTTACACTGGCGAGGGGCAGCTCCACCACGCGGGGGCGCCAAACCGGCAGGGCGCTCCGGCCATCCCCACGGAACCCTTGGGGAGGGCAATGAGTTCCGGCTATTGCTACTAGTAGATTCAAAGCCGATTGGCTACAATTTGCTTATCTGAGCGGACATTGTGTTCTAATCTTTTGATTGAATTTCTCGGTATGAATAGCAAACGTGACTCATAAAATGTAAACGCCCTCTATAGATGCGTCCCAGTCTTGGGGGGTATGCGCAATGCAAAGAAAGCTCCCAAATGGATCCAAACAGGTCAACGGGAGAAAGCAAACGGCGGAAAAAAAAATCATTTGGAAGCAAGTGTACGAGTTTAGTTGCTGCCGCCGAAGACGTTCCGGCAGCGGCGCTTGAGTTCAGCGAACATGGCGACCTGAGAGTCCTTGGTACGGCCAACAGCCTCGGTGTTCTCGATAGCACGGCGGAGCAGGAAACCCATGCATTCCTGAACGGAGCCCCAGGTCAAAAGCTTGAAGACGTTGGGAGCAGCAACAGGAGAGGCACCGACGCTGGCCTCGGCGTTCTCGAATCCCTGCAGAAGCTCGCAGCTGACCTCGTCGGCCATACCCTGGAGCTGAGCGTAGCTGAGGTCGACGTCATAGTTCTCGCCGCGGACAGCCTGCTGCATGCGGAGAGCGTGGGCCTTGCGAACAGATTCCCGGTTGTGGGTGGCAATGATGACATCCACGGAGGGCAGCTCGGCAGGGATATCCTTGGTAGGGGCTTGGAGCATGGAGTTGTATTTGCGGGTCAGGAGAGCCTCGACGACTTCGTCGTAGCACTTGTCGGTCTCTTCTTTCTCGGCCCAGATCAGGTGGCGGGGTTCAGTCTTCAGGTAGGCGCCGCGAACAAGCTTGACACCGAGAGTGTATCCCTCACGGCGGGCAATTTCCAGGTGGCGGGCGAGAGTAGCGGGAGTCGAGCGGAGGTACCCTTGGTAGGTGCCGTAGAAGATGGCACGGCCGGGGGTTTGCGAGTTGCAGTACTTCTGGTACTTCATGATCCAGGCCTCAATGCCGGGCTGGACAGCTTGCTCCTCAGCATCGACGAGGAGACGAACGCCGCGGGAAACAGCCAAGTCGCAGACCTTCCGAATAGAAGCATCCATATATTCGGTGGGAGCGGCCTCCTTCTGGAGGAGACGGAGAGCCTCAGTACCCATACCAGTGAACCTGGAGCAGTTTTGTTAGCAACATGATGGATATCCTGGGCTGCATATTTGGGGGAACTTACTTCAGAGCAACAAAGTCGCCCTGCTGGGCCATATCAACGGTCTGCAGGGTACCGTCGAGCCACATCTTGATCTCGGCCTGAGCGGCCTTCTCATCGAGCGCGGCATCCTGGTTCTCTCCAACGAGAACCTCGCGAGCATAGCCAAGAAGAACACCGCGGCATCCGAGAGCCTTGATGTTGCGAATAGACTCCTGGACCTCGAGCTTGTTCTCACCCGCGTTGAACTGCTTGTAGATGGTGTGCTTGACCAGGAAGTTCAAAATCGGGTTCTTCGAGACATCCCAGAACGCCGAGCGGGGGTGTGCCAGGTGCGACAGGGTATAAATGCAAGGCCTGAGGAGGATAGGAGAAGAAGAGACAGAAAGCACCAGCAAAGAGCGCAGGACCGAGGAGAAGGGTAGCTTGGCGAGGGGAGCTGCGAGCGATTTGCGTGGTGGGGGAGGGGATTGCGAGAAATGCTGCAAGACGTTGCTAGTAGCGACGGAGGATCGAGTGTTGCTAGTGTTGCTGACGAGGCGAGCGTTGGCACGGGTGGTGCCCGCCCGCACCGCGCGTGCAGTCTTCATTTGTTTTGTGTGGTGGTGGTGGTGGTGGTGGTGGTAGGTTGAGACTCTTGAGTAGGTAGAGGGGTAACGAGGGAAAGAGCAAAGGAAGGTCTTGAAGACACAGATAAAGAGCTCTGGTTGGTAGCAGATAAAGAAAGGGAAGATTTGATTAGGGTAGCCTTTTTCAGGGCCTTAATACTATGTAGGGTTCATGGGGAACCTGTCAAGGCCCGGTGGCAAGCGCCTGAGACCGGTACGGTGAGCGCGACTCGCTGCCGGCAACCCCTAGATTGGAGACGCGACAAGACTGGAAATTTCTTGGGTTGTGTGCTGTTATGGGGCACGTCTTTTGCAACGGGTCACCGGGTCGGTCGAGGACCCCAATATTATTATTCATAGAATTAAAGACTGGCTGCAGGACATCCTGTACCATTCCGGACTATATACCCCACAACCCGATCTTCATCGGCACGTCCTGCCCCTAACATACTTAGAATCCTTCGAATCGCGTCGCTAAATACGCTCGGGGCAGCCATCCGACTGCTGAAAGCACCAATGCTGTCGCTTCCGGCCGTATCACGCGCCTGCCGGCATGCGATTCCTTGGGAAAATCCTCGTTCGCGAGCGCTCGCAGATACCTCAGGCTGAGAGCCGATAACCACGGCCCGGTTGACAACCCCCTCTCTTTGGCTTAGTCTGTCAAGTGCGCCCCTGCACGGACCAGGTTCAACGCCAACCGGGCCGGTGATTGCGAGCCTCAGGCACCACAGCCGCCCTGCGCAGACCCAGCCGGTCAGGTGATGAGGTCGCGTGCGACCGGCTACCGGCGGTCTTGTGGCTAGTTTGAGGAATCTGGGAATCTCGCCAGCTGGGCTGTACTTACGTGATCAAATTACTCGACTTCTGACATCTTAGACATCTCCATATCATTGTACCTGACTCCAGCGTCCGCGTGAATCCTTTTGGGCTTGGCTCCCCTGAATTAAGAAACTGTCAAAGCGCATCTTCTGCGCCAATCATGTCCATCCGACCCGCCAAGCTTGGCAACTCCTACACCTTGAGGCTTGCAGTAGACCTGCACGGGACTAACCGACCATTTGCCATGATTGCTCCTATTTGCAATGGTTATAGATCTTAGTAATACACTCGCCTCTATTCCTGCCCAAACAACTGGTAAGGGGTCTATGCAAGCTGCCATATCCGCCTGCAATTTAGATCCAATTGAATAGACATGACAACTCTTAAGCCTGGAGCACCAGAATACCCTGGTGCGAAATACGGAGGCCATTTATCTCTTGGCAGATGCGAACTCCCCGCTTAGCGCGTCATTCTATACAGGGTTTATCAAATCTATGTGACGATGGCGATGCAAGATGCCGCGACTGTACGAATCGACGTACTTGGGCCGTTGCATCGTCCCATGTCCTGTTGTTGGCTTTCTGGATAAACCCTTTCCCCTGTGCATGGTCTCCAGTGTTGCTAGAAGAACTGAGTATCGCTCTGCAGGTGTTGACTAGAAAACAGCCAATATATATTTCCATGATTGAGCTCAAGTACACTCAGCGCTGAGACGTGCATAGTAGATGTCCAATATCTACAATGGAGTCGGACTTGGGATGTCTATGAAGTACTTGATCTGATTGCTTGCGACCCAAGTCAACTTGAAATTGTTTAAATCACCGACGTAGAGTTGCATCTTCTCAATGCTGTACCTCGAATTGCTTCTCCAACAATGGATGAGGCTTTGAGGCCCCACCATTCCTGACGGCCAACCAGTGCGCCCGCCGGGCCGGTAGCCCCACCCGGGAGGTTTGCCGGCCGCTGCTGATTTGCGACCGCCTCCAAGTGCAGGGTAATGCTGGAATGCTGGGGCAATTGGCTGCGCTGCACAGCTGCACCGGCGGTAGCCGGTCATTTCATCATGTCTTCCCCGCGTTCTACTTTTTCCCCTCAGCACTCCTCAAGACTTTTCTTGAACACATCTCCAACTTTCGACTTGCTGGAAGTTAGCTTTGATCTTTGTCTCTCTAGTTTCGAAGTTCTTCACCATGCAGTCCATCTTGCGCGCCAGAGTGCCCTTGTCGCGGGCATGCCGCATCCAGTCGCGTACCCTGGGTACCTACGCGACCTTCAAGGTGCCGCAGATTAACAACGAGCCTAACGTGAGTCTCTGGAATTTTCGCAATGATGCGATGCAGCTATAGCTAACTCGCTTGTAATAGAAACACTACATCCCCGGTACTGCGGATCGCAAGGGCCTCGAGGACGCTCTTGCTTCATACAAGCAGAACGCTCCGCTGAACGTGCCTCTGGTCGTGGCTGGTAAGGAGATCAGCAGCTCCCAGACTTTCACCCAGAGCAACCCGGCCACCCACGCGCCGCTCGCGACCTACTCCAATGCCTCCAAGGCCGATGTCCAAGCTGCCATTGACTCCGCCCTCAATGCCCGCAAGTCTTGGGCTGCGACCCCCTTCGCGGAGCGTGCCAGCATCTTCCTCAAGGCCGCTGACCTGATCGCCTCCAAGTACCGCTACGATATCATGGCTCTGACTATGCACGGCCAAGGCAAGAACGCCTGGCAGGCGGAGATTGACTCGGCCGCTGAGCTGTGCGATTTCTTCCGCTTCGGTGTCAAGTATGCCGAGGAGCTCTACGCCCAGCAGCCTGTCCACCATGCCCCTGGCGTGTGGAACCGTCTCGAGTACCGTCCTCTCGAGGGCTTCGTCTACGCCATCAGCCCCTTCAACTTCACCGCCATCGGTGGTAACCTGGCTGGTGCTCCCGCTCTAATGGGTAACGTTGTCTTGTGGAAGCCTTCGCCCTCTGCCATTGCCTCCAACTGGCTCGTTCACCAGATCCTTCTTGAGGCCGGTCTGCCCAAGGATGTCATCCAATTCGTCCCTGGTGAGGCTGAGGAGGTCACCAGCACCGTTCTCAACCACAAGGAATTCGCCGCCCTCCACTTCACTGGCAGCACTGATGTCTTCCGCATGCTGTATGGCAAGATCTCCCAGGGTGTGGCGGATGGCAAGTACCGCAGCTACCCACGCATCGTGGGCGAGACCGGTGGCAAGAACTTCCACCTGATTCATAAGTCCGCCGATGTGCGTAACGCCGTGGTCCAGACCGTCCGTGGTGCCTTTGAGTTCCAGGGACAGAAGTGCAGCGCCACCTCCCGCGCCTACGTCGCTTCCTCCATTGCCGACAAGTTCGTCGAGGGTGTCGCCGCTGAGGTCAAGAAGCTGAAGATCGGCGAGCCTTCAGAGTTCACCAACTTCTGCGGTCCCGTCGTCCACGAGGCTTCCTTCAACAAGCTGGCTGGTGTCATTGACGAGGCTAAGAACGATCCCGAGCTGGAGCTGGTTGCTGGTGGCACTTACGATTCTTCCAAGGGATGGTACATCCAGCCCACTGTCTACCGCACCTCCAACCCCGATCACCCTCTCCTCTCCCGCGAGCTGTTCGGCCCCATCATCGTCATCCACTCCTACAACGATGCCACCGAGGCCGACTTTGTCAAGATCTGCGACAAGATCGATAGCACCGGCACCTACGGTCTGACCGGTTCCATCTTCGCCCAGGACCGTGAGGCCATCCAGGTTGCTGATGATGCCCTCCGTAACGCTGCCGGCAACTTCTACATCAACTGCAAGAGCACTGGTGCCGTTGTTGGCCAGCAGCCGTTCGGTGGTGCCCGTGCTAGCGGTACCAACGACAAGGCCGGAAGTGCCAACCTGCTCTCTCGTTTCGTCAGCCTGCGCTCGGTGAAGGAGGAGTTTGTTCCCACGTACACCGTTGAGTATCCCAGCAACGCCAACTAAAGCAGACAGTCTCTTCTGCTTTGGTTAACACTGCATGCCTCATGATATCACGGCGTCGACTTGCATTACTCCTGGCGTTTTTATATACCGAAGTCAACCCTTGACTTTGTTTGGGCTTTCCTGTCGAAAGATTTGTATATCTACAGAATTAAAAATTTGCACTCTTCACTGCTAGTCTCTCACGTAAACGGAATAGTAAATCCTCGGTAATCCATTATCCATTCAGATATCTAAGAATTTGCACAATTTTTCAAAAGCTTCTGCATATTAGCCATCGCCTGCCTAGCAAAAGCACCCATCTCATACGTCCTCCCCTTCCCATCCGGACCCCCATCAAAAATCTCCATAGAAAACCAACCCCGGAAACCCGTCTTCAGCACCGCCTTCGCAACATCCTCAATAGGTAAATACCCCCCATCATACGGCATAGGCCGATAATCATGACTCCACCTTCCCCGCGGCCTCAAATATCTAACAACTTTATCCTCCAAAGGCGGGGAAACCTTATACGCATCCGAGATCTGGAGTACATAGATCTTGTCCGGGGGGACCGTGGACGCAAGTTCATCCATACTTGCGTCGAAGTTTTCGCGTAGCTTTTCCGGGGAGACGCTTTCGATTAGCCCGGATTCGACAGTTGGATCGCCGTATTCACTTCCGGCCGTTTGGAATGTGTCGAGGCAGAGGCCGACGTTTGGTCGGTCGACGTCTCGCACGATTTCCCAGGCGCTTTTCCAGCCTAGGGCGTGGGTGGACCAGCACCAGTTTTCGAAGGCCATGCGGAAGTTCTCTGCTTCTAGCATGCTGGCTAGTTCGCGGAGGTCGGAGACGATGTCTGATCGGCTGGTGGAGATTTTGTGGGATGGTGTATCGGTTGCTCCAACCTGAACAGCATTGTTAGACACTTCATTACAAACGTTGCATATCGTGACAGCTTGAGGGTGGATAATACCTGCAACAAATCCGTCCCAACAGTCCTCATAACCTCAATCCACCCCTTCGCCCTCGAAAACGCCTCCTCCCTCTCAGCCGAACCCTTCGGCCAACCCTCAAAATTAGCAAAGGGCTGCAACATCATGATAGTGAGCGAATTGGCATCGCACAATTTGCGAACCTCGGCTGAGATCGCGAGAATTTTAGGATAGTCATTCGGTGCAATTGGGTGACCGAGTAAATGCGCGCCATAGTCCAGAATATCGGGAAAAGACAATTCAATCGAGATAAAACCCGCTTTGCTGATTGCTTCGAGTCTGCGAGGAAGTGTATCGCTTGGATTGCAGCCGATGGAGCAGGAGGCGTAGGAGAGTGGGATTTTTGGAGGGATTGAAGCGTTATCGCGGCCATTGTTGGTTGTGGTTTTTGGCCGGATAGCTTTTGGAGGTTTTGTGAAATTTTTGATCGTAGGGCTTGCATTGGAATTGTTTTGTTGCAAGTGTCAAAACTTGCTTGGGAGTATCTTTTGCCTGAACTTGAAGTTGTTGTAAGCCTTGCGTTTATTATGATGTAATGTCTCTGGCGCTTATTTTGTCCGCTGTGTCGTCAGGAACGCATCGTTCGAACTAGGATTTTAGGTTTGACGAGTTATATCTGCTATCTAGAATAAAATAATCAACAAGACATTGTACCTTTGCCTCAGACCACATGAGTTGGCAAAAATCGAGGCGGCAAGAGGACGCTGTGGATCGCCGCCGTGGTGGGTATTGACCACATCTTGACACAATCTCGGGGCTCCAATCCGGTTGCCACAAGTGGGAGTTGACGTAGAATAAAATCGCTAGTTAGTCTGTTCCCCGTAGTTAATATTCAACTTCCTTCTTTTTGTCCCTTCTTTTTAAATATAGACTCTTGTTAGTGGGTTCGACTCAGCAACCGCGACCATGTCGTCAAACCCAGTCCAACAATTCAAGCACATCGGTATCGTCGGAGCCGGTAGCATGGGCTCGATGATGACCTTCGCCTTTTGCGATCTTGGCCTCGATGTCTCAGTGTGGGATGTTGACAAGCAAAATGTCGATAAAGTGACCAACTGGGCAAATAATTACAAAAATGCAAAAGGCATCATCAAAGGATACTACAATATCGATGAGTTCACCAGGAGTCTGGGAGAGAAGGGCGAAAGAAAGCTCTTCATGTTCTCAATTACCCACGGCGAACCGGCAGACTGGGTCTTGAGCAAGATAAAGCCCGATCTGAAAAAAGGCGATATCGTCCTCGATGGCGGAAACGAAAACTACCGCAAGACAGAGCGTCGTCAGAAGGAATACGAGGCGATTGGTGTCAGCTGGATCGGTATGGGTGTTTCTGGCGGTTACCAGTCTGCCCGACGTGGACCTAGTCTGTCTCCCGGTGGTGACCCCAAGGCCCTGGAGCTCGTCATGCCCTTGTTGGAACGGTACGCCGCCAAGGATCCCAAGACGAAGACACCTTGCGTGACTCGCATTGGACCCGGTGGATCTGGTCATTTCGTCAAGATGGTTCATAACGGTATTGAGGGTGGCATGCTGTCTTCTCTTGCAGAAGCGTGGGCATATATGACCTTCGGACTTGGCATGAAGTATGAGGAGATCGGCGACGTATTCGCGAAATGGAACGAATCCGGTGAATTACGCCAGAACTTCCTGCTGGGAATCGGGGCGGATATTCTCCGGACCAAAAGGACACCTCAGGGTGATCAAAATGGCGAGGGCGCTAGCAAAGATGGTGGGTACGTTCTTGACGATGTCCTCGACAAGGTTGTCCAGGACGACGACAACACTGAGGGAACGCCTTTTTGGTGCGTTATGGAGTCTGCTGCTCGACATATCTCTTGTCCGACCCTGGGAGCTGCGCATTATATGCGGATTGCCAGTGGAAACCGTGCCGAGCGAGCTCGCGCCTCGAAGAAACTGCACATGCCCTCACCTCGACCAATCGAGCACAAGCGCGATCGCAGTACCGTGATTGAGCAACTTCGCCGTGCAGTCTACTGCTCCTTCCTCGCCTCCTTCGTCCAGGGCCTGGAGCTCATCGCCCGTGCATCCGAGGACGAAGGTTGGAACATCAATATGGGCGATTGTCTGCAGATCTGGCGAGCAGGCTGTATCATCCAGTCAGAGTATATCGCAGATCTGCTGCAACCTGTGCTGACGAAGGAGTCCGTCAAAAATATGAAGTTTGTCGACGAGGTATCGCGGGAACTGCATCGGAACTTCGACGATCTCAAGACTATCATCATTGAGGGCACTCAGGCTGATCAGTATATGCCGGCGTTGTCTTCCACTTTGGAGTACCTTAAGTATGAGGGTGGCTTGGAATTGCCGACGAAGTTTATGGAGGCCCAGATGGACTACTTTGGTGCTCATTGCTATAACAAGCCGGGTATTCCGGGTGAGGACCCTGGACCGGTTATGAAGGGGCCGCATCACTATGAGTGGAAGGTTGCGTAGATGACTGAGATATGTAAATTAGATCGCTTTTCATATGTAAATTTTCAAATTGTTATATTCTTATTTCCAGCTGAAGATTCGATACTTCATAAATCCATAATTGATTGAACTAGGGACGTACACCGCTATTCTATGGGCTTGAAGCCCGTGTTCGAAGTTCTCCATATTCTGCCGGATCGGTCTTGATTCGTCTTGTTTCTGGAAGTCTATCACCCGTGCTAACATATAGCAGACCAACAACATATTCCATCACAATAAATATTACCACAAAGGGGCCAATGTCGCCCGTAAGAGTATTCCACTTACCACCATCGGAGTGGAAGACGGACAAGGACAGATAAGAGATTCGAACAAGGACGGAAGGGGTTGCGACGGCGGTTGCTTGAAGAACCTAGGCAAAACGAGAAGTCAGTCACGATGCAGTCGCCGTCGAATTCGGAAAATTATCGCTTACCAAGGCTCTCAGTCGAGAGGAGACTGCGTTTGCTACCGTCTTCGAGGGAGTACTTACCTTAATCTCCCTTTTCCGACAGACATGACAGCCCTTTGACTTTCCGGGGACACCCGCCATTAGTCTGAGTGCAATCTATTCGAACCGCGATGCCTGTAAAGTGGGGGTCCCTGCACTGCTTACGCTTAAATAGTGTTTAATAGGAAATGAGAATTATAGAGTGAGAATAGCACCTTTTCTATCTTTTTTCAGAAGTTATTTTGGTCTAAGACCCAGTGACCACGGGTTGACCACGAATGGACTATGAGCTGACTATTAGTTCATGAGTTGACCGTGGGCGAACTATGTGTTAATCATAAGTTGACCATAAACTGACTATCTATATTGGAGAACTGATAGTACAAATGCGGAAGACAATGTTAAGAATAAAGCCGATGTGATAACTCAACAGAAGGGATTGTCTGGTTCTGAAAACTATCTGGGGCATACGGTCTTATATACACTAGCGTACTGAATCGGAGATTCAGTATTCCGAATGGAACTTAGTAAGCCTGTTCCACACTGTACTGACTGACCTAACCAGGGTTGTCAGTACCAGACCATACCGCGTATTCTGTGCCAAATATCACATCCTCCCCCACTAGATTCGAGCTCGCCCTCGAGATCAAAGACGGGAGGAACTCAGATAGCAATTGGGTAGTAATCAGAACCGGAGTAAGCATGTCAAACAAAGAGTACCGAAATTAGTTCAGGGAAGAGCAGGGATTCGGTACTCCACGTCCTTGTTCGGTACCAGTATCATCTCCATATCCACCTATTGAAGGATAATCCTTTCAGTAGTGATTCAAAGAGATCAAAGAACGTTTGGTCACCGAATCAAAGACGGTATCAAGGAATGTGTTATGGAAAATCAGTGGGTAAGGGACGTTAGCCTTATAAGGAGTGAAAAGGCTCTTCTGTCTCCGTCTGTAAACATTCAACCACTCATCACCATCGTCAGTCCCTCAGCTGCCCGAGCGGCTTCGGACAGCCTGGAGGAAGCTGCTGTGTCAGCGGCCCGTGAGCGACTGGAATGCTTGTGGTCGCCAGAACCCGCCATCATGGCCGGTTCTCAGAGCGGAGATTCGGTTTCTGGGGATCCTCGCTCCCTACGTGACTGAACGCTGCCCTCTCACCAGGAAGAAGCAGAGGAAGAGGAGGAAGAGGAAGAAGACGAGGAAGAAGAAGAAGAAGAAGAACGGACGGTTCCTGAGGAGGAGAATATTGAAACATCTTCTCCAGTTCCTCGTTGGCGTCTGCGTTTTCAAAGCCAGGTTCCGTTTTTCCAATATTCCGGTCTTCCAACAACCAAACTAGCAGAGTGGTGCATTGATATAAGAGGAAATCCCCTTCTTTCATCATTCACTACCGATGCAGACCGAGCGGTAATTAGGAAGCTGCCTGAGCAACCTCGGAACGTGGATTGGAGGGTGGTGGATGGTATTCCACAGTTCAAAAACTGCAACCGCTCTCAACAGCGCCGAGCAGCAATGGCGCAGCGTTTCGGACAGCTTGCACCTCTGGGTGAGGAGTGTAGCTACTGTTCCTCTGGAAAAGGTTCCTTTGAGAGCTGCCGTGTGGCGATAGATGACAGCAACACTCTGATGTTCCAGGGTAGTTGTCTGTGTTGTGCCTTTCTGGATGGAGGAGCCAAATGCAGCTTCCGTACCATGCGTCCTCTCTGGATAAGGGCGTACGAGAATTCTGAATCCCTTGCAGCTACAGGCTCTGCTCCTTCAACGGTTCAGCGACGAGGTCGTACCAAAGCTTTGGCCAAGACCGCTCCACCTCGTTCTGGCACAGTGATCCGGCATTTGGAACAGCCTACTGCCCCTGTTACTCAAGGCCACAATGGTCAATCCCGTTCTGGTGTTTTCCGAGGATATGGAGCTAGTTCCACTCCGGGAGGCCATTCCCATGGCTTAACTAGGGGTTCTCGTCGTGTTCGAGTCCGTTCCAATATTCAGGAGCATCCGCGCACTTCAGTTCGCCAACGAGCGACATGGGCTGCATACCGAATTGGACGTCGGATCCAACTTCTAACCCAGAAGCCACCTACTCAGAGCTCATGGCAAGGTAGTGGTCTTTCGGGATCAGAGAGAGAGCAGAACTAAGAGTCGTAGTGGACATGGTTGAATCTGTCTCTTCTTAATACTGGATCAAGTCAGGGTTTCGGTCTTTGGTTAGCTTCCTTTGGCGCGTGGATTTCCGGATGGGTTTCAGTATCTTCAGAGCGCTCCTGCCCTCCTGGCGTCGGCCAGATGTACTGTATTGAAATGAATCCAATTCAGTATTCAATTGTCGTTCGGTAACCTTTCTAGCAGCCCTAGTTTTACGAGTTTCCGCTCCTTCTGTATCTTCTTTACTTGCAGCAGGGCCTTTTGCTGCGGAAGATTTGACAGCCCTCACGGTACGTTGCTGCTTCATTCGTTTCTTCGAAATGACACGTTCCGTGATAGCCTCATCCTCCCCCACTGAAACTGAATGTTCCCCTGAACGTTCACGTGCTTCCCACTCAGCTCTGGTGATGGTGGAGAGTTCTGAGTATGAGGGGGGTGTAGGCTCCTCGCTGTCTAGGATCTTGCGAATTTCCTGTGGTTTGTGTAGCGTGTAGCCCGCTTTTTGAATAGCCCGCTTTGCTAGTGACGATGTCCACAGCCTATCTGGATTATCAACTTGCGCTTCGATAAGCCTCGCTCCGTTGATCAAATTCCTCAAGACCCTTCCTCCTGGTTCGGCCAGCGCATATGTGCCCAATGGATGCGCCTTCAAGATCTGGTAGGGGCCGTACCAGCGGCAATCCAGCTTCTGTCGATACTCATTCCGAAGCAATACCCATTGTCCTGGTTTGAAACTCGTTTTGGTCACAGCTTCATCCCTAATTCTCTGGGTTTTGATAGCTCGATTTAACAGAAGCTCATTTGCTTTAGACCGCGCATGATTTATCAGACGGACTCGATCTTCCCAATCTTGGAAAGGTCCTACTGAGTCGTCCCATTCCGAATTCTCGTCACTCGGAATCCTTGGATGTTCTCCGTACACCAGATAGTACGGGCTCACACCGAGCACACTATGTTCATGAACCCTTGCGGCAAAAAGAGCTTGCGGTAGGTATTCATCCCACAGTCGGGTTGGTTTACCCATTAGGTATTTTGTCAGCATCCGGCCCAGTATCCCGTTGAAGTTTTCAACTTTCCCGTTCGTTCTGGGGTGATACGGGGTGGTGGTCCGGTGCTTGGCTTTCAAAAGTTTGATGTAATATTCCACTGCTTTAGCAATCAGGTTCCGGCCATTGTCGGTAATTATTTCCCGTGGTGCACCGTATTGAATGAAGATATCCTCGTGTAAGAACTGGCCAATGGTTTCTTCCGTGGCATCCGGTACAGCACGAGCCACAGTCCAACCAGTAGCGTAATCAATGGCGGTGATGATCCATTGGTTACCGTTCGGAGTCTTCGGTAAGCGACCCACAAGATCGATCCCCCACCTTTCAAACGGACGGATTCCTTCCTTCACAAGGTGCTGTGCAGTCTCTCTTTCCAGGGATTCGTTTAATCCCTGGGCAACCTGACAGTTTGGACATCTCTTAACAGTTTCCTGGATGTCAGTTCGTATTGTCGGCCACCAGGCGCGGGGCCGTGTTACTCCCTGAAGACCAGGATATCCCAAGTGTCCAAATTCCTCGTGCATTCTGCGCACGAAATCCTCTCGGAGGGGCATTTCAAGATATGGTGCCACCACCCCGTCAGCATGTGTGAAAACCAGTTGACGGTTAGTGTCTGCATCAGCTCTCATCGGTAATTTCACTGTTCTGTAGCCGAGGTGTGGTGCAAATTTTCTGACGTATCGGCTCAGCTTCTTGTTGGTAGGGAGGTGTCCAGAACGCAAGAATTCCTCAGTGGCTTTGAGCCAGTCTTGTTCTGAAAAATCCCCTACTGTAAGAGTGTTTAACTGAGCCACCCAGTCAGGGCGATCTTGAGCTATATTGGCTGGTGTGTCTTCGACGAAATCCGGCCGCCGACTGATTGCATCTGGAACCACAGCTTCTGACCCCTTTCGGTACTGAATCTTAAGGTCATACTGCTGAAATTCATCCACCCATCTAGCCAGTCGCTTGCTATATGTTTTAGTTGTCTGGAGGTATTGCAGGCTGGCATGGTCTGTGATGATTCTTGTGGTGGTTCCGTTCTCGATGTATCGATCCCACAGTCGGAGTGCTTCCTTGATTGCAAGCAGCTCCTTTTCATGGACCGGATAATTCAGTTCTGCGGTACTCAATTTTCGACCGTCAAATGCTACTGGATGCAACTTTTGATCCTCGCCTTCTTGATACAGTACGAAACCGATAGCCCATTCTGATGCATCGGTCTCGATAATGAAGGGTTTGAGTCGGTCTGGCTGCATCAGAACCGGTGCAGTAACCATGGCTTCCTTAAGATTCCGAAAAGCCAATCCTGCTGCGGTGTTCCATCTGACAGGACGAAATCTTTTTACCCGAAGCTGAGCATCAGCTTCTTTTAGAAGCTCATGTAGCGGTGCTGCAATTCGTGCGAAGCTTCGGATAAACCGTCGATAATATGTGGCGAGACCAAGGAACTGTCGAACTTCGTGCACATTCCTTGGCCGTGGCCATTCCTGGATGACTTTGATCTTTTCTGGTTGGGTACGAACTGTTCCATTTCCGACGATATGACCACAGAACTCTAGTTGCTGGGTAGCAAATATGCACTTTTGCGGTCGTGCATATAATTGTTGCTGTTCCAATAGCTGTAGGACCTGGTCAAGATGTCGGTAATGGTCATTCATTGATTCAGAAAAGATTAGGATGTCGTCCAGATACACAACCACACACTTTCCGAGAAGTGGCTGTAAGGTTTGATTCATCAAAGTCTGGAATGTGGCGGGTGCATTGCACAGCCCGAATGGCATGGCGAGCCATTCGAATTTCCCCCAGACTGTGTTGAAAGCTGTCTTCGGAATGGCGGATTCTTCCATACGAACCTGCCAATATCCCGACGCCAGGTCAATCTTTGACAAGAATTTAGCCTTACCGATGATATCAAGGAGTTCTTGAACCCTCGGTAAGGGATAACCATTCTTCAAAGTGACCTCGTTCAGTGCTCGGTAATCAATACACATCCTCCATTTATTGTCCGGTTTCCGAACAAAAACGACTGGGAACCCCCATGGACTTGCGGACGGTTGGATCAGGCCCTTCTGAATCAGATCCTCAATTTGGCGGCCCAACTCATCCAATTTCTCCACGGAAAGCGGATATGCATTAATATTCACAGGGTTGGCGTCCCCTGTATCCACCTCATGCGCGTGGTCACGTTCTGGCGGTAGCTCCTTCGGCAATTCTTCCGGAAAGACCTTCTGATGCTTCAGAAGAATCTCCCTAACTCTCGAGTCGTCATGGTGCGGAACGACCAGCTTGAATTCCGAACCCTCAGCCTCATCTTGTGTAGGCTGCACAAGAAAAAGATAGGCCTGAGTAATGCGCTTCCTCAGAGCGCGTCTCACTTGCTTTCCTGTAAGCAGGTCGAACGAAGCTATGCCCTTCGTGACAACCGGGCTGCCCTGCAGCGGCAGCACCGTATGTTCCCTTCCTTGGTCATCTCGAATCCGCATTTGCGAAGTACGCCAACTTAGCCGCGGGTCGTATTTCCGAAGGAAGTCTCTGCCTAGGATCATATCATGTTCTGGGATATCAAGAACCCAGACATTGATCCTTCCGAACCATCCTCCAATCCTTACAAGGACTGTAAAGGATCCATGGGTGGGGATCTGTCCGCCGTCCGGTAATCGTACCGAAAGCGATCTCCCACCTTTCTGATACTGAATCTCTCCCCTCATTCTCCGCACTAACCTTTGTGACACAAAGGTGTGGGAGGCTCCTGAATCAAGGAGTATCTTAACAGCGCTTGGTCTAGCTGTTCCCTGTCTTACCGTCCCTGCGAAATAGATCAGCGAGTCTCCTATAACGTTGAGGCTCGCGTCCAAAAGCTCTCGTTCCGACACTACAGTCTCTGAATCAGAATCCGAAATTGCAGTTTCTGAATCTGATGAGTACTCAGGATCCAGAAGGTCCTGTACTTCCAGAGGCTTCTGTCTAGAGGCTTTGTCCATTTGGTCGATCAATGCCTCCACATTTACCGACCACTCACTTTTCCCGACGGCGATGTCATTGTGTTCTGCGTTTTCCTCCTTGAGGTTTGGCAGTCTCTTTTGTAATGTCCAGACAGGCCGCAATTGAAACAACGGCCTCTTGGAATCCTGGGCTTTGACTGCTCACCCTTCTTCTCTGATGTCTGTTTGAATTCTTTCTTCCTCCCTGGAGTGGATCCTAGCGGTGCACCTTGCATGTATGAGAGGTCCATAGGGTCACCTGTTATTGATACAGCATGTCCTCTAGTAGCTCCCTCTTCCAGGCCCACAAAGGCTTTCACAACGGCGTTCCATTCGGTAGGATGCTTTGGTAGAGCATGCCACCGGACCTGGAGATCTGCCTTGGCACCATGAATCAGATCCGCTATCATCAGGTCTTCGGACATATTTCTGAATTCCAAATCGTCTGCCGCTTGGCGTAGGTCGGCTGCATACTTATGAAAAGGAGTTTGGTTCCCCTGGGTCATCCTTCGGTATTTGGCATACCTCTTTTCCGGACTGAGGTATTCACTGAATTGCTCTTCAACCCAAGTTTTGAACTCTTCCCATTGCATGCCTTGAATTGATTTTCTTCCGTACATGACCCGCCATCGGTCTTCGGCAGCTTTCCGGAGATTCGATTTGGCTGCAATAATTTTCTGAGTATCTGAGATCTCGACTTCGGTAAGCCCTTCCACATCCTGGAAGTGGCGCTCACACGCGAGTATCCATTTGCGCGCCGCATCGTCCTTGAATTGCCCAAAGTACTCAGGGATTCCCACTAGGTCCTTGAGGAGTGCCTTCCGAGTCTCCCAATCTGCTCTCCCAGGAAGGAGTCCAGCTGTGCTAGCTGTTCCACGGATGGCTGATCCTGAGGAGTTACTCGGAACGTTGGCTGCCGCTTCGGTAGCTCTTTGTTGTTCCTCCTGTCGGCGCTGACCTTCCTGGATCCCCCACGCCAAGGCCTTGATGGTTTGGGCCTGGGCTGTCGGGTTTGTAGCGGATAGCCACTGAACGTACTGGGCTTCCGCCATGTCTGCTGGGAGTGCATGCAGAGCTTGCATTGTCCCAGGTGATATGGCTCGTGACAATTGGGGGTTCGGAACGGCCCCTGGGGTACCAATGGTCTCCGGTATCGTCCCCTGGGTAGGACCCGTGGTTTCGCCCGATTCCATAAGGTCTCCTTGATTGGACATAGGGATTGTATAAGAACGATCAACAGAATAAAAGATTGAAGAAGCAGTATCAAAGAAACGCAGAACAAAATTGAAGACATAAGATAAAATTCAGTATAGGATGGTTCTTTCCGACTGGATGGTCACTATGAGTTGTTCTCATAGACACTCTTTCTCAGCCGATTCCGAGGCACTATTTATGCCCTCGAAATAGCACTTCCACTTCATGTTGACAAGGAGATTTCAACTGAGGGGGTCCTCTCGTATTCACTGAGTCCGCATCTCAGTAGCCAACGCCTACCAATGGGCGTTCAAGAACAGTGTCGACTTGCCGTTCTTTCCACAAGAGGTCGTCATAGGCTTCAGAATGAGGGACAAAACACACGCTTCCACTAGCCTTGCTCGCTCCTAGCGGCTTCCTGAGGCGTTTCCCCGCTCGAAATAAGATTTCATGACGTCCTCGATGTGTACCGAGCGTCACGGGAGGAGTTGACTGTCCTTATTCCGGGGTAAATGGTGCTCCCACATCTCATGGTAGTCCAACTGTGGAAGAGTATTCTCATTCCTGCTCCTTATCTGGCACCCTCAGTCTCCTGTTCAGGCCCTTGATCGAACTTGGGCACGTAGACCGAAGTTGATGGCGAGTAAACAAAGCTCGCATATTCCGAAGAGCTTTGGCCGAAGCTCATCAGAACGAGCAGTTGCCCGCCGGCCAACACACCACTGGGCCTGCCGTAGGAGGCAGGCCTAGTAGGACATGCTACCAGATGTGATAACTCAACAGAAGGGATTGTCTGGTTCTGAAAACTATCTGGGGCATACGGTCTTATATACACTAGCGTACTGAATCGGAGATTCAGTATTCCGAATGGAACTTAGTAAGCCTGTTCCACACTGTACTGACTGACCTAACCAGGGTTGTCAGTACCAGACCATACCGCGTATTCTGTGCCAAATATCACACCGATAATATCTTAGCCCATCCCAGGTTCCAAACCCCGCAAATCACCAACCAAAAGCATGTTCTTGCGAAGTTGACAGTGCATAAAAAAGCCAACGCATTCGAAGAATTCGCTAATTTCATCAGAAGTCTACTGAAAACACATACAAGCCGAGATAATTGGGGTATGTGAGATAATTTACTCATTCTTTTGTCCAGGGGTCGTTAATGGTTGTGGGTCGAATTGTTGGGGTTACAATTGGGAAATCGCTGATGCCTGGGGATATTCGAGATCACTACTCCGGATCTCCGACCGGAAAAACATCCTCTACGTGAAAAGGGCAAGTGCCTAGAAAAGTATTTCTGACATTAGTTTTCCTGTTTCTACTCCACCTTCTTTCATGCTTGTTTCTTTTCAATTGGTGATATTAAATGACTGTTCAGCTGACTGTTCAGAAGACTGCTTGGGCGGCTGTTCGTATGCAGGATGGTCAGATTGATGTACGAACATCTATAATTCAGGCACCAAGTTCTACTGAAATCGGAAAGTGGGCCTTGGCCGTCATACCTTCCGTAGAGACTGCCCCGCTCACGTATCACGTGATATTCCATCGAGCTGGGAAGCAATTCCTTATAGCCAACGATGGGTTGCTGGAAAAAAAAGGCCTTCCCTATTATTGAGCCACAATTATATAAGTTCTCATGTATCAGAGTCTACAAAGGTATCACATTCTGTTTAAGAAGCAGCGCTCTCATATAGAAAGCTTTTACTCTGCTGAACATGTTCGATACGCTCGATAACGGGACGAAATTGCCCTCGCGAAGTTGGAGGAACACAGGGCCAATGTAAGCGATCTGTTTGATGACATCAGAGTACATGTGTTCATTGGTCCTGGTTTCTTGGTGGGAGCTGTATGTGTTGCTGTCATCTTGCGAACGAATTATCCAATCAACGCTCGCGCACGGACGAACTCGATTACAAACAGGTGCGATCGCCATTTCTCGCAGTAAAATCTCTCGAAAGATAACATTAAAACGCACTCCTCTCGCAAATTCATTCATCCAAAATTGCAACTGCCAGATTCGGTTGTGTTGAGAAATATGGCCTCCTCGCCTCCTTCCGTTGAGCTCACAGAAACTTTCCATTGTTCCACCAGCACTCATGACTATCAAATCCGATGGACATCCCTTGGTGAATCTGATTTACAACCACTCATTTTTGTTCACGGTACTCCATGGTCATCTCAAGTCTGGATCAAATATGCCAAGTCCTTTTCCAAATACTTCCGTGTCTACCTCTTTGACAATCCGGGTTTTGGTGAAAGTCCGCTTGGAACGCCTCGTCCAGAGTCACGAAACACAGTCAGCAAAAAGGTCGCTCTGGATGCAGATCTCGCACAGCAGTCGGAAGTTTTCGCTGCCTTGTATGGCTTCTTGACGAAAGATTGGAGCCAAAAGCCGCATGTAATCGCACACGACCACGGCGGCCTCATGAGTCTAAGGGCTCACTTACTTCATCAATGTGAATATGCGAGTCTATGCTTGATAGACGTTGTGGCCATCGGTCCATTTGGCCAGCCCCTGTTCAAGCTTATCGCGGAGCATGAGGATGTTTTTTCCGTGTTGACTGGTCCAGTGTTTGAAGGAGTGGTTGAATCATACATTCGGGGCGCGGCTCATCATACTCTCCCCAAAGAAATCATGCAAGCGTTGAAGTATCCATGGCTCTGCAACGAGGAGGGACGAAGGGGCTTTGTCAGGCAAATGGTGCAGGCCAACAGTCGCAGCACCGAGGAAGTGGAATTCCGATATCCCGACGTAGGAAAAGGGATGCCTGTGCGAATAATTTGGGGGACGGAAGATCAGTGGATTCCAGTGGAGACAGCGTTGCGGCTGAAAGAAGCCCTGAATGCTCGGGATGTCATCTTGATCGAAGATGCGGGGCATCTCGTTATGTACGACCAGGAGGGCCCACTGGGAGTGGAACTGGGCTGGTGGCTGAACAGCGTGAGCCAGAAATAGATAGCGCAGAGTAGCGACCATCGTGCCGTGGTGTTAGGGATATCAATATGAAAGAGTGCGCCGTATTCTGAATCGAAGTGTGCGCTGTCTGTTCCAAATTACCTTTTATACTTCGATCGGGCATACCATGACCTCTCGATACCGAATCGTGAACCCTTCCTTAATAGGTCGCATCCTGTCGAAGATTACCGGTTCGCCTTTCCCGGTAACTGGTGCCCCTGACGTCGACCTTGTACAAATGACTGACTCCCAGTCAAGATACCGCAATTCTTGCGCTAGATACTGTAGTGGGGAGACTCCCTCCCCCTACTAAATGGGTGCCATCCAGACTATGTGACATAGCCGGCAGTATACAGTGGCCGGATAGCTAGTTCTAGAATACACCTTCTTACACCTCCCCGACCTGACCCCTACATTTGGGGTTCTCGCTGTTTCCTGATTGCTACGCGTGTGTTTTGTGGTGGTTTTTCTGCTGAATCGACCCGCACGTCTCAGCGCGTGCTGCCATCGAGCGTTCCCCTGTTTAATAGTTAAGTTACATCTGCGGATTATGTCACCACACAGGGGAGAGAAGAGCAACAATGGCCTCAACTTCGGAAAGTATGATCCGAATTCATGGATGACGCATACCATGTCAGTCAAGTTGCGTCACTAATGAAGTCAAAACCCACAGCCTAAGCAGTGATCAACAACAACGTGCTCGAAATGACGGTGGTGGCTGTGGACAAGACGAGACCAGTGTGGCTTCAAGCAAAGCCGTTGAGGAAGTTGAATCTTCTTTCCGTTGCACCCTCCCAGGTGCATGGTGTGCCTTCTAAATGCTCATTGCCGATCGTAATCTTGTCAAAAATGCTTGTGGCTAGCTTTGGCACTAACGCCATGCGAGATCCATTCTATGATTGAGCGAGGTAGGCGTTTTTGGTTTTTAGAAGACGGCACCCCTATTGCTTTATGGATGCAGTTTTACGGGAAATTGTCAATTGACTGCTACATGAGGTTAGTTTACCGCAAGCACATATCTGCCACAGGCGAGTGGTGCCCTAAACGAGCTTAACCCCTTAGCTATTAACTATTTTGCCTGGGTACAACTGATTCATTTTGCTAAATACCAATACTATGTAGGGGCCACAAACAGTAGTGGAAAACAATGCTCACATAACTTGATTCAAAAAATCTTCACCGTTCGATAATCAAAGAGTTTAAAAAGATACCCACAATCAACTGATATAACGGCCTTGGATGCTTGCTTGAATCAGTGAGAGTTAGACTCGATAGCATGTGGATTTGGCATCGTAGCTGAAAATATAATAGTGAACGATTTATGTAGGGCTATATCATTGAAGATCCTCAAGAGCAGACCGAGCCGACGAAAGAAACTGCAACCATCTCGGATGCAGCGGCGCCTCGAAGCGCGACAGGATCAGGTTAATATGACTGTAGGCAAGCGGCCCAGACACGGATTCACTGAAGCTTTCGAACGACACTGTCCCCCATCCGTTAGCATGTAGCTCTGCCAAGTTAAGCTAGGGCAGACTACGGCAACTTACGAGTAAGCAGCCTCGCCTGCGTCCAGATGCTGCCAAAATGCTTGAGCTGTAAATGAAGAACGGTGATGTCATGGTTGATACTAGAACGGACACTTTCATCTGAAATCGTGTTCGACTTCCTTTGAAGATGGAGGAAGATAAGCGCCGTGAAAATGGTAAACGTGATTGCCGGATCCACTGTGAGGCAGAAGGCACTGTCCCATTGACCTGCCAAGGAAGCAATGTCCTGACACGCTTCAAGAATGCGCTGCCAACTTGACAGCCAGTCATCTGCTCGTCGTTGGCCGCATTCCACAACTGAAAGGAGCAATTGTGCCATCCGCAGATGGAAGACAGTGATTAGCCTTGCATGGTGGTCGACGGGTTTCTCGTTAGCGAACGCGTTGCGTCGGAGGTTGAGCCAGCCCAGTGGAAGGGCAAGACGAAGCGTAGCTAGCTGTCGCTCGACATTGGCGACTTGTGCCACTATCCCATCCTGCCATCGCAGCAGGTGCATGCGGATGACTAGACCGGCCTTGCGCATGGTGGCGATCGTGACGGTGTGGATGTTGTTTAGTAAGGTCTCTGTGTCTGATGTGATGGAGGGAAGGATTTCAGATAGACCGTCCGAGTTAAAAGGTAGGAAGATTTCTTGCGAGAGATCATCCTCCGTCCGTCTGAGGGTAAAGGAGGTATTGATGACCACGTCGTCAATTAGATACGGTGTTCCGGAGGCGAGATTGGAGTATGTGTCGAGTCGGTAGATACGCCACCATAGCGCTCGCCATTCGTGAATATCTTCATCGCTAACCGTGCTCCAGTCGGAGTAGAGTACGCGGATATAGTCAAGTCGGTCCAGGCCAATACGGTAGGCCATGCGCGTCACCCTACCGATACGCAGCCATGAGTGGTGTCCCGGGAATTGATGGAACTCGTAGAAGGCTAGTAGATAGGCTTTACGGAACTGATCAAGTGACGGGGCGTCTCCGATCAGGTCATCGTCTAGCAAGCTTGAGCTAAGGAGAGAGTCCAGCCCGGCATCTAAATGTTTTCCGTCATCATACCCCGCAAATTGGGTCAGTTTTGCAGTAATGATGGCCATCGTCAAGATGAGATCTTGGCTGCATAGCGAGCTGTGATAGCGACGGAGAAACCGTTCTTTCGAGAAGATAGGATTCGCATCCTGGACAATATCGAAGAAGCTTGAAATACTGCACCAGTACCGGTGCTTAGCTTAGCTCTCGGGTAATGGGAAAGGATACCTACAGGTATTCCTCCTGGAGTAAGGAGAAATGCAGGTAGCTCGCACAGGAAGGGCTAGTGCTAGCGTCCTGTGGAGAATCTGCACAGATAGACAGGTCATGCGAGGCATGATCTGTGCGTGTGGGGAAAGAGTCTATCGAAGATCTGCCGATTTCGGGCTCTTGAAGTGTGGCGCTATCTTCGGGTGGTGCTTGACAATATGCATTAGTACTCAGCATCCATTTGAGGAAAACGGGAAGATACCAGAAGTTGTGCATGATTTCGATTGGCGAGTTGTATAATGTGCACCACGAGGAGGACCTGGCCTGCGTTTCACTAATGTATAGTTACATGTCTCTCCAAGCTCAAAGCAACGAGAGCACGTCGGTCGTGCCAGGTTGCCTGCGAAGTTTTAGTAGGCGATTTGGTCTCGGGAATAGCAGCACTAGGCGTACACTTGACCTTCTTTCTGCGCAGAAGTTTAGTGAAAGCACATGATAGAGTAACAGGGGGCGGTGGGTTACCGGATGCACCTATCACAGACCCTCAATGGCATAACTCTGGTCTCCGGACTATGGCGGGCAATCTAGGATGCTCCGTGTAGAAGTTTTGCAGTGCAGCTAGCACTAGGAGGAAAGACGATGAGAAGCTCATGGCGGAAGCAAGGCTTCCATCTGAGTTTGCGAGTATAATTACTCGGCATAACAGGGGGCCAAGGGAACAAGGCTACGTCATTACTAAAGTGGATCCAAAGTTCCTCCGAGTAATAACGAACTATCCGGCAATTTATAGGGCAAGCTGACTAATACAAAACAATCAGCAATTTAGATAATCCACCTCCGAGCTAACTAACTAGTTACTAGGCAGGATGTACTTTAGTAATTTGCATTTGCAAAGAGGTAGTCATATGATAGTCCTTGGGCCGAGGGATCACAGGGTGCGCGAGCTGAGAGATAATCAAGGCCATTTCGAAACTGCCATTGAAATGATGGTAATCAATATGGTTAGCGATTTATCTTGACGCTAGTGCGGCAAATAGGTACTGGTTCTCAGGGGGACCTATTGAAGATCCCCCGAAGAAGTTGTTCCGAGATTCGCGCCCCACCTTCATATCACTCCGCAGAAGGATCCCCAAGAATGTCGAGAATATGCACCTATTACTTGTCTCGCAAAAGGGACAGATTTCACCCTTGGTTGATAAGTCCAACGAAGGCCCTTCCTTGCATAACCAACGAGTAAGAACAATCAAACCATATCACCATGTCCGAACGCGTCTCTGTTATAGTCATCGGCGGCTCCCACGCAGGCCCTGCAATAAGCCAAAAACTGGTCCGACAGACCCCCAGAGCGGCGATAACCCTCATCAATCCTTCGGATGAATACTACTTCAACAATGCCGCTCCCAGGTTCCTCGTCAAGCCCGAAAGCCTGCCACCAAGCAAATATCTCTACCCCATCCCAGAGGCGTTCCGCGAATATCCAGCGGGCGCTTTCACCTTTGTCAAGGGACTGGCGACCAAGATTGATTAATTGACTAAGTCGGTCTCAGTTTTTTTGTCTGCAGACTCGATCTCCACTATTGCTGCTTCGTTTGTTTTCGATTACCTTGTTATTGCGTCTGGCAGTACGACACCTGCGACGCTTGGACAGGCAGGTGTGAGGCTCCCGTTCAAGGCGACTGCGTTTGAAGATACGAGGAAGGCAATATACCGGGGGCATGAAACGCTGAAGACCGCTAAGAGGATCGTTATTGGTGGCGCAGGGCCTCTGGGAGTCGAACTTGCCGGGAACTGGCGGAAGCTGCAGGACCGAAGAAGATTACGTTGGTGTCTCGGTCAAGTGTGCTGCTGGAGGGGGCCCCCGAGCCTGTTCAGGGAACAGCTCTATCGCCTCTACGGCGGAAGGATGTCAACGTCTTGACAGAGACAACAGTTGAAGACGCGGTGTACGAAGCCCAAACCAAACCTGGAAAGTCAAGCTGTCTACTGGGCAGATATGCACTGCTGATGCATATATCGCGACCACGGGTACCATTCCAAATAATCAGTTTATCCCTAAGAGCTGTCTGAATCCCCAGGGTTGGGTAAACGTCGATGAACGGCTCAGAGTCGTGGAAGACAGCGTTAGCCGCACGGAAACTTATGCTGTCGGTGACATTACCTGTCATCCATATCGACTGCTCTCGAGAGTCTCTCTTCAGGGAGAGACCGTGGCATCAAATATAGCGACAGCCATTGAGCGAAGGGCCCGGGTTGCTACGTATTCGGTAGAAGTACAAAAGAAGATGATGGTCGTTCCGGTGGGACAATCAACTGGGACAGGACACCTGGGGGGATGGACGCTCTTTGGATGTCTTGTTTGGTTTTTCAAGGGGAAAGACCTTTTTGACTCACGAGGCACCGAAGTTCTTGCGAGGCCAGATGCGGTGATACTCCTGGATAGTGTTTCAGTGTTGATTTAATTACATAGTGCTCATAAATTCACATAGTGTTTACGTAACTATATCTTCCGATTCTTTAACCACAATATACTAAGCAAAACTACTTCGCCTTGTTATCCCCAAAATCCCTGGGCAACTCAGGACCCCAAACAGATAACGGTCCAACAGGCCCCCTGCGTGTCACATTATCGCGATTCACCATATCTCCATCTGCGTAGTGTTCGATCTTGAACTTTGAACTATCATACCAGTAATCGAAAATCTGACTCCCTAGGATATGTCTCCCAACACCCCAAACGCTCTTCCATCCCTTCTTAGCCAAGTAATGATGACCCATCAACTGCGTATCGAAATCTGCTACCTCAAACGAGGTATGGTGGACGTATGTCTTACCCACGGTCGGTGGAGCCCGCTGTATGAAGAGGGTGTGGTGGTCTGTATACACCTCGCCAAGATCAAGGTGCATGAAGGTCATGACATCCATTTGTGGGAACTGCGGGAGATACAGGATATCCGAGTGCACAAAGTTGAAGTTACTGGTGTAGAACTCCAGCTCCGCCTCAAACTCCTTGCACACGTACCCGTAATGGCCGAGCTTATGCACCAGCGCCGGTCCATCATGATACCGCTGGAATTGTCCTTTCCGCGGTTTATCAAACGGTGTATTAAAGGGACCCTGGGAATCATGTGTCGCTGTCGGGGCCGTCTTCGCCTCGACGTCTTGCTCTGTCTGCCCGTACACAATATGGAAGGACGTCCCATTCGGCCGTTCAAACGTAACCATATCCCCGCCCCCCGGTGCATCATCTAGTGTCTTGTGAACTGCCCCCGGCATCGCGGCAGCTTTGGTGAAGTTCTCCTCGTCCTTCGCAATAAAGGCTGCGCCTAGGAACTGGGATCTCCGCGTTGCGCTTTGAGACGCGACGTAGACGTAGGGGTCCCTTCCATACCCACGATAGTAAATTGTCTTCCCCTTCCGCGCGGCCTCGACGAAGCCGAAGTCTGTGGCGAACTTGGTGAAGGCTTCGAGATCGGAATGCTCGAAGTAGACGTGGGCGATGCGGCTTAATTGAACTTTTGCGGGGGAGTTCTCGACGATGGGGATACTGGAGGGTGGGAGGATCCAAGTTTGCCATTTTGAGGGAAGGAGGGCGATTACATCGAGGAGCCAGAGTGACATTCTCTTGCGTTTCTTTTTCCCAGGGGGATATGAGTGTGTGCGTGCGAGTGACTAAACCAGTCTGTATGGGATAAGGAGAAATAAAGTACGCGGTGACAGCACAGCATCTCCCTTCTCCATATGATCTTTTATACGGGGCGTTATCCTAAAAAACCGCTTCATCTTGCGACGACTGTAGCTCCATGGCTTGTAGGGTTATGGTGGATCTGAAGTGCCGCCGCGGAGGGATACATAATGGCCCACCTTCTGGTGGCATAAACGTCCCAAGACCGGGTACAAGTTGACCGATAGCGCTAATCATGCCCCTTCGAATACAAATCTGCGGTGGTGTGGCGATTGTTCGGACCCACATCAGCAAAGATACTCCTCGGAGGAACTTTTGAGCCACGAGCCAGAAGAACTACAACACTAATTGGTTCACATAAAGCGACGGCATTGCATGATATGGAGCCTTCATTACCTGATCAAGTTGAATAAAAAATCTATCATACTCAGCTTGTAAGTGCTGTCCTCTTCGGAAGACGATACTTCACCAGTCGCTATTCCTTATTCGCACCCAGAACAATGAGTCCATTTCAATACCTCTGTCATTTCCAGACGGAAAATGGCGATAAGTTCTTCGCGAAGTGCGCCTCGACTATGCCTGTCATCGGAGCGTTGGTGGACGCATATCCAACGTACGAGGACTTGGAGCAGGGCCAAAATGCGACCACGGCCACGATAGCCAAGGTAGGCTTTCAGTTCAATGACGTGTAAACTGCACGGCTGACTGAACAATGCATAGCTTCTCTCACCTCTACCGCAAACAAATACCACAATTTATTGCGTCGGGCTCAATTACAGGAGCCACGCGAAAGAAGCAAATGTGAGCAACTTACCGCGATGAGTAGGTAGAAACATTACGTCTAACGGCTAGCAGCTCAATGTCCCCGCCAACCCACCCGTATGGACTAAGCCACCAGCGGCTCTAGCGTCGCCAAACGAAACCATTCCCATCAGTCGCTTCTGCGCCTCGAATCTTCCAGACTGGGAGGTGAGCCTGTCCGCACCAACCACCTAACGGAGCCGTCGTTAACAGAGGCCAGGGCGAGCTCGTCTTCGTCACCTCGCGCAAGTGTCGCAACGTCACACCCGAGGAAGCCTCCAAGTATATCCTCGGTTACACAATTGGAAATGACCTTTCGTGCCGCTTCTTCCAGCTCCCTGAGCAGTCCGGCGGCCAGTTTTTCTACGCGAAGGCGTTTGACAAGTTCGCCCCGATCGGGCCGGTCCTTGTGAGCCCTAGTGTTTTTGCCAAGGAGAGGTCATCGGCTAGCCTTGTTACCCGGATCAATGGAAAAGTGATGCAGGACACGGTGATTGAAAAGGATATGATCTTTCCGCCGGAGAGGGTTCTCAGTTGGATGAGTCAGAGTATGTTCACTCTCCTCATTCTTCCTTTGGCATCCTGTAACATATCTCTGACACGCATCCAGGCACGACCATCCCGGCGTATACGGTAGTCATGACAGGAACCCCAGCGGGGGTAGGGGTATTTCAGAAGCCGCGGCAGCTACTGAAAGATGGGGACCAGATCGAGGTTGAGATTTCGGGACTGGGGACGCTGAAGAATGTGGCGAGGTTTGAGGAGGGGCAGGATTCTATCATGTGAGAATACACCTGGACTATACCATGATATGAGAACAGCGGTCGCTGGCTGTGTACTGTACCAGAATTAAGTACTGATTTGGATTGTGTTGTTCTGGTTGACAGGAAACTTGTTTGGACGCTTATAAAAGCAAAGCTTTGGTATAGGTTTAGTCTGTGGGTAATATGAACACAGTGTTTGGGCTATAGATCGTTGGTGTGCTGGCGTTGACGGTCAACTCTCGCTTAGTCCATACATTTTTGCTCCCATATCTGCTTAGATATTCAGGACCTAGCAATCACATTGCACGATTTAGTTGCTCTTCCAAGATGCCCACCCCTAGGCGTGCTAGGAAAGAGAAAGAGTCTCAATAAATTTGAATGTTCGCGCTCGTTCCAGAATGGATGGAAGCTCTTCTTTAATCATGGCGATATTATTTCTGCTCCGAAAGCCAGGAAAAGAAAACAGAGAACTCCATAGAAGAGACTAGAAGCATTTCTACTATGGTTGAATTGTTTGATATGGTGTGCCGTTCAGGGAAAACGTATTCGAGTTCGGGGTAGGTTACTCCCAGTCCTCATCGGTAGAGCACCGTATATTTGTACATGAGGCTCTCTAAGTAGCCATTTAATCTTGTCTATCGAGACTTTGAGTATTAGTTACGTTACGGAGATAGTCCTTTCTAGCCGTCACTCGAGTATCGGGTACCAAAGTTTTACGAAGTTTAGTCATTTTTTAACTATTAGGTTCGTGCCTTTAATAAAGGTGTATGAAGGGCATTTAGGCTGTCTTCATTGCACCGGCCAGAGATTGTATCTCCGCTATAAGCTCTGTCTTCTCTTGTTTTAGTTCTTGGAGTTCCGGGTATTAGCAAATATCACGCTCAAACGTATCCGTAAGCTTAGACGGCGCTAATAGGTCTATCTTCAAGCTTATACTACTAGCGGCACGTAATAACCTTCCTAGGCCAGTCGAAGGAGAATGTTATAAACTATACGTTAAGATAGATCTACTTGCAGAGCAGAAGTCCTGTTAGCCGGGTAAGCAAGAACGTAACAAGTCCAATTGTGGCAAGACTGGTTTTGAGGAACCCTCAAGGACCAAAATGAAACATTATATGGAACATAGTCCATTCGGAGAACCTTCGAGTCCAAAGTGGGTTACAGATTTGCATCGCCTATCAAACGAGATTATCTACTCAAGAAACCCAATCTATCTTCTCCGGCAGCAACCCCTCGACCACGCCGAGTGTTGATGAACTGCTTCCCTGACAACATCTGTCTGTTTCGCCGTCGAAGGTCAAGCTCACTCTGCTATCACTCCCGACTCAAAAACATATACACTGGTATAATAATTTCGATAGGCATGTCGCACAGTGGATGAAGGATATCTTTTCGGCTGGAGCCGATCTTGGGTAGACCTTTTTGTCCATAGCGACTGGGATGTCGGTCCACTTGCGAAGTCGGCCAGACCGTAACCGGAAACCGTCCAAACATTTTGGACGTTCTACATGACAGGTCGCACAGCGATTTCAATTTTGGGAGGAGGTGCATCCTGCCCAGGCGTCAGGTCAACGTACTGCCAATTAAACCCTTCTTCAACGATGGAAATGAGGACCTGGCCTATCATTTGAATGGCAGTGTAAACTGTTGTACATGCACGATCAGAACATGAATCAAATGTAAGCCCGGATCGCCATGTCAATTAGGCATTTCTTGCTAACTTTGCTTTATTCCGATTGTCATCCACCTTCGGTAAGCATAGTGTCTCCGATCAGGTCCCAATGTTTATATCGAAACATAAAGTCATGAGCCACTTCTTCAAATCGCGAGACGAGAGTGTGGAGATCACCCGCGAAACTTCTCCGAAGCCAGTTCTTCTCTTTCGCATGGCCTAGCAGATGACCATTTTCATTACTATGCAACCATTCTGGAGGCTATTCACCTCTGTTGATATCGAAAGGTACAAAATTTCAGATGCTATGTCACTCGTTTTGCAGTCAATCACATCGGCTGCCGCGTCAATGATTCGGCTCGTCCAGAAATATTGCGGTTATACGGCTTCAGGCATGCCAACCCACTTCTGATCCACCGCATCCAGAGTGTCTCAATCATCCATTTGATTATACGACAACCACATCCTCGGCATTCCGCGGGAAAAGCACTCATTCTGTGAGAGCTTTCTTGAATTTGTTGCAGGGGCCTGGTACATATTGGTCCACGCGCTCAGTAAAGAGCATTGATACGATCAAGGCTCTTGCTCGTCGGTAGAATGTGGAATTCATTTTGCAAGAGGTCACTTGCTTTGAAGTTGCTCAGGATTCAGGAGACGAGACATGTGGAATCTCATACCTTGGAGCCCGTCATGAGAGGCCCGTCATTACCCAACGCGACCTACCAGCAACCAAACGATCAGTTCGGTGTCTCTTTCGGGGTTTACAATATTAAACACTTTGATCTAGTCAACATGCACTAGTTTGGTATCACGATGTGAATATCCCTGGGCCCAAGGATGATTTGTTTGGGCTATCACAATTTCTGCTTTTAACAGTGTTTGCATGGAGTGAGCTAAACAGAGTGCAGCTTGTTGAACGTTGTATTCGTAGCTATCTGGCTAACTGAGGAAGAAGGAAAGGAAGAAGGTGTGTGTGACGGAGGTATGGTGTAGCCCGTCACCGCCCAGGTCTCGTGATTTCAAGTAAACAGTTTCGAAATGCTGTGGAAATACCATGGGGCTTTATGGGCTCAGTTTATTGATAATACATGAACGAAAAGGTATCACTGAACATTTCCGAGCAATACTTCATACCGAATTCAAGAGAGTTCTATCGACAGCAGTCTCTCCCGGCTCCACTATCTCTTCCGCGTGGATCATCTTCTTCACACGGTTGCAGACGTTCAAAGACATTAGGTCTGGGCGACTGTAGTGACCGGTTGCGTCTGCAAAAAGCCTGGTTGCCACAATAAAATCCATATCCAGGTCAGCATAGATGATCTTTTCCGTTGTGCTTTCTACCGGGTCGGTCAATCTTCTTCCGTCCGGGCCAAAGACAGTCGAGTTGCCCCCACCAGGCGACGACATGAGTGCGCCGCCGGATGTATTCATCAGATCGACACCGTCCTGGCTAAGGACTGCAGTGCAGTGCAGAACAAAGCTCTGAGACTCGATCGCATATGTCTGAGAAAGCGCTTGGCAGCCTGTATTGAAGGTTAACACCGCTGACAAGTACCGACAGAGAGACCCATCTAACCTTCTGCCGACATGGACCACAAATCCTGTCCTCCGGTGTGAGGAAATAGATTAGGCCAGGCAGAGACATGGATATCCTCTTGTTGTGAGAGAGTGTGGTATTTAAGCAGGGGCTGGATATGTTCCCAGCAAGACAAAGAACCAACACGCGCAAATGACAGATCAGCAACGCTCGAGAAACATTCGCCCGATGCATCGCCGAAAATTGTACGTTCCATGTGAGTCGGTTTCATTTTGCGACGATGAATCTTAATCTCTCCGTCGGTGCCAATCACCATTTGAGCAATGTAGACGGAGTCGTTACTATTCTCGGAGAATCCTAGAGACACTCCGATCGCATTCGCCTTGGCACATGCCTGGATCTTCTTCATCTCCGGAGAGTTTAAGCGTAGAGAATTCTTTACATAAGCAATGTTCAGCTCAACATCCAAGTGCCGAGTCCTGTCCGAGATACCAGTTTGTGTTAGCAAAGAAAACGCCGGCCTGACCTTAGTACCTCTATCGTCTGCCTAGAACTCACCAGATCCAGCAGGGATACCCAGGAATCCAGCACTCAGGGAAGGCTATCAGCTTTGCATTGTTTTTCGCGGCCTCTTCAATCAACTCGCATGTCTTGGTGACGCCAGTCTCAAGATCCAACCAAGCCGGCTCAGCTTGGGTGACGGCGACACGGACGTTACTAGCGGGCATAGCTTTGAAATACTAAGTCGCTGCACTGCGGATGAAAAATTTCGATGATGACCCTATCATGCATGATGATGGTCGTCTCTTTATACTATCCACTTTTACCCCGCCCGTGAAACGCCGCGTACTTTTGTCAGCAGTCGAAATTGATAACACGCGGAACTGGTCCGCATCCGAGAGGTTAATCAGTGAATGTTATCTTTCTGCAGGAGGCGATACTGAAGAGACCTCATCATCTGGGGTCGAACTCTATACCTGGTGTTCTAGCATAGAGTCAGCATGAGGTAGCTGTGGGACTATCACATCCGCAGCGATCCCCCTGTGTGGAGATATTCTGATATTCAATTACCTCGTCCGGGTATCTCGATCCGGGGTTGGCAGGCGACGATAGCTATCCTCATTTTTTCGAATGGATATTGTTTTGTCATGGGGCGTGGTAGACGCGGAAGTTGAAATTCCGGGCGTGGTAAACGCGGAAGTTGAAATTCCGCATGTTGCACTACCGATGACGAGACCCAGGCTAAGACATCAGTATGCCAACCGCATAAGACATAAGGTGCGAGCTCGACCACTCGCCGCCTGCGTCCATGGCACGCGGGAAATTCTAGAATACCAAAATAACACCCTAGAAAAGTGCAGGCATAGGCAGACTTCTCTCGTATCTACATTTCCCCATCATTGGCACATAAATGACAAGATATAGAATGTCCATTCTGCATGATGTTGGGTATTTAAAGCACACATCTCGCAACAAAAATCACCAACCTCTCGCGAGCCAGGCATCAAAAAATGATCGATGAGTGATCAACCCTTCAACCATTCAAGCGTCCGCTGAACCATCCTTTTCCTCTTCCGTGTGTTTCTTGGCCAACTTTCGTCTTCGAAGATCTTTGAGTAGAAAGATAAGGGCGAGAACAGTGCCGAAGGCTGTCAACCCGACAGAAAACCAGAGAGTACTCCGGTAACCATGAAGCAAGTCTGCCTCGGTGTGTCCGCCATTGTTGATCTTAAGTTCAATGGTACCAGCGAAACCAAGACCTAGCGATATACTGTAGACAACAATCGTCATGATCACACTGGATCCCATACCCTGGTACTGTCGAGGCACTGCGTTCGAGAAGATGATCGTGGCAGCAGGCAACGATGAATCCATTGCAAAGGTGGCGATGATGGTGGCGAAAAAGAAGTAGGTCCAGTATGTCGAGTGTACGGGTCGCAAGGCCATGAGAAGGGAAGTGATGAAGTAGCAAAGCATTGCAAACAACATGATGGACGAGGCTGGAACCTTAGTGATTATTTTGCCAACGACCAATGCTGTTCCTATGCCGGTGATGAGGATAGGAGAAAGCCATGCAGCCAGTTGAATGGGAGTTTGGCCACCGATATTGAGGCTTATTCGGATGACGTAGAAAAGCTAGACACATCGTTAGTTTGACATAATTTTGGGGCAAAGATCAATACGTACCCAGATGCCAAATGTGGACCAACCCGCTGCTGTACAACCAAAGACGAAGGCGATGTCGGAAGTGAGGACGGCGACAGGTAGGATTGGATAGCGAGCTAGGCGAAGTTCGATGTAAAAGAACGCCGCTAGGAACAAGACACTGAGGATCAGGCATACGTAGACGTAAGGTTCGTCCCACGTAGTGACCAGGCTCTGATTCCAGGCGAAGTTGAATAGAACCAGAGCTATCACACCGTTTGCACCTCCCAGAAGATCAAGGCGGTCTAAAATTTCGCGAATCGTTCGTCGCTGTTTTTGCTCACCATCGACAGGCATGTTTGGAATTGCAACGATAGAGAGAACGAAGAGAAAGGCAACCCCCAAAGCTTGACTCCAGTAGATCCATGGCCACCAAGCCATGGCGAAGAGGGGCCCAAAGAGGAGACCTGCCATCGCACCGACTGGGGCTGATGCAGCAAACCATGCAAACCCCATGTTTCGATTGCCCCCGGAGAAGCATTTTCCCATGATGGCGAGAGCATTAGGCACAGTTAAGGCGGGACCAAGGCCCTGCAGAACACGAGCAAGGATGTAGACTGGGTAGCTGGAATAGACAGAGACTCCTGCCATCATGCTGGTCAAAGCAAGCCAGCCCATACCGATGATGAAGATTGCCTTATTGCCAAACTCGTCACCCAAACGTCCTCCCATCAAGACAAATGTGCCTAGAGTCAAGCCATAGCCAGAGATTGTCCACGAGAGTTTACCAGGGTCGGTGACACCAAAGGAATCTCCGATTATTTCGAGCGTCGTGAGGCTGTTGCATAGGCCCAACTGATTGGTGAACATGGATGAACACACCGTCATGATGAAGATGATCCGCCGAATTAAGGAGTAGCCATCGGCAATGTAGACGTATTCATCTTTCGCAGTCTGTGTAGAACCTATACCTGGATCTGTATGAGTTAGTCAATGCGTTCAAAAGGCCTCCAGCTTTTGCAGGAAAACTTTGAGAGTTACTTACCATCACCATGCCTCGATGGTGGAATTTTGGAATCATGCAATGCAGTTTCCTGCTCTTCTAGAGATGAGGTGGTCATTGTGAATAGAATTGAATGTTACTTGACTGTAGTGACGGCGAAGAGGAGATTTGCGAAGAAAATAAAGAAAATTAAATTTATGGAAGATAAAGATAGTGAACTAAAGAGGTAAAGAGGAGGGCGCCGCTAAGCTCTTTGTCTAAAAGCGCAATGCGGTCTCCTTTGATGCTGTCTGGATGTCGATTTGTCAGAATCCATTTCTGGAGCAATAACACCGTCTGCAGTACTTGGGCAAAAGTCTCCGTTGTCCCGCTCCCCGACTACCTTACATAAACCACCCGTACTACGGCTGTCCATAGCCGCCAGCTGGCAATAATTTTGTAATTCAATTTTTGACCGGTACTTCATATTATTGGTCGGAAGGCAACAAGATTAGACCTGATTGGTACTAGACTAGATATCTCGACTAATGGTAGATGCTGATCTGCAGGGAACCCCAGGGCCATCACCCACTCACTTTTTGTATACAAAAAGGTAGTACTGAGAAGTTAGTAGCCATCACCCACTTACTTTTTATATGTAAAAAAGTAGTACTCGGTAACTATTACCTACTCACTTTTTGTTCACAAAAAGGTACTGCTCAGTAACCACCATCCCCTCGCTTTTTGTCTGTAAAAAAGCAATGCTCAGTAGTGCTTGATGACCATCACATGCTTACTTTTTGTATACAAAAAAGTAGCACTTGGTAACTATTATCCATACGTGCTTAGTCGTCATTGCCCGCTTACTTTTTGTATACAAAAAGCAGTGTATTACGTAGCTTGTTAATGAGCACCCTTTCGAGCGCGACCGCACTTGTAAATAAAAAAGTCGAGGCGATCACCTAGACGGCGAGGTGGGCAGTGGATGAATTACTAATTATTGCATTCCCCATTATGGCGGTTGGGATCTTGTTTGACGGTAATTTGAACGGTTGACGCGGGAATTCGAAGTTGCGCGCTATCTCCGCGAATTTGAAAACTTCCCTATACAGGGCAATAATTCGATCTCGCGGTGGTTGAAAAGAGTCAAAAACTGCGTCGCGTCGCGTCGCGGGGAATGCTAAGGAAACTTACCTCTTGGCACTGTACGGAGTATATTGAAACTGTATTGTTTGGCATACTTGGAGACACATTAACAGTACACTTGAACGATATCTCTTGTTTACGAAGACTGCAACGAGCACCGACAAAAAGCCACAAGAATCGAGGAATTATGACGCAATGCGGGTTTGAAATCGAATCGAAGAAAATGTGTCTCTATGAAGGATGCGATTGAATATTGTGGTCACCGCTACGAAAACGGATGGAGCCACCCGCTAAACGATCTCCGAACGGCCCGAGCCTTGGAACAAAACGGAACTGCGCAGGTTTTTAGGACACGTCAAACGTTTCCGAGATTACATACCATCCCTTGCGCATTTCGCAGAACCACTTTATGATGCTGCGTCGAAAAAATGGGAAATGGGGGCCACGTCAGCGACTTTCCTTTGAAACGGTGCGAAGGCTTGAAAACGACATGATCAGCAATGCAGCCTTTGATGTGACCAAACGATGCATCGTGGTACACTGTCTGGCCAGTATATTGGATCCCCTGCGGTTAAGACCGCAAATGTGGCTTTGTATTGCAGATACCCAGGTATGCAAATTGCCAAGGAAATTCTCGGCTGCTACGAACAATTGGCTGTTTAACACTGTTACTAATTACCATAGATTACAATAACCTGCACTAATGCACGCTAAAACGGATCTGGCAATTCCGTGAGGTTAGGAATTGATTTCCGTTACGACACGACAAATCACAACAAAAATAAGCACTAACCGTGTCGGGAACACGTAACCGCATTTTCGCTATTATCCGTGCCTTTCTGCCCACCCAAACCGCTACCCGCTTTGGGTGCGCCACGCATTCTTCGTAATAACAGTTTCTTCGTAAATTTTCGAATCTCCTATTCAATCACCTATCCAAGCCACCCAACATGCCTAAATCTCCTAATTTTGATGAATCCCGCATGGCCGAAGCCTTCGCAGCCGCCATGGCCGAAAAAAAACCAAATCTCTCGAGGATTGCGCGTGAATTCAGCGTGTCCTATACCACCCTTACCAGTCGCGTCAAAAAGGCCAAATCGCCAATTACCCCTACCAAATCGCATAAGAATGCTTTACAGCCAGACCAGGAGAAGGCCTTGACCAATTGGATAGTAAAAATGTATTCGTGGAACCTACCTCCCACTGCAGGGCTTATACAAGCGTGGGCAAATCGCGCACTGCAGCGGGCGGGCCACGATAGACAGGTTAGCAAGATGTGGGCGTATCGCTTCGAAGCACGTCTACCAAAGCACCTAAATCTAGCCCCAGTGAAGCAGAAGACCAAGGAACTGAAGCGAATCCAAGCCGAGGACGCAGGCCTTCTTCAGCACTGGTACGACCTGCTTGAAAAACAGCTCCATGACGTCCCCGCCCGGCTAGTATACAACTTCGATGAATGTGGTTTTCAACCCGGTCAAGGACGCGCCCGAAACGTTATTGGGGTTAAATCATCTTGCCCTGACCTGCCAGAAGGAGAGAGAGGCGAAAATATCACTGCGGTCGAGTGTATTGCTGCTGATGGTTGGCTTATGGACCCGCTCTTTATATTCAAAGGTTCCGGCAAAAACTTCATGGAGGCCTGGTACTACGGCAGCGAAGACCTACCTGCGAATACGGCTATGTCTCCAAACGGCTGGATTTCTGATGAACTAGCCCTAGCCTGGCTAAGCTGCTTTATCAAGGCCACGGCTACTGCAGATCGTCTTAAGCGTGGCGAAAAGCGCTATCTTATATTCGATGGTCATGGTGCGCATCTTACCCTCGAATTTCTACAGAGATGCGAGGATCACCATATTATACCATTCGCATTTCTACCGCATTCAACGCATTTAGTGCAACCGCTCGATAACAAGCCTTTTCTTGCGTATAAGCAAAAATATAAGGCGCTAAACAACAGCATTGTGCGGTATGGTGGTGATGCTTCGGATAAACGCGATTTCTTTCGAAATATCGCATTAACTCGCAAAGAAGCCTTTACACCAAGCATTATTCGATCGGTATTTCGAAATTGTGGTATTTGGCCATTCAATCCAAGGGTTATTCTCGATAAACTCGAGGCTAAAGAGCCACAATACCCTGATCTTGAAGTGCTTGGAGACAACACCGGATGGTTTGATAAGACCACTCCTCCACCAATTTCCTCACCAATTGACGGACCTACAACTCCTCGAACAGTTCAGCGAAGCACAGAGAAGCTCAAAAAACGCCTTGCTACCGAAAACCTAATTCCTGGAGATCTCCAGCGTATGGTTGAGCGGCTAGCCGAACGATGTAGTACAGCATCAAATCTTGTGGAGGCACTTCAACACGACCTTGCTCTCGCTACAGCTATCAAGAAGCATCGAGAAAAGCCTCGATCGAAACGCCAGCTATCAGATAATGGTATGCTACGTTCTCGTGAAGCCAAACGCAGTATTCAGGATAGGAGGGCTCGAGAAAAGCTCGCTGCCGACCGGAAGGCCGACCGGGCGGCCAAAAAGATGGAGAAATCACTGCCCAGCCAACAGCGAAATCAAGATATCTGGGTATCAGGAGAAACAGGCGATGCTGAGGATTCGAATGATGCTACTTTTGTAAATAGTTTCGTTGAGGATTTTGAGTAAATATCTGAATAGCATCAAGAATTTGCATTGGGGGCTGGATTTGCATTGGGGGTTGGAACACGTAATAGCGAAAGCGGTTACGTGTTCCCGACACGGTTAATCGTCTAATACATTGTCATTTGGGAATTACCATCTGCAGAAGGTGGGCAAGCATTGGTATCGACGCCATATCTCAGGGATGTCATGATAGTACGCATGTTGCGATGAAATGAAACGGCATAGAGGGGCGTCTCAATCCCTTGTCGAGAAGAACCGCTCGCGTATTTGACGGACCGCGCTAGCTGTGTCTACATTAGGGTTAGTGTTGTCCTTTCGCGGCAAATGACGGTCATATTGTGGATGACTAAGGTAGGCGGCCAGCGCTATCTGAGGTATTTCCGTATTGGCCTCCGGGAAGGTAGCCCCGGGATTCCTACTATCTCCATCGACACACCATGTTAACACCGACTCAGGTTCATCACATTTCATCGTTGTTTCGTCAAGTCTTCATCCTTCCTGTATTTTAAGGTTGCTTTGCCTTACAGAACGCCTTCACGAGTGGCTCTACGTCACATTTCTTCCCCTACTACTGCTTCCAACCGCGAAAATGCAGTCTTCGGGTCTCTTCCCCACAGTGCTTCCTTCACCACCGGACTCTCCTCGCAAAAGGCGTCGGCTTCTTCGAGAGTCTGAGGATAACGAGGGAGAGATGACTCTAGAGGCGTATCTTGTTCGATCCGATCCTTATCGATCAAACACTCAAGCAAATCCTTGGCCACTGCCGCTAGATGGGGAACACGCCCCGCAAATCGAACACCAAATCCTGGATTTGAGTGATGTGATCCAACAAATTCTCTCCTCCCACGGCTTCCCTGAGAATCTTCCGCTTCGTGTGTGCACTGTCCGTAAGCCAGAATACCCAGGCGGCAACGTGCCTATCAATATGCTCCGTGTTATTCTAACACAAGACGACTACACACCAATCAGCTTTGGTCCTGCTAAGGACGCTATTCGGACATTACTTCGCGACAGGCAGATCTTCGACGTACATGTCGAGATCATCAATATTGACTTATGCTTTAATCCCTCGCTCTTCACTATCTCAGAAGATGACCCGATCGTCGCCGCCTTCGTGAGCACCGAGGAACAGATCATCGCCATTCTACATCGCGGCCTACGGTCGAAATGGAGAGTACTCTGCCCCTTCAATGTTGGCCGTTCTCGACGAGAAGCTTGTCCGACAATCGTTGTCTACGTTGACCCCTGCACCTCAGCAAACTGGCTGGGATTGGGTTCAGAGATCAAATCTGCAATCAGTCAATATGGGGTGGATCACGACGTTGACGTTGAGTTTCTTCCTGGACGCCTGTCATTTCTCCAGAATAGAGGGGTCTCTCTCGCTAACAGGATTGATGCGAATGGAAGGCTGGCAATGGGCCACTCTATCGGGATACATACTGAGCAAAACGCGGGTACGCTGGGCGGCTATTTCACCTTGGAGCAGAATGGCAAGGTGCACAAAGGTTTCCTCACTGCCTACCATGTTGTCAGACCTTCAGATTCACCGTCGGGTGGGAATACATCGTTCCTCGCGGATTTGGATCGTTCCGGCTGTTCCTTCGAAACCCCTCCGGCAGAAGATATCCAGGTAAGCGGCGTTGCAAGGATTGATCGAGACGAAAGCCTGAAAAATATCGAGCGCCATGTGGCGGCCCTGAAGGGGCGAGTCGAAGCATTGAGCAATAGATTAGCTGAACGCGAAATGCTTGGAAAAGAGCCCCTGCCAGCTCAGCAACAGATGTTGAGCCAGGCTGCAGAGTTGATCTCCGAGCTTAACAGCAAGCATGATCTCTTTGAGAGAATGCCTCAAGTTATGGGGAAAGTTGTTGCAGCTTCTGGCAAAGCTGTTCTCGGACGAAGGATAATGGACTGGGCATTTGTGGAGTTGACAGAGGAAGCGGCAGATAAGTTCTTCGGTCCTAACGTAATGCCGGCTTTGCCCAGTGAATCTCAGTCTTCGCTCGATCTCGATGATCACAATTTTGCTCTCCCATATCCTGAAGGGGAGCCATTGAGAGAGTTCGGCAAATTGGAGAAGGGCAAATACTATTTGAAGCTAGGCCGTACCACTGGGCTGACTATGGGCCAATGCAACGGCGCTTTGGCTCGCTGCAGATGGTCAAGTGGAGTTCAAACCCGTTATGACCCCAACAGCACGCCGGTCACATTATCGGATAACTATACACAAGAGTTCGTGATCTTAAGCGTGCGCCCAGATGGATCGGCTGCTATACAGGATGACTTTGTATTGGAGGGAGACTCCGGGTCTTTAGTCCTTGACGTGGATGGAAAGGTGTGCGGGGTTCTTTATGGCGGCATCTGGGCAATCGACGGCGCGTCCGCTTATTCAGGCTTGGTGGTGGACATGACCGAGCTTGTCAGCTCAATCAAAATGAAGACCAAGATAGACTGCATGCCTCCAGCGGAACTGAGTCTACCGCAGAGGCACTGAACTTTGTGCTACGTTTGCTGATTCCTTATCCTTGCTGGAAGGACTCATTTTGTGTATTAATACAGGGTGTAGGATACGGATAATTATTTCTAAACACTGTACTAGCCTTACCAAACCTTCATCACAATTCGATTCTCGAGCAATAAATTCAGTCCGGCAGGATCATAGAACAATGTGTGAAGAATTCAGTGATACTCCATGGCGTGAAACTAGAGTATCCATAGAAAACCGCAATACAGATCATCTAAAAAAAAGCGATGTACGCAGACTAGATAGGAACATGCCTTTTTAGGGGAGGCTGGAGTGATCTAATCCCTATCGTCAGCATGCTTTGTAAAATCGAATATAGGTGCCAGATATGACGACAAAGTTGATAACTGCGGCTCCGCTCAACACATCGTAAGCCAGGTCAGAACGGTAGCCAAAGCTGTAAGACAACTGCAAAAATGAAAGTAACGAAAATGCTATAGGAACGGTGATGCAGTATATCGGTACCCCCTTTTTGTGTATTTACGGAGAAATCTTGAGGCTTTCCCGTTAACGGTAAATCCATACAGGCTTCGCGAGGAGGCATAAACATATGTGTTGCCTGCTGAGAAGATAGAAGTAATCAAAAGCGCATTGACGACGTGAGGTAGCACACTCACACTAAGGTTATCCATGACAATAACGAATTCTTGTAGCATGTGTATATGATGGTTGTATTTTATGTGGATCTGTGGGTCTCGGACCCCGTTATATAGTGTAGTGGGGAGAACCTCCCCCTCTACTACATGGGTGCCGGCTATGTGACATAGCCGGCAGTATACGGTGGCCGGATAGCTAGTTCTACAATACGCCTTCTTACACCTCCCCGACCTGACCCCTACATTTGGGGTCCTCGCTATTTCCTGATTGCTACGCGTGTGTTTTGTGGTGGTTAGTCCAGGTTCCTTAGTGATGATCACGTAGAGATGGTTAGTTATGGTGGTCTTCCATAAACCCTCTGTCCAGTTTGCTAGAGAGTCCAAGTTGATTACGTCTTGTGTGCAGATGCCAAGACACTGAGTGTTTCAAGTAAAATGTTGCAGTCCAATGATCGCACGCTGGGCTGGGATCACGTGCATGCCTATATATCTGTTCACCAGTCTACCTGTATCTTACACAATAAACTCCCCTAAACAACATGAACACTGAAGCATCACTTATAAATCAACAGGACCCAAAACCCACTTTGGGTTGGGTTGGGTTGGGTTGGGTCCGGGTTAGAATGGGTTGTGCCGAAGTCTACTTATGTCAGCGAAACAGAAGGCTACGCAGGAATGAAGATGATACAGAAACTGTATGTATTTGACTCTGGAGGGAAAAAGAGAGAGAGAGGAAGCTAAGCTGACTGACTACTGGAAGTCCTGGGACCCGGAGTCACGTGATCTCCAGCACCTTAGGTCTAGGTCTCCCTTTACTCTTCGATTTATAGGAGCGTCTCCGATTCGCTACTAATTTAGGTAGGATATTTAGGCGCTTCGGTATTGTTTCGCGAGCTGCTACGTGTAGTTAGGGGAGCTAATATATCTTAGGCAGTTAAAGATAAAGAATTAGAATTGTAAGAATATATAGTCTATAGGTGTATAGCCTATCAACCGGGTAAGATATAATAGCTCTAGGAGGGGATCAATATATTATCTCTATATAGTATATACTAAGACTAATTCTTATCAGAATTTAGGGGGGTCTAGGGGCCTCTAGGATTATAGAGTAGATAGTGGGGCCACGAAATAGGGCCGATCATATAACGAACCCCGCTCGCTTCGGCCACACCGCATATCTGATATACCTATATCAGTTGTCCCCGTTTCACAGTTAAAAGGATCTTTTATCCTTTACATTTAACTTAAGATAATCTCTATAATTAGCTAGATTTACTAGGCTAATTAAGGGCCGCCCTTATCTAGCCCTCAATCCGCCCTCGGAATATACGGGCCACCTTTAACCCGCCCTTAAAAATTAGTATTTAGATAAGAAGTATACACTCTAGGTCTAGCTATAGTTATAAACATATATTTCTATAACTCTATTATCTAAAATTGACAACTTTTATAATTGATAACGTATTTCACAAGCGAGTGACGCACACAAGCGAGTGACGCACCCCACCAAAAACGCGTCAATTAATTTAAACCCTCTCTCTTTAACCACCCACCATGCCACCAATTCGTTCTCAATCCTCTAGAAATTCAACTGAACAAGAGGGTAGGATTTTATTAGCTATCCAGGCTTTTAAGAACCAAGAAATCTCTTCAATTCGCGAAGCGGCGCGCCGTTTTAATACGCCTGAGGCCACCCTCCGCCGCCGCCTCCGTTGTGTTCAAAACCGCGCGATTTCTCGCGCTAATAATCATAAATTGACTGAAACTGAGGAGGAATCTCTTCAAAAATGGATACTCTCTATGGATTCTCGCGGATCAGCTCCCCGGCCCTCGACTGTACGAGAAATGGCGAACCTTCTTCTTGAAAAGCGCGGAACTACCCCGGTTCTTTCGGTCGGCGAAAACTGGGTGACGAACTATGTTAAACGGCATCCTCTTCTATCCTCCCAGTTTTCGAAACGGTATAACTACGAGCGTGCGAAATGAGAGGATCCGAAGATTATTATAGAGTGGTTTAATCTTGTTCAAAAAATGATCCTACAATTTGGGATCGACCCGGACGACGTTTATAACTTTGATAAGACCGGTTTTACTATAGGCTTAACGGCAACTGCGAAGGTTATAACGAGAAGTGAATACTACGGTCGGCGAGCACTTTTACAGCCTGGAAATCGAGAATAGGTGACTGTTATTGAGTGTACGAATGCTGCTGGCTAGGCCCTCCCGCCGTGTATGATTTTTAAAGGCAAAGTCTTTATTGAATCCTAGTTTAACGGCCTCCCGGAGGACTGGCGATTTAAGGTTAGTCCTAATAGATGGACCTCTGATAAAATTGGACTTCGCTGGCTTAAAAAGCTCTTTATTCCTACTACTTCTTCGCGTACGAAGGGGGGGTATCGGCTTTTGATACTCGACGGCCACGGAAGTCATTTAACCCCGAAGTTCGATGAAATCTGTGAGGAAAATAAGATTATACCGATCTGTATGCCTCCGCACTCCTCTCACCTTTTACAGCCTCTGGATATAGGCTGTTTTGCGGTGTTAAAACGTGCGTATGGTCGGCTGGTTGAATCAAAAATGCGGGTCGGGATAAATCATATTGATAAACTTGATTTCCTCGAAGTATACCCCCTCGCACGAATTAAAGCTTTCAAATCGGAGACTATTAAAAATAGCTTCGGAGCAGCCGGCTTATTCCCTTTCTCACCGGAGAGAGTGATTTCGAAGCTTGATATTCGGCTTCGAACCCCTACCCCCCAGCCAGCCGGGGTAGTGAATCAAGCCGGAATTTCACCCCAAAAACCCCCTTTACAGAGAAAGAACTACGTCGACAGGCTTCATCAATCAAAGCTTTACTTCGTACAAGATCACAGAGCCCGCCTAGCCCGTCAGATCGTGCATTAAACCAGCTTGTGAAAGGCTTCCGTCTTACAATGCAAGGTGCTATCTTACTCGCCGAAGAAAATAAGGAATTACGTGCTGCCAATGAGAAGCAGAAGCAAAAGCGAGCTAGATCTAAAAGGCATATCCCCGCCGAAGAAGGCCTCTTAGTTTAAGAAGCATCTGCATTAGTTATACAGCCGGAGGAAGCAATTGAAGCACCTCCCCTGGGTCCCGGAATACCTGGAGAATCGGCTTTACAGCCGCGTACGAAGCCCCCCGAGGGTGTGGAATATGTAGGAAGCCGGGACATAGAAGAGAGACATGTCCAGATAGATGATGAATTTAGTTTATTTAATTTAATGGCGTTTTGGTTGAGATAAATGCATTTAAAAACTACATATGGTTGTAGGGTGGCGGCTCGCTTACAGTGGCGGCTCGCATACCGATTACGTTAACTAGGTAGCATCCATGGATATCTCTCTCTCAGCTCTCTCTTCCTTTCTGTTCCCCTCCACCACTGCCCAGTACCACAACCGGACATGGCTGCTTCGACAGACTCTATTTGATCTGTAGCTAATAATCTGTATTTTCTATGATACTTTCTGCTATATCCAGTCGAAGCCAACTCTTCCGTCATGTACAAGAGTAGACGCTTGAGATATCCAGTTTTTCGCATCTCCATTATCCCGTCCAGCTGCTGACGAATCAGCCTTGCTCAACACTTCGGACTCCGCGCCCAATGGAGCATTCCACAGCTCATCACTGTCTGGCATGCAAAAGGACAAATCGGCCAGGGTCAACAGAGCGTTTCTGTCACCATTGGCACTTTCTCCGGTTAAGTGAAAGGAAGTGGACAATCGGCACACCTTATAGAGTGCTAGTCCAAATCTCTTGATCTCTTCAACGCTCACATATACAAGCGCAAGTGGTGCATCGGCTTCGTGTTGCAGAAGCATGTTAGGATAGGAGAAAATACCGCACTGTCGACAGCTTCGAACAAGGGCAGTCAAGAGCTCGTATTTGTCGTCTCGCAATCGGCATCGCATGCTCAAATCCATACTAACATTTTCTCTTGCAATAAAAAGGGCAAGGATGATATTCAAGAGCACACTCTGGAATGTTGTTATAGGCCACGGGGTACTTGTGCGTTGTCGTGGACTCGAGTTGGAGATGCACCATTGGTCCTAGGGCATAAATGTAATATCAGCATCAAAGTCTAATTGTAGTTACCGTGATAACATTTCTTCTCACCATTTGAGCGTAAAATGCAGAACAAAGTCTACCATGCAGCTGTATTGACGCGTCTCGCGCTTCCGGGGTCCCTTTCACCCACAGGCCAATTGCGACAACAGATTGAACAAGTACACAAGGCTCCTTGGCGAAGTCAAATGTACCTCGATGGAGAAAAGGCCATTCTGGATGGAAAGAATTAAAATAAATATCGATATAGTCATGAGCAATCCACCGGGGAGCCTCGGAAACGGAATCATTAATCGTGGAAACAGGTGGCAAGGGGCGGAGATCATCAATGCAAAATTGTTGTTCACCTGCGGTTTCACCTCCAGAAGGTACACAGATGATGCCTCGATGTTGACAGGCATTGCATGGTAGTACGCCTTCGCAGCGGACTTTCCGTGCATGACATGCACTGCATGCCCTAAATTTTCGAGACGGCGGCGCATGTCTCTGCGGGTGATAAGTCCGGATATGGCGTCGCAATAGATCACTGATCATTATGTGAGTGTAAGTTTTACCATGTGATTGAGCCAGCACTCACTTCCTAGTCAGGACACTCTCACAATAAGGACAGGCAAGATTGATTTCCCCATTATGATGATTACGGTGTCGATTAAGGTGCTCTTTACGCCGATATTTTGCGTTGCAGTCTGGATACTCGCATTGGAACCACAAGGGGGCGATATCGGCAGGTGGCGACATTGTGCGAACCGTTTTGCTAATCTTTGGACTTCACAAATTTTTCATCAAACCACACTAATGAATTCAGGAGTTTGCAGAGTGAAGAGTTCGAAGTTAATACAAGGGAAAATAGAGACCTCGGGGAGAGATCGTAATGACGGAAGCTCCAGGTGGGGCCCGAGTGAGGAAGACCACCAATGCAATTCCACCGGGGCATCCCACTTGATGAATAAGTAGCCCTAACTGAATAAAGTCTGGGGACAAGTCGGAACATCCCACTTGCCGCTTTATCCATATGAGTATATCTGCCGCGTCCCTATAAATAGGAAAGTTCTGAAATGGAGCTCCTCATCTCACTACCTCATCTCTTGGCGGTTCAGTGAATATCAATTCGAGTGCACCACGATGGTCGACCTCTATCATCCTGGAACCTTGCGCAACGAATCAGACCTGGCCGGCACCTTGGATGCAGCTCACGAAGACCACTTCAGTTCACATCTTGAGCCAGTAATCTCTAAATTGGCTAGCATACATGCACCTCCTGAATTCGAAGTTTACTGGGACTCTGAAGATCCCGAGAATCCTCGCCTATGGCCACTTTGGTACAAGGGCCTCACTGTCGCTGCAATGAGTCTTGGCGCGACAGTTGTCAGTCTCTCCAGCACACTATACACATCAGGGATTCCAGGGCTACAAGAGGATTTCCACGTTTCGAAGATTGTGGCCCTCCTTGGTGTCACGACTTATCTTTTTGGAATGGGAATAGGCAGCATCATTTTTGCTCCACTCAGCGAGCTTGTGGGACGGCGGCCAGTCTATATTGTCTCAATGACAGTATTTCTGTTGCTATTGCTGCCGAGTGCTTTAGCTCAAAACATTGAATCCATCCTTGTGAGCAGATTCTTCGGAGGATTCTTCGGAAGTGCATTGATGTCGAACTCGCCCGCATCGGTTAATGACATCGTCTCGGATAAGCACCGGGCTTTAGCATTCGGCCTCTGGTCTATTGGGCCCACCAACGGCCCTGTATATGGGCCTATCATTGGAGGCTTTGTTTTCCAATATCTTGGCTGGAGGTGGACAAACTGGATTGTTCTCATCATTGGGGGTGTGGTATTGGTCCTGATAGCTTCTGTCAAGGAAACATACGCCCCTGTGATCTTGAAAAGACGCGCTGCGAGAAAACGAAAAGAGACACAGAACTCAAAGTGGTGGACACGCTATGATGATGGTGTCGGTTTTGCATCTTCACTGAGGATCAATCTCAAGAGACCCTTTGTGATGCTCCTAAAAGAGCCGATATGGTAAGCTATTCCCCTGCCATTCTAGAAGGCCAAGACTAACATTCTCGCAGTATGTTTTGGGACGGCTATGTTGCGATTGTTTATGGCGTCCTTTACCTATGCTTCGTCGCATATCCAATCGCTTTCCAGCAAGAACGCGGATGGTCGCCAGGCATTGGTGGACTTTCGTTCGTCGGTATAGGTGTTGGTGTCTTAATTGCCATTGCATGCGAACCTCTGTTTCGTCGGGTGATTAATCTTCACCGCAAGGACCCAGAAACCGGTATGGTACAACCAGAGGCTATGGTCAGCATCGTCTTTTTTGGTGCTACTCTTTTAGCCATTGGCCAGTTGTGGTTCTCCTGGACGTGTACTCCAAACGTTCACTGGATCGTCCCCATCCTATCTGGTGTTCCCTTTGGAGTGGGTAACGCATGCGTCTTCATTTATGCCTCAAATTACATTGCTCGGTCTTATGGCATTTACGCCGCTTCTGCACTTGCAGGAAATATGTTCACTCGGAGTGTCATGGGAGCATTCCTTCCGCTTGCAGGTCCATCAATGTATAAGGCTCTGGGCTTGAATTGGGCAAGTACAATTCTAGGAATTGTGGAGGCATTATGTATTTCGATACCTGTTGTCTTCTACTTTTACGGACATAGAATTCGGAAGGCGAGTCCCTTTATCAAAGAGGTCGAAAAATTGCAGGCAGCTTGAGAAAACTCCTTCGGCCAAGATATATATGTGTTTTACCTTTGTGCAAAGCGAAAATTAATACTTATGATGAGTCAGTCGTTCTATAACAACATCCAATATTTATCTATCGCTTAAACCCCTAGACTCGTGGTAATCTTGTAAGATAAGGTGTCTTCTTGACTAAAGACCGGGGTACAGTTGGTATATAGTCTGGAGCAGGTTACCTTTTTCTTTTCGTATTCAGAATAGGATACATCCAGTGGGAGTAAGGTTAAGAAATTGGCATATAGCAGATATGAAAATCACATATACAGCAAACTTTCTAGTTCAATGCTGCAAAATGCACACTTCGCGAACATTTTTCGGCATCCCACCTAGTGATCTTGGACTGTCCCGAGATCCCATCGCGCTAACCCGAAAAGGCTAGCTTCTCCGCCAAGCCTTTTGCGCGCGTGGCAATTCATCGATTAATGAGTTGGTTAGGGAGAAATAACCTTGGAAATCAGTGTGGTTGATAATCACTGGCCTGATAAATATCCGGGAGATATTATATAATTTTTCTGAATGTTGTGGCGAGATGAAACTTCATGCCCACGCCCACGTGGGATGAGCCGAAGTTACATCATCAGTAGAATGAAACAGAATTTCTAATGTTTTCAGAAAGGCGATGTATTTAAACCTCAGTTTCTCCCGAACAGAGTGTCTTGACATTCCATTCCATTAATCAGATCTACTGTGTCAAACATTTCTCTGCCTGACTCTCACTCTTACCGCAGCCATGGCAGCAACATCCAAACCTACCCTTACAATCACACACGTCACCACTGCAACTGCCATTCTCAACATTGATGGAGTTAACTTCCTGACAGATCCCTTCTTCGGAGCTATCGAAGGGACAGAATATGATTCGACCGCAGTCTGGGAACAAGTGGACCTGAAACAGTTCGGTTTTGAAAGCATTCCGCCACCACCGCACCTTATCAACAAGCAAGGTCCAGCGCTTCAGCTCAACGAACTGCCGCCTATCGATGCTGTGCTTCTTAGTCATGAGGATCACCTTGACAATTTGGACCCAGAAGGCCGCAAGCTGCTAGATGGTCGAAAGGTGTTTACCACCGTCGACGGTGCCACCAACCTGCGTCCACGCCCGGGAGTCGTTGGCCTTCGACCCTGGGAAACTGTGACTTCTTGCATTGGAGGAAAAATGTACCGAATTACTGGTACCCCTTGCAAACACTTCCCAATTGGAGAAGTTACGGGCTTCGTCCTGGAGACCGATTCGTTCGGCCTTGATTCATCTGGCAAGCCTAATGCAATCTATTTCTCCGGGGATACCGTGTATATTGACGAGCTGCGAGAGATTGGAAAGAGATGGCATATTACTGCAGCCATTTTCAACTTGGGAAATGCCACCTTTGATTTCCCGACTGGCCCCGTTCAGATTACAATGGACGGCAAACAAGCCGTTCAGCTTGCTCGCGATATCGGCGCCGATGTCATGGTCCCAATTCATTTTGAATCGTGGGAACATTTCAAGGAGGGCCGGGCGGAGTTGGAGGAGGTTTTCACCCAGGAGGGATTTTTGGACAAAGTGTGCTGGACAGCTCCTGGCATTCCCAAGGTTGTTTTTTAACTGTGAATCTCTGGATATCGCGACCCTACGGCCTCCTCTTTGTGCTTTATGTTTTATTTTGTTCTGTATTCTATAGTTGATTCAGATTAACTTCGTGAATTCAAAAGCCAGGATTTTACACTCACTTGTCCAATTTGTATTTTGTTAAAAGGGACACGCCGTGAAATGGAAGAATAGTCCACTCTATAGAAATAGGATTTAAAAGAGTGCTTGGAAGTTTGGGTGTCTTGGAGACTTCTTGATCGAGTCATGGCCGGATCTCCTAGGTAATAGACAGTGCTGGAGGTCTCGCAGGCCATCACTGCCATTGAACATCGACTCCCGCTCGAAAATAGCCTGGTACACTCAAATCGTACAGTTTGCGGCTGGAGGCCAGACGGAATTAGTGCCACAGGCGATAGAGTAGCCCCAGCCTCCCCGAGTTCAGTTCTTTGTGTAAAAATTGGCTACAGTGCACGAAAGCAAAACCATGGAAAAAGCGCTTCAGCCCTTACCAGCAGCAAAGGTTCAATGACCGCCAAGCGTTAATGAGGAAGAATAATTATGTATTAGACAGGGTTTCCAAGTTGAAAACCACGGTTTTGGTGCGGAATGGAACCTTTCACCTTTTGTGAAAAACCCACCAACAGATGTGTTAAAGTCGTATAGATAGAGTAAAATTCTCACCGAGGAGACAAGATCTCCCTTCATTCTCCATGTTCGATCTTGAAATGCCATAGTAGCAAGGGCCTGATTCAACACTTGAAATGCCGAGCCACGGCCCGTTTCAATTTTACCCTTCGTTTGAGATTTTGAAATGCGAAATGGTCCAGCCCAAACGGCCCGCGGTCTTGTACATTCTCTGCAGTGAAGACCAGTGTCGGAGCTGAATGAAGCCTCTCGCTTCCTATGAAGGTTTCCCCAACAGATATATCAAAGTCATATAGATAGGGTAAATTATCCATTGCAGATAGAATCTCTGCCCATGTACCAGACTCGATCTTCACATGCTTTAGCTGGATATAGCGCATCGACTCGTTACATCGCTCAATAATATTGACGAGATTTCGAGATGAAATTCTCACTTTGTGCAATGACAAAAACCTTAGGTGAACTTCTGAACCGAGTTCAAGACTATCAATGCTCAGATAGTTGGTGCTACTGAGTGAGAGGGAAGTCAGGTTTGTTGAAAGCTCCACGATCCTTAACAAGTAAGCCGCACAGGATTGCTGGTTTGTCTGCGCATAGACGTGCAATCCGAGATACTGAAGGCAGCTAAGAGTCTGCTCAATCGGTATCCGCAATGTGCTGATGTTCTCGGCAAATAAGGGGGCAAAATCGTTCGTCATTGGTAACTGAATCTCAAGTTCCGTCAAGTTGGGCAGAGGCACGTAGCATAACGACATGAGTATCGAGTCGATGGATGCTTTTATCTTATCATGGGGCAAGAGTGCCAATGGCGGACCACGGAAGTCGAGGGCTTTGAGATTGTGAAATTGACGCAAGCATGAAGACAGCAAGGCGGCAAGGTCTTCCGTGTATAAGCTAATCTCTCGTATCGAACATGGGAAGGAACCGTATCCAATGTCGACTTGACGCACATATTGGGCATATGGGATTTTGGACAGGTTCACTAGCCTTCCTAAAGATGGTAACTGGGTGGTGTCGTACGATGAATGGGCTATGGCTATAATGTGTCGAAAGAGACGGGTTGAGGCACTGTGACAGAAGCTTTTGTTGACCAACCGGAGTTGAGCCAAATTCTTCCGGTTCTTGTCGTTCGTTATCCGGAATGCACGAGCAGTCGATGTCCTTGAAAGATATTGCGAAGTGTCGATCTCGACGTAAAATGTGATCTGCCAAACGATTGTTTAGTAGTGGCGCAGAGCTGAACTGGTAGAAATCATACAAGGTCAATTATCTCTTGCGGAAGATACATATTAATCAATGGATAAGCATCATCGACCGGAAATTATCCTGGTGAAAAGTTGATTCTGGATTCCAGTGTTGCGGTGAGCCCCTGCGGTCTTATCAGTCCTAAATTTGGAAGAGAAAAGGGAGCCCAGCTAACGACAGAAAGAATTAGCAATCGTCTTCACTTTACCGGCGTTTCGGTAAAACACAAACATGATTTTTGTTCCGATGTAGAATTTTGAAATCGATATTGAGTCAATCAAAACCAAAGCAGCAAAGCATCATCCATGGACGTTCCACGGTTAGTTGCGTCCGTCAATCGAATCTTGGCGGGTAATCTAACCATTCAGGGACAGGGTGGAGGTCGGGAAGCGCCACTGCAACCCATCAGGTGGGTCCCTGAAGGTTGTGCAACTGTCGAAAAGCCCAGACAATCGGCGATTGAAACCATGGATACTGGTCGGTATCCCGCCCGTCCTCCGATCGAAGTGGCGCAGTCACGTGTACCCCGGCTTCTCCCTCTTTGCAGTCGATGTATCATATGTGGCTGATAAATCATTGACCAATATCCTTCCAAGGCTGGGTTTATAAATAAATGCACCCCATCTTCTGAATAACTGCATTAATCTCAAGACCCTAGAGTTACGACTAAATCCGGTAACTTCGATATTTACAATATGCGGTGAGTCTCTTCATGAGATTTGTAATACAAACTGTGCTCTAACACTCAATTAGAGACGAATCCAGTCCCTCCACAAAAGCTGTGGCAGAGGCGTATTACGACCTTGGTTCGTATCGTCGATCAGTGACCACTTCGTCGGCGGAAGCTCAATTGTGGTTCAATCGCGGACTGATATGGGCTCATTCTTTCAACCATGGCGAAGCGGTTCGGTGCTTTGAACGGGCTGCCGAAAGTGACGCCAATTGCGCCATGGCGCTATGGGGAATTGCGTACGCGACTGGGCCCAACTACAACAAGGCGTGGAGATATTTTGACCCAGAAGATCGTCAGGCTTCTATCAAGAAGGTCAACGATATCCTTGCCCGAGCGTCCAAGCTAGCTAGCCAGGCTACACCAGTCGAACAAGCGTTGATCGGGGCAATCGGCACTCGTTTCCCACCAATTGATGACATCCCCGAGGATCTGGGCCCTTTCGATCGCGCATATGCGGACGCGATGCGCTCTGTGTATCATAAATTCAGCGATGATGTGGACGTGGCTGCGCTATTCGCGGAAGCACTGATGTGTATCACTCCGCGCGGGCTATGGGACCTGAACACCGGTAAACCGACCGGGGATCACACAATCGAGGCTCGCGAAGTGATTGAGCTGCGACTGAAGCAAGATCCTGGTCGCAGTCATCCAGCAATCTGCCACTTGCACATACACATGATGGAGATGTCGCCATTTCCAGAATTGGCTCTACCGGCTGCGGATCGACTACGTGGCATGGTTCCGCACGCTTCGCATATGTTACACATGCCGACGCATATTGATGCCGCCGTTGGCGACTATCGCCATGGTATCGACTCCAACAATGAAGCGATACTTGCCGACGACATCTACTTTGCTCGAGAGACGGGTACAACTATGTATGCGGCTTACCGGGTGCATTACATTTGTGCAAAATTGTATTCTGCTATGATGTCCGGCCGATTCACGGACGCAATGTCCGCTGCTGAAAAGCTCGAACAGATCATTGATGCGGACCTGCTATCCGTCAAAAGCCCCCCAATGGCAGACTTCGTCGAGAGCTTCCTAGGAAGTAAGGCGCACGTGCTAGTGCGCTTTGGTCGCTGGGAAGAGATTCTTGACCTCAAGCTTCCCACCGATCGCGATACATATTGTGTAACTACAGCCACCATCCATTACACCCGCGGGCTTGCGTTCAGTGCACTTGGAAGGATTGCAGAAGCCGAAGCCGCTCAAAAGGAGTTCGAAACGGCGCGCAAGGCAGTTCCTAGCTCGCGACTTAACAGCATTCCATGCACGGAGGAAGATGTTCTCGCAGTTGGCTCTGCTATGCTTGCCGGTGAATTAGAATATCGGAAGGGAAATGTCGAGACGGCGTTCCATTTCCTTCGGGAAGCCATTGTACGTGAGGATGCACTCGCGTATACTGACCCGCCTGCCTGGATGCAGCCAGTCCGCCATGCACTCGGTGGTCTGCTCCTTGAACAAGGGCGCGTCGAAGAAGCAGAAACGCTGTTCAAGCAAGATCTTGGTTTCGCTCTGGACTATCCTCGGCGTAAGGCAAAGCTCAATAATGTTTGGGGGTTGCATGGCTTATACGAATGCTTCACTCGCCTTGGAAAGAGCCAAGAAGCTGCTTTCATTCAACCTGCACTGGATATTGCTTTGGCATGCGCCGACGTTCCAGTGAAGGTTTCATGCTTCTGTCGAACTTCTGCTGTATCAAAAGATGGATGTTGTTCTTGATTAACGTTGTTAGTTAGCTCGAGGGATCAGGCAACCATGGTGGCAGCACCAGATAGTTATTTCTCTCACTCCCTATTCCTTTTTGTCTTCTTCTCTCCCTCAGTGAGGGCTTCTCTCGGAATGCATCACTACATTTCCTCAACTCATCCTTGCGTAGCCTTTCCACCAAAATATCTCTGCCTCTCTGCCTCTCTGTGTCTACATTTTACCTTGCATTCATCCGATTTGATAGGACATTCAATATCTGCGCACATTTTCTCCATGCATATTTCCTTGTACCCTGTTTCCTAGAATGATGCTAGGAATTAGGCCATCATGAAACGATAGCCAAGCGCTTTGCTTATATATCAGTGCCTTGAACTTTGCCCGCAAGGCATTGATTCGTGTCGTATTATGTTAAAAATGGAAACAGTCGGTGGCTCGCCGTCCACACTGCACCGGTATGTAACATGTTGAGATAAAAATCCAAAGCTGTTTAAAACAACAAGAAGCAGATCTTGGATTTTGGAGCGTACCGAAAGAATATGATATTTCAGATGCGACAATCTACTAAGAAAATTAGTATTCGCCACGATGAGTTAGCTGCGGTCGTTCGTCGTGAATTCTCCAGAATCTAGAAGAGCATTCGAAATCCCCCTTTGTCAAGGCTATGTTGTAGTCCCCCACAGTAGGTAACTACGCAGAAGTTGAAAATGTCTTGGCGGGATATGTTTCCCCATTAGGAAAGTCAACCACGGAATTTCGGTTACTGGTGGCGGATCATAAATTATTCATCAGATACATATTCATCAGATTAATTTGTCAGGATGATTAATCCATGGATTCTTCAGGATGATTATTCCTGGCTCTCACTACCTTTCTAAACCTATATAAACCATCAAGTATAATGAAATAGATCACAGCATACCAAAAAAATAGACCCCACGGCTCTGATCTTACAACAGAAGTCAAGTTCAAAATGTCTCCTACATTGAACATCACCCACATTGGCACCGCCACCGCCATTCTCGAAATCAACGGATTCAACATGCTCACTGATCCATTCTTCTCACCTGCTGGATCTACGTGGCCAATCAACGACAAAGTTTCCCTTACCGTGGAAGACGATCCTGCTCTCCGCCTAGAGCAACTCCCTGTCATTGATGCTGTACTTCTGAGCCACGAAGATCACCCCGACAATCTGGACGAGCTGGGCCGGCGCCTTCTGGATGGCCGCCGCGTCTTCACCACCGTTGATGGAGCCAAGAACCTGTCTCCCCGGCCCGCGGTTCATGGCTTAAAGCCCTGGGAAAAAAAAGACACTGTCATCGCCGGACAGAAACTCCAGATCACTGGCACTCCAACACAGCATTTGCCTGGTGGTGAATGCACTGGCTTCATCATCACAGGAGAAGGATTCGGAACTGGTCGTGACGGTCTTCCCAACGCAATCTGGTTCTCAGGCGACACTGTGTACATCGACGAGTTGAAGAAGATGGCGGAAGAGTATCATATTTGCGCTGCCGTCCTCAACCTAGGCAACGCACATGCCCCTGCCAATCTTGAGGACCCTAATGATGGACTGATGCAGATTACCATGGATGGCAAATCGGGTGCCCGGTTGTTCCGTGAAATCAAAGCAGACGTTCTGGTCCCTATGCATTATGAGTCGTGGGGCCATTTCACGCAGTTCGGGAAGGAGCTGGCGGAAGATTTTGAGAGTGAGGGCGTTATGGATAAGGTGTGTTGGCTGAAACCAGGAGAGGCAGTGTCTGTTTTGTAGGTGTTCTATACATGTATATATTCAATAGAAAGTTTAGACAATGAGACAGTTTACCAGTGTTTGCCTTGTTTGTCAGGTTTCATCCAACTATACACGTGCTATATTTACATTTGATCCGCACCAGTCGCATAAGGAATGCGATACATAAACTTGAAATAGTCCAACCACGCAATTCCCGTGTATGTGACGGGAATATATCTAGCACCTCGTCGGATCCACCACATTGCACTCCTGGCCGCCCAGTCTGCAGAGAATACAGCATTTCCCACAGATGAGAGAAAGGAGGGTAGGACGATATGCCGGTAAATTATATCAGGGTCATCAAAACAGGAACGAGCGTGCGACAGGAATGTCCTTCGTTTGGACTGAGAGTCACGTTGCGGCCGTGCATTTCTCCAGAATGGATGGAAATCAATCTCCATGCCAATGTACCATACTTCTGGAAGCGTCTGGCAGGCGGGCCTGGTCGCTCTACACTGCTTGAATAATTTGATAAGTCGGGTAGCTGAATCGCAATTTGAGCCAAGTGCGTCCTCGCCGTCGTAGGCATGAGCTAGGATCAAAACGTCGGTGTTTGAAAGAGTTGGTATCACTTTATCAAAGTCATGATGATCCCAATCAGTCCCAATCGTCAACTTGCGAATGCAGGCTACCCCTTCTTCACGCTCGAGATCTTTGATGATTCCTTGGGTAAATGCTCCGCTTCCCTCAGTGATCGTAAAGCGCTTCCGTCTGAAGGAGTAGGCGGTACCGCAGATCCAGTCGAAGACTTTGATAAACGAACTCATATAACGATCCGGGTAAACATGGTGTAGTGCGTGAAACTCTGGGCCCACAAGTATCCAGTTGGTGTCCTTCGGGGCGGTTTTGTAGATGAGATGGTTTGAGTCGCGGCCACATGTGAGGATGACAAAAGTAGACCTTAGGGTTTCAAAGCCAATTATAGACAAAAGGTGGTTTCGTGTACACCACACGAGGCCGTTAGGCGTCATATAACGGGCAAAGAGATACCCTAGAGTGCTTCCAACGATTTGGAGTGCTAGCTCAAGCGGCAAGGCTTGAAATCGATTCTGCTGAAGATACCTTTCGTCGAAATTCATATGCCGTGTGAAGTAGAGGTGGTGGTAGTGGTGGACACGTGCTAGGCGTCGAAAAAGAGGGTGCGATGATTTGTTGCAACGGTGGAGCATATGGTGAACAACATCAAAAAACACAGAGCCTGTGCAAAGCAGGTACAATAAAGACAGTAAAGATGGAGTAATATCACTCAAAACATGGAGGTAATAAACTACCAAATCGGCAATTCCATCAACAAAGTGCACATCGACTGGCTTGCTCATCTCGAAGGTAATGTTTAGAATAAACATATAAAGAAGGATTGAGGATTGCTAGGCATTGTTTACAGGTTCAAGCCATGCAAGATTGTCCTTATATCTTCAGAGCACACTGTCTGTCTCTATATATGCATGCCCACCGGCCATCACGACGTAAACGGAGAATTTCTGTAACAACTTTTATCTATAAATAATCCGCAAGATGGCGACTACCCACGTATGACTCGATACCATTCGCTATGTCTTGAACTCAGTCAATTCTGGTGTTTCAAGCAGACTACCTTTATTCTAATCTACACTCGTTCCAACAAATGTGCCCCACGTACTCCGTAGGCTGGCGAAAGTTCGGACAAATATACGATAGGCAGCGACTTATTGCTCCAGCATTGCGATGACAGCACCACCAAAGGCCACTACAAGTCTAATATTCATTTCCACCGCTGGAGACAAATAGGCGAAATGGAGATATTTCGGGAACAAAGTCTGGCAAGGAATGTACTTGAAATCACGAGACCTGGGCGGTGACGGGCTACACCATACCTCCGTCACACACACCTTCTTCCTTTCCTTCTTCCTCAGTTAGCCAGATAGCTACGAATACAACGTTCGGCAAGCTGCACTCTGTTTAGCTCACTCCATCCAAACAGAATGAAAGCTCCCGAGGTCCCGAGGTCCTTTATGGAACCTACTACTAGGATGAGCATTATCGGGAATGGAGCCTAGCCCACTTCAAACTCATCTTTGGACAAGACGTGCCGCTCAGCCCCTATGCTCTATGCTTCAGCAATCTGGAAAACGATCAGGCACTAATTGATGTCCCGTCATCGTCAAACTAACGGCATCTTCTCATCTCCAAATAAACTACAATACTAGCCCTCTCAGAAAAGAGAATTGGAAAGGTCGCTGTTCTAGTAGCTCTCTCTCTCTCTCAGTCCTCACTATATATCTAGTATCGACTCAGCTACGCAGATGATTTTGTGTAGTTGAAAGGATTGAAGATTAAAGGTATGCCGTTGACATTTCGTTAGCACCCCTGATTCTTTTGGGAAATGATTTACAAGAGGAACCGCTCTAGCGCTGTTTGCGCGGTACTTTATCTTAGAACGGCTAGATTCCCCGCCAAGCGTTTTTACTGAACCAGATCTGCGCTACGCCGTTAAACGTCCTCGATATCCAACGCTTCCTGCCAAGTGTACTACTAGTACTCCGTAGTATTAAGGGTGTAACAATGGCTTTAACATATATAGAAGACGAGCAAGAATATTATGATCTCTTAGAACTCGCATCCTGTTTGTGCTTGAAATGGCGCCTATTCACCTTGGTATTCTGGTCTATGACTACCAGGCGATTGATGTTGTCGGCCCAATCGATCTCCTTCACTCCGCCAATTCTGCGTTCTTGGAAGTGTCCAAAATGTTTGGCCCCATCAATGACGATGCTATCTCTCAGGCGCCAGACTCTGTTTTTCACCATGTTGGCATCACGAAAGAGCCCTTCCACCTATTCACCAGTGCCATTACCCTCACCCCAACTACAACGGTGGATGAGTGTCCCGAGCTCGATATTATCTTGCTAGGGGGTCCGAATCCCGAAGGCTTTAAGCTGCACCCGAAATATGTTGATCTCATCCGTCAACATATCAATGCAGGAAAGTTGCTTTTCACGACTTGCACTGGCTCAGCCGTACTTGCATCTACAGGACTTCTCGATGGAAAGAACGCAACTATCAACCATGCTGGGTATAAATGGGCGAAAGAGAATTATCCTGCCGTCAACTGGACTAAGGAAAAGAAATGGGTTGTTGACGGGAATATCTGGACTGGAGCTGGTGCTGTTGCAGGAATGGACATGGTTGCCTGTTGGCTCAAGGAGCAATTCGGTCTAGAGATTCTTACATATGCTGCTCGGAATCTGGATTACGAGCCTCGGGGCGTTGATGGTGTCTCACTTGTGATTCCTCGGAGATATGACGAGAGCGGAAAGCAGATCAGCACGCATGAATTTTTCTATTATTAGACAGTCAATGTTAGATTTAAAAGAATTAACGTACTGCACTCAAAGTACTGAGAAATCCCAATGTTGTCATTTCTTCAACTGTACCCTGAAACCCATAGGTCCAAAAGGAAAGGTCCGAAACGGAAAAGTGGAGCCGAACCCCGATTTGGTTGCATATTCCGCCAAGACTTTTACGTCACAACACTGCGTCCTTCTAGACCTCCACGGCTTGGGGACTTTCAATATTTCATCTCCGCAAATACAATGAAAGTCAAGCAGAAATCTGTTTGTCAGAATTGTAGAACCCGGAAGCTAGGGGTATGTGCTCACATCATTTGCCACGTTGGGATTGGACCACTGACGTTCTTATAATTTTAGTGCGATGGGAAGCTTCCAGCCTGCAGCCAATGTGTTCTTTCGGGTCACAAGTGCGACGGCTATCGAACAGATTGGAAATTTATATCACACACTCCGATGCTCTCGTCTACTTCACAGCAACACAACCAAGCTGCGCTTGTTCGAAAGGAGAGCCAAGAGACCTTATTACGTGCCGATCAACAAGACTCGCCAACCGGACCTATACCCCTTCAGGTCTATCTGAACCCCCTTAGCGTATGTAATTTCACAGAGTTAATAACGAAAAGTTATGTTCCCCAAAACGAACGGATTATACAAACGTGCGACTCGGACTATATGGAGCCTCGAATCTGCGGGTCTTGGGTTGAAGTGCTGTCGAGCCTTCCATCCCTGAACACCCCCGGTCTGGTTCTTCCGAGGGCAGTCGCAGCATTGGGAGCTTCACTACTATCTCAGCAAAGTGAATCCAACATAACCTGCTCCCAAACCTACGACATGGCACTCCACACACTCCGACAAAATTTTGGCTCGAATCCCCGTTCCCTTAGCACTGAACAGATACCAGCTATTATGTGTCTTACGCTAGTGGAGGTACTATTCCCCAGTCCGACATTTATCTACGCGCTCGCTAACTGGTCAAAGCTTATGAATCCAGATTCCGTCGCTGCTATAGCATCGCATACCCAGGCTGTAGGCATGTTGCTACATGCCCACGGACCGCACATGTGTAGTTTGGGATTACTACATAAGCTATTTGTCGGTTTTAGACCTCTTCTGGTTCGTGCTCTGCCCCTCTGATCTTTCTGCCCGTATGGCTGTTGAGCTTGGATATAGATAATACAGGCGTTACGAAGACGCCAGCCTACATTTTTAGCATCGCAACCATGGATTGACACCCCGTTCTCTCATTTCCGCCCATCACTCATGCAAAACCTCCTTAACGAAGTTGTCATCCTTCCCGCCCTCCTCCACCAAAGCGACTGCGTCCTAGGAAGCATGGTCCAGGCCGACTTGTCCGATATCAACAAAATACCCGGTTCAATCACCAACATACTTATCCGCCTTGGCGAATGGGAAACGGCGTTGCAGAAAGGAGACCAACCTTGCTATTGGCGATGCGGTTATGTGTCACCAGCAGTAGAGTCAAGGACCCCTGACGATACAAGTCTACCTCTTTTTTGGTACCCGAACATCACCATGGCCAACGCTTTTACCCACCTATGGGCCTTCCGAATTCTCTGCCTCTACGAACTCAAGAGATTCATTACGCATTTCTCGCGCCATGACCAAGAGCAGCCGATCTGGACCGGGCAGCTTCGTATGAATTACGATGACATTCAAGCCCAGCTCATTGCATTTGCGAAAAGTATATCTCTGAGTATGGTCTACCTCCTACAAGAGGAGATGAGACTTTTTGGGCCGGCATCTACCATCTTCCCACTCCAGATAGCCTACAAAGTATACAAGTCAGCTGGCTCTGGGCACCAGGCTGACATTGCCTACCTTGAGGGAATCGTTGATGAACTCCATCAAAAGGGCCTGAAGTCTGCTAGTGCTCATGTATTTGGTGACTGAATGCAACAATAAACATTGGAAACGTAGCAAAATTCCAAATTCCATAATGGCTATGTTTAGGTTGGATAGCTCCTAGATGTAGGTACTATCGGCTTATCACACCTCTCCCTCTTCTTCCAGTTTCCTGAGTGCATGGATATTCATCTCACTGCATCTCTCACCTTTCGCGTTGTAATCAAGTTGAATGGGAATTGGGAGACTTGGCTATGCGGCCAGGGCTAATACTGAGGACTTGCCTGGATGGACTCATCTGCCTGTCACATTCATATCTACCTAGGTAGGTACCCTTGTCCAATTTTAGGCACAGGATTAGCCGTATGGCTGGACGCATGGATCCATGGATCTTTAAAAGTAAAGTGGTGAGTTAGGCAGGAACCTTGGACATGCTCCGTAGATGGATTTGGTTTTCAGCCAGTCCACTCTCAGGTTCCCAGTTACTTGTCTCTCACGTATTCATCCTCTCCTATCCCCACTACATCTCTCACATCTCCATAATGCAGCGGCGCCATCAAAGCAGCGACGAGTCTGGCACTCCCAGTTCTGCCATCTCATCTACCTTGCGTAAAGATATTGACCTTACGAACCGATTATCCGCCTTACTTGATGCTGCACGAAATGAAGAGCTGACATCCGAACTGCAAATCCTTCCCTCAGCAGAACCCCATGAAGTGTTGAGCCGGGTTCTATCGCCAAGTTCCGTTGTTTCTACAGCCTCCTCTTTCGCATTTTTCAACAAGCCACAGCAGGCGAGTTCTGTTGGGTTTCGCAGTGTCGGGTTTGGCCAATGTGGGATTGTCTTTGAGCGGCCAGGACGCGCGTATGTGGTCAAGATCGCCCGCCCATCATTCGAAGATGCCCTTTGGGCGGATCTTCAAGCCCACTTGTCAGTGTACCACGCCTTCACAAACCAGCAGTCCGTTGAAGTACGAACTCCCAAAGTCTGCTCATATGTGTCAAAGACGAACAATGAGTGGTGGGACGCGCATTTTGAGCTTTTTCATGGATCCCACCTGTCCTTCCCTCTACCGGCAATGGCGTTGATCACAAAACGAATACTTCCGCTACCCAAACTCGCTCGACAAGCTCTAATAGATGCCTACTGCCCTGCACCATCGCAACTTGCTGTAAGGGCTCACGACACTAACCGTGATTGTTTGGCACGAGTCTATCTTGGCCGTCGCCGAGGTGTGAATGACCCGCCTCCTGCAAACTTCACTTTAAGGAATTTCAACTTGTGTCTGGATCAGATGATCGAGCTCAACCTACCCATCCAACATTATGCCAAAGCTATCGGCCAGGCTATGGCAATTATGCATTGGTCAGCAAACGTGGATTGTTACGACGTTGAATTTGTCCTTGGTAGTGAAGGCGAAACAACATACACCCAAGAAATCTGTCGTTCGTCGGGGCTCAGCGTGGAACAGGTTGCATCAATGCCTCCTCACACAGACCTTGATAAAAGGATACGTACCAACTTTCGCCGCCGAACCACTCGTGTCTGGGTCCTTGATTTCAATTTGTGCAGTAAATGGGAAGAACAAATGGGTCTTGAAAGGCCGGATGACTTAATCGCTCATCTCGTGGCAGCATTCTTTGAAAATGACCCGTATTACCCTCGCCCATCACAAGATCTTGAACCTGGCAAGTCCCTCTGGTTCACGCTCAGCTCCTCATACCGTGACGCAGCAGCGAGTGTACTGTCAGTGCCAGGGAAGGACCCACGACTCGCATTGCTTCCGCAGAAGTTTCTTGACGCTTGTGTACTGCGACAATCAGAAGGTTAAGCTTAGGGGAAATTGGCCCCCGGAGGAGAATACCTTTTGTTGTGTCGGAAGGGGTTTGTTTGTTCTATCATTCTGTTGCTTTTTAAGGACTCGGTCAAGGACCAAACTTGCGTTTCTAAATGAATTCCCTACCATTATCACGCTTGCTATGAACATGTTTAATGACCCAGACTTGCTATATCTGATTGAATTGAGCCACGTAGCATCCTCGTATGGAAGGTCACATTTCTCATTCAACTCACGTTACTCATATAAAATTCCCTTCTGTTTCACGACAATAAGACAATTCAACCAAGAGTAACTGATTCCAAACCAGAGTATCAAGTATTGTGTTAGAAGTATATTGTAGACATCATGGGCTCTGCTGAGATCCGAGTCGCGACTCGCTGAGCTTACTTACTGGATGAATTCCTTCATATCAATTTCTTCCTCCACTTCATTGTTCCCTCTCACATGGAGAACTAGAGCCTTCCCGTTTGATTTGACCTTTGTCATGTGGCGGAGTCGTTCCTTCCTCGTCAGGACTGTCCAAGTACACAAACCCCCTCGCCACCTTCCCCTCTCTCTTTTCTTTTTCCTCTCCCTCTGAGAAGCAATCCATTCTGAAGGATATGGGATTTGACAATTTAAAATCTGGATCCATGGAATCCAGCATCAATAGTCTTGCCAGTGAGGCAAAGAAGAAACAGGAAGAGTGCGAGGAAAAATTCTGGCACGTCAATGTGGGTGGTGAGAAGATTGTTCTCCGAGAATATACCACGAGCATTGTTGGCTGGTTGACGAAGGCCGGTGATATTGCTGTGCAGTTTGCGCCGCCCCAAGCGAGTCTACCATGGGACCTTGTCAAATCTTTGATGCAGGTGGGTGACAAGTTGACTCTTATTAGTATTAATGTTTGGAGATGGACGCTTATTGAACGTTGTAGATTCCTGTAAATGAGAGTGATCAGATGGGCGCCTTGCTCGCTACAGCAGAGAAAGTTATTCGCATTATTAGCCGTGGCCAAGTCTATGAAACGATTCACTTACCTAAGGACCCAAATGCCAACTTGTCGCTTGTACAGTCGAACCTCGACACAGCTCTGGTGGGAATGTATGCAAGTGCTCTAGACCTTTTGGCCGAGTCACAGAAACTTCTTGCTGCGAACACAGGCAGGCGTATACTTGAAGCGATTGTGAACCCGGGCAGGGCAACGGGTAGCCTTGCGGCTCTTATTGAACAAGAAGAAGAAATTATCAAAGACGTCAATGCATGCGAGAGCGAGCGCAGTTCGGATTCCGACAAACTCACGCATGAAATACTGCATACTTTGGAGGCACCAATCGCTCGGGTGGACGAGGGCGTCAGCAGTCTCCTCAAATATGTGGATGAAAAAGAGCGCATCGAGCTGTTGGAGTGGATTTCAGCCGTCCCGTTCCGCAAGCACCACTACACTGTGCAAGAGGCTAGAACCCCTGGCACGGGTGAGTGGCTACTCAAACATAATTACTTTTGTGATTGGAAAGCGAAGAGATCATCGACTCTGTTTTGGCTGCAAGGAAACCCGGGTACTGGCAAGACATATCTCACATCCACTGTGATTGACTGGGTCCGTGACCAGCCCAGCAAAGGGAATGACGAAGGCTTTGCCTTTTTCTACTGTGGCCGGGACGAGAAGCATACGCAGCCCCTGACCATTCTCCAAAGCTTTGTGCGTCAGCTTTCGACCACTAGAAGCAATCCTGCGTCCATGCAGGCCAAACTCCAGGCGTCTTGCAAGGAAGCCCGAGAGGAAGGCACGAACTTTCGCTTTGGGCAGTGCAAAGACCGGATCCTGGCCTCTCTAGATATCTATCAGAGAACCACGCTGGTCATTGATGCTCTGGACGAGTGTGATCCAGCCTCGCGCGATGAACTCATTGAAGCATTACAATTGTTCATGGCGGAGTCTAAGCGAGTCGTGAGAATATTCATCTCAAGCCGACCTGATCCAAGTATCGAAAATTTGCTGAAAAGCAGCCCCAATGTTGGCATTCGAGCAGACGATAATCAAGGCGATATCGAGAAGTTCCTTCATGATAAAATGAACAGGCTCGCAAAGATCAACATATCATTGAAGGACCTGAAAACCGACATCATTGCGAAGTGGCTGGAACGCTGCCAAGGGATGTTCCAGTGGGCTGATATGCAAATCCATCAGATTGCAAAGTGCAAGTCCCGCCCAGACGTCTTTGATCGCCTCGAACACCTCCCAGAAGGCCTTGAGAAGACATATGATGAAGTCTGGCGACAGATTGAAAGCCAAGGAAAGTACGATCAACTGTTTATAAAGCGTGCTCTTCGCTGGGTAATGTCTGCATCGAAACCTCTGAGTAGCGTCGAACTTCTAGCTGCGCTTCGTGTGGGGCCGGAGGGAGATCTGCTACCGAAACTTGATACTGTGGATGAGCAAGGATTGCTCTCTATCTGTAACAATTTCCTTGTTGTGGACCCCCAGCTAGATGTATGGCGGTTCCCACATCTGTCGGTTCGGGAATACCTGGAGGGCAAAGAAGACTGGTCCACTGCGCACGCCCATTATCACGCGGCCAGTGTTTGTTTGTCTTACATGGCCAATAAGTATGAGCATGATGACTCGGGATTCGACGCCAAGCTGGAGGCCGACTTGAAGGTCGAGTCAAAGGCGCCAGGTAACACTGATAGTCCTCTGAAGCCAGTGGAATCAGATGATGGCTTCCATACTCTTCACCCGTTCCATGCCTATATGAGACACTGTTGGCCTCACCATGTAAACGGAGCAAAGGACGTCGAGATGGCCAAGTTGGGTTCTTTGCTGAAAACATTCCTCGGATCACCCAATCAGAGCAGCGTGCAATACCGGAGATGGTATCCAAAGGCTCCCAACGATCTTGAGCTCCATGAAAGATGCAGTGTCCCTTACCCTAAGCATTACTTGACATGGAATGCAATCCATGCGCTCAAACCCACGGATGCCGCTATCTTCGCCATGTGTTGTTTCTCGCTGGATACTATTGTGGGGGATTGGTGGGAAAATGAGGCAATTGATATCTCCCGCACGAACGATTTCAATGATAACCTTCTTGAGATAGCTGCCATGATGGGTTCCCTGCCTATATGCGAGAAGTTTGTTCAAATGCTGGTGGACCAAGGTACCGATAACAACACCCGAAGTGAATTCATCAACAGGGCGCTTCTCTCGGCGTCATTTGGCGGGCACGAAAAGGCGTTGCAGATGTTGCTGGACCGAATTTCTGAGCTCAACACTGAAGGTCAAGTGCATAATGTGCTTGGCAATGCGCTCCAAAGGGCGGCATCCTGCGGGCACGTAGGGGCGGTGCAAATGCTGCTAGATCGAGGTGTCGATGTTAATGCCGGAAATTCTAAAGAAGGTAACGCACTCCGGTCGGCAGCGGTGATAGGCAATGAAAAGGTGGTGCGGATGCTGCTGGATCGAGGTGCCCATGACAACCACCCAGAAGGATTTTCCCAGATGCAATGATGGCCGCCCAAGTAGGTTGCAATCCAAAGGTGGTGCAGATGTTGGAGGACCGGGGGTTCAACTAGAAATAAAACACTCAACACTTCTTAGTACATCAACAATATCTACTCTCGCTTTACGTTAGACCAAAAAACTCATAAGAGATTTTCTGAAAATTCCGCTTCCTGATGATCTAGATGTCGCACAATGCTTTTAGGATGCATGTATGTGTAGGGGGATGGTTCGCCTCCAACCGATTCATCAAACCCACCAGTGGACCATTCCAGCTATACCCTCCACCAACAATCATTCCAGTTTAAAACGACATCTCAATCCCTCTTAACCCCACTGGTAATAGTCCCCTCGAAACGCTCACTGAACTTTGCCAGCTTGGCCATTTGCGATAAAAGTGAGCCTGTTCCTGCTGCTTACCATTTTGTACAATCACCTTATAAATTGCCAGGAATCGCGGTTCCACACCATTTTGCAATGATTCGGGGGGTTAATTGTCGCTTAGGTTGGGATGCTTCTTTCCGGATGACATGGCTGGCGTGGTTATTTTTGGATCAGTATTAATACATAACATTACAGCTCTCGTTCGTTTGAATTTTATGTCAGGATGTCGGATACGTGTATCATCTAGTATCGAGGGACGGCCAATTGATGCGTGAGATGGATTAACGAGAGTGTGTCTGTGTGTTCCGATCTGTTGAAAAATGATCCAGGGGCTATAAACTGCGTATTACATCACAGTTCTTCCGAGAATGACCCGAATTACCATACAATTACTATTGCAATGTGGGTGGATGCTGAATAACCAAGAGCAGTGGAGAATCCACAGTATTTTACCTCTCTCAGAGTTGACATTTTACCATTCAAAACCGATACATGATCCAAAGTACGTGAGTAACCATATTTGGCAACATGGATTATGTAATTAGGGTTGGAAAGAGCATCACTGTAGTCTCCAACATGGAAGGCGAACCTGGGCGTGTCTGTACAGTGCGCGGTAATCACGGACGGAGGAAGAACCTCGACCGGTGGCAAGAGATAGGCGATTTCGAGAATCACTGCGATATAAAGCTGCTGTGTTGTTGCCGAACGGGAACTAACCCCTGACCGATGGCGGACCCACCCGCGGGAGGGCCCGAGACACCACCCGCAAACACGCAAGAAACCATCACCAGCTTCACGGAGGACGACATCGAAGCCAGAACTACCGTCGAAAACCGGAAGCGAACCCGAAGTGGAGATATATTCGCCCCGTCGGATCCAGCCGGCCGAATCACCACCAAGGAGGTGTGGAAATTGATCAGCACGCTGAAGGACGTCATCCGCCACCAGACCACGACCATTGCAGCTACCCAAAACGAACTCCAGGAGATTAAACACAACCAGAACGTCCTCCAGGAACAGAACGAGAGACTGCATGAGGAAGTGAAAGCACTACGGGTGCAGCTCGAAAGCGCTCCAGCAGTGACCGCGACTAAGACCTGGGCAGCAGTTGCAGCCAATAGCGGCA